AAAAGCCGGTCCTGCAAGCTTTTGGCTGGTTCTGAATCAGTGGTAAAGTTGGTTGTCTCTCAATTGGGAGATTCAGTTCTTAACTTTTGCACTCTACGGCCAAAGTGTCTTTAGGCAAAATGTGAAATCCCTGTGAGTATGAATGCATGTAAATGAGATTAGTTAATACTGATATAGCAGCCTATGCAATCAGTTTCTGAATGACTGGAAAAGTGCAATCCCTTAAATGCACATTTAGAAAGTGATATTGATCTTATCGCACTTGAGGCAAGACAGCAAATGAGTTTTTCCCAGAATATCAAATTATTCTATCAAATTACCCTCCTCAGATTGTTGCACTGTCACAAAGACAGTGCAAAAGGCTGACCCATGTCTGAGTCTGGTAATCCTCTGGCAACATTTCTGCCATCTTTGTCCCCCCGAATGTGTTTGTGTACCGAGCAGAGTTGACTGGTGCTACACACCTCAGCATTATATAGCCCCGCTGATGCCTTCAATGCCTGTTTTTGTCAGCTAAATCCCCAACTCACAATAGCATTGTAGCATCCCAAAAGAGTTTGTTATCCCACCGGCCAGACTGTTAATCCTTGCCGCCGTCCGCCCCTTATGTTGTGTATGCAGTGAATCACTCCATCTGCACAAAAACTGACTCAGATATAATATGGCACCGCTGCGAGGTCTGACAGAGTTACCACGGTAACCGAGGTCACAAGAACAACCCACGGACCATCGGGTCTTTTGAGCATAATGGCAGGTTATCATACAAAGGAATAGGGGATCATGTCAGGTTGTTGTGCTTTTGAAAAGTGTTTTTCGCCGAGACAAAAACAAATCTTTGATGTTAGGAAGGCGACACAGTTTGAACAGAACATGTTATGTAAAGATGAAATATTTCCAGTTGCAGTGGGGACTTGGCTGTATTGGCAGGGTTATGAAACACACTGAAACCAATATTGATGCTTCTTTGTGACCTTTTAAAGCAAACAATATCATCAGCTACAAGACTGCTTGTTTCTTCACAGTCATATTTTATACGCTTTAAACCACTGCTGCGAGGTAGGTGTCAGACAAAATGAATAACAGCAGCTTTCAAAACAGGCTTTTTTTAACACTTTCCACCATCCTTGACAAGTGATACATTTAACTGTGTAATGACAGCAACATGAGACAATTTGTTAAAACTCCTGATGTAAAGGGAAAAAAACAGAAAAGAGATACAAAAATCCACAAATCAACACAAACTCACTTGTATTTCTTCCAGTTCGTTCTGTTAATACTTTTTAAAAGTTGAATAAAATGTGAAACATTGGTTAATGTTTTATTTTGTGTCTTATTGATGTGCAGGAATTGATCCCAGTGGTTCCTGGCATGAAGTGTTGAGAGGGCTGAGCGGTTCCAGTGTGAGGACCTCAGGTACAGTCCAGTCTGCAACCATCTGCTTCAAACAAACAGTTTCCACACGAGAGGAGTCAACCCTTCTGACTTAACGCATGAGCATGAAAAACTCACCCTCCTGTCAATCAAAGGACCAGGGAGAGGGTTCTCACTTTCTGACCGTGGTGGACCCGTGGACAATGATTCTGCTTCCTATTTTGTGTGAAACAATACGTGCCATCGGTCCACCAGTGTTGTAAGAGCTTTTATCGAGGAGCGTCGTTTGCTGTGAAAACGGAAATAAAAAGACTCCCTTACCAACAACTACACAGGTGCAACTGTGACCAAAGATGGCACAAGAGCTCAATCCACACTGAGGGTGGAAGGAAAGAAGTAGACATAATCTCACAAAAACAAAGCAGAACACTTCTGATCCAACTTCAACACTCGCCTTATAGTTTTTTCTTGAACCCATTGTTGTCAAGATGTAAATTGTTTGGGGATTTTTTTTCTTTCTTTTTAAAACTTCAACTAACCCAAAAGCTTTCTTCTGTATATAGAAATACAATGTGTAAAATTCTTTAAAAGGGGGGTAAGTTAGTGGTTGAGAAAGCACTGAGGAGAGTTACCTTTTCAAGTGCTTTTTGAAATTTATTGAAACGGTTCCACTTTTAATGATTTGCGTGTAACTTCACAGGTTCTTGTATAATTACTAAATAGAGCAGGTATAATGTTTGTACATGAAAAAAAAAAATACTGGTTTGATTTTAACAGAGAGAAATTTCCAGAAAAATCACATTTCAGTAATGGATATGATCCTACAAAAAGCAGCCTTTCAGAGTTCTCATATTTCCATGCATGCTGTTCACATTATTTTAAGTACAATTTTTACAAGTTTGCAAACACTGTACTCAACAACAAATACAACCCTTTATCTGTGTGCACATATAGCCCTAGCATTTGTCACCGATTTTATATTTTAAATTAAAAAAGGGGTACCATTAAAACATTCATCATGTCGGGGTGATGATGATAAAGTCCTATAGCTTCTTGAGGGTGTGATGTCTTGTCTGTCTATGTGAAACGGGAGGGCAGCTTCTGCTACGAGAATGATTTAATCTGAATGTAAATGCTAGTAGGCTGGCTCGCTGTAAAGTTATAACTGTATTGTGTGTATTGGCTATAAGGTTTAGGAGTCTCTGTACACTGTTAGACTGTTTGTAATCATTTTAGCAGTGTGTCAACTTGGTTTTCTCAAGGCTGCTGTGATAATTAAGGAAAACTGGGGCATTTCATTTTGGATTTTTTGGTGAACTATTTCCTTAATTTAAAAACCTACTCACATTAAGGACACATAAAGACATTATTTGATTGTAGCTCTAAATAGCATATTGTATGACAAAAACACTGGATGGTCAAAATCAATTATTTAAGCATTAAATAAATTGTGTTTAACTCTGAAACTGTGTGATCTTTTTAGGCTTGAGAGTCTGTATATGCAGTGTCAAATAGAATTGTTTTCACCTCTAGATCATTGGCAAAAAATGTTTACTTTTCATTACATTAGGGATTCTCTTTGTATTGATTTTCATTAGATGCCCATGTAGTTCAAGTGTGGTGTTCTACTGGTGCAACGACTCAGTATGCTGATGTCTATGCTGTGGACATGACAACTATGTATTTTTTTTCAAGGGGCTGGGTGGGTTAAAGAAAGTCAGGTAGGGTGCTTTACCACATCCACTTATACTACTATGTCAATCAGGGGGTAGAGGATCCTTTGATATGGTTGAACTATCAATTTTGTCAATTTTGTTTGATATGTGTTTTCACCTGAGCAGATTTTTTGATGTACAATTCTTACTAACAGAGTGAAGCCATTGAAATGTAACTATTCTAGCACTTTGGTTATTCAAGGTCTTTTAGAGGCTATAGCAGCAACGATGCCACCACAAATGTTTCAGACGTCTTTAAAAAAAAACAACCTAAAAATAAAAAAAAATAAAAATGCATTGATTTCGCAATACAATGTGTTCATTCTTGTCTCTGTGTCCTTGAATATTTTATTTTAATGTTAGTAGTCATGGCAGCAGGCTAGTCATTACGTAATGAAACGCTGTCCTTCATTCAGTCATTCACTTCACTACCAAAGTGTCTTTAAAGAGTAATATCCTTGGCTGTGTTTGCTATGCAGAGTGACGCCAGCAGATTAGTTTTCCCAGAGGATAACACTTCATTCTTTTGAGGACGCAATTGATAGGCAGCACTTACGCTGCACTTTAATCATTAGTGCTTCAATTACACACGTGTTCAAAAACAGAATCAGCATCATTTGTCTGGGTCTCAGTTACTGCACTGCAAAGGAGCCAGATCCCAAACCACCTACCCTGGTGAGTCAACAACCCGATCTGTACCCTAGGACATGGGTGAAACATGATAGTGATGGGGCACATTTGTTCTGCCAGACGTATGATTTATCAGCTTTTTTAGGTGGATACAAATGAGACTAGTTTGTGGTTACACTGGCATTGGTTGTTAATAAAATATTTATACTGACACCTGCTGAATATTTACTTTTGAGTTTCCAGGAATTAAAGGGGGCCTGTGAGCCCCCTCTTTGAGATACTTTGACTTAACATGAATAAATCTGTATTTTGGAAAGTCAAAGATACAAATAAAAAAATAAGGACACACCTCTAAGTTACCACAAATTTTGTTCATACTGCAAATTCAATCATTCAATCAATCAAATTTTATTTGTATAGCGCCAATTCACAACAGTTGTCATCCCAAGATGCTTTCCAAAGAAAAAGAGCAGGTCTAGACCACGCTCATTGTTTGATGAATTATCAAGAACCCAACCTAAGATGGCTATCAGTCTGTGGTGTCTACAGTGTTCTGTTCTAAGCTGCAGTCTGCTGGGGAGGAAGCATCAAACACAAAGATGCAAGACGTCTGAACAAACTGGTGAAAAAGGCTGGCTCTGTGGTTGGATTCAAGCTGGACTCAGTGGAGGATGTGGTAGAGAGATCTACACAAGGAAGGTGGAGACTATTCTCAAGAACATGGATCACCCACTTCACAACACCTTAATGGACCAAAGGGCCAATGGTGGTGGACGGCTCCTCTCTCTTCACTGCAGGACAGAAAGATTCAGAAGATCTTTTGTACCAACAGCCATTAGACTTTATAACTCTTCTGTAAATAGTAGATGACTTTTAAAGACATGACAAATGAGATGACAGAAAATCGAATTTCCCTTCAGGTATTAATAAAGTTCTTATTCTTATCTCATCTAACATGAGTGACAGTGGCAAGGAAAAAACTTCCTTTCAACAGGCAGAAACCTTGAGCAGGACCAGACTCATGTTAGACAGCCACCTAGTCACTGCTGGGTTGGGTAGGAATACAGAGAGATAGGGGAGAGAGAGAGAGGAGTGGGAGAGAGGGCATGAGGAGAGAAAGAAAACAAGATAGAGAGAATAGGTAGGGGAAAGGGTGAGAGAGAGAGAGACAGGGGACAGCAGCAACATTAAAACAACAGCAAGAACAACAACAGCTCATGCAAAGTTGTGGTTGCAGAGCAAGTCATGATATTCACCCTCTTACTCGGTCAGAAATCCAGTCTTGGGTGGTGTAAAGATAACAGAGATATATCAAATCTCCTGTTTCATGTGCTTTGTCAATGATGCACTGGGCGGTACTGGAGACAGCCGTGTGGTGGTGCTGTGCTGACAAGCGTGAGCAAGGTCACACTGTGTACCATTGTGCTGTCTGCGCTCCTCAAACGCTGCTGCAGCTGCCGTCCTCTCCTCTCCTCTCCTCTGCTCTGCTCCACACTGTCGCACAGCCATGGCGGACAGCGCAAGCGAGAGCGACACCGACGGAGCGGGGAGCAGCTCGGCCACCCCGATGTCGTCCTCCGCTTCCAATTCGGGCAAACCGAGCATAGTCATTTCACAGTTTCGTCTGGAGGAGCTGACGAACCGCCTGGCCTCGCTACAACAAGAGAATAAAGTTCTTAAAATTGAGCTGGAGACGTTCAAACTCAAGTGCAAAGCCCTGCAGGAGGAGAATCGGGACCTCCGCAAAGCTAGCGTCACCATTGTGAGTAACGTTAGCTGGCTAACTAGCTAGCTGGAGCCTGCCCTCACTGTACTGCATGTTTCAGTTAGCTGTGGCTAGTATTGGTTGTTTGGTGTTGAATTGTCAGTGTTACCCCCATTTGACGTGTTACATAGAAATGTACTCATAACTTAAAGACAACTTGTCAATGTTGTGCTAAGGCGTAACTATTAGCTAGTTGGATATCTTGCTAATTTAGCCAGCGGGCTAAGGGTTGCTAGGTTTGCTTTGTTTTGCTTTGCGTTGCTTACCCTGGCTAACCCAGCTGCTAACGTTAAGTAAAAGGCGTTTTAACAGCGGTAGGTACATCACGATGCAAGTTACCGAGCTATTATAAGCAATTTGTTAAGCTGATTACTTATGGTTAGACATTGTCACCACGTTACGACTAACGAGGAGGATACGGTAACGACTTGAAAATAAGTTACCAGCGTTGGCATGGGCCGATGCGTCACTGGGCTGCATGCTCGGTTAATCATAAAAATGTGTAACCGATCTGCCGGATAGATGGGGAAGTATGTAGGCCAAACTTAGCGAGCTAGTAAAATGCCAGGCTCGTATTTTGGCAAGTTAGCCACACAGTGCCTGCCTTCTTCCCACCTATGTTAATGTGTCAGGCTGTGAACTAACTGTTTGCTTGCTATTGTCCAGAAGTATTGACAAATTTCACCCTTGCTTGTAAATCAAGAGTTGAGCTTGAGGTCAGACAGGAATGAGGGGATAAAGAATTTGACACTGGTGCTCACAAGGGCAGTGGTATCCTCACATTGTAATGCAAGCTGCTCTAGCTGTCCCAACACATTGCCAATGTCTCATTCTTCCCCTCACAGTAAGTCATCCATTACAGCAATATCTCTTGAGTCATTAGGGAAAAGTCTGCTTCCTCTTTGGCTAACAGACCTCACTGCAGTAGACTTTGGCTTTTGATCGGCCTGTGCATTTGCAGGGGTGGTGCAGCTTATATGCACTTTAGTCAGTTACAATATAATCATGTGGAATTAAAAGTGTCGCATGTGCTCGATCAGGGAATGTGCTATACTAATGTTTGCATCTGCCAATGTCTCCTATTTGTCTTTGTCCTGCAGCAAGCCCGAGCAGAACAGGAGGAAGAATTTATCAGTAACACTTTGTTCAAGAAGATCCAGGCCCTTCAAAAGGAGAAGGAAACCTTAGCGGTCAACTATGAAAAAGAAGAGGAATTTCTCACCAATGAACTGTCAAGGAAACTCATGCAAGTGAGTGATGGCAACGAGATGGGCAAACACATGTTTTTTTCTTTTAACTCAAGTTGGAGTTAGAGGAAAATATCAGCTTAGTGTTTAATTATGCAAAATATTGTCACGAGTGTACAGCTCGAGCTATCTAGGAGTTCGTGTGTGCACATAACCCCAAAAGGGTGCAGACGCTAGTCCATTATCATCAGCTGTATTGGTACCCGCCTGAAGTCTGGAAAGGCTCAAGATGACTTCAGTGCGCCTGCTAGCTACTCTTAATGACTCTCAAATTACTCTCCTCCCGTCTGTCGGTTATTTGGTTCAGCCTGTTTTCCACATCTTATTTTCCCAACTGCAGAGTGCACAGAACAAGCACACACACACTCTCACACTTTTCAATGGTTAGCCACAGGGTGACTAATGGTCTGTTGTTGGGTAGAGAAGTGGGAAACTGTTAAGGACACATGTAAATGCCCCAGCAAACCCTGCCTTAGGTCATATGGGTGAACTTGATGGGTCTTTTTGTTACCTTTCCTTCTCACTAGACGTGAAACAGACGCAGGGGTGGTTCTGCATGTAGGCTTGGTGCTGCTGACAAAGGCCCTGGAGTTTGCTTGTGTGTCTGTGTGTATACATGTTTTCATGGGCATGTATTATTCTCTTGTGATGATAGAGGAAGAACTGAGCAAATTTATTTTAATGGGTGTGTTAATGCTCCTGTTGGGAAGCACTTTTGTAAACAATTTTGCCTCAGCCGTGTTTTCCCCTCCATTACTTTTGATGATGCACTTTGTACTCCAGTCATCTAAACTTGAGTCGCCAAATGATGCAGTTCTCTCAGCAGGCAGACCCCCCTTCAGCACACTTTATGACCTTTACAACGTCTAGTGTAATTTTCTGGCTCTTTCCTGTCTGTGTAGAGTATCTAAACCAAACGAATGGTCTGAAATGACTCTTTTTGGAAAGGGTATCGAGATGAAATTTGTTATGAATTGATGCTACAGGATTGTAGATTGAAGCGTTGACTGATATCTAGACTTATCTATTGCCACTAATGCACGAGATAGTGAAGGGAAAACCCTTTAGGCTGTAAGTCCACATAGGAGCCTATTCTGTCCACATAGGAGCCTTTTTGTGATTAAGTTGTTTTTATAGGTTGCCTTTGCTTTGCTCTCTGCAAGATGATAGCTGAGAACAGACTGATTAATTTACATGCAGACTCCAGGCATAACTGGCACAGTGCACTTGGGTGTAGTCCTGTCAAGAGCATGTCATATGTTTTGACAAAAGGGAGACACATAGTATCAAAACGATTTTTGAAATTGTCAGCATCTTAATAAGAAGAAGAGTGAGTAGACTGGGTGTGGCGAAACTTGCTGTTCTGTTCTCTTTGGCGCGAGTACAGAGCACTGTCTAAACGCAGCGCCTTAAAGCAAACCGGCATTCTAGTTGTTTCAGCTAAAAAGGAGCAGAATGGAAAGGTTTATTTCTTCCTGCAAAATCTTTTCCTATGAATGAATTAGCATCTTTTTCCCTGTAATGAGTAATCACTTATATAATCCATCACACAAGCCTCCTATTTAGAATCAGAGCTGAGCCGCACCCTTTCTTTGTATTGGTAAGCTGCCAGAGGTGGTTACTTTGGTTGCCAAATCATTATTTCACTCTGTTGTTTCTTCTGGGAACTGTCACCATGAATCCAGTAGAACTGTAACCTTGGTTTCCTGTTTTGTTTTATTCTGAATGTGCGAGCTAAATGTGATGATCTGAGACCAGTGTGTTTGGTCACTGCGGTCATTGAATACCTTTTGAGTGACTCACCATCATTCTTGCTCTTCTCCCTTCTTTCTCATCCCTCTCATGTCCTTCACCTCCTCTGCTTCTCTACTGTCCATGCACTGACCTGTTTTTTTTTCTTCTTTTCTTTTCCATCTTAGCTCCAGCATGAGAAGGCGGAGCTGGAGCAACACTTGGAGCAGGAGCAGGAGTTCCAGGTTAACAAGCTTATGAAAAAGATCAAGAAGATGGAGAATGAAACCATCTCGAAGCAGCTCACCCTTGAACAGGTATACTTACTGTTACGAACAAGACGCGAGCAGCAAGGGTGAAACAGCGTGTCCCGAAACTTGTGTGTCCAGTCGTTGTGGTTGTGTTGGAGCTAAATTTTGTGATTCTTCCCTCTGAATGATAGCTGGAAAGAACATTTGGGTTTGCGGCTGGGTTGAACCCATTTTTTCCTGACTCCTCTGTTATCCCCTGATGACAGGATTTTTCTGTTGACGTGCACACATTCATCATTGCTCCTCATTCATGAGTGTGTACGTGTGCATCTAAGTGATGCCTGACCAATGAAATATGGCACTATTACTCAAAATCGGACTTTTCCTCAACATAAAAACCTGATTCACGGCTTACTTTAGCTTTAAGTTTTGCTTTATATCAGTTAGAACAAGCTGAATCTGAGTTGACGTCTTTTTAGACCATCCTACATCTTTCGACTGTGAGTCTCAGAATTAAGCACGACACTGCAGCTTTATGAAAGTAAAGCTTATCTTGACAGACCTTGTGCTTGCAGCTCACTGTACTTGTATTCAGCCATCTGAACGCCTTTCAACATCAAGGTTTTTGTGTCTCTGAACGTCATTCTCTGCTGCCTCCTTTTACTCTGCAGTTGAGGCGAGAGAAGATCGACCTTGAGAACACATTAGAGCAGGAACAAGAAGCCCTGGTAAACAGACTGTGGAAGCGGATGGACAAACTGGAGGCTGAGAAAAGGTGAGGAATGACTGTATAAAGGGATAACCATTTCAGTATCCAGACACAATTTGGAGTTCAGATCTGTCGTATTTGCGCATAGATTCAGGGACGGTTTACATGAACTTTACATGAACACATTCGAAAAGCCAAAACTTTTTCTGTCATGTTAGCAAAGAGACAGAAGCTGCTTACATTTTGCACTCTTGTAGTAGCGCCACCCCACCTTCGCACTTATGCATTGACCAGTGCAACATTAGAGCCCCAGTGTGTGATTTTGCATGAAAAACTTGACAGGCAAGGCATTTAATATAAACTCATATACTCAGACTTGCACACTGCTTTTTTTCCCCGGGTTCTGTCTCTATTACACATTTATTACCATCTCAGACAGCTGATCAGGGGCACATCAACTTTAAACATCTGAGCGTGTCACATTGCAGACAACTAATGGAACAAATGCAAATGCTGTTACAGATATCCTGCCTCAAACTGACGATATAAAAGAGTGCAGAAGCTCTTGATGAGTGTCCCTAATCAAATGTGGAAATGAACTATTACACATCAGCCATTTTAAACCTAAAGACCGAAACTCAAGGTTGAGGAGGTTTTTCTTATGAGCATTAGCGAAATGGTTTTCTTTTCATGAATTATTTAAGTATTTGTTGTTTGTTTGGTTTTCCGCACTAGAATCCTCCAGGAGAAGTTAGACCAACCTGTATCAGCTCCTCCTTCCCCAAGAGACGTTTCCATGGAGATAGACTCACCGGAGAACATGATGCGGCATATCCGCTTCCTGAAGAACGAGGTGGAGAGGCTCAAGAAAAGTCTGCGCACCACTGAGCTGCAGCGTAAGTGGCCTCTCGATCTGTGACTTGACCTAAGGGAGCGTGAGAGTCGAGTGTTGATTCAGGATTTGATTAGTAAAACTGACCTTTTGACGGGCTGTGAAGGTAGAATTTACATGATTTAGGTGTGTCCATAAAAGAGGAAGTCTAAATCCAACAACATAATCTCTATGTTTGTCCGACTTCAAGAAATCCCACTGACGGTGCACTGTCATTGCACTAACAGGTATTTTAAAAGTCCAGGTTTAGTCAGACTTTTACAAACACCTCATACATTTTCAACATCGTGTCAACATGCTGCCTGACGTGGTTTTTATTCTCACGGACTTCTGTTATCCAAGTTGCATTTCAAGAAACTTGAGGGTTTTTGAAAGAGAGTGACGGGAAAACAAGCCTAAAAGAAAGCTGGTGCTGGTCTTAAACTTCCTTTCCCAATAAGCACTCATTTCATTTAGCCAGCTAGTGTGTGAACATGAGAAATAAGCTGTTACTGACATGGAAAATTGAATTTCCTTTCCACTTTTGCTTCTCTAATTGCAGCAAGTTCTGAACCACAACACACTTAGTCATAAAGCATTAAGAATATAACTTCTGTGGTTTGTTTAAGATGTCTTTTGTTTATTCCAAGTAAATTTCACCGCTCATGCGTGCACTTTATACACACATTAACACTGAGTGGGAATGCAAATACAAACCGATACCTCCTTAAGGACTCAGAAGTGCGTTCAAGAGCACTCCATGAAGTTACAGAGAGAAAGAGATTAAGCATTTTTGTCATACCTGTCCATGACGGCTGCATATATTCACACCTCCAGCTAAATGTTTTGTTTCATGCAGCCTGGTATTGAGTTTGTGACTGAACTTATAACATGGTTGAGCTAGAATGCTCTCTTTGATAAATGACCAATATTGCAGAACTAATGAGACACTTAAAATAGTTTTATTTTTCTCCTCTCGGGCACTAATCCACTTAAAGCTGCCATGTTGAGTTTTTTCTTTTCGTACCTGGTTGACCTCCGTTTATTAGTTGATCAGACACAGTTTAGCATCATGACTGAGATAAAATCTACAGCTTTGTGCCCTGGACTGAATTATCCATTAATTAAAAAATAATAAAATCACAGCAAAATCTGCTTTTCAGGTGTGGAGACACTACATATGACAGTATTTTAGGTATTTAGATATTGAGAAGCTCTGTTTAATTTCTCCATGGCATATGCATCTTGTTGAACGTTTAGTGAATGCTAAATTTGGAGAGATTTAAATGTGCTGCAGGGATGTTTATTTTGGTATCCGAAAGCGAAACGAAATCAAAATATAAACATCTTTATGATCATGTTACTGAGCAGTCTCACTGCCTGAATAAACTTCTGCCTCCATGAAAACATAAAGCTGTTGAGTAAATCTTTAGGATTAAGTGTGGGCTAGGAATACATGTGGCACCGGGAGGTGGCATCTGTCCTGCATTAACTGTACTGCACTTAAAACACTCAGATTTTCATATTTGATGGGTGCTCTTAAAGTGAAAGAGGTTCAGAAATAAAACAGAATGTTGTTTCTTGTTCATACTGACAACAGTGTGGGTTCAGGTTAATGTGTGTCAGGGAAATTCAGTCTTGAAAGGGTGTTTTGCTTAACACAACTGGGAGTGTCTGCAAATGTAAGAAGGGCCCTGCTTTGATTTCACCACTAGAGGGAGCTGTAAGTCAACTTTTGAGGCAAAATCTGAGCAACCAGCTCAAGAAGAAAGGTGGTGTTTTCACCTCAAGTATGCTGTTTTTAGAAATCAGCATTGAGCTTTTCACTTTTGTTAGTAAAAAGCAAAAAACTTAACAATCATTAAAATGATCACCATGACAGCACAGTCTCAGATGAAGTCATTTTATAGGAGTTAAAGTCTTGGCATGATCCCCGTATAACAGCTGTTGTTATGCAGGTTGATATACAGCCACAAGGATGTGACCTTAACATAAGTTCAACTGATATTTGTTCTATGTGTCACCTTCCAGACACAGAGAAACGTGCCCAGTACATAGAAGAGGAGAGACACATGAGGGAGGAGAACATCCGGCTGCAGAGAAAGCTCCAGAGGGAAATGGAGCGCAGAGAGGCCCTGTGCAGACAGTTGTCGGAGAGCGAATCCAGCCTGGAGATGGATGATGAAAGGTAGGGGGTGTGGACAAACAAAAAAAGAGATATGATCTAAAAGAGTTCAATAGAGGTTTCATTTCATGATTGATCAAGTGACTTTTGTACTGGAGATGGCTGATGAGGTTATCTACACTGCTGACTATGCTGATTTAAACGCTAATTTAATGATGGCAGCCTAAATCTGTGTTAACGGAAAGATGAAGGAAGGAACAAAAGAATGATAATTTCAGATAACAGAAGGCCTTTGTGCCAGCTCAGTGCTCAACACTTCCAGCAGTCTGTCTAAATGCTTTTATTGTGATTGGCAAGGGAACAACATGGTTTCCATTAAGCTCAGCGTCATAAAATAAATGTTTTTGTACAGACAACGACCTCCGAGATTGCTTCAGACAGCAGTCAGCAAAGAGAAGCATCAGAAATAATTAGCAGTTACATCAAGCTGTTCTGTCCTAATCTGGTGTTAGTGAGACTGATCCAAGCTATTGAAGCCCTTTAAATTAAAGTCAAAAATTAAACTCCTGTCTTCTTTTTAGAACTTATAACATGTGTTACCCCCAAGAACTTAGGAAACAAGTTGGACTCAGACCATCTAACTTGGTTCAATCATAGCTGTGTTTACATGAACAGTTTTTTCTTCAGCAAACACACTCACAGTCGCCAGTCTGTTTAAGGAGCCACAGCCATTACTGACAGTCTACCACTAAATTTAAACACAAAAATAGAGAAGTGAAGCAGATGCTGGCCTCAAAAGGGAACCACTGTAGGTATGGAAAGTGAAGGAAATGAATATCTCTACCTTAGTGGGACCCAGGACAAAACTTCAAATGCTTGAATTATTTGCTGACTTTTAAAGACTTCTACTAGTGTTTAGTCAGGACATGGCTGAGGCGATAAAATGCTATAGTTATATCCTAGCATCAGGGAATCAGTCTCATGTTATAATACAGAAGGATTAACAAAAACTCAACCTCCTCCTAATCACTTTTTAAACATCAACCATCTCTGTCCTTTGAAGGCAGAGGTAGATAACTAAAAAACTGATGTCTGCCCAAACACAGCTCTGGCAGGTTAATGATGTGTTACAAGGCAAAGTGATGAGTGTCTTGATGTTGCTGTAGGAAACCAAAAAGCAGAATTGAAATTGGCATCGCTCATCAAATTCATCCATCTCAGAAATTTAAGAACAGTTTCAGGTTTAACTCAGTTTGTGATGATCAAGCAAATAGAAAGAAGTTCTCTGAAATTTCTGTTTGAAAGAGCATCTACATAGAAAAAACAATCAACCTGGAATGTTCTGCTCTTAGCAGCAACAAAAACAGGAAAAACAAAACAAAGACACAAAGCAGTTTCAGGCTTGGATAACACTCTTTTTTTATTAGTCAGAAAAAGCTTAATCATGAAAGTGATTAATACCAACTCTTCCCCTTGTTTGTTTAACCGTGTTTTCACCTGTCTAGCTCTGTGATAGAATAGATTAGCTGCATATTTTTGACATTTTGCTGCGTTCTCACTATCTCAACATCAATCCTTCAGGTACTTCAATGAGATGTCTGCACAGGGTTTGCGAGCAAGGACCGTGTCCAGCCCCATCCCCTACACCCCGTCCCCCAGCTCCAGCCGACCCATATCACCTGGTAGGTATTATCAAAAGGGTCAATGTCATGGTAACACAGGTGCCAACCAGCCATACTGGGTCAAATAGAATGTGTGTGACCCAATCAAAAGTACCTTTGATGTTATTTTACACTACTGATTGCATGACAATCGGCTTTATCTCGTTTTAAATTTGGAGTAAACATTGATTGACACTTGTTTAAGTCGGTCAATGAAACCATAAATGTCTGTTCTAGTTGTCGGCGGTGAAATTACAAATGACTGCCCTCATTCTGAGTCTGGTCAAATCCTCAAGAGTCATAAAAGTTTTAATGCCTGCATTATCAATTCTTTGCTAGGTCATTCATGTTTCTTAGCAGAGTATTTTTTTTAAGTATTTAAACTTTATTTATAAATTTAGATGCTATCTTTGTGAGGCAGAAATGCATAAATACTACAAAAAAGGAGGAAACGATGAGTAAATTATTCAGTTAATGAGTTGTTGCATGTTTGTTTACAAAACTGATTCAAAGAGGACAAAGAAAAATTGGTTTTAAGTGTTGTACCTGTGTCTGGAGTTGGGAGGGAAAAAAATGGTAAAAGAGTCAAAAACAACAAGAGGTCAATATTAAGGTCAATCACATTCAACCCCCCAAGCCATTTTTAGCAAACCCAGTGTGTCATTTAATCCATTCCAGGGTTGTAACGCTGAATACTCTGCAGAAGAAAATTGAATTATTCAGGGTCTACGCCATTGCTTTTGGTAAATTCACAAGAATTAAGACATAGCATTAATGGTTAAACAATAACACTAACCTCATGTGTCGGTGCACTGCTGTGTTTCGGCTCTCTCAGATATAGACTGTACTGACCTGCTGAATGTTAAACCATAATAATCCTGCTGTGGGGTTCATTTGTAGTTAAATACAAAGACTTTAAATAGGAGTATACACAGAATGTCCAACTTTCTGTTCACTTTCTCTTTCTCAACTTTCTCTTTTCAGGTCTTTCATATGGCAGCCACACAGTTGGCTTCACTCCCCCAGCAACACTGTCCAGAGCTGCCATCTCCCACTACAACACCCCCGCCCTGCACGTCCACGGAAGCTCCTCTCACGCCGTAGCGGTAAGTGACATTCCTTGACATCCTTTGAAGAGGACATTTGGCAAATTGAGGCTGTTTTTTAGGGTCACACAGGTGCAAATTGATTATTTACACAGTAAGGTGACCACACAAGGCTCAACATTTGGTTTAGACGTTTAGGTCCGTATGTGATATACGCAGATACTTGAATGCTGTTGCTTGCAAAATGACTCACCTTTGATTTGGAGTTAAGCATTCATGACGTCAAACACATTAAGGAGAGATAAAGTCTCTCAGCAAGTGTTAATATTTTTAATAATTGCGCTGCATGTAATGAATGAGATGTTCCACTTAAGTCAACATTGGTTTTCTGTGTTAGAAAAATTGACCTGAAAACTGTTCATCTCTCTTCTCACTCTAACGGTGTTAACTCGGGCAAACCCTAAGCCCGCCAAAGATAACAGACTTGATCCTCTCTGATCCTGACACAGATATTGTTGTTACATCACACTAAATGCCTCATCACTTTTATTGATACTTGGATGTCACAGGGTCCAGTTGGCTAGCCTGTAATCTCAACAATAACAGGATCAACACAGCTTATTGGTCACACATTGTTTCCTTATTATCTTTTATACTTTATTAGTTTATCATCCCAGGGTCATGGTCCATTAAAGCCTTTTTAAACTGTGTTTCTCTTTTGGTGATAAATGTGACACCTACTTTAACAGTGTTGGGTTATATAAGGTTGTATCATACGACAGGGCTGAAAGTCTCCGTGTTTATCTCTTTCATGTTTGGTCTGGCTTATCTGTTACACTATTGTTATATTACTGCCAGGCTATGATCATTCAAGGTACATGAAAATTTATGTAATTTTTTTTCAAGTCTTGATCCTCAAATATTAGTAATGAAGGTACCAGTGCGAGTTAAATTTTAGAAAAAGCTCGACGAGGGTTTTGAGTATGAGCCGTAGCCACTGGAGGGAAGGAGCATTTGGCAGTCGGCTGAAGCAGCAGACTTACTAAAGTGTTGTTGCTGTTCTGTGTCAGGCTGAGACTCGGTCGAGAAAGTTAATAGCTTGCCATGCTGTTGACCCCTGCATTGCCGTGTGTCTACAGTGACACAACAAGACAAGGAGTTTGAAGACCGAAACCATAGCCTCTAAAGTAATATAAGATTTTCCAATAAAACACCCAAATCTTTTCAAATCAGCTGATATTAGCTAGTGTAATATCAGTCGGTCAACAAAACAAAAGTTATCTTAGGAAATGTTTACCAAAAAAGCAGTTATAGACTGTAATATTATGTTATTTAGAGAAAGCAATGTTGATTGATCCACCATGAGTCAGCAGCTTTTGGCAATAGTGCCAGTAAACCGTATCTTTAAAAGGCAGAAACCTTGAGTAGAACCAGACTCGCTGTGAACAGCCATCTGTCACCAGTGACTGGGCCTGGTAATAAACAAGCAGAGCAAGAACAACATTTAACACTGACTTAAGGCCATAATGCCAATAATCATATACCAACATATACAGTATAATATTAACAATAACAGTATAGCCATGATAATAAAAGCATGACTCATAATCAAATGTATCATGATTAGATGGACCACCTCATTTTCTAGGGGGTCCCTGACATGACAGTTACAGTAATAATGCCTAACCTAGGTTATTAGTTTGATATGTAGCTTGATTCGACATGATTGCTGAATGTCTTGTCAGTGAACAGGATCTCGCTCTGTTAGTCAGGTGGCTGTGGGATGAATTTAATCCACTTTGACATGGCGATTAACAGTAGAAAAGGACTCCTTATTAGTCTGGCTCCCTGACTGTACCTGCTCATTACACCAGGGTTATGAAATAACTCATTCTAGTTCACTTATTCTTATGGGAACATTGGTGAAGTGGCACCACCGAGTTATGGATCATAATAACCTGAAAGATGACGCAATACTTAAACCCCTTTGCTCAAACCTTGTAAGTGGGCTAAAAAGATTGAACTATTCTTTTCATATACAAAGCTTTTAAAGTGCATTTTTAGTGTTATAAATACTTTAATAGAGTTGCACCTTTTTCACTGTCTTCTCTTATTCTACATCAATTTTAGTTCTTTAATCTATGTGAGTTTTAAGGACCACATTTCACCCGTCAGCACTGAGCCCACCCAGGAGTTGAATACAGAAATGACCCTGTCTAGGAACCTTTCACAGATTATTTTTTCTCTGAAACCCTTTTGGCTTTTATCTTTCCGCTCCTCTGACTGAAACTGCCATTTTCAGGTCAGGACCAGAAGCTCAGTGAGAGAAACACGACTTAGACAATTAACCTTACCACCAAATCTTCTCCTGTCAGCGATGTATGACCCTCTGAAACCCTCTGGGATGAAAATGACGGACAGGATAACCTTTTTATTTTACGCACTTTTATTCAAATGTACCTTCAAGCTGCATCAGAGTAAAAACTAATTAAGAAAGAAAAACTTGTTAAAGAGGAAAGAAAAGTTTGACATGCTGTGCTCTAGTGGTTTAACATAACTTCTGTTTATTTATTCTTTCACTCTCAAACAGAGGCCCTCCCCAAGAAGAAGCACCAGCCCCGACAAATTCAAACGTCCAACGCCCCCGCCCTCCCCCAACACGCACTCAGGGGCCTTGCAGGCTCAGCCTCCGCTCCCCCCACCAGCTCAGCCCATGGTCCAGTCCATGTCCTCCCCGGCAGCTATGTCGCAGCACACGGCAGCAGCACAGCAGCCTCCCTCCCAGCCTTAACGCAACACACAGTCTCTGTCTTCGCGTGTGAGCGCGCCCACTGAATGCCACGATGCTACCGCAACAGCAGCTTCCATCATTACCAGCTCTGGAAGACAAGTTTCTTACTCTATACCAACTCCACAAAAGAATCAGCTTCAACAGTTTGAGAGGGGGGAAGAAACAAGGCGGCGGCTCATCATCAATGAAGCTCGCTGTCTGCCAAAACCACACGTGGCGTTACTTAAATACTCTTAAAAGGAATGGATGGACTGAGAAATGATGGCTTCTGGTATTTGTAGGCCAATTATCTTTTCCACCTTCTGTCTTGTACATGTTATGTTTTTTCTTTGCTTGGGACTTTCGCTGGTTGGAATTGTTGTTGTGGCGCTTCTAAGATAGCACAAACAGCACATACAGTATGTATCATGGTGGTGTTTTCTGAAAGGTTGGACGTTTGGATCAATGGATGGATGTAAGGCTTAAGAAATGATTGAACTGATAGATGGATGTTGATTCTTTTCATGCCTATAAAATGACACTCGATTGCAGTAATGTCCTCCACTTCCACTCATGCACCCTCCCCCCTTTTGTCTCTAAAGCAGTGTCAACAGTTTACCCCCCGACCCCCTAGCCTAATAGAGCTTTGACGGGTCAACAAGAGGCGTCACAGTAAACTGCAAAGAGTTTCCTCATGATAGGGCATTGATCAAACGGCTCAATGAGCTCGCGCCACAGTTATTTTACGCTCTGAAAGCATTCAAGGCTCTGCTGCTCTTCAGTTTAAAGGAAAAGGAATAAAAGGATCAAGAAGGATGGACACTGGTACATAAACCACAGATAAATGTCGCCTTTTGAGGTGTTTAAAAATGTAGTCTGAGGTGTTACAACTTAGTCATGTACTCAGTCTCTTCTTTGCTCTTCTCTCTCTCCCTCTCTCTTTCTCTCTCTCTATCTCTCTGTCTCTCTCTCTGGTGTATTTCTGAAAGCTTCTATCATCCTTGTGGATATTCCTCATCAGAAAAAAAAGGAAAAAACATAATGCTCTTTACACTAAATATACATACTGCTAAAACATTCTAAATGAATGGTACTGTTGAACTAAATTTCTATGTATGATTAAAGCTCTTGAGATGACAACCTCTGATTTTGCTTGTCAGTTTTGTTGCTGTAGAAATTCACGAGTAAGCCTTGTAAAGCCAAGAGCTATTACAAATCTCTGTAAGTGATTGTCTTCCTGACAGGAGAAGCTCATGTTGAATTCGACACATCTGAACAGTCGCCATTTACCAAACCAGAAAGATGTTTTTGTGTCGTGCTTCACTTGTGGGATTTGTAAGTTCCAATCAGCCTGCTACAGTAATTGATGTATTCTTGCCTTAAATAAATCCACACCATTACAGCTTGCACTGTATCAAAATAAAAACATTTTTCCTGCCTTCCCATAATTAATACAAGATAAATATCTCATAGCTCAGCTATAAATAAAACCCCACCAGGATTTGAAAACACTGCTTCCTGCTTGTAGTGCCACCATGTGGCTGACTGATAGAGTTTAGTCTGATACCTCATAATTAAAGTAGATTGCCATGAACCTTAGATGAAAATGCATGACCACAAGACTATAAATATCCCGCTGACCATGGGGATCTCCTGATTTATTCCTGCAGCACCACCAGATTAACACATTTTTCTACAGTATCTCCATCAGTGTTCAATGGAATGCTGCAAAATTTAGTTTATTAAACCTGTTCATGGTACCTAGAGGATGAAATGTAACATCCTTTGATTCCCAGACCTTTAGCCCAAAACACCAACCTATCTAACTACCATTGTCCCATACTTTTGTTTAAACTCAAATACCTGAAGAACCATAAACATTACCATCAGTCTGATCGGTACTTTTCAAGTGCGAATTAGTATCATTCTCCAAAATAGAATTACTAACAGCCACATCGGCGGAAGTCCAGAACGGGAATTATCCAACTCTTAAAGCTTATGATGGTTTTCTTCAACATGAACTAACAAAATCATGAGGAATAAGTGAAGCAAAATGAATCAGCACATATTTGAACTTCCCAAAGTAGGAATGCAATAGCAATCATAACATAAGATAAAGGTGAAGTTATATTTCACAGGATTCATACATTAATAACCTATTTCACCCATGAAAACATGGTGCATTATGAAGGAATCATTTACTCATTCAAATGAATCTGAAATCTGTTTATATAGAGTCAGCTCTTTAGCGATGTACCTGCTGTTTAACATCATGTGATAAGCTTCTTACGAAGCAGCTCCGCTGACTCTTGATTCTGTGCCAGGGTTCAACTTTAATATCCCGGCCTACATGGTTTTGACTGGTTTTAACTGGCTGAAAGCATCAATATTTCCAGGATCATTGAACATGGTCAACCTTTAAATTGTGGGTGTCATAACCTGTGGTGGGAGGAGAGCTTGACAGGGATGACAGCCTACGTAAAACACTTGACTTCTTTCATATCTCTACAGGAAACTGCGGCCCATTCACAGGAACTCTCCACAATGAAAATATTCCCCCTATTGTAAGAGTGACATGAGGATATTGTTGGCCCGAGACTTGCTGAATGTTCTGATACCACTCATGTGTTTTCCTAGCGTGTCTCAGTGTTCTCTTTTGTAGCTGAATCCAGAAACCTGAACTAATCCAAGCAGGAATCTAGACTGGAGGCTCAGAGCTGCCATGCTGGGTGCGAAAGTGCCCTTTGACCTCTGCAGCTTTATGGGGGTAGATGACTGAACCAGAAGACATTTATCCAGACTGCAGGGTGGCTCCGTATGTTAACACCTGCCAAGCTTCTTACGGAAAAGAACAGCAGGCTACTGCTTCTTAGGTGTCGCAGAAGTGCTATAGAAAAAGCAGAGATCGTTAAAAACGTCAGGATACAGGGTCATCTCATGTAAAACTGCTGTGTGCGTGTGTTTGTGTGTGTCTGCTAATGGGCTCCGGATCAGTAACGTGAGCTGTGTGGCACAGAAAGAAGTAAGCGATACATACAGTTCAGTGTGTCTTGATGGGAACTTTCATATGTGCTTCCTGATTTTCCATTTAAACAATATGTTGCACTCGCACATTTCCATATAAACAAATGCTCTAACCTTGTCAGAGGGCAGATATAGATCTAGAAATAGGATCAGTGACCTAAAGAGCTTAGCTTAAAGTTTGAAAAAGGACCAAACTAATCTCCTTGAGCTGGGAAAATTGGGCAATAATTAAGAGTTTAGACTGCTACACAGGTCATTTTTATGTTGCTCAAAAGTGATCAACATTTCTGTACGAGACATTGATGTCAATATTTACACTAAGTGCAACTAAAACTTTGTATATTTACAGAAGATACATTTAAGCTTTCATTTAATTGTACAGTGTATCATGGTTACAGTATTCAATTTTGATTTGTTGAGAAGATGAAAATTTGGAGTGTAGAGTAGTATAGAGTATTTCATGTACATTCAGTCATAATACTAGAGGCCCCACAATGAGTCCTTGTGGATCACTGGCAATGTTGCAGGGGCTTGATTTTTCATACATCATTAAAAACATTTTTGAGTTGCATTAGTAATGAGCATCTTACCAGTCATCACACCTGAGGTGTGAACCCTGGTAACTGTGGCTGAAGGACATTATTGACCTTACAGAGTAGATTTGTCTGGTATGTCTGGGACCTAAAGCTGCAAAGATATGGGCCAGTAACTATCTGGGTCACACGGGTCTCCCAACTGTGTGCAATACAACCGCTTGATTTTGTAATGTTAAAAATCTGTATGACAAAGACGGCTGATTCAAATTGTGTTCAGCAACAGGCATACCTTAATGTGCAGGGATATCACCAGATACCAGATAAGGCCCCACCCTCACATCCCGGTTGCAGTAACCACACATCCATTGCACTATGACTCATAAAAAAATTATGACTTTGTAAAACATCCTAAGAACTGTCAGTCAATAAAACATGAGTGAAAGTGTAAAATTTCCAAAAACACTCAAAGTACAATTTTTAAAACACGTAATTGAAGTTTTTTTTCTGTAAAAATCAGAAATCATGGAATAAGAAACTTCCTGTACCCCCTTAGAGTCTGATCATTTCACACCTGGCCTGCTTTGCAGTTCTTGCCGGTTCAGTTCTTTTTATTTTTACTTTATTGCTGTCATTCAAAGGCAGAAACCAAGATCTCTGGGCTAAAACAATGCCTGCATGACAAAGACATGCTCCCTCCGAGATTTAAACCTTTGCCCGTCTTAGTACAAGGCCAAAACCCATTTTTCATTTTAATCACAGCAATTCAAAGGCATAGGAGAAGTGTTGTTTACATGTAAATGGATGACAGCAAACCTTTTTGATTTATGCATGAAAAAACTTAACCTGGGATTTGTACCCTGAACCACTAAGCTCTAAAGTGGAAAGTCTTACTACCACACCACAGACCTTAAGTCTGTTTGGGCCCAGTATGTCAAGGTAATTAAAAGCTATTTGAAGAGAGGAAGACTATCCCTGCCCCACTCAGACAGTAGGTCTCCTGTAACTGTCCCTATCACCGCTTGCACATGCACTGATCAAGTGAGTCATCGCCAGCTTCAAACCCACAACTTCCTCATTCTAAAGGAACAATGCTGACTAACAGATCTCTATGCTGCCTGTCAGTTCCTACATGCTGAGGTGTATTTACATCTCTGTTGTTAGAGATGTTGTTATTTCCTTTCTGGAGGTAGGAAGTCAGAACATCCTGCATGAGTGGACTCAAACCTGCTTGCGTCTGGCAGACAGAGCTACTCACCACATAAAAGAGAAACTTTGCAAGGTATAGGCGCTCATGCTGATATACTTCCCCATACAGATTCATGGTCACTCAAAAGAATAGTTCAAATTCTCCAGCGGTAAGTAAGCCAGAACACTGTCAACACGCCAAGACTTCCTCTGGGATTCAAAAGCACCATAATGCTGCTTTGAAAGACCAAATTGTTCAGATTTGTCTACTTTCTGGTAAATTATGGTTATTAAAAAGTACACTTCTCTCTATTCGGAGGCATGTTCTATAATCCTTTGGTAGGAAGGTCATATACAACACTAATGTGATCCTAGACAGATTGTTTTCTGACTTAAAACCTTCATATCTGATACTAGTTTGAACCATTTTTATTTCTGCAAGTTGGGCTCTACTCTCCTTTTCAAATGAAGCTAGTTAAACCCTTGTTTCCTAGCCTGCATCCTGTCTTTTTTTTCTTTTCGGTATCCTGATTTTGCTTACAGAAGCAGACACAGAGCTCCAGTATCACTTACTTCCCCCTTTAACTGTAGTCAGATGAATCTAATTTCAGGGCGGATTAAACCATTTCAAGTTTCTAGCAGTGGGGAATGGGGCTGCAGAGAGTGAATTCAATTTTTTCAGATAAAGAGTTTAGGACTGTGCTTATCTATTCAGGCAATATTACTTCACTTTGAAAAGTTATATCTTAAAGGGAGAGAAAATCCAAGTCTAAACCAAATTTCCACCATTGGAGCCCAAGTCGGAAAGCCCCCCCTCCCTCTTGTGCACACATACTGTGACACACGTGCTCATGTGATCTGTGCCACCTCAGCCCCAAAGAAGATGTTTCAGTTTTCTACTGTTGTAGCTTTTTTTTTTTTTTCAGATAAAGACAGGAAAGGACAACTTTCGAGCACTTACTTAAGAATCCTTTGTAAATAAACAAAAATGAGAAATTTGTCAATAAAAGTATTGAATAACTTATGCAAGCAAGTAAAACTAGGCACCATAATCGATTGTAGGATTAGTCAATCATATTGATATTGTATCATAAGCACTCTGTAATCCACTCCCCACCCCCTCAGATTCCCACACTGTCCCCTACATGCACTTTATCTGGTTAGAACTGGTCTGGAGTGACATGTCAGCGCAATTCTAGTGTGGAGTACAATCAACTGTGCCTCCCTTGTTCTTTTTTTCTCTCAACTTTCCAGGCAGAAGGGGATTATGGAGCCTAAATCTTCCTGGCAGCAGGAAGGGTCTTACAGGAGAAGAAAAGAAAAAGGTTCAAAAGTCTTGAGGAACCAGCTTCACCTCTGGTCTGTTCTCTTCATCCCTCCCCCGACCCTTTTGTACCCCCTGTCCTTTCATCCACCATGTCTCTCCTCTTTCAGGTCCACTTTCTGGTCACTCTACCTTCTGCTGTTTCTACCCACAGCTTCCCTGACCTCAGGTTATGAGAATAAGTGCAGTCACACAGCGATAATATAATTTTATGATGCTCCTGGAGAGAGACTCTTGTCTCTGCCATCACACTGAATGCTGCAAATCACAAAGCGCAGGACAAGAACGAATATTTGGCAGGAACAATAGGCTAAATCCAATTTTAATAAAAATGTGTTTACTCCTGTGAGTGTCTTTCAGCAGGTTAAACTATCAAATTGTTCATCTTGGAGCCACATGAGCATAAATAGGTCATAATAGAAATAAACATGTAATAATTGATGGGTAAGATCAGATTGTTTGATGTCTGTACATTTACTAATTTCCTTGGCTTAATCCTGTAAATTTGTCCCCCATGTTTCACCCATGTATGTCACTGATATGTTCTTTCTTCTATCCTCTAACTATACATATTACTTGGCTTAAACTCTACCCTCTGGTCATGTGTTCCCCCTCCTCAAAGAATCCTCACAGACTATATTTAACCAGCTGCATGTCAGACTCTCCGCGTAAGTTACTGCTGCCTATTGATGTGTTTATCAAATCTTTCTCCGGGTTTTTATCAAGCACTAGCTGTTTCCTATTGATGTGGAAGCCAATAAAGATTAAACACACGAGTAGTGTGTATTTAAAGCTTTATTAAATGCTCACCAGGGAGAGCACTCCAGGCAGTAGTGCGCCCTGCTGGTGCAGTGTGGTGTTGTTACCATCCATCAACCGGTTCAGACTGGACTGATGGCAATATTAACAATGTTCCTGAAGAGTAGGAGCACATATTCCCAGCCCCCATCGCAAGCTTGCATACACAAACTTTAAGCATGACCAGACAGACGCTTTAGATGAGTTGATAAAGCAAGCCTTTCTTCTTCTTTTTTCTCCAATGAAAATATTTTGTTTTCTCCAATGACTCGTCTGAACTTTTCAAGCAGATTCATATGTTGCCAGCTTTTTGTTACAGCCCGGAAACAACCCAGGTAAACAGTTTTTCAGTTTTTAATATATGTGCGGAAGAGGAGCACCTTGTTGACTTTGAAATTGCCTGTACTGTCACGATTCAGTCTGAGGTTTATAAAGAAAAACACGCTTTGACCCACAAACCCACAGCCGCAACATCACTGTGTGTGCTGCTCTGGCTTCCGTGCGCTCTAGACGCGCAAAAGGAGGCAGCGCTCTTCCTCCCCGTCTCTGCGTTCAAGCTGCTGCTGGACCAGCAAGAACAGCTTTGAACCGGTTTTCTCACCGGCTACAAAGCGGTATGAAACGGATGCACAATGCGCATTGTTGATGCAGACTATCGCAGCGACACACGGACGTCGTAGGATCCTCTCCAGAGAGCGCAGCGAAAATAGACGAGCCTTTCTTGTTTTTGTTATTTGTCGCGGTGTAGTGCGAGAGATTTTTTAAAGCGGAATTCATCCTACATGGAAAGTTCCTGTAGAGCGCGCAGCTGTGCTGAGTCCTGCTGCTGCTGTTTCTGTTGATGCTGAGGTGAGTGCTGCATGTGTTTTCAACAAATCCACCACCTCGACGTGGCATGTTTGTGGTGAAATATGAGGATACGTGTTGTTAGTGAATACTAAGATGGTTTTGAATTCATCATCCGCCCGCGGCCATCTGATGATTTCCCTCATCATCTCACATTTTAATGGAAAGGCGGCTTGTTTACAACCCATAATGCTGTCAGTTCGCCTCGCAAGTAAAGAAATCTTTGCTCAGACTTAAGCCTCACTGTAAACAAAGTGTGACCTAAGGGGGTTAAAGCTGCCGCAGTGATGGATAAAGTTGCTCTGCCGTATGAATTATTTATACTGGAGGTCTGAAAAACTGAAGTCAGCACCGCAGACAAGACTTTCCCTTGTGTCAATTAGGGATCCGAGATGAATCGAGGAAGAGTCAGGGTAAAGGTGCAGGAGGGGCAGAAAGCAGAGCACTTTTCTCTACTTTCTCCTCCTCTAAGGTGTGGTTATAGAGACAGCAACAAAAGGAGCTGTTGCCAACGGGTAAGATGCAGTCAGTCAGTGTTGACGACCTCACTCAGGTGAACTGCCTGTTTTCCCAGGCCAGTCGCAGCAGCAGCAGCCTGTATTACACCAAGGCTTTCTGTAAGTGTTACCATGACATGCCAGAGTTAAATTCTTCTTCCACAGGATATCATTGTTACAGACTGTAATTGTCATATTTTGTATTATTCTGCTGTTAAACTTGTTGTGCTTTTTAATGTCTTTCCAGGAGCCACCCCTCTGTCCAAGCTGTAACAGATCCCAGCGGGCAGCACTAACATCAGCACTATGACTCAGTCTACCAAGGTCCTGGATGGAGGTTGGGGGTGGGCGATTGTGGTGGCCTCCTTCATGGCCCAGCTCCTGGCCTATGGATCACCTCAGTCTGTGGGTGTCCTGTACCCCGAGTGGCTGCATGCCTTCCAGGAGGGCAAAGGCATGACGGCCTGGGTGGGCTCACTTGTGGCTGGAGTGGGACTAATAGCCAGTGAGTAGCACTCACACTGACATCAGTCCACATTATATTTAAATCAAAGACGCTAATGATTTCAGCTCTTCATAATCCTTCACTGAGCACTAAATATCATTATGTAATTTTTACGACTATTATATTTTGGCGCTGTGTGTCACCATGGGCAACATATTTATAACATGCCTTACTGACAAAGAGATACTTTATCTGCTTAGCTGTCAAAGTAGGGCACTAAATCTTCACCTTTAAACCTACTTGTATGTGATTTCCTCTTCATCCAGCTCAGCGAATAATGCTGCTGATAACAGAGCAGACACAATCATTTTTATTAGGTCAAAGAGTGGCAATAACATCCATAACAGAGAAATAACTTTATCCAGCTACAGGTGCTGGAGTCCCCCTTAAAGTAATACTTTAACAGGATGAAGGGAAAACACAACAGTGCGGCACAGATGGGTACTTAGTGGCTTCCTGAGTAGAGTTGCTGTTATTGATTTTTGGGAAAAGCAAAGCAAGTGCAAGTCATTCGTGTCATGAATGTTGGAGCACAACTAGCCCTTAATTGAAGCACTAAAGAAGGAAAAAAGACAGACAGAGGGACGGATTCAGAGAGTAACACACTTTATGTATTTGTTGAGCTAACAGAATCGAGGATAGATGAAAGATGACAGTCTTGGATGACATTTCCATGTAAGACAGAGCTCCCCCCTCAGCCTGGCTTCAAGCTGTCGTCTCTTTTAAAGATGTGGGGGGGAGAAAATCATGACTGTACAGATCAAGCCGCAGGCCTGGCCAAGTCCTGGACACGTGTCCCAGCTGCCAGACAGCTGCAGCACTGCAGCTACTGCTGCACTACAGCAGGGTCTTTCCCCTGCCCAGAAACAAATAGAACTGTAAATGTCGCATGAGGGATGAGTCAGGCCACTTTGGGGTATGGGAATGACTATTCAGCATTAAAAGAAAGAAACCAAAACAACAACACAACTTGGGTAATACAGCACTGAGTCCAGGCTTCACATACTTTTAGTGAGGAAGGGAAACATGCAAAATAATATCCCAAAATTTCCCACAAGTAAAAAGAACAATGCTGATTATTTTCTCTCCTTAAACAGTATTATAAAAATAAAGACACAACTTCCCGGGGATATAAACAATGGATTAATTTGTTCATGAACATCTTGAGGTAAACAACATGACACTTAGTGTTTCTCGACTCTCGACTGACATGACAGCATCCTCAATGGGGTTCCTGTTTGAGCCTCATGTGATGTGGCAGGGTTGTAGTCAGACACAGCTGTGCTCTGTGAGATGGGGTTTGATTTTCTCACAGGCTCTGTTTTCCAGAATGACTAATTAAGCTGTCTTTGTCTCTGACTCTGCTCTTTTCTTCTCCTCCTCCTTTGTCTGTCTTCCACCTCTCTTACATCAGGTCCTGTTTGCAGTGCCTGTGTGGACAACTTTGGGGCTCGTCCTGTTACCATCTTCAGTGGCGTGATGGTGGCGGGTGGCCTGATGCTCAGTGCCTTTGCTCCAAATGTCCAGTTCCTCATTTTCTCCTATGGGATCGTGGTTGGTAAGCAGACATTTAGTGATATTGTCACTCTACTTCTCAGAGTTGAATAACGCAGACTCATTTCACCTGTCATACATACATCCAGGTAGAGGCTTGCCCCTTGTAACTGTGAGAAAGTGTTTGATGTTACTACGGTCATGGGTGTTAACTAAGCTTCTTATCCTGCTAACATATGAGAATCTCATGACACATTATATAATCATTTATAGCAAGCAGGGGGGTAACTTCCAGTTCAACTATTACGCAACAACAAAGGCTGACTTTATCCTAAATAACCAGTTAATGAATACCATCGCTACTGAGCAGATATGGACAATCAACAGGACAAGATATACGTATGAGCATTGCATAATGTCGTTGAGGTTGTTTGTGTTGATTGGGTATTTTAGCCTGATTTCCATGTGACCCTTTATTGCACTCGTAACAGAGTGCCTGTGTGGGCCCAACACCACCTGTTATCAAACATAAAGTGACAGCCAAGCTGTGCTTAATCTTGGTGAACTCCCTCACAGTCAGCACTGCCTCTTGCGCAGGCAGCGTCGGAGAGGGGAGGCCATGCATATTTGAAGACAGTCATTTATTTTTAGAGATGCCCTTAGATGATAGCTGTGGCTGTACATGCACGTGCAGCTTGTTTACTCATCATATGCTTCTTTTGCTGATTGTATTTCACAAGAGATCCTATGCACTCTCCCCTCTGAACTTTAAAGTACACTGAAAATAAATCTTTCTCACGGTTTCCTAACTTTATCCACAGAATAACACATTTTTAATTACAATATTACACGTGTTGATGAAACAAAGACAGCTTTAGTACATTTCTACCATTTCCTGTAATAAACAGTGCTTATGAATTTGAATCTACTTTTAGAAGTGAAAAGCCTGCCTCAATTTCTCCTTGGCTAATGGAAATTCTTGTGTGTCCTTGTCCTCTCTCTCATAGGCCTGGGATGTGGTCTCGTCTACGCAGCCACGTTGACTATCACCTGTCAGTATTTTGACAAGAGACGCGGCCTTGCCCTCGGCATAGTCACCACAGGTACTGCTGCCCCCCCTCTCTAAGCCCTCCCTGAGCTCACTGGGTGCACACCAGTTCTTCATGCTCACTTCTTTCATGTATGAGCTGCTGGGATCCTTGGGATGCTGAGGTAAACATCTGTAGAGTAGAGGCAGAGTAGTTGCATAGGTAGGAACAGGGACTGGTGACCAGGGCCTTGTTGAGAGTCAAAACTTGGGTGTGAGAACGTTTGACTGAATCTCCTGGAGCTGTGTCGAAGTGTATTTATGTTCAGATCAGGTGGCTATCAAATTTTAACACTTGAGCTTCATCATGACACAAAATCCCAGGTTTTTGTTCTCTTCGTGAGTTAGTACAGGGTGACATCACCGTTGTGACCACATTCACAGTTTCTAGGTGTGGTCAGAGGAGAAATAGACTTGGAACTTTAAACCAGCTACGGCAGTGAGATGATGTTATCCTTGTAATCGTTGAAGTCACTGTGGAGATCTGAGAAATGTGGGACTTGATGCCCCCCAGTGGCAGCTTTAAAGAAGTGTCACCTCTAAACACAAAGACGATTGGGCTAAAGGATCATGTAGAAAACAAATAAAACCCAGCTCATCAGGCCCTAAAATTTCCATGCTTTCCAAATCCAGCTCACAATAAACTTTTATGGATTGTTACTTTTATAAACTTACACTGAATTTCTGTTTTCTTCTGTTTACACAGGCACAAGCGTTGGAGCCTTCATCTATGCCACCGCTCAGAACGAGCTGATAGTGTTGTATGGCCTGGACGGCTGCCTGCTCATCATTGGGGCTGTAGCATTAAACCTCATGGGCTGTGCCGGCTTCATGAGGCCTCTAAACATGCCAGGGTACTACCTCAAACAGAAGGCCGCCCTGGAACGCAACACTGAGGAGCAGCTCTTTGAAAAACCCCCTTTGGACGACCTGAAAATCTCAACAGGAACAACTTCAGAGAAAACCCTGATGGTAAAAGAAATGCTCATCACCATAGATGCAAAGGACATCCAGACAGAGAAGAAGAAAGGCAGCTTCATGACTGGGGCGGCCATCATGAAAATCATCAAGAAGAAACAGCACGCTTACTCCAAGTATATGCGCTCAATGCATGAGATCCTGCAGGACCAAGCCATGGTGGCCTTCTGCATCGCTGTCTTCCTGTTCAGCCTCGGGGCATTCCCTCCTGTGCTCTTTATAGAGGACGTGGCGCAGAGTCAGGGACTCATCGAAGAAGTCAGTGTCATTCCTCTGGTTTCAATAGGCGCGATCGCAACATGCGTGGGTAAACTAGTATTGGGTGTGCTGGTGGACATCAGGTGGATCAACGGCATCTATCTGTATGCCTTCACCATGTTTGCAGGAGGTGCATCACTTCTCCTCATCCCCATCACTAAGACTTACCTGGGACTTCAGATCCTGTCAGTCAGCCTGGGTTTCTTCTCTGGAAACTGGTCTCTCACTTCTTATATCACTACAAAGATTGTCGGCTTGGACAGACTCACACAAGCCCATGGGATCCTCATGTTCTTTGGGGGATTTGGGATCATGCTTGGACCCCCTGTTGTAGGTAAGAGGACTCCTATTTTTTCTGCTCTAAAAATTATGAACCAGATAGAGGAGTTGTTGGAGAGTTGTGTTTTCAGAGATGATCAAATGAAGTTAGACTGATGGGCAGAGCAAGAAAGGGGGATGCCATCTTTAATAAAGACCTGATGTCATTATTCAGCTGACTGCTGTATCTGTTAGAGATTCCTGCTGACTATATGTCCATGTCTGTTTTTCTCATCCTCTTCCAGGTTGGTTCTTTGACTTCACACAGTCATATGACTTGGCTTTCTACTTCAGTGGGACTTGTGTATTGATCGGCGCCTGCATTCTCACTCTGCTCACTCTTCCCTGCTGGAACAGGAAACACACAGAGAATGACAGACCGGACGTCGAGTACACCAGCAACTGTGACAAAGTTGCCTCTGTAGCTTAAATAAGTTCCTTGCATGAGGACTCAAATCTTACCCTTACTGCCCAGCAGCCGTCCGCTGAGAAACTATACCTGAATCACCTCTGAGAGGAATTTCGTTTCTTTGACTGTAAGGGGGTTTCCCCTTTGTTCTGCTGCCAGGTCCTAAGATACCAAAACACTTGCCAGAGGTTTCAAAATACAGGCCTTTCCTCTGAAATTAGTCTGTTTCTCAGGTTCAAACCACCCACTGCAGATCTTTGTAGAGGTTTGATCTGATGCCTGTGTTGTTTTTTATTATGGCCTCATTTTGAGGTCGATTGATCAATCCTGTTTGACTCCCTTGTTCCATATTGGTTTTTTAGAAATACTTTTTCACTTCACCATAGCGCAGGAAAAATACATTGTGCAGTCAGTAGCACTGGGAGGAGAAATCTGCTTAACTGTCGTGTGTTTGTTAAACACCACAACAATGTTTTAAATCATTGTACAATAGCACAAATATCTCCCAGTAACCTTACAGACCATACAGGGATGGGTAAAAGAAGGATACTTTTTGATAAATGTAATTTTAGTAAGACTTTTTCTTTTTTTCAATTTTAATTTTCATATGTATCTTAATTAAACCACTATGTATCTTACCAAAGCATCAATGATAGACAATGCCTGTCAACACACATGCCTGTTGGAACAACACAAAAGCCTTGCTTTATAGATGATTTTTGTTTTCAAGTGCATTGACTCGGTTTATACTTTTTAAGAAATGGTTTGAGTTCCACATACCTCCTTTTTATGGATTGCACAAGACTTTTTAAATACATTATGCTGAGACAAAAACATTTGAAACACTCAAGAGGTCCTAATGTATTTCCAACCTTAACAGCATGTTAAGTCTCTATGTGGCATGATAATCATGACCTCTGCTGGTGTTCATTTTGACCAGGCTTATCCTTTTTATATCATAACGCGTGTCTGTGTGTATTTGTGTGTATGTTGTGTGTGTAGGTGTCTGCACACGCATGTTTGCATACGTGCACAGGTTTGTATGTGTGCATTGTTTGATAAACTTTTGTATTAGCACTAGTTAACGTCTCATGTGCTAGTGACTTTTATATGCACAAAATTGGCCATAAAGCTGTAATAATTTGTCTTTAAGTTGATTATTATTGTGATCATAATTGTAAGGAAACATCGCAATAGGCTTTTAGAATCACTTGAATATTGTTAGATAGACCACTACAAATGTACTTTTTAAAGTTCCAGTTTCAGGTGTGAGAAGGAACATTGCTGGAACATGGCTATTCGTGTTTGTAGAGGCTATTTACAAGGTGCAGATGAAGTACAGATAGTACTGACCTAGAGGTGCCAGTATGTTCCGCTGTCACCTTTTAGACACTGTTATTTTTTATGCCAGTATTATGATATTTAAATGTGTTGTCTGTTGTATTATTTTATTTAAAAGTGCCAATAAAAAGATGTTTGGATGGATAAAAGCCTACCAATATGAAGGCCTAATAGTCACCATACGCTCCCCAATCTACGACACATTACCATGGTAACAAGCCTATCACGTGACGAGTAACATAAACAAATTTCCAGGGCGCTAACGTTCGTGTGGGAAGAAAGCTAACGTTAACTCCATTTCAAGAGCAATTTTTCGACGTCGTGCAGCCTTTGTGTGGAAATGCGGGGACGATGGCGAGTTTTTCTCGTCGTGTGTCGGACTTTTCGATAGTTATTAAGAGCTGAGCGTCACGTGGAAGAGTGGAAAATATGCCTCATAGTGAAAAAATGAAGAGCTGGATCTGTCCGTTGAGCTGAAACATGGGAGCAAGCGCTTCAGTCTCACTATCGCTCTGTGTAAGTTAAAGAGCTCAGTGTTTGAGCTTTACTATCTCTGTTTTTCAACTTTGTGCTTGTAGGACAGTTTTACCTTCTACTAAAGCAGCCAACTATAACATTTTGGACACTTGTGGTGTGTCCCAAATCGCATACTTCCATGCTAAATACTTAAAATTTTGAGTATACTCAACTCAAATTGGAAAAAAGTATGGAAGTATGCGATTTGGGACACACTCCTGGGTAATCTAATGCAACCTAATACAATAACTTTAGCACTAGTTCTACTTTTATGAGATTGTCAGACAGGTGATAATTCTCCTTCTTTGAGTGTTGGTGGTGAACTGAAGTGCATTACATTGAAATATTTTGCTTCCCAAACTACTTTAGTAATCTACTCAGTCATATTAACAAAAACAGACAGAGAAAGTAATTCATGGTTGAACTGTTAGATTGCATTACATTTTCTGGGGTAATAAAAAGAAACATCTTGAAGTTGCTTATGTAAATATATCTAGCTTTATGAATTAACATGAAATCACTGGAACCCAATAGCTTAGTAAATAAAGTAAATAAACTTAATAACCAATAAAAAAAAACAATATTTAAAAACCAATATCTATCTATCCATCTATCTATCTATCTATCTATCTATCTATCTGTCTATCTGTCTATCTATCTATCAGTGCATTGACTTTTATTGAAATAAAGCAAAAGTAATGTAATAGATAAAGTAACTTATATTTGTTCTGCATTTATGTGATACATTTACGGGGTCTTAGATTTCCAAACCCAAGCTTAAACCTCTCAGGGGGTATTGCCTATTGTGTGTAAAAATGTAGGACACTATTGCCTGCAGCTTAAGGTCTTACAAAGTAACATGCACCATAAGAATCCAGGTCAAGAATTGATATAGTAAGTTAACACCCCATGACTAAATATCTTCCTGCTCAAATGGAAGAGGGTTTCAAATGACAGACCCACGCTACTTATCTGAAACTTCTCTTATCATCTGGCAACATGACATTAGGAGATGAGCAATGTAAAAGTTTGATTTCTGTGCTTGATTCAGCTGCTGCATTTCCTTTTCCATGCAGAGCGACCCATCTTCAGTGCGAATCCTGAGGCCTAGTGCTAAGGTGAGCCCAGAATCTGAACTACCTGCCAGGTGTGTGTTTGGTGTTGCCTTGGAAACATTGAGAGAGGATGGGCAGATGGTCTGTGGGGTGCCTCTTATGTTGAGAGACATGGTGGAGTTCCTGAATAAGAATGGTAAGCCAGGCACACCCTTGGTTTTTGTTGCATCTCCTTTATTTATTTGTATCCTATCCGTGTTCTCTCATTTTGGATGTGAGAGTTATCTTCAACCTTCACTTCTATGGGAGCTAACTCGATCATTTGTTACTTTACCACAGCCATGCACCACAGAGGACTGTTCCGACTCTGTGGCTCAGCGGTGCGGACTAGGCAGATGAGGCAGCGGTGGGACAAGGGAGAGAGGGTGGATCTAGAACAGGAGCAGGATGTTCCTACTGTGGCTTCGCTCCTTAAACTCTTCTTCAGGGAGCTGCCAACCCCCTTAGTGCCGGAACCCCACCGTAAACAACTAATTCGGACCCTGAGAGGTACAAAGGAAACATTTGACTGACAACTTAAGAATCTAATTTCATTTACTTTTCTTTTTGAGTAGAAATGTAAGAAGAATTAAACCATTGTTGATGGTACAAAGGATTGCTGAGCTCACTGTATGTACTGAGATACCTTTGCCCCATTTTGGAGCTGCAGTAAAAGCCCTGACCTGCTGAGACAGGAAAGTGATGGAGCTATGAAACTGTCTCTCAAGGCCAGATGTCATAGCAATGTCTTGGTGGTATCACTTAGTAAGAGCTTGAATCCCCCAAAACTCAGTTGTACTTTGTGGCCGGTCATGCATTCAAAACATAAACAAGGTGGCTGTGTCCTAAAGAACTTGAATTTTGGTGGTAAAAGCTGAATCTGTCAATAAATCTTATGCCTTTGGGCTGGTATGAATGTACTCTATATCAAAACTGGTTATCCTAGATGATGTGTTTCAGCTGTGTTTTTGCTTATTTTCAGAATATGAAGAAGAGATGGATGTGAACCAGTCTCTGAAAGAAAATCTTTACCACCTTCCAGATGACAACCTCAGTGCTCTATCTTACCTCATCCACTTCCTGTGTCGAGTGGCAGATCACAGCAAATCAAATCACATGCCTGTGGAAAACCTGGCTGCCATCTTTGGGCCTTGTATATTCCGGTAAGTTACTGCTGTCATAAATTCCACATCTAAACTTTAAACCCTGTACTAAAACTTGAGGTTGTTCTAGTGTAGAGAGTTTGATGATAGTATAACTGTCATTAAATTAAAAGAGGGATTTTATTGGCAGTTTGTACATATTTAATGTTGGTTTTCAGAGCTAGTTTTGAATACAGATCACAGGTAGAGAGATTTTATTTAATAGTATGATGAAGAGGAATCAAACAAACAGAGTGAAAATGTTCCGTTCTGCAACAACTTGGAGTGTTTTCTCCTTCTGTAAGCTCGCCTTGTCAGATCCCAATAGAGAATTATTTTCCATTTTCTAAGGCTATGTCACTTAGCTGGGATGGAGTCAGGTTTGTCACCAAGGAAATGAGCATAGACTGTGGACAGACAATTGACTTAAGATAAAAGAGAAGCCATCAGGATTTTGTCCTTTGCAACTCCCTTCCTGTTTACCCAACTTAGAAATCCTTGTCAACAAACACACTCCCCCGGGACTCCTGTTGTGCCATACAGTCAACATCCTTTCCACAGTTTTTCCATTCCTCGAGCTGACAGTTATCTTTGTCAGCCCTGTAGGAAAAGTAAATGACGTGTCAGGAAAATGTTTTGTCTGTGACGTAAAGTTTTAAAAATAAGGAAAGTTGTCTAATTTTATAATGAGGGGGGAAGAAGAGTCTGTGAAGGGGAGTGGAGTTGGCAACAAAAGTATGGAAAAAGTTGGGTGTTGTTTTGAGTTGAAAAATGAAGACAGCGTGATTTGATGTAATGGTTTGAATGAGGGATTATGTTGCAAAAAATATCCAACTGTACAAAAATATTATTTAAGCAAAAAAACTGTCTGAGGTACAAGTTTATGGTTTTATAATTCAAGTGTAATTTATTACAAGAGGACTATTTTATGTTAAATTGTATAAAGGTTGATATTGTGGTTTTAGCACCATAAGCATTCTGGTGTACTGTTGTTCACATCAAGAGAACATTTTGATAGTTCATAGACTGCTGGCTGGACTAGTCTTATAGGTATGTACTCTATAGGTATTCAGAGACGGCAGTCCTCATGGCAGCAGTTGTTGGTTTGGCTCCTTGCCACCGCTCTTTGCTACATGTTATAACTCACTCTCTGCCCCCCCTGATTTCCTGCCTCTCTTTCGCTGTCCTACCTAATAAGGGATAAAATTCACCCTGAAATATAACTACATACAGTGCCTAGCATAAGCCAGTACACCCACTATTAAAAGTAATATACTCAATATCTAGATGAGCAAAGATATAATTTCCAAAGTTTTGACAAGGCTGAGTTTAACATAACATTTGATAAAAATCAGGGTGATATGGTAAATAAAATTTAGCTTCGCTCTCAGAACTTTGATTGTGGTGTACTTATTTTTCATCCTGATTTTTAAATTGAAAAAAATACTTTTTTGTATGCAACTTAAAAAATCTTGTTTGCAATCAGTGGCCTACATTTGGGGGGAGTATTTTGTTGTACAGGCTGACATAGAAAATGTTGATTTTGATTGGAAACTTAAGGTTTTCTGACAACTGTGAAGGGGTGTACTCATTTATGCTGAGCACTGTAAAAGGACAATGATGTCCAATTAGCAGGATGATGATTCCCCCAACATGAACTAATTAACAACTTTATTTTGTCTATTTGGATGTGATAGCCTAATAGACTAGGGCCTGCATTTATGTTGAGTCTGTTTAAAATGTTCACGTTTTCATTCATAAATAATAATTATAAGGACCTCAATTTAAGAGTAGCGAAGATTCTTATTGTATTGCCCTCCAAGTAAGGATTGAATGAATAGATGTTGACAGACAAGGCAGCACGTGACCTAGTCATGCAGAATTTGTGATGGCTTCTTTGGCATCTCTTCTCTCGTCCATATTTGTTATCTGAGCCCTGTCCAAACAGTCTGTTGCCTTCATTTGTGTCTGTTATGTAAGAGGACAGCCTGCTCTCCTCCTCCTCTCTGTCATTCCTGCTTTTCATGTAAACACGTATCTATTTATACTGAAAGTTTTCACATTCTCTCTCTTCTGGTGTAAAGTCTGTGGTCATCTTTACCTGTCACATGTACATCAGATTAGAAAAGAAGATAAATATGTGAAGACTATTCTAGGTCTTAGGTGGTGCTTGTGGTGCATCTGCAGAACACTGTGCATGTTTTAAACAAAGATAAAGTTATCTGAGAAGATTTTTCTATCTGACTGTTAATTTTTGTCGAAAGGTAATGCATGTTTTAAACCGTCATGATTGATTCACCTTAGTTGGACAGCATAATCTCAATTCATCACTGTAAAAAAAGCAAAAAAAACTGTCCACTAGATGGCACACTTACCCATTGTCTCATCTTTTTAAGGGCACAGAAAGTGACTTTTGTTGTTGTTCTCTTGTCTGTGCAGTGTCCCCACAGGAGCCAGAATGTTGGAGGAGCAGAGTTTGTGCAATGCCCTGTTGCTTCATCTTCTGAGGCACCAGGAGATTCTGCTTCCAGTCCAGGGCGAGGACACTGTTGCCTCCTCAATAGCCTCCTCTTCACCCCCTCCTCCGACTCTGTCTGCTCTTTCTCACTTTGAGGTGATCCGAGTTCCAAATTTTAAGATCTGTGAATCATACACTATACTTCTCTTGGTGAGCGATCTTATCACATCGTTTACACAAAAAAATGGGCTACGCCATCATCTGTTTTGCAGAGTTATTCAAATCTTTGAAGTTTGATACCATGCATCTGGTGTTGGCAAGCTTCCTTTAGCACTATTGCTGGTGCTCATGCAAGTCACAATCAAGTCACAATAAATCAGCAGCTCGTAAAATGCAAAGGTTGGATTCAGCAAAAAAAAACATTATCTTTGATTTAGATTGTAATTATCATTGATTAACAATGTTACTTAGGGTCATTGAAATCTTTAGCTGTAAATTGGAAACTCAAATGTTTTATGAATTAAAAAAAACCCTCACCATTCAGAGCTAGTTATACAGGCTTTAATGTTTATAGAATATGATAACTATATAGAATTATTTATTTTAAAAGTCCCAAACCTAAAATATGGTCAACATTGTTAAGATCTGTTTTTTTTTTCAGATTTATTTAATATTATTTTCTCTTTTACAGTAATTAAAGACTAAAAATATGTGTTTTTTTAACCTCTCAAAAGTGGTATGAGTGTGTATATGCTCATTTTTATTGTCTTTTGTAGGTCCGACCCAGCAGCTGCCACTCAGAGAGGAGAAGTGTGGAGAGGTTGGAAGAAGAGATCAGTCCAGTCTCAGCAACCAACACATACCACAAAACAAACATCATTCAATCCTGGTTCAACAGGTACTGTCATCAGATCTAGGGAGTGGTAAATGTACCAGCATACAGTCACACCCAAGCCTCCTCCTTCATACAGTACATATTATCCTAGGGGGATAATTAGGACATGACCTTTTCCCCTGTGCCACTACGCTCTATAATTAGCATCACTTAGTAAGTTGTCAGGTTAATTGTTGCGTAGTACTCGATAAAGCTGACACGTCATTCATGGTAAATTAAGGCCATCCTCTTGAGATCTTTTGTTTATGGAAGTCACAAACAAACCGAGCTGTGTGGCTTTTTTTAATGGATAGTAGAAAGTCCAGACAGAGCTGCACCAACAGAGAGGGAAAAATCCAATCAAAGGAGATCGGTACTGTTTGGAACAAGATATCTGTGACAAGCTTATAGCACATTTTAGCTGATCAGTAATTATTTGAAATGCTGCTGTCTATGGTTAACATGAAGGTAATAACATATATATCTATTATGATTGTTATTAACTGGGATTATTGATGATCAGTCGATTAGTTAGGGTTTATGGTGCTGTATTGTGATAATTTCCCCACAGTTCTTTCGATTTTTCTGCTTGTGTTTGGATTGATTAAAAAAACATCTCTCTGCAGAAACTCTAACACCCACTAACTTTAACCCCTGGGGAAAACTCGTGTTACACTTACAGCCGACGTGTGCTAAATATGAACAGCATCAAGGTTTTGTTTCTTGAAGAGGGGAAGTGGGGCAATGTTTAAATTAGTCCCCCCAGCCTGATATCTACATAGTAACTGCCACCTGCTTGTGGGGAACTGTTCCCTCTCAGAACTTGTAGGCCACGGGGCTCTTTTCTATTTTTAAAGTGCAAATTCGAGTAGCTGCAGGATTGGCAACACAGACATTGAATTACATCAGTGTGTGTTTTCTATTTTAGTCCTCCCAAGTCAGCATGCGACAAGGCGTTCACGTGCACTGGCTGACTGTTTTTCAAAGCTGTTACCCATGTGTGTGTCCCATTGAAGCATGTCTGGTATCTTAATTTGTGTCTGTGCATTAATAGGAGTTCTGCTTGAGGCTTATGTAGATGACATTGGATACAGAGACATTTGCGTGCTGCTATTCTGAGCAAACATGCACTGCTGTTGTTTTGAAATGATTTTCCCTTCGGGGAATGCAAGTGAATGTTGAGTAAATCTAGGTTAAAACTGTTGAAACAAGCACAGGCAAAGTGACACATGCATGAGTGCTATATATCTGGCAACCGTTATGTTATTATTGAACTGCCCATGTGCATCAGTTTAATGACAGGTCATCAGAAGATGTAGATGTGCGGCTCCAATAGCTGTGCTGCTGTGTTATTTACCTGCAGATATTGAGCTGATGTCCCTCCAGGTCTTTGACTCTAAAAGGTCAAGTCAAAGATTTCCCTCCTTCAATTTCCATGAAGCTCAGGACAAGAGGAGGTGATCTGTATAGAGTTTAGTGTTTAGCCCAGATATGTTACATGAAGTAAATGTTGTTAGATAGACCAATAGGTGGATTACTCCAACCAATTCATAGCATTTTGAAATAATAAGAATCACATTGGCATTAATGCAGACAATCTCCCCATCATCTTCTCTTAATGAGGCCAGTGTTTAATCTGAATTATGTCATGATGTATTGAATAATGCAGTTTAATATTGCTTCTAGTATGATTATCAGTTATTTTCTGAAACCTATTTTATAACCCAAATAATTAGACATTCATTTAAAATATAATACTGGCTAATTCAAGCATATAATTAAGATTCTTATATGCATAAAATAATAGCATTATTCAGGCATTTACATTCTTTTTTCAATTTGATAATGACAGATGGCTGGATAGAAATCGCTTTTGGTAAAATATAAGTGAGTCAAATGTTTTTCAGTAGACATAGTAACAGTATTTCAGGCTGTAGTTGTACAGATTATACAGATTGATCAGCTGGCAGTCGTGCTTTTTCTTGTCATCCGTCATGTTTTTGTGCTGTTCCCTCCGGCCAGGCCTGGACCTCTTTGCTTTCTACCAACGTCACAGACATTATTGATTCTGGTCTAATAATACTTACAATGGATTTGAAAGAAAAACAAGCGTCTGTTTACTCTCAGTTACCTGTTGCACTGTGGATCATTTTTAAGAGCACAGGTATAAATTCACTGATTTTTGTGTTATTTGATGGTTCACAATAAAAGGACCTCTTCCACTCCAGTCGTTTCATTCGTTCCTATGATAAGATGTTTTTTAGGTCAAGCCTTAATATGTAGGTCAGTAAATATATACTTCCTGAATGTGTACCAAAGCCCATGAATGACCTTTTTTATGTAAACGCCTCTTTTTAAAATGATGTGCTTAACTTCTGGCCGTTATTTCTGACTGGACTTAAATGGAATTGGATGCAGCTCTGTGTCCTCTTATTTGTCAGTTTGAGAGTCCTTTCCAGTTTCAGCTTTTATGGCCTATTTCCACTGTTGTTACAGAGCTAAAACTGGCATGGTTGAACCCAAAATGACTAAGTGCTGCTGTAAGTGAGTTCATGGCATGGCATCTGTGCTTCTTCGTAAGTGTGTGTTTATGTGCGCGCATGCAAGTGTGTGTATATCGGTAATTGAAGGGGGTTGGTCAGCCCTCTGCCTCCGGGTGTCACTCGTGTTGTTGACCATGGAGAACCCTACATCTGCGCTCCCTTTTCTGTCTCTCTTTGGCTTTCTCCAAAGCAGCATGGTGCGCTCTGTGGCATGTAATTCTAACCTGCTGTGAGTTTTAAAGACATTTTGGCAAAGGATGTTTTCTTGTCTCGTCTGCTTCAGCATCAGTGGCAATAACCATGGCGCTTCAATCCTTCATAAGTGAGTAAGATAATCTTTAATGGTTTAAGAGAATAATGCATCTTAATACGATCGTAACTCTCCATGGAGAGGTTGTATTACCTTTCCTGTTGTCTGCAGTTTTTTGTCCGCCTTACAGTGATCTAAACGACAGACAACATCTGTGCATTTTCAGCTTGTTCAAGGACTCGATGCTGTGGAGTCATTCATGTTTATAGCGCAGATATAGTCGCTGTTTCCTTGGCTCGTTCTTCGACAAATAGCCTGAGCAGCTATTATTACTTTTATGACTGTACTGACCCATTTACTGCCCCTTAGTTTCACTCCTGGAGTCATGTACAACAAGCTCTAAGCAACAATGTGCCCAACAGCTTTTTTTATTTGGTTGATGCTGCAACAAATCAGTATCAGTTTTTTTTTTTGCTGAGAGCAGCTCATTAGAGCTTCGTGTCACAGTGAAGCAAAAACAACAAAAACTGAGAACTGCTGAGTCATGACCTGCTAAATGTTTGTTTTACAAACCAGCTGGTGGGAAATTTTCAGCGGGAATAACTGTTGGACATTTCAATCTAACCTTGTTGGCATTATCATACCCATAATGACACACTTTCCCCAGATTTGACATGTGCTGTTGTCTGTTTACATAATAAGGATCTACCTTGGCTTTATTTGAGAGGCTTTGTAATAAAACTGTGGGTCTTACCATCTTCCATCTCGTAGAAATTTAACAGTTTCTTACCCTTTACCACATCTGTCTCTGTCCTTTTTTTGTTGGTTTATCTGTTTCAGTTTTCTTATTTTTTTTGCCACTCTTCATTACCCTTTAAGATTTGACATTTGAAATACATCACCTGTAATGACTGACTAAGACCTTTATGGATGAGAAAAATGGTGAATAATAACACATTTTGAGTTGCTATGTTGTAAGAAATACCTCTGCACAACATTTATGATTCTAGTGTCTCTCTTCTTTCTGGCACTTGATTTGGACTTTTGTAGATTGCTCTTTTGTGCTTCTTGAAGACATATACCTGGAAACATACCGCTGTATTTAACATCTGAATGAGCTGCATAGACCCAGGAATCTTTCCAATAAAAATAGCACCCTGAGTTTCTATTGGAGCTTTGTTTATTGTTGATTTTTGCATCCCTGTGGACAATCCAGCGCATCTTTTCTCTTTGCTGATCTTGCCTTGTACATGTCTTGAGTGTTTTTTTCTGATAAAAAGTCTTAACCCGCTTTTAACTCATGCTGTAAAAATGTAGAAAGGGCAATTTTCTCTGTGTGTCTTTTATTGATCTTCATGAAACCTACAATTATACAGGCATTAAACATAATAATGTAGAAGTAATCAATCCTGTCACTGATGATGCTTTTTCAGGAACTACAAAAGAAAAACAACATCATTATAAATTTCTGTTCACTTCATAACCAGACAAAAATCTCCCCCCATGAGCTTTTAATTTAAAAATATAAAAAACTCAACATGTTTAGCTGCAGGATTATAATTCTTGCTAATGCCTTTTAAGGGATCTTTATATCATTAGCAAGTGATTTATTGTTCAGAGCATAACAGAGTCAACTTATTAACGCCTTAGAAAAGGGTGCCTCATCATCACTGAGTGGTATTTTCTCTCCTCACCTCCTCCTGTGTGTCGCAGCTTTCTCTCACGCTCTCTGTGTCTCTCTCCAGTCCTGACACACTGGCGCAGGCTTGTGAAACCGACTCTGACGTCAAAGCTGACATTCAGAAGCTGACTCCAGACCAGGAGGCTCTGATGGAGAACGGAGAAAGTAGGGCTGCAGGCTATAAGCATTCCTGCCCCGCTGACCCAGGGCCAGGGCAACACATGCACCAGAGCAGAACATCCCAAAGCAACCTTAGAGAGCTGCAGGAGATGGACTGTACCACAGAAGGGTGAGTTTTTCTTGACTTTATCTTCCCCTTGTTGTTTTCTTTACATAGATGATGTTTTCAGTTTAAAGGGGTTAATGAGGTGGCTTTAATGTCAGTCTCTTTTTTTAAGGAGACTAAAGGAACTTGTCTCTTTTGCTTCTCTGTCTATATTAAATTATGCAATGTATTCTTTCCCATAATGCATCTAGTTAGGAGTTGTATTACATCTCTACATCTCTTAAACTGATTTCTTTATTAGCAGGACCTTTTCCCAGAGCAAGATGCCGCAAATCTTTTCCATGTCCAGTGAAGGTGAAGAGGAGCGAGTAGAAGAGGTAGAGAAAAGAAAGACACCTTTCTCACCCTTCAGCAGCAACTCTTTAACAATGTTTATTGTTGATTTTCTCTGTATTTTAGCTTGTTTGAGCTGCAAATCTGGCTAATAGCAAAAACCATCTCTAGCCTTTACCATGACATTCATAACCTAATTTTTTTTTAACATTTTGTCATTCATATATCTGTAAAACTATGTTGGAAAAGCAGCTGTCATCTGCAGATCCAGCAAAATACATTCAAAGCACAATAATGCCTTTTTTAAAGGGGAAAAATCTATTCCTTAAAGTCGTGACTTGTCTGAATTATTTCCAGGCTTCCACCGATACAGGACAAACGTCATCTTCCTCGAAGTGCTTCATGTCAGGGGATGAACCACAGAGCAAAAGCCAAGCACAGAGTGAGCACACAGAGAGGTGAGAGGCAGATATTTGCCTAAAATCATTATTTAACTCTTGAAATAAAAATGTTTACAGTGAATTCATACTTGAAATTCAAATATAAGTTCAAATTCGAGGGAGAAATCATAACAAACCGGCAGTGTTAGTCATTTGGCGGCAGCGAAAATGTCTTCGATAGAATTTGTGTGACTCATTCGAATGCTACAGTTATTTTCATTCCCCCTCCCACTGCTGTTGGGTTCCTCTCAGTTCAGCTCTTCTCTCAGCCCCACAGTCAGTTTGGAAGTAGGTTATCAGAGCAGAGTGCGGCTCACAGTTGTGTTTTTGATACAATTCCAGTCCAAATAGCACTGACTTGCCACAGGGGCTCACAAGCCACATTAGGCCAATGTGGCATGGTGGCACGTTGACTTTTTGTTTGCGCTGCTTCCGCAGAGCCACAGGACAGGTCATCTCAGTTATAGCTCATTAGCGTCACACATGAATAACCCATAACCTTAAAAGCAGTGCAAGATGACAGTCTGGCCTCAGAGCTACAAACAGCACAACACAACGTGAATCGAAGTCACATGGACTGTGAGCCAGTGTTATTAGATACTTAGATTCTGCTCCCTTTTTTAATGCGATTCTTTTATGTTTGCTCGCTGTGACGAAAGTTTGTTTTACAGATTGTTGGACTGTGGAGAGAAACGGACTGAAGACAAAATCACAGTGTCTGAATCTAAGGTAAACTTTGGAATAACAAGTCTGCAACTACCACATTACTTCCTCTGACTCCTGTTTTATTTTCAGACAGTGGAGACTGCTATGACTGGAAGTTGTAACCTTAGGTTTACAAGCCAGCAAAACCACCACTGAGAGAGCTGAAATTTTAGATGAGCATATAAGTTGATATTGGCATCATCATACATTTCACCATTTATTTTTTCATCAAGTTAATCTATAAATATTTTGGTCTTGACCAAAGACTGTATATACTATGGACAACTTGGTTCCGCCTTCCACCAGTATACAGATTTGAAGCCAAAAAGCTCTTGGTAATTCTGCGTTTTTTCTCCATTTCCTGAAACCAACATTGCGCAGTAGCGTTGTGTGCATTCGGTGGGAGAGTTGCCAAGAGTCGCTGTGATGACACTCGGCTATAAAACAGCGTATCCCCCGGGTGAGCTACGAACCCCTTGTACGCCCATAGGTCAATTATAAAAAACATGAACCCCCTAATAACTTTGAAAAACGGGGCTGTATAGAAAAAAGAGGACTTGAGTACAAACCAGTTTGACAATAACCACATATCAACATCGCAAGCAGGGGTGAGAAAAGTCATATTCACAACCCCATAAACTTTGCTGGCGGAAGCGGGATTTATGACCTATACTGCAGCCTGTCACCAGAGGGTGCTGTTCTCAGAGTGGCTTCACCCATTGAGGAGACAGATGCTGTCCATTCTAAATACAGTCTATGGTCTTGACTGGTTCTTGTTTGCTAATGAAAAGTAAGCTAGGTCAGTTGTTATACTATCAATCGATCAGTCAGTCCATCTCCAAAGATCCAGCCTCAAAGTAAAATCCAGTCTCATCTCAAGATTCAGTGTTATCCTTTCATAATCCAACATGACGTTACAAAGGAAGTAATCAATAATTCATCTTTGTATAACTTGAAGTGCCATTGTCACAAACTGATGAGAGTATGTGCTCCCACACTACATGTGTCACTAAGTGGATTTTAGTAAGCGAGACCTCAACTGTGCGTATGCTGTCCACTCCTCCAGGGTGAAGGAGGAGGAAGAGGAGGATGTCGTGGTTCTCCTGACAGACATGATGATTGCAGAGGCAGGGTCAGCAGCCGTGACGTAAGTTCCCTTTCCCCATAACCAAATTAACACTTTCTTAAGGATGAGGGTATCTATGACAACAGGACTACTGATACCTCCAGCAATTGTTTGTCCTTGTGAAGAATCTAAGTGATACTGCACACACCTATATGTGTAGTGGAAGCCTGAGCTGTCTTGCCTATGGGTATTTTTTTTTGTTGTTGTTCCAGTAATGACATCCAGACTCCCTCCCCTCCCTTCCCTCCTCTCCATCTGTGTGACGCACAAAGCAGTGTGTTTTTTTTTTCTTTTTTTAGTGAATGAACTGCCAAAGAGGGCAGAACAGGAGGGTGGGAGCCTTTATCTGCAACAGATTTTAATAAAGATAAAGACACAGTGTGAGATTACAAAGATGAACAAAAAATATTTATACCCAAGCTTTGTAAAGAGTCCAGATTTTTTTTTTATCCTTCTCAATTATAAATCTTATGCACACCTACACAAAAACACACTCACGCCAAGGCAAAACAATAAGCAGCCTGATCCTTGCAGCTCCATCAAATTGGCCCCATAGCTTGGTCTGACAATGTTGCCGTGGAAACGTCTCATCACATACAGTCAGAACATCTCTCGTCCCTTGAGCACACACCATACACATCAGCATGAGCCGCTCTCCTGTCACCCACCCCTCCTCTGTGCAAGGTGAAATATCCATGTGGTCACAGTGAAGCAGCAGCAGAAGTGCGAGGAATCCCGGTCAGAGGAGTGAAATCAAGATTTAAGGATTCAGGAGCAAGCTATCCTCTCATGCACCCACACACCAATAAACCTGGTGATGTGAGAATCACTGTGATAATGCTAATTGGATTGAAGCATGTTGCTCATCAGGGATCCTACGCTGGATGCTGATGCGTGTTTGGAAACTGACTCATTGACTGAATAAAGTCAGAGGGAATTTTGTCTCGTTGGATGCCTCCTGGGCTGCAGAGCTTGTAGTCACACAGAGCGAAGAGGAGCTGCAGAAGGGGACAGTCTGTACATGTACTGCTCGTGATGTGATCTCTGCCTTTTTAACTGACGGAGCTTCAGAAGATCACATTTACAACTACCTCTGAAAGCAGCATGCCTGTTGTTTATTTAATCTTCTTTTTGAATGTTTTGTCCTGAAAAGGAAGGAAACAGCTACTCTTCAAACCTCATCCTGGAACTCCCTGTTTTATGAAGTGAAATGTTTCAACCGATTTCTTTAGATTCCAGAGCAGCACATGAAGTGCTGAGGACTCCCTCAGGCTAAAAACTACAGTCTACATCTCCAAGTCTTCTTTCCTGAGGCGATGTTTTGCTTCTGTTTTCAGAGCCCTTCTCTCAAGCTACAAGCTCTGGAGGCTGACCTGAGGCCCAAGTCATCAATAGTAGACCTCCTAACTGAAGATAACCAACCTGCTCAGGATAAGTCTCTGACTACTGACGAGCAGAGTCTGTTTTTAACACGCAAGCTGCAACTCCAGCAGCCACCATCGCCTCCACCTCAGGGTCAGCACACAGAGGACTCATCACAGTCTGGTAAGACACTGATTAGTATGAGCTGATTTTATTCAAGTTTAAGAAACTTTTGGTGAAAAATTCTCCTCTGGGACAAAATGATTCAGTGGATTTGCTTTATGAGTTTTATTTATTTTGAGGTTTCTGTTATCCAAAACATTTCGCTCTTCAGTACCTCGAGCAGCTGAAGGCTCTAACCCGTGACAACCCTTTCAGTACTAGAGCTGCAATTCATATTTGTTGTTTAATTGCCTCTATTTATAGAATCTTATTTCTCAAGTGTTTTCATTTGTGGTGTTGTAGTTCCCACTGTTTTCCCCTTGGTTTGAAAACGTGGTCAATAAAGCGCGACAGCAACCCTTGACGGGTGTGTCATTTTTTATAACAGCAGACCAAGGTACGATACGGCTGCTGTTACATCACTTCACAGTTGGCAGTGACATAATGAACCAGTACATGAATTTAGTAACATGTAATATATTGACATTTCCCTCTTTTTCTAAACTTGAAAACTAGTGTCATTTTATTTTGTACATTGTTTGTTTATGGTTTTTGACCACCATACGACATTAACATTTTCCCAAGATGATGTTAAAGATAAATCACTTGATGGTAGTATTTTCATATACACCAAAGATACTACATATTTGTGTTTTTATGTATGTTGCATGTTTGTATACAATGAAGAAAAACATTCATTTTTTTTACCCTCATATTTGCTTTCATAAGGCAAAATAGAAAATGGTACTGTTGAATTAGCATTAAAGAGAAATCAGTCGTATCTATAAATTCATGTGTCAGTTGACATTATCCTTTGTCCCTCTCCAACAGAACATACCCTTTCACCTGAGTCATCAGAGTCCAGTCCTGTAATCTCCACTCAACATCACTCTGAGAGGATACCTGCTAATGACACCCCGTCAAGCCCACCAGGACCCAAAACCAGCCCGCTTCTCTCCTGTTTAACTACAACTGACTGCCCAGTACCCTCTCCACGCTGCCCGAACCTCAGTCACAGCCTGCGGTACAACCTCGACCCTGATACAGCTCCTTCTCCTCCATGCTCACAGCATATACGCACGTAAGACAGCTGTTTCCTCAACAACTTTATTTGGGGTTTTGTTCATATTGTCTGCGATTGTTTTTTTTGTTGTTAATTGGCTTAAAATGGGCAGTAGTTTGAAAATATCACAGTCCTTATACCATACAGATGCACATGGGTTGAATTGAGTATCTTGGCTTTTATTGTCACCAGTGCTCGCAGCAGTGTCCGTTCAGAGCCAGACCGGGGCTCTGTGTCCATCTCAATGCTCAACAGACACATTCACAGCCTGAGGAAAAGGATCAGGCGTTTTGAGGAACAGTTTGAACAGGAGAGGCGCTACAAGGTAAGATTATCGGCCAAATCCTCATGAAGAGATCGGAAGTTGTTGTGTCAGAGTTTTTTTTTTTTAATTAATTTTGTGTGTGTGTATATGTGTGTCATCCTGCAAGAGTGAATGACTCCCTCTACTGGCACGTTGGGAAAATTATATCTTTTTGCATAGATGAAGAAGTAATGCAAAACAGAAAAGTATTGATGACATATGACACCTATCCAGTAAAACTAAAGAAAAATCCAGGTACTCAGTGCAAGAGGTGGATTAGTATCAAGTGATTTGAGTTTCCATTGTTATTTCAGCCTGCCCACAACGACAAGACAGCTCACCCTGAGGTGTCCAGACTAATGAAGGAGCTCATCAGGAGCCGCAAGCAGCTTAAAGGTCAGTTTCATAACTGTGGACACACACTCAAATACATGAATTAATGATTACAGAGGTGGAGGAGGCGTTCAGGTACAGCATAGTAAAGTTAATTCAAAATTCTGCCTTAGTGATCATAGGATCATAGGAAACTGATTCATACTTGATGCTCAAAATAGTTTCCTCTCTACGCACTTATTACACTGGCACTTAGAACCTAAAAGTCCATTATTTATTTTGTGGGTTTTTCTCTCAGGTTTGCTCGTTTTGATACTTTTTGAGAGTTTTGTCTCTTTGGGCCTCATTTATGAAATGTAGTTAGGCTTGGAGACAAAAAAAAAAGTGTCGAAAAAACCAAACTAGACCTACTCATTAGGCATCAAAGCTTAAAATATGGGCAAAAACTTGTTTTAGTTTTGATAGTGCAATATATTTTGTAACTTTATTATTTGACTGAAGATCTTCTAAGAAGAGACAGCAGCTATTCAGAAATGTGGCTGAGTTGGAATCAAATAAAAAGTATTTGAAAACTACAGAAAAAAAGGTACATAATAACCCTCCATCACTGAACTTGAACTTAACAACACTACTTTCCTCTTTTAGAGCTGAAGCTGAGACAATCAGCAGAAATTGAACTGATGGAACAGAGGGTCTTCAACCCATCAGCTGAAACACACGGGACCACCACAGACCACAGAGAGGCAGCACTAGCAGGTACTGAGCTGCAGCAACTCAACAACAATAACACCAACACCAAGCCAAATGTGGAGGAAACCGTCAACATCATCACCAACAGACTGAAGGAAAGGCGGCATGAGCTGGGCTTGCCTGACAGCATTAAGGTCTGTATTGTTGGATTACTTTCAAACAGCAACATTAAGTGCTATGATGTTAGATCCAGATTTTTTTGCGCACAGAGGGAAAATTTGTGCAGCACTGACCCTGGAAATAGAAAAAACAATCATGCTTCGCAATCATCTCTTGCAGGAGATGTCTCATTTCCAGATGACTTTGGAGAAAACCAGTCTGCAGAAGTGTTTGCTCTACTTTGAGAGTCTACATGGAAGACCAGTAAGGCCTGCTCGGATGACTTCCTTTGTGTCTTTTTTTTGTTTTTATCCTACTTCTTTTATTTTCTGCTCCCTCTTTTGCGTTAATCCTCTGACTTTTTATTTACATGTTCCCTCACATGACATCGTTTTCTCAGTTTACATCTTTTTTTTTCATCTGTGTCCTCAGAGCACCAAGCAAGAGCGGAATCTAATGAAACCTTTCTACGATAGATACCGTCTTCTCAAGCAGCTGCTCTTTTCCTCTGTCGCTGCAAAAGTAATAACGACCATTGTGAGTACACTCCTATCACTGATTAGTACCTGGCTTCCCTGTTGTCACCTGGCTGTGATACTTGATTCTGATTCTTGACAACGGTAATTAATTCTGTAATGCCAGGGACAAGGAGATCAATTGGTGGATAATAGTTTGGCACATTTACATCTGCTTGTCGACACTGTAGCAAAGATGTTGGTTTCCCCCTAGCATCAATAACAATAAACACTGTGTAGAAAAACATTATAGCATGTCTATTGGTGGGCTAAACAGTCTGAGTAATCTAATACCAGATCCTCTGTTGTGATTCTAGCAAGGGTAGCAGAGCTGGTGAGTTGAGCTTTGGTGTTTGTTTATTCTGCAGGAAGGATTAAAATCTGTATTTAACAATAGCTTTACCAACTGAAGAATCCTTTATTTGTACAATTATCATTCTTAAATCAATAAAATCATTTTTAATCTGCCGTTTAATTTAGTGCCAATGTACACATGACTTTAGTTGTTAGCTGGGTAATAAGCAAATCAGAGGCTTCTGTCTTGTAGAAATAATAATGATAATAAATTTTGTTTGTTTTGCACTTCACGTATTTGCAATCTCTAAATGACACAGGGTAAAAAAAAAAACAATTAAAATTAATGTATTAAAAAGAGTCAAGATAGATAGATACTAAAAAGCGAGAACCTGTAAAATAAGGCTGTCGCAAAATGCTTTTTTTAAAGGTAGGTTTTGTTAAAAAGCATCTGTAGACTGTGGGGCCCTCGGGTGATCAGGGAGGGTGTCCCATAGCCTCGGGGCAGCTGAGAAAAAGGCTCAAACATCCATGGTGCAGAGTTAAGTTCTGGGGGCTTGGAGGGTGTTTGTGGTTGTAGAACAGTACATGAGGAGGCCTGGGGGGAGAGGTAACCCTGCAGATAACGGTGGGCATGTCTGTGAATGCACTGAGACCTTCTATTCTATTCTGAGTGAGACAGGGAGCCAGTGAAGGAAATACAGGATGTGGGTGATGTTTGTGCACCCTCATCAGGATCCTAGCAGCGCTGTTCTGAATGTATTTTAGTCTCTGGATGAGAGTAAGATTTAAGTGTCTGCTGCCCTCTGGTGGCTAAATTTGGGAGCCTTACCACACAAGTTAGAAAAAGCATAGTTCATTTAGCAGAATAATGAAAGTTAGAAAAAAACAAAGCTCGTAAGTTCTGTGGTTCGTTTTTAAGTTGTGTTTTGTGATATTTGATTACCTCAAGTATTGTTCAAAGTTTTTGAAAAGCTTGACATAGGCAGTGAATGAAACTATGAAGTTTTCTGATGGCTTGACAATAATTGGTATCCTATGCATTTACAAGTTTTCTAAATTTGTTATGTAATGCTAACTGTAACACACAAGTTATCCCTGTGTTTGTGTACACAGGAGGAAGAAGACGGCTCTGATGAAGAGCATCCAAAACAGCGAAGCCCCAAACAACAGCCACTCTGGTCGAAAACTCCCAGGTACCTGTCTTCAGATGAGTTGCTGCAGCTGCCTTCTCTAGAGTTCTCTGAAACACCTCTGGTTTCCCCGCTGGAGGAGGTAAAGAATCTCCAGCCACAGATTATTACCATGGCAACACTTCATGAAGCTTCCAGGTACTGCTTTAACTTAAGCATCAGTTTTTTTTTTAACCTGTGATGGGATGTTTGACCTGTGATGTTTAGGAAGTTGTAGTGAGTTGAATCTCACATGTTTGCAGACAGTTTGAAAGACTGAATAAATTTCTTGATATTTTTTTACACAGAACAGAGTTACTGGATCACCTCAGGGCGGCTCGATTAGAGAAGAGGAGGCTTCATCGTGCGCTCAGAGAGTTTGAGGACCACTTTTACATGCAGACCGGCAGGTACAAGTCACACACAAAACTCTTGACTTTAGGATTTATTATTTTTTTCTCTTAATAAACTTGAACATTTGGTTTTTTAACAATGCCTTGTGAAAAACAAAGAAAAAAACATCCACAAAAGAAATTCCATCGTAATGCTACGACAGTGTAATGCACACTCACTTAACGTTAATACAGCACAGAGAGCTCAGGAAAGAGACAGAGAGATAGACGTTTGCTCTGAACTGTACACGACCTTTTGTACTGTACATGTTAGTCCTCCAAAGTAATACAGTTAAGTTTCTGATTACAATACACACTGTACAAAGCTATCGGAGTAAGGCAACATAGGGACTATCAACCAGTTATGGAAGCTGCTGCAGGTTGTTTGGATCTATTGAAGTTTGACTGTTGTGTGTGCATCTGTTTTTTTTTTTTTTTTTACCCTCCATGTTTTGTCGACAGGATCTGTCAGAAGGAGGACCGAGGCCCAATGGCGGAGGAGTACTGCCAGTATAAGAACCTCAAAGCGAAACTCCGCCTGCTAGAGGCCCTGCTCAGTAAACAACAGGACTCAGCGAAGAGCAGTTGAATGAACTCACAGTGGGATTTTTCTCTTTCTTAACAGGAATCAATCTATTCTGAAAAAAAATGAGGCCTCTCAGGTCTGGTCTTGTTTCATGCCATGCTCGTAATGTTGATGCACTTTAGATGAGGAAAAAGAAGAAGTTATTGGTGATAATCAAATGCTATTAGACTGTATTTTTTTTAAAGTTCCTACAACACATCCCTTATCATTGACGGTTTCTTTTTTCTATCATAAACCTGATGTAGCAAGTGTTTTTTTCATGTAGCACTTGTTTATGTGAAAGATAGACAGCTGCATTAATGTAATGTTAGTAACATGTTAGTTTTTTAAGATCTCTGTATGTATGTATGTATGTATGTATGTCATGGCACTTTGTCGCTTCCTTTTTTTGTCCTGTGCCAAAGTACTAGTTTTGGACAACACTGTCCCTAGTTGATGTGGAAACTGCATTTTTCAAAAGTGCTATCTTGGCAAAAAAAGGAGTAGGCTTAAATGCAACCAATGCAACAATCACGTGTTATTGTGCATTTCAGTTTTTTAGTCCTACATTGTGCTATGATATGCATCAAGAGTTTTATCTGAATCATTCAGTGTACATGCTCACCGTTGAAAATATGTGAATGAGGGTGAACACTGGCATCGTAGTGCAAGTTATACCTGCTGTCAGATTTGTGTTTATCCCCCAATTTTTCCTGTATGAAGTCAATTTCCCTCTAAATGCAGTTGTTGACAATGCTTTTGACATTGTGCACTTCCGGTTCATATAGTTCTCTCTCTATATATAGACATATACATATATATGAATGTATCAATAAAAATAAATATTTTTTCACATTTATTCTGCTAAACACAGTTTCTGGTTTTACCTTCCTCCTCTCCGCTCACTACAACGAAAGAAGAGGAACTAATGCAGAAAAAGTCTCCATGGTAGAGGTACTGACAGCTTCCATAATCATGCTGCACAGAACTGCATCATGCTTATTCTTTAAAGGTTAACAAGTTCACAAATAGTTCACACTCGGTCATCAAAGACTCATAGTGAATCCACGTTTTAGAGGCTGTTGCATTAGTACTGCGTAAATTCCACAGCAGTTTCACTTCTTGTTTTTAATACCTTTGGTTTAAAAGACAGATGACTCTGAATGCTGCAGCCCTATACAATTGTTTTACCAGTCTGTGCCACTAGGTGGAGGTAAACAAAAGTCTGACATTGTCTACTGTAGAATGAGAGTAAAATGTTTTTTTTATAATGACAGTCAAAGTAATTAGAAACAAGAGAATGTTTGTCCACACAGGCTGTGGACTCAATATCAAGAGCATATCAATAAGAACAAGGCAAAGGTCAAGAACAAAATATGAGACAACTGGTTAAAAGAAACACCAGGAAACTGAGTAGAAGCAGCCCGTGTTGGTTAGTAGAGTTAAAGGGTTTGGTCAGTATGCCAGTGTTGATTTGAAGGATGTATGGATGAATCTGTGTCGTCCCAGGTTTCGATTGCTCAGTTTCATGTTTGTCGTTTTTTTTAATTAACCCTTTTGAGAGACAACAGTGCAGGTGTCAGCGTGTGAACTACTTCTTTTCCCCTCCGCTCTTCTTTGGGAATGATGGTCTCTTTAGAGAACAGAGCAGTGTCTGAGATATGTTTGTGAGCCTACTAAATCTGCTGCTTCATGCATGTGTTGGTCTGCTTCATCAGTACATGTGGACTTCCTGTACGTGTTTAGAGGTCAGTCACCTCAACTCCTTCCCTCCTCCTCCTCTTTCCTTTACATTCTGCTTATTTTTTTTAGCGTCCCACACTGATGTTGCAGGTCTTGCAGCTGGGGTCCTTCTTGGCATTTACCGTGGACAGACTCATCAGCTGGTGCCCACTGATCTCCGCCACAGTGCCCAGCGCCAGGTCCACAGGCTCTGTGTAGATCACCTCCAAGATGACATCCTGCGCGTGGTGGAATAATAGACCTTCACCTTCTTCAACCTGCTTGCAGGTAAGGAAACGGTTGTTGGTGATGTCGAGCAAAGGAAGCCTCTGCTTACAGAAGTCGTCTCCCCTGGAGCCCTTTGGCGCCAGCACCAGAATAACATAGTGGTAGGCTGTGTACATGCAGTAGAAGTCTCCAAAGTACAAGTTGGTGTTGGGGTTGAAGAGCACGTCAGCTTGCACCTCAAAGCGTTGTCGGCCGTAAGGGGAGTCCTGCGGGGGCTTGCCGGTGTTGAACTCTGTGTTGCAGCTGAAGAAAATGCCCTCCAGCTTGCCACTGATAGGTGAACCGTGGCTGCCGCTGTTGTCTTTCACTGAGGGCAGCATCCGGTTCTCCTGTGCCTCCCTGGAGTTTGGGGAAAAGAGGAAAAGAAACTGACTTTGAACAACCAGAAAAAAAGACGGTTCAGTTTAGGCCACATCAGTAACAAATCTGCACTTTGTTTTGATCTGTGGTTTTTGTGCTTCCCCTTAATAAATCAAAGCCATGGTTTTGTTTTGGGAATGGCAGATGGCGATGGCATCACTCGATCAAGTTTGATTACAAAATGATAAACAGGGTTAGAGACAGTGTAACACATGGGGGAAAAAAAACGGATGAAATATGCAGTGGTCTCGTAATCCAACGAACAGAGTGAACTCTCAGAACGGTGCCGTGTTGGTTCATTGTTTCTGTAATTGCATTAGCCAAGAACAGTTTGTCTCACTGATGCTTAAATATTTATTGACCTTTGTTAAGAAAATCTATTCTCACAGAACAAATCAACAGAAGAAATTTTAAAGCTATGAATGCTGCGGCAACCTCACACCTACCCCGAAGAGTACGGTAAATCTAAGCGCTGGAACTCTTATTACAAACTGTGATTATGCATCTATCAGTCCTGAGGTTGTCATTATATCATAATTGATGCTTTGTTGTGGTCATTATGGAGTTCTTCTGCTCCCACCTCAGGTCGGTGAAGTGTTTACTTCAGTTCTGTTTCTCCCCACATGGTGGAGCAGTTCAACTGTAACACTGTCCAAACACTATAGCAGATGTAACTCAGCAGAAGAGAGAAGTCTATTAACATGACGTCATGCTGCAAAGCTTGACCAAAGAGAGCGCACAAGCTGTGACTCTGGTGCAGAAACTGTGTTTTCTGAGGCGTAGAGCATTTTCTCCACAGGAGTGCAAAGACAGGAGATAAGAGGAGGGGGCCTGAACAGGAAAGTGGAAAAAAGTGAGTCACATGAATCCAGTTAAGGATCTGACTGCACAAAAGGCGACTCCACAGATATTCCTCGTCTCTGTCCGTCACACTCTACTTAGTCATCAAAACAGACTTGCACAGCTTTTCCTGCCACAAGCGTTTGTCTTTTCTCTTCTTTCTCCTTGACGACTGTTTGTTCTCCTCTGGCAGGGTTACAAACTTAGGCACATTGGAGAGGAACTACAAGGCAAAGACACAAACTGGCATTACATTTCATTCCTGTCATTTAAATGTGCACTGAGGGTAAGACTGCAGCAACCAATCTATGACTCTTTAAATTGCTTTTTGGTAGAGCTGGCAATGTCTTTGGGAGGTTTTTTAAGGAGAAATACTGCGGTATGGATTTCAGTGTGACCAAAATTTCATATTGCTAAACATGTTTCAGGAAGAGAGATATTTAAAGGTAAAGACACGGCCCAGTTCAGAAAAACACTTCTCAATAACATCCATTTACAGGCTGACTAGAATGAAAGTGGCCACATTAAGTCATAACAAACAACATAATGTTCAGTTAGTACAATAATAGACTTGGTTGTCTACCTGGCGTGGTCAAAGTACTCTTTATTCTGATTCCTGTAGAAGACGGAGAAAGGCAGCATCCGACCTGCAATGACCTCCGCTTTTTCCAACAGCTGGTTTAGATGCACTGTAGAATAATCTGCAGAACAGACACAAACACATGCAGTGAAATCTAATGTGCTGCTATGGTGAGGATCAGAAACCAATGAAAAATATAATTAGCAGATATGTAATCATGAACAGCGGGAAGCTCTGTGGCAGGGATGTGAAATAAACTGAGTATGATGACCCTGAGATACGCCCATCTTTAACCTCTTTATATTTATGACTTGAAATGACTCAGCAGTGGATATAAAAAGCCTTTCACTATTTTTACTAAGTACTATAATAAACTCTGCTCTTACCACTGTGTGAGCAGGTCTGCCAAATGGGAGTGGATTTTATCCAAAGCATAAATTTTATGATGATGAAGACTCTTCTCATGACATTTTTCTTTAAAAGCACTTCAGCGCTGACAAGGACAGCTATAGAAATTCTCCTTTTTTCATGCACAGAGAGAGTAACTCAGACAAAAATGAAACATCATGGTGTTTATTTGGATATTTTTGACAAAGTTCAGAAGGCTACTAACATTACTGGAAAGCAAAGGTTATATTAGAGCATCCAGCAATATTTACTTTGAACATGAACATTTTGTCTGTGCCAACATTTGGCCTTTTTTAAGACTTGTTCAGGTAACGGGTAATCAGCACATTGTGATTTCACAAAAGCTCATCTCTCTCTTTTTAAAAAGTGTCTTGTGCAAACCAACAGGATGGAAGGATACCCTGAAGAGTGGGGATTTTCAAACACTCTAAAATCCCCTGGGTTAAAAACAACCCAAATTAGGTTTTTTAAACCCAACACCAGGGTTGAAAAGGGGCCAACTACATATTGGGTTATTTTGACCCAGAATGTTGGGTTATTTAAATTAACCCAAATTTTGGGTTGACTCAATAACTCGTTTTAAGGATCAAGTTAACCCAATCTTTGAGTTAATTTGACTCATGATCTTGGGTTAAATTGATATATGCATTTGGGGAGCTTTTTTGGGAGCTTTTCTTATACAACCTGTACCCTATATTCCCATGTACTTTTATCTAACTGATTGGTGGGAATCAGTTAGTTTAAAGTACATGTGAAAATAGGGTCAATAAAAGCCAATTGCCATTAGGCCTAGAAACCACGTAGAACCCAACATTCTGACCCAATTATTGGGTTTCTCTCAGAAAAATAACCCATAATTATTAACCCATTCAATAAACCCTTAAATTGGGTTACAATAGAATCCATATGACCCAAGAAATGGGTATGGATCTGAAAAATAACCCAGAAATTTAACTCAACACGAACAGTATAACCCAGGAATTGGGTTGAAGAAATAACCCAGTAGTTTTTAGAGTGTATGTTTGTGTTTCAGTATTATAAGGACACGGTCAAGAATATCTTTACAGCCCAATCAGTGAAAAAAAAAAGGCTGAGATATAGGTGTTTAAAAGACAGTTTTAGTCATTAAAGCTGCTCATCTGCTGTGGAAAATAACAGTGCTAAATGTCAGGAAACATCTTGCTTGTAAATTTGAGAGCTTAATTTCACAGACTGTAATATCAGAAGGCTGCAAGCTGCAGGGTAAGTGATTTACACATGGTGACCCAGGGAAAACATTGCTGATAGCGTGACGGAATTACAAATGTTTCCTAAAAATGTGTCAGAAAGAGGATTTTGAGCTTGGGAAACAGAACCCTGAGAACATGAAAACACACTCTCATGAGGTTTGTGGAGAAAGTGCCATGAAATCTGGAACATAAAGTAGTTTAAGTCAATATGTTTCTTTAGACACAGAGGGACTAAATAAATGCTTCTTTTTTGTGTGTGCATAGTGCCCCAATAGAGGCGCACTAGACCAAAGTCTAGACATGCCTCTGTCCCAGTTTATTTTTCTTTATGACGATGTTAAATCAGAAAATTAAACCGAACATTGTAACTGTTTACATTAGTGTGTCAGCATTGTGATTGTGATCTTGATCATATGCTAGCTATTAGCACAGTAATACTGCATTTTAGCATCACTTTCTCTCACTACATCATCCCCTCTCATGACTCTGGACTCTGGTCTTCCCTCTGCTGCTTGTCATCGCTTTACCCCCCAGCCCCCAAACACACACACACACATAAAACTAACCAATGAATTACCCTCCAGTCTCTTGCCATCATTTCCTCACCCTTCTCCCCTCCCCCACATAAAGCCTCCAACCAGCTCTGTTGAACTTGCTGACCTCTGCATCAGAAGATATACAGCCATGCCTCTCCCTCTTTTAATCCCTCATCATCCCGCCCTCCACCTCTCCATTCCCTTGATATAAATTAGCTTTCTTTTAAGATCCTCCCTCATACTCAAACTATTTCTTTTATATTTCTCTGTGTTAGTACTAGTAGTCAAGTACAGGCAGAAATCATGAGTCAAGTCAGACATACTAAAATGTATGTACTCTGGGCACTGCCTGTTGTGTATTACTCACCAGCAGTGCAGAACTCAACAATCTCGCTCCACTCAGAGATGGCGTAGTCCCCATCAGTCTGTTTTGATGCGGTCTGAACGGCCACGGTGTACTCTGTGCGGGGGCTCAGGAACCAGTGACCCCGCACTGTCATGGGCAGGGGGACGGCTTTGGCCACTAGTTTAGTGGGGACATCCTAGAAGACAGAAAAAAGACAGGAAAGAATGAGTCTAAAAATATACTCCCCCACATGCTGAGATTTGCAGATGCATGCCTGTGAAATCAAACATGCAGGCTTGTATTTGACATATTCTGAGTGTCAGACAGCAGTTTTCACCTGTGGCTGCCCTTTTGATATGTAAGTACGATATTCTGTTCACTATTCACCCCTCTCCAAGCCTAGTGGGCTTCAGCAGCTCATTGATTGGACCAGGAGCCCCTGCCTAGCAACAGAGTCAGCCCATTAATCCACTGTTGCTGCACACCAAAATCAAAATACAAGCACGAGGTCGCCCCGCTATAACAGAGCCAGAAGAGAGGAAACTCTCCGCCAAGCATCACCCAGGAAGTGTATGTAGGTGGAAACGAAGGAGGCTGATGAAACAGGCCTGTAAGATTACCAAAACAGATCATGGACTCTCCTCTGAAAGAGTGAAACATTCTCCCTGCTGCTGCTTCTGCTGCTATAAGGGTGATAACTCCCAGAGAGAAAAAGCCTTGTGGGTGATTTTAGTCTGTTTGAGTCTTTTTGCTTCATGATTGAGAGGAAAGGTTGTATTTGGGTGAAATGTGCGATACCAGTGTTTTATGTTTTAGTTTTAAAAGCAAGTGTCAAACACTCTGATCAACATATTTAGCTGATTATGAAGCAAACTGAAATTAGTACACATGTCTCCACATAACCAAAACAGGCCACAAGGCTATCATGGACAAGACTAATTATCTCTTTGTCTTAATTTTGGATGCTGTGTCAACAAAGTAACTGCATTTGTTGACAATTTCCACAAAAGTAAATGTTTTACTTTATTTTTTGACGGAAACAGATCAAGATTAATTTAGGACAGTGGTTCTCAAGTCCAGTCCTTGAGGCCCCCCTGTCCTGCATGTTTTGGATGTTTCCCTGCTCCAACACACCTGATTCAAATGATCAGCTTGTTATTAAGCCAGTACAGAGCTTGATAACGAGCTGATCATTTGAATCAGGTGTGTTGGAGCAGGGAAACATACAAAACATGCAGGACAGTGGGCCTCGAGGACTGGACTTGAGAACCACAGAGTTAGGAGATACATATACAGGACGTGTACAGGACAAGACCAGTGCTAAGTTAGAAAGTATCCCAAAAGATACTGTGCCAAAAAGTAACCTAACCTGCAAGTTCCTCACAGGAGCTTTGAGTGACCTAAGTAATCAACTAAGTAATTCCAGTATAGTTCACGTATTGTTAAAATATTCCCTTTAGCTCACTGTCTTACAATTTTAAATAACTATCCATCCTAAGTTAGTACCTAGATGGCCACTAACAGCATTTTGCAAAAGATAGCTTTTGAGATTTTTTTTGCAGGAGGTGGAACAAACAGAAAAACCCTCTATTGAAACTGTGCCTGAAGATGTATATCTGCACATTGCCTATTCTGGGCTATTACAGGCTATTACATTCTGTTTATTCAGTGTCCTCACTCACTGAATCACAAACATAAACCTCTCATCGCTGACACATTTAGTCCTTATTTATAAATGCAGCACATTGAATTCAGTGTCAGGTCTTTTAGTGAGTCATCTCTCTTCATAGTGTCACCTCAGCGTGCGTCTGCGCTAATCCGAGTGTTTTACCTTGTGTTTGAACTTGTTGGAGTTTTTGTTTTCCTTCTTGTTCAGGTCAATGAAGTAGTGTGTGATGCGCTCCTTGCTGCGGGCCTCCATGTCCCAGCAGATCTTGAAAGAATCGCAGGTGATGTTGCTGATCTTGATGTTCTGGGGGACGGGGAGCTCCTCTTCGGTAAGGCTGCCATCTTGGGCTTTACTCCCTGTGTGGTAGGAAAGATATATTGATATGATATGGGCTAAATAATGCAAACTTAATACGGCTATCAAATATGAATTACATGACATTAATGTACTGGAGGAGCCCCTTGAGAACGAACTATTTTTGGACACTACATCCTTTTTTAATCATCATTTTTCTAAGCTTTACTAGTTCAACATCATTGCTGTGAGATACTCATAAATAACTAGGGAACCAAACCATCATACTTTAAATCCTCTATCTATGTCAGGCTTTTATTCGGCTGTCAGAATATCCTTATTTTTCTTCTCTTTCTTATAAAGCTTTCACACTCCTGCGGTTCCTAAGTAATTATTCCACAGACACCACTTACAGTCGTGTATCCGCAGGATCACACACTCGCACAGGGAACTGCCTGTGTCGCTTACTACCATATATGTTGCCATGGAAACACATCAGCCCATGAACACACACACACACGCTCATACACACCTAACTGCTTTCCAGAAGATATGCAGCACTAAATATTTCAAACACTGCCTATAGAACCTCCTCTCCTCTTTGCAAATAGATGGATCCATTTGTAACCCGAGTAAGGTTACACTGTAGGAAATACACATGAGCTTTCAGCAGTATCATTTATTTGCTGGTGAGTTTCTGTTGGGAATGTGCAATTTGAATAAAGTCGAGTTTACTTTAATATTTGAATTTGCTAGTTTGGCTTCAATGGAAAGACTTGCTTTATAGTTTTACATCAAATATTTTGATTAATTTCACATTTCCCTGTGGGGTTGCTGCAGAGCTGCAGAGCTACAGAGATTATATGCATTATCCCATCCCTGTGAGTACAATGTATCAAATGCGTGCAACCCAAAGCGCACACTGAGGCCAATGAAAAAAATGTCAAAACACAGCTGAATGAGGGCTTTGTAGAATTAGAGTGAATATAGACTTTGCGTCATGCTTGGAGACGCCCACTTGGCAGAGCAACAATGTGTTTTCTGTGCACGCTCTGGGGTCTGAACACGAGAGTGAGTAAAATGCAAGAACGCAGAATTTGGGAGCAATGCAAAACACGACTGGACTCTATGGAGTGGAAACAAAGGCAGGAGCAGCGGAGCATGGAACATCCATCTCCACTCATCAGCTTAGAGAGGGGGCGACAGGAGAGAATAATCTCATAATTGGGCTGTGTGGACTCTCCTGTCTCGCCTCCACACACCACTCCAACAGTGGGGCATTTGTAGATTGAATCACTCTAGGAAATAACTAGAAGGTAATTCATTCATTCAATCTGCATCTTTTCCTCGACTCTTGATCCAGACTTGTTTTCCAACCGTAACTTCAGGCCAACTTAAAACATCACCCACTGGAAACAGATGTACATTCTTCACCTCCAGACCAGACTAACCAGACCCCCTGCTTACTTTTGTCCTTATAACCTCTTCCTAATTACAAGTGGCTGATTAACGAAAATAATCATCTTTAGCCTCGATTGCTTCAAATTTTATACCCTTTCAGAAGAAAGAAAGACAACTTACTATCAGACAACTATTTTGGAACAAAATGTAATAAATCTCCACAATACAATATATCAGTATGGTATAGTATTAAATAATATTATATAAGACAGTATTAAATGACAAACCGATTCTGCATAAATAGCCTTACGCCCTTATCCTTGGCTTATCCAGCATGACCATTTTGGATACATGCGGAATTACTTCTTGGAAAAACTCATATTTTGAAAATCTTCAACCTGGATTTACTACTTTTTTATGACTTAATCAGAAAGGATGGGGCAGAGAAAAGAGCAGAAAACTTTGGAGAGAGCGGGATTGACATGCAGGGAAGAGGCTGCAGGTTGGAATTGAACTCTCATTACCCTTAAACTGTTCAGTCGATGATGCCACTAAACTTATCTCGATTTAAACTTAAAGAGATAAATAAATTAAAACTCCAGATCAAGTTTAAAGAATTGTCTGAGTGTCAATGCCTTTATCCAGAGCAAAGAGAACACTGGATGAAGCAGAAAACAGGAGACAGAGTAGAGGAAGGGAGAAAGGCACGAAAGAGGCCGAAGGTCGAAATGGAGCCTGGCCTGCCCTTGAGGACTAAAGCCTCTGTTTATGGGGCATGACTGAACTTCCAGGCCAAACCAGCACCCCTCATTAAAATCATTACGAGTAAAATATACAGCCTTGAAATGCAGATATGCTGAGCTCTGACACCTTTAGCAAGTCTGTTTTATAATTAGCATTGTAACTTATTGTTATTGTATTATTATTTATATCTGTTTGCATCGATTTCTGCACTTTTTACCAATTAATGGAGTCTTGAAATCCTGTTTGGACCAATAACTTGAAAACTGAGGACAGAGCATCTTCCCAAACAGTTGTGCTGAAACTGTCTGAGGGATCTTTGCTGTTAGGTGCATGTTTGGGTTTGCAGAAAGGATGGGATGTCAGTTTAGCAGCTCCACCAGCACAGTATGCCACTGGCTGTCAGGGTGGTAGTGTGGCTACACATCCCAGAATGGGAGAAGATGGAGGCACAGGGTTCATATTCAAATACAGTCAACAGTTTGTCTGACACAACAGCATCCCCTCCTGCTGCTAGTGCAAATTGGAAACCTGTCTCATTCTACTTTAAACCCCTCTGGGGCGCTGATAGCCTATAGGTTTGAGAACCCCATGTATGTAAGCTATAGGACCCGCTGGTTTTGACCCTTTGCTGCATGTCTTCCCCGCTCTCTTCTCCCCTGTCTCTTCTCAGCTGTCCTAAATGCAAACACGCCCCCAAAATATAACTTAAAAAAACACTCCTCTTAGCTGATGTGTTTGTCTCAGACTGAAAGGGTCAAACAAAACATGCTGGTGCAGACCTTGGTCAGTAAACGCTCCACCAAGTCAGCACAGACCAGACACTGATGTCAGCATTGTGGCGTCTCACCTGGGAATTTATGTTGCTGACCTTTACTGAACAAAAGTAGAATACAAAGGAGCCAGATGTCATTCTCTGGCATCTACTTTCGAGAAAGATAAAATATAGCCAAGGATATTTCTTTAAAAAGCCTTACTGAAGAGTACTCTGGAAAATGCTGAGTAATTCAGGCCTTTAGGAGCCGATGCTAGAGGTGTGTTATATTATAGCAGGATTTGTTGACATTATTACCACGACTAGAAACCTTCTATTTATTTCGAGTCTTGTACAACATGCCAGGTGATTACTGTTGTTAAAAAAACACAACCTTCATGTAACTTATTTCTTCCTGGACACTTCCTGGATATCATCACTGTGATCATCAACCAAAGTCAAACACTAACCATGATAAACCAGTCAGCTGAGTTTCTTTGTTGTGCCTGAAGCAGGTCCTTTTCCTCTTCTGCTCAAACAATTAATGTCAACAATAAGCACCCTGACAGTAGACCCCATGCGGGTCTTTGCCCTCCCAGCTCCCTGTTACTCCACACTGCTGATTTAACTCCTGTTTACTCTAATGCTCTGCTAATTAACCTGCAAATTAAGGCATTACACCCACAAAGTGAAGCTTTCCGAATACAGTGGGATAATGCAGATGCAACACTATTAAGGCTCCTCAGTCGGGCTGAAAGTGATGTTATCAGGGAAAAGAAGCTGTGAAAGCTGCAGTTTAAGGGGGAAGATACAAGGAAACGCACATGAGATCAACCACAGTGTTGTTTTATAACACGAGCAGAACAGATCTGACAGAAGTCTCCTGGTAAAAACATTAGATTATTAAAAAGTGAGGCCTAAATAATGATGAAATTGACTTGCTGGGTCCAAATCAGAATCTCAATACCTTTATGTGTACAAGGCAAGCCTGGCTTGAGGTAAATGCAGTAGCTTTGTCAGAGCCAGTACTAAGCTGTGTTACGAATCCTTAGGGACAGTGAGAGCGCAGGATGAAAGATAGAAGAGCGAGAGCCAAGCAGGATGAAGGTCAGGCGTTAAGGGAGAGAGTTAAACCTTTTTACGAACACACATGGGAGGCCCAAACCCTGGTCCAACTTAAATTTAGATGCTGGTATAGTGGTTTCTTAGCTCTCGCTGCTTCCCTCTTGCTTCTGGGCGGTCGGTAGCAAATATTCATTTTGTTGAGTCATTATTATTTGTTTCAGTGTGATGTGTAGAAGTTGGAGGCTGGGGGGATTTTTGCCTCATCATGATAAAGCAAAGTGAAAGTCAACTTTAAAGCCGTTGCTTAGTGTGGGCTTAGTAGCACACATTACTCACGCTGTAAACACATGTGCGGGGGTTTAGGATGACATATATTTTCATGTAAGTGCTCAAACCAAGCACCAAAATAAAGGGCACAGATAGATCTGCGTTATAGGAAAAGCATCGAAATGATGGAAAGCCTATTCTGTGCATAAGCCTATCAAATGAACCTTACTGGCTATTGCCCTTTATGCGTGCAGTCAAATGCCAGTGTGAAGTAGCAATAGATGCAACAAGAATCGATAAAAATCTTGTTAACATGCATGCATAGACTCATCGTAATGGCTCTCTGTGGTAGGATTTGTTCCAGTCACACCTGGCTTGATACGGTAAATCACTTGTTAGCTGAGAGGAAAGTTATTTGATTTCCATTCAGGCCTTCTAATAGGCCTAACATAATGTAAATGGACTCTCTGGTTGGTGTTAGGTGATAAAAGTGTCCACCGTTTGAGGCCAGTTGAAAGTCCACGATTCTGACTTTGAAAACAAGTCAACTTTCAGCGAGGGGTTAGCGTTGAAAAATCTGTTTGCCAAGTATTGTTGGCAGGTGTCTAAGGTGAAGGATGAATTGGCCGATTATAGTAGCTCTGATAGTTTCTGACAGCACAAGTGGGCACTAGGTTCAGACAGACAAGCTTCCTGTTGTTCGTGTTGCAGTGTTCCCTCTAAATCTAAAACAGTGCTATACTCGCAAGGCATCGATGCTTGCAGGTCTTTGAAAATCACATCTTTTGTTTCACTCAATGCACAGACTAGACCGAGACACAGAAATAAAAACCGCAACTGCGTCAGGGTTACACAGTCTGTTCCATCCATAAGATGTCAATATTCTCCTGAGCGGCAGACAAAGACCCGGTAAAGACACTCTAATAACGCAGCCTTTGGTGGTGAAGTGGACTCTTTTGGCTCAGAATCGACTCACTGAAGAAATAAAATGAAGAAGACCCTTAGGCACCAGAGATCTGTTTTTCTAAAGCTATTCATAACAGGAGTGACTCATTGTTTCCCATTTACAGAGAACTTAAATTCCCAAACAACAGATTGCTGTACAATCTTTCAATCAGTACAAGTCTTGAATTTCTGTTTCAAATTCCTCAACAATCAGGCATTGATGCTGCGTAAACAGAATAAACATGGTGCACTTTTAAGGGTCAAAACAAACTAAAATCAATCCCACATTCGTCTGTTTGAAACAGCAAAGAGAAAATATTCAGCAGCTGATAAGCAACTGTGCAACATGTACCTTAAACAATTGCCAGCACAGTCATGACACACAACTGTTCGCATTGAATGCCCGCCAAACTGAAATGCCAGCTTACTCAGACTGTATGTCATAAGCTTTGTGTTGTTATGGAAAACAGATGGAGTCTAGAGCCATAATAGCAGCTTAGAGAAGCTGCACCTTAACATAATGGTACTACCAGCTTAATGCTACTAACAACATGCTAGCATATCAGTGTCAAGATGCTCATATTTCTTATGTAATGTAGCTCACCATCTACGTTTACATGAGCATACTGTGCTTCATAAGACAGCTAACGTTAACAAAGTAGGTTATTGAATAAAAAAACAGTTAAACTCAATGACAGAACAAAACAAGGTATTCTGGGTTGGTAGTGATATTTGGCCATATTCAACAATCAGCATAAATAGCAGTCAAACACAGCAAAGCTAGCCACATCAGAACGATAGTAGGGAAAACAGAATAGTCAGTAGATTGTCTACAACAGAACCCTAACCCCAACCAAAGGTGCTCATTCAGTAGTTGTTCATATAGTCTGGATGGAGAAAGTGAAGGACAAACAGACTAGTATTGCCATCAGATCCATTTTGTCAGTCAAAGGGTCGGAAATGTGGCACATTTAAGAATAAAAAGCAGACTGCACAGTCAGTCTCCCACTATCTTTTTGATCTTGCGAAGTTATATTTTCAATCATGTTTTCGGCACTACTGAGGATTGAAAAGCAAGCTTTTTATTTCAGTGCAGAGGCACAGCAATCCAAGAAAAATCCTGCTGCTGACTAGTAATTGGTAGGCTCAACACTGAGGGGGCTTTTCTCCTGTATTTGACAGGCAGTGACAATGTTAAGGCACCTTTAGGAGATGGATTCTTATGTATCTGTCTGTCATTACAAGGCGTACACTTCAAGAGGCTGTCACAGCTAGAGCCGCAGTATTTCCAGCAGGGACATTTCAGACACAGTACTTGCTTCGATCCATCATGCAACTTAATTGTGTCAGTGACAACAGCGCAAAGGCCCTGCACTGCATGTTGCATGTTTTTCATTACCCCCTGTTAATGCACATCAACTGTGCATATCAAAATGACGGTCCAAGTCAGCTTTGCAGAGGCTGAGCAAATTTGGCAGCGGTTGTCGGTGTTGTCAGACCTGCACACACAAGTGACAGAGACCTCTTATTCACAGGAGCCTATTCTTTAATCTTCCCATTACTCATCACTCTGAGCAAAACACTCATTCATGTCACAACCCCATCACTACACTGAACCATTAAGGCTGTTACACTCCCTCAACTCAGGGGACACAAAACAACTTGTGTTTCACCACTTCTTTGAGAACTAAAATGCTCAAATAGTCCTCAGTATGTGTGTTTGTGTATGTGTGAGTGTGTGTTCGTGAGAGAGAGCGGGAGACAGAGAGCTTTTTCCCACAGACATTTGTAGGCTGCATGCATCCCCATTTGCTGGGTCAGCATAGGCACATAAGCCTCTCATGCTGGCAATTAAATATTAATGGATATGGGAGTTAAATTTAGAAGACTGTTGTATTGAAATGAATACCGTCCTTGGAAAAACTTGCATAACAATAGAAGAGTCCATTTCTGAGAACATGATCAGTGCTCAATTTTCTGCAAAGTGGTTTAGCGAGAATTTTTTTTTTTTTTTTTAGATTTTTTGTCTTTTGAAGTAAGAAACAAACTAAAAAAAAAAGTGCTGAACACCACAATTACATTTGGGATCTATCATCAAATGCTTTTTGAATTATTTATACACACATTTTAGACTTTTTTTTTTTTTTTTTTTTTGCCAAATTACAGAAGACATGACCAGATTTAATGGCATAAGCATGTTTTTAACAGAAATTATTTAGATGACAATTGAAGCGTCTCTGTCTTTAGCACATGGATTATCTGAGGTTACAAATCCAGACACTACTATGCAAGCTATTTACTCCTCCGAATCTACACAAAGGTGGACTTTGTCAGTGTGTTGCACCATAAACAGAGCATGTGGGTGTCTCAAGGACACAGAAGCACCATTTACACTGGTTGAGAGACTTCAACTCCTTCAATAGGGAAGTGGCTGTTGGGCTGCAAGGATCAGGCTTATCAAAATAAAAGCATTCCAGTAAAGCTGCTGCTGCAGAGGAAGTACAGAGATGACATGGGGTCCATTACAGAGAGAGACCAGCCCTGGCCGATACAGCCATTATTAAAATTACAGTTTAGAATCAGGCCAGCAGAGCACTAAGAGGATATAAATTGCGTCCGACTGCATTACATTTTAAGAAGGAGCAGCAGGGGCAGATGAAAATGAGACAGTGTGTTACAAAGGCTTCTCTGTGATCAAGTGCAGGGGGTCTTTTGGGGCCTTTTTGAAGACACACCATTGATTCATAGCAGTCAGTCCAAATACAGATCAAGGCAGTCTGTGAAGAGACTCAAATTAAATCCGCTCAGCTATGAAAAAGGTGTGACCCTGATGCCATTGCCATGGCTGAGGGTTAATCAAAAATCTTAATTACAAAAGGAACTCTGTGAAAATGCATCTGGACTCAGATGTGAAATCGAATGTGTGTAATTGCACTGATGGGTGTGTAAGGCTGCACAGCCTGTGCACACACGTGGGTGCAGCCATGTTTGAGACTCATTCTCTCCTGATGATGACTTGCTTTTTTCCTCCCATTAAATTCGCATCAGGTTGAAGCCTGCTCATGCAAAATCTGTTTACTCTTAATGACATTTGAAGATCAGCTATTCAAAGACTTCTAATGTGTAATTAAATTCACGACTTTGCTTTTTTCAATAGTAAATAATAAGGAAACTTCTGAATTAGTAGAGGTGAACCCCAGGCTACAGCATGGGTGCAGCTGCATGACTTGATGAATTAAAAATTCAAACGCAGGTGGAGAGTTTTCTGTAAGTTTAGGATTGGCTGAAACATTCAGAATGATCATTTGCAACCACACAAATGCACAGGGTGTAATGCAGCATGTGCAGATAGATTGATTAAGCCAACTCCCTTAGATACAGCAACGAGGCAGCGGTTAAAGGCGGGGTGTCTGCCGGTCTCTGTCCATATCTGTGGTGCTGAAATGCATCCATTTAATAACCCAATCATGTTTATTCGCCTGTGCATGCTCAGTGTGCAGGAACACGCATTTATTCTCTACTGACAGCTCAGTTATGAATGGACTTCACCCCAGTGTCACAAGAAGACGCTCAGATATTCCACACACGCACAAGCGCGCCATCCATCCCCCCTGTGCATCCATCTATCTGTAAGAAACCGGCAGAACGAGCAGCCCCTACTCCCTCTGAACACACAATACGGGTACAACAGACTGGGTACGTTGCAGTGGCACTATATAGGCCCGTAGTGCACCGATATCATGCGCAAATGTCTTTACGTCCAAATGAAATGCAGACAAACCTCCCCTTACCATCTCGTTCGCATAACTGTATGGCGTCCAAGCTGAGGTCCTTGATCATGCCCTCGCAGGGACTTAATGGACTGGTGATGTTGTGCGCAAAGCCTGGTACATCCATCTCTGCAGAAAAGTCTGGATGATGATGATGCTACTGGTCAGACGCTTATTGTCCACGGGGTTTGCGCAAACGCAGGGTTTATGTCCACGCTGGTCAACGAGGGAAGAAGGGAAGAAAGAGGAAGAAAGACCGGTTTCCAGTCAGTCAGTCCCCTGCTCGGTCCGTCGCTCACAGTTCTCTCCTCCTCTCCTCCTCTCCACTCCTCTCTGTCTCCTGGGTGGTGCGGCTAGTGGCGCGTCAGCGGTATCGTCACGGGCGCGAACAGCACAGCAAGCCGCCAGTTTGGGTTTGCAACGTGATGCATTCTGCAGAGATGCGTATAGATCTGAACCAACCTCCGAGATATGGCAATCTGCTGCTTTATCCAGTTTCACGCGCCTCTGTAATTCTGGAGCCACAAGTGTGCGCGCACGAGTTTGTGTGCTCCCCGTGTACGTTATACTACCGCGGGACGCTTGAACATGAATGGTTCAGCGGATTAGTGCAGAGACTCTCTGCAAATTCAATGGCCTCTTATGTAACCAGATTAGGACGGTGTCCCCCCTCCGGTTTATAGGTCTCCTTCTACACTACTCTCCCGTTCTCCCCCATTTCACGGCCAACGTCATCCCAGCAAGGGTCTCTCACATGTCCTTATTTGGTCAGGTGTGGCCCTTTCGCACGGGCGCAGGTGCAAGTGGAGCGCACAGTAATCAGATTGGGGGTTGGACGCTGACATATTGCACGACATAATGAATGAAAGAATGAAGAGCCTTTGAATTTACATTCCGTGGACGATCCTTCTTGCATTGTAATGGCTCATAATAAAATGCAAACCCCCGTGGGAGCCAGAAAACTGAGTTATGCCTGTTTGTGGGTTGTATGTTATCTCCCCTATACTGCTACACCCTCTTTATCAGTGGCCCCCAGGAACAGGATTGCCAAAAATAAAAGGTCAAGTGCAGAGGGAAACTGTGGCCAAGCACACACTTAAGGCTTCAGGCAGGGCTGTAACACAATGTGACCATCAAGGAGTTACTGTGGAGTCATTTACATTCTTATATTTCCTCTGGCAACATTGTCTCCTTCGCATGCTCAATAGGAGAGCACCAGAGAGAGAGTATGTCACTTCTTATTTGTTTTTATCCTCTCTCAGTGTTATGCAAGGCGCCCGGTGGAGACACGACAGTCTTTATCTATTCAGCAGACGCCATAGCTCATCTCTGTTTGAGGCATGCTGATGCAGCAGCAGCATCACCTCTGAATGCTGGCAAACTCTGGCTGTGTGAGAAAAAGGTGCCAATGGCAAATTATGCCAATGGGTATAATATATGAAGTCACAGAGAGGTAAATATGCAAGAAAATGTCATGTTGTGCCATAATCAATGCCAAAAAATGTGCAGCACATCGCAGAAAATGAGTCATAATAGAGGCATTGATTTGGTGCTGAAGAGAATAATTGCAGTTTACGTTTTACTACTTGTCATCCCTCACCCTCGGCTCTCCCTATTTCATATCCTACCTCAGCTGTGGTATGAGAAATAACATTAAAAAAAGAGCACCACATTTCTTTAACCCTACTCCCCTACTCATGTCATGCAGCTGGTGCCCTTTTAATATTTCTGCCCTTCATTCTCAGAAAGCCTGATTCAGTCACTGCTAATGGCCTGGAACAATATGACCATTTTAAATCCTAACTCTTCATTTTAGTCATAATTACAGATAGCTAGTCGGTGAGCATTTTCATGCATTCTGCAGGATTAGTAAATGGGGTTATGGCGGGCAGGCAAATTCGAATCCTGGTAAGCTCATAATCACGCTGGCATTCAGATTCAAGCATATCACATACACCACTGAAGGTCTGAATTTATTTCACGCTCAGATTTTTATCAGGGCGGTGCTGCGTCTGGCTCAAATTTCCTGCCTGGGAAGTACATCTCATTAGAAGTGAAGGTCAGGATGCTGATGGCCTGCAAGAACACTGAGGCATCTGCGTCTGAGGAGGAGAAGAGAGGCTGAGGATTCACCTATTATTCAAAACTCAAGTTATTCATGTAAGAAAGTTGTGTGCAGCAAGATGTTTTTAGATGTTGGATGACTAATCGACTGCCCCCCTCCTCATGCTGTCTGAGATGCTCCATCATTAAAGAGCTCTGCACTGATATCCACAGATTAACACAGCATCTGTTTAAATGACTCTGTTTCCATTATAATTCTATCAACCCGCGAGTGAGCCCAGCAGAAACATAAACAAACAGCTTATGGCTTTAACTACCCTGCATTTAAAAAAAGCTTAATTCTTTCAATCATCCTTTTTTCCCCCCTCCCAATTTACCCATCTCTGCCGACTCTGCTTATCTGCTACGGCACAGGATGAGGAGGAGGTATTTGATGAAGAAAAAACACTGATTCTGGAGGTTTCATCGCATCCTACCTCCACCCGCTCTGCTTGCCATCCCTTCCTCCCTTCCCCTCATCCCCACCCACTGCGCCCCCTCCAGCAAGATTCATCATGTGTTAGCGTCAGTGTTTCCAGCAGAGCTGCAGGAGGACTGAGGAGAGTGACACTGTGTCCCATGCAAACACACACCCAGCCAAGTTCATCCCCTCCCCCTTTTTCTTTCCCTTCACCCACATCCTTTCATCCTTTACCTTTTTCTACTTTATTATCACTTTCCCTTCTAAAAGCACGCTTCATTTTATGTCTCATTACATTTTCTACTGTTCCTCCTGCTCTCATATGTGCATATTTCTGAGGTGTGTGTGTGTACACTATATGTCCTAGTGTGCCCCTTCCTGAGAGTCCACTCGGATCTGCTCACTCTGCTGTCCCTGGAGCTCAGGGGCCAAATGAACCCACAGTGACAGATGGAGGAGTAGCAGGTGTAGTGAGAGTTGGAGAAAACCTGCCAGATAGGTTTAGGATTTATAGATGGATAAAGAAAAACATGAGTGTTTAGAATACAAATATCTCTCCAACAATATGTAGTATCATACACCCACACAACATATATTCAACCCCAGGGTCACCACACTTCACCTCTCATCCAGGAGGTCAGTTATAGGCAAGTATATAGAGCACAGGCCACAAGATTGTACATTTGCAGGAAACAACAGCAAGTCTCCAGGGCTTACCGTGTGTGTGTGTTTGTGTGTGTATGTGTGTCACTGTGTAGCCCCAACACATTTGTCTGGAGGCCGTAAATGAAGCGTGTCATTGATTTGCAGTGTGAGCTGCGGGCTCAATGAGGCTTCAGTTTGATTGATAAAAGTAATGTGTATCCGTAAGTCTCCAAATGAAATCCCCCCTTTTAATCCCAAGCTTTTCAACAATCAAACCAATTCCTCCCCTTTCTTAAAATACAATTTAATTAATATTGAACCTTGTTGTTATCCAACATTCAAAGACAGGCCCAGGTGTTTTAATCAGCAGAGACTAATTAAAACAGGCCTGAAAGATATTCCAGCTAAATTAATTGAATCAATAGAGAGGGTGGATTATAACACACGCATTGCTTACTTGAAAAAAAGCATAATGGAGTCTCTGTTAGTGTCCTGCAATGACATAGTGTGGGCATGTTCGCAATCCTACAAAACAACAACATCTGTTTGCACTTGGATTTTGTACAAGCAAGATAAGCAAGTCAGTGAGCTTTGAGATGGGTATTTGTTTATTTTTGAACAGACCAAGGCCAACAATATTTTCAGTCTTTATGTAAGGCTAGCACGTGGCCCAGATTTCATTTTGTAGTAAATGATAAGAGTGCTCACAATCTTAAAATCTTCATGAAGCAAAGAGGCACATTTTCTAGTATGAAATAATCTCTTCAAGGAGTAAATCTTTGACTGCTCTGACCGAGTGGTGACCTTCCTGGTGTTGAAACTAAAGTAAATGTGGAAGTACAAATAAAAACAAAAATGCGGATCCTGAAAAGTCCACTGGAGGCTGTCAAGGAAGCCATGCAAAGGAGCTAAAGTATCCAGTTTTTGCAGCAGAAATAAAAATGTTAACCTCTGTGTGCAAAATCATTTTTATTATTACCTTTAAAAGTTTTCCACTTTTACACCCTCTAGATGGGTTTAAATACTCCGGAAATTTGAAATTTTTAACATACTATACTATAAATTTTTTTTTTACACTAAAATTTGAATTTTTTAAATCATACTATACTATGACAAATTTTTCTTACTACAATGTGAAATTTTCATCATACTATACTATGAAATTTTATCATACTGTACTTTAATATTTTTGTCAATCCATACTATGATGTTTTTTTCCATAGAAAAATGTTAAATTTTTATCATACTATACTATGACAATTTTATCATTCTATAGTATGACATTTTTATCTCATCCGCTTCATCCGCTTCACCGATTTGAGGGCCACTGCCATTGTGAAACACACTGCTTTAGTGTGCCTTTTTTGATGCTATACTTTGAAATTTTTATCATAGTTTAACATGACATTATCATCATACTATACTATGATATTTTTCTTATCAAACTATACTGTGCCTTTTTTAATACTAAAGTTAAAATCTTTATCATAGTATAATATTTCTATTATACTATACGATAACATTTTTATTATTCTATACTGACATTTTTTGTTTTAAGATTTTATATTTTTTAGCATAGTATACTATGACATTTTTATCATACTATATTTTGACACTTTTAACATTATTTTTTTCTGAAGTTGGAATTTTTCATCATACTTTACAAAATCCTTTTTTCAGATAATATGTGATTTTTTTTATCATACAATACTATGGCATTTTTTTCAAACAATTTTTTTTTACTACACTCTACTTTGACATTTTTATCATACTATACTATGATAATTTTACTATGACATATTTGAATAGAAAATTGAAATTTTATATCATACTATAATATGCCATTTTTTTTCAAATTAAAATGTAAAATTTTTACTTTACTATGACATTTTCATCATACTATACAATGACATTTTTGTCATACTATACTATGACATTTTTTCCTACAAAGATGTGAAATTATTTATCACAAAAAATGTGAAATTTTGTATCATACAAAAATGTGAAATTTTGTATCATACTCAAAATGTGAATTTTTTATCATAGTAAACTATGACATTTTTATCCTTTTATACTATGACATTTTTTAACATACTATACATGTCATTTTTCCATACTAAAATTTGACATTTTTATCATACTATTGTTTTTATTATAATATACTATGAAATTTTCATCATAATTAACATTATTATCAAAACAAACAATATTTTTTTTCATTCCTTACCTGACCAGGATTGGAGCCCATGACCATTTTTCTGTAAGGCCAAAGTGCTAACTGTTAGGCCACTGTCCTGCCCTCGTTAAAAGAAATCCTTTTATTAGACTTTTCTATAATCTTTCAAACATACTTAACTATGAGTTTTTTAAACTTTACTATGATAATTTTAACATACTTCAAACAAGTTCTTTATTGTACATCACTGTGACATTTTTTAACAAATTATAATAGGTAATTTTAATCATACTTTACTATGACAGTTTTTTTATCATACTATACTATGATATTGTTTTCACACTTAAATTTGAATTTTTAATCAAACCTTTAGATGGATTTTTTTCATCAAAATGTGAATTTTTTATCCTTACAACTATGACATTTTTTCATACCAAAATTTAAATTTTTTATCATCGTACAGTAAGACATTTTTTAATCATACTATACCATGATATTTTTTTATCCAACTATACTGTAACATTTTTTTGTTCTAAAATTTGATATTTTTATTCATACTATTCAATGGCATTTTTCAAAAGTGAAATTTGGTATTTTTTTCATAGTATACTATGACATTTATAAACAAACTAAATGACATTTTTTCATACTAATGTTAAGAACGTTTAATCATTCTTTTCTATGACATATTTAATTTAAACATGTGAAATTTTTTATAGTACTATACTATGATATTATTATCACACTACACTGACATTTTTTTCAAACTAAAATTTGACATTTTTATCATACTACACTATAAAATATTTTCACATACTACACTATGTCATTTTTTCATACTAACATTTCAAATTTTAATCATACTTTACTATGATATTTTTTTATCATACTATACTATGATATTGTTTTCACACTTAAATTTGAATTTTTAATCATACCTTCGGATGAAAATTTTACTTAAAAAATGTGAATTTTTTATCCTTACAATGATGACGTTTTTTCATACTAAAATTTGAATTTTTTTTTACAATATAGAAAGACATTTTTTAATCATACCATACCATTGTATTTTTATCAAACGAAACTATGACATTTTTCATTCCAAAATTTTAAATTTTTATCATAGTATACTATGTCACTTTTTCCATACTATTACAATGAAATTTATAAAAGTGAAATTTGATATTTTTTCATAGTATACTATGACATTTATATCATGATATACCATGGAATTTATTTACAAACTATACTATACTATGCCTTTTTATATACTCTACCACTACATTTTTATTTTTATTTTTATTGTACTATATTACTATACTATCTGGCAGAATCTTAAAGTTCATCACGACAGTAAAACCCAGACTTAATAGCTGACAGAAGCTCAAACATGTTCATCTTTATGACTGGACAACAAAAAGTTGATTGGATGATGACAGCTGTGAAACAATGGGATTAGCTGATGTTGAAAAGGTTAAGAATCCTCAGTCAGATGGTTGTGTTTGAAGTGGAGAAGACAAATATATTAGGAATGGACATAGCTATGAAAAAAAGGATTCCTCAGTGAACACATTATCATTGCTGCCAGACCAGCATTTTCCTTCCCAATGAGCCTAAAAAGCTGAAAAAAATGTTTTTTTCAAGGTGGATTTTCTTATTCTAAAAGACAGGAAATATTCACCTCTACTTCTTTTAATGACTCTGAAAGTCATGAGAAAAGAGACCTATTTGCTTTCAATTCTTAAAAGCCAACCTCTAAAAAATGAAGCTTTTTTATGTATTCTGCTCTTCGATTTTTCCAAGAACTGCCATAAATCAGTGACTGTCATTTTTCTTTGTGACTGCACAATGATCTTCTGAAATGATGTTACCAAATGCACTTGAGAGCTTCAGATTCCAAACAATAAGAACAGTTGCTGTAAGATTTTTGCATAAGAAAAGATGAACGCAGAAGATGAAACAGATTGACAGGCACAATGAGCCAGACTCATCACACACTGTAAGCATATGTTCTGCTGGATAAGAGCCAGGTGTGCTGGGAAGGGGAGGGGGGACTCTCAGCTCCTCTCATTTACACCTTTCCTGCAGAGGCAAGCTGCCCATGACAACAATATGTGAAGCTGTAGTGAGGTGGCCGCCAAGATTCAGAATAAATGCATGGTTGGTTAGTGGTTTAAAAAAGGCTTCGGTTCTTGTCTCTGCAATTTAGCCGTCTTTCACTCTCTCATCTCTCACATAAGAACATGAAATTGAAATTAGTCACACTGGGCACTGAGAATGATTGCCAGCTGTGTGGCAGATATAATAGCCTCAAGTGAGTGGAAGGGAGACTTTGAATACTAGGATGCTTGATGCATATGGGATCTTTACAGGGTAACATGTCGATGCTCTTTTAGCTTGATTTGAAATAGATTTGAAATAGACATCATGGCTCTGCTTGTGTTTTCCCTAGCACTTTCTTGACACATTACCCTTGTGCTCCTCATGATTACATACCAGTATTTACAACCATTTCAGTGTTATGATGTTAACCTGAAGGCATTCAGTTGTGTTTACCTCTTAACCCTGCTCCTGTGGAAAATAACAGAGAAGGAGAAAGTGAGTGAGTCACACAGCATGGTCCAGTGGCACCACCTGTTTGTTTTGAAGGCTGTGTCTTTCTCTCTGTCGGCCATCTGAACATTAATTTACTGCCATGCACAGAGAGGCACGTGGGAAGGGCTTGAAGCAGTTAATGTAATCATTAATTACACAGAAAATTAAATCACTCCCCTGGCTTAGGGCAAAATAAAGGCTGAGGAAGGGTTTGTATGGGCAGTCAGGCACACACAAACATACACACACACAGGCAATTATACACACCTCTTATGTGCCCACATTAAAAAGCTGTCATCTGATGTTCTAAACTTTAAGGTTAGGTCTATTTTAGAGAGCATACTTGTGCCATCCCCCCTAAGTGCAATTTTACTTGCATATATTTCGAAATACCACAAATAAATCAATTCTGTATTGTTGTTTTCAATTCCCATCCCACAGTCAGTTGCTGAGTAACCAGTCCATTGTCTATGGTGTACCAAAAAGAGTAATTCAAAGTGGCAACACTGCCCCCTAGAGTTTTTTAACTACAGTGTTGTTTTTCTTTTCTTTTCTTTTCTTTCCTTTTTATAGTGGGCATGACAGCTGAACAATAAAACTGAACAGGCATGAAACCAAGCTGTTCTTTATTCTTCGCCGCAGTCTGTGTTGTTGTCTTTGCTTTGCTGAGCTGGTCAAATTAAATGAGAGACATTTTCATGGCTTCATTTTAAGAAATGTGCTACAGCCTTGCAGTGATGACCTCACCTAAAGCACATGAACTCTTCAATTGATCTGACATGGGTTTAATGACCACACTAATGCTTAAAAAAAGTGGTGAAAAAACGATTTCTTTGTTTTCCCTGGTGCAGCGGCGTTTAGGGTTGGAACAGATGGGCAGAAACTTACAAGCTATAGCTGGAGAATGAGCTTAAAATAAATTACTTTCTCCTCCGTTACAGTATACTGTGAATTATCTCCACGCCAGTAACAGATTCATTCAGCTGGATTAAGCAGATCCTGGCTGTGCAGATTAGGCTTTATGCTGGCATGCATGGCACTATAAACACATGGCATGTGTCTGGACCCGCAGAGCATAATGTGGTGTGTAGCTGTCAGAGACTAAAACAAAGACTGAGTGATCAAAGTTGGTGATTTAAAACTGGTTTCTGAGTCTCATCTGTTTCTGAATTCGGACTTTTCCTGTGGCCTTATTCTCTGGTAACTAAATCTGAATCATACCAACTCAAGGCCACATTGAACACATTTACAATAAGCTGTTCTACATGAAAATCACTCCCTGACATTCAAGAAACTACGAGGAAGGTAGTTGAGCAATTACAGTAACTGCTGCTGTGTCAGTCTTGAGATTTTAACCTGGAAAGCTGAAAACAGAACCACAAAAAGACTTTGTTTGCATACATTTATTACCATCATAATACCATTTTAATGTTTGAACAAACATTTTTGCCTGCTTGACAATTTCTCCAAAATGTCCTGTTTATATCTGCACTACAATACAGTCAGAATAACAATAGTATCAACAGATGCAACAATGAACAGAGCTTTGGCCTCATGGCAATGTTTATACACAAATCCCCCTGTGGAACTTTGTGCAGAACTGTACCTTTCCCACACTCAAACAATGGCTGAATAAGATGAAAAAGTTGCACAAATGTTATGAACTACATCATTTCCTTAGTGGTTTACATTTATTATAAATGTACCAATTGATTGCAGTACAAAGACTCCTTTAAAATAATCCCTTTGGGAACAAAACCAATGAATATAACAAAACAAAAACATAATTCTGAAACTATTCTATCAAGGGCAAAGACAAGCTTGTAGTAAACCTTCCGACTGTATGAGTCCCTTCAATGATCCGTAATAAATCTGCAAAAAACATGCTTTAATTTTCTTTTTCAAACAACATTCACTTGATAAGACAAGAACCTCTTTTGACTTCTGAAACAAGGCGAAGGATGAAAACAAATGTCTGCTAGGCAGGAACACGAGTCACAGCACTACAAGTTAGTGCTCAACAGTTTTAACGTAGTACCATGATGAGTGAGGGCGAACCAGCCCCGGGTTTTCTTCCCTTTTTAGATCAGCTGTCTCCTTTTTCATCTCTCTTTTATGAAGAAAAGGAGATAAAAAGGAAATTACCTGGTTGGTATTAGCAACCATGTCAGAAAATTATTTAGTCTAGTGTTACTAACTTGACAACCACATTGACGATGGCTCAAATCAGATGTGAGGGAAGGCTGAAAACTAGTTGAAAAAAAAAAAAAAGGATCAACAAAAAGACACCTTAAAAGGAGATCACTGTGAATCAAACAGAGATGATAAATACTTTAGAGTTTCTGCGAGGATTGTTGTTACTTCAGTCAGTTTAAGATGTCATGATTAATGTTCATGTGCTGGACATTAATAATTCCCTCTACATACCTCAAAGTTTCGACACGCTGTTCTCTAGTTAATACCAAGATAAGACAGTCTCAGATTTTCTCCTTTCTGTACTGAGAATGTGATTCACATTTTTTATCCTGAATATTAAGCATGAAGAGCCATTTAATTCCATTTGATACAAAATTCTCAGGACCTTGGATGATGGCCTGGCTTGTAGACCTAATCTTCGGATAAATCTAAAGAAATTCTCACAGAATAACACTGGAGTTATCCAAAGTTAATGAACTGCAGGAAAAGGATGTTTTCCTTTTAAAACACATGACCAAACATAATACAGGAGCTCAGAACAATAAACACTGCTCCTGCATACACAATTCTTCTTCATTAAACACTGGTCAAACAGGTTTTCTAGATATTTGATTGCACAACTGATATGAGAAAACTCAGATTTCTTTTTGTTTTCATCTTGAATCTAACGGTCCCTCAGAAGATTTTGGTTCCCTATTTTTGTCTCTCTCAGAAATGCTCAACTAATACCACCTTGGCTCTTTGTTTGATGCACCTCTTATCTGTAGAGTAAGGTCAGATAATATTAATGTTCCTAATGAAAAATCTCCCTGCTGAAAAGTAGTTATGTACTGTACATTGGCACTTTTTGCAACAAAGGCACTGTGAAATGTTTTGTTTTTTTGTTTTCAAAGTTAGAGCCAGTAAATCGGTAGACACAAAGGCACACAGCTCTTGCATAGCAAATCCTGAAGACATGGAGGAGTGCTCTGTGAGATTGGGTGAACATAAGGGGCCACAGGGAGGCCAACCATGACAAATAACAGATGAGACAAAAGAGCATGTGCTAAAAACGAACAGAGAAGGAAACCACAGAAAGATACCTGTTGACACAATCAGAGAGAGACCTATAAAGCTCAGCCTAACTGCCTCATGTCTCTGCTGCTGTCTGATGGCACAGCCATTTAACCGCTCCACAGATTAAAGGGCAGGGGGAAATAAAGGAAAATTTAAAAAAAAGATACAAATAATCTAATTACAAAATCATAGAAACTCATTCATGAATGTATAAAAAAATACATATGTAAACTGAATACCGTTTAATATCCCACCCTTTCCCCTAAAATGGTAATAAAAAAAAACAAAAAATAAAATCATAATGCATAATGAGTACAAAATATTTGATTTTTTTTTTTTTGTCTAGAGATACACGGACACTTGGACTGTGGTTGGACACAATCACTGACCTCATAGGAATGTCCACCAATCACAACACTGTAAGGCAGCCAAAGGTCAAAGGCCACATTGATACTTCCCTTTGGTATAAATGTTGAAGTAAATGACCTTTCATGAACTTCATTTGGTGGCGCCCTAATCTCACTGGTTAAGTGCTTCCATTTGGTTTGGTACAAAATGCATCTGTGCTTTTAGTCAATAAAACAATGCATAGTTATTATTATTATTATTAATTCAATCTAAGGAATTAGGCTTTCACAGGCAAAAGTCTAGTATTATTAAAGTGCATATCACTGATACGACAGCATAATACAAATGCAGGTAGCATCAATGTATAAAATGATTGTACTAATCATTCTGCCTGTTCCCTTGAACCAAGCGTGGACAGAAATACTGGACAGTACCCTTCTTCAAAAACAGAACAAAAACCTTCATATAGAAATGCTCCACATAAACTCAATGGCTGTATACAGAGCGAACACCGAACCTCCTGTATCTGAGAAATCTGTTTTTTGTTTCCTGTTGGCACTTAGGGTCAAACTATGGCTTTTTTGTTTTTATATATATTTATATTTATATGGCAGTAACAACATTCGTGACAGTCTTTTTCAGCTGATGCTGACAGAGGGTAAACTTTCAATGATTCCTGGGCGTCTAAGGCACAGACAAATACAGAAGTTTGGTCTCCATTATGGACGGTCCTGGGACAGAGCAGCCTACCACCGCCCGCTGATGCTCGCCATGTCTGCATGAAACTGCCGGGAGAGTCGGCCACTCGCCCCCCCCTCCAGGAAGGAGGACCTGATGGGTGGCTCAAACAGCTTCCTACGGTTCTTGTTTAGTTCTGTAAAAGAGTCAGACCGCAAACATCAGTGGCAGCAGAGGTGATACAAAAATGGGTTTTAATGTGGAAAATTGATCAGAGTGCCCTGAAAGTACGAAAATAAACACAACCACAGTCTGTTAACATTTCTTTTTTTGCCACCATTGATCAACAATGACAAGAAAATTGGATTCAAATGACTTCAGGATTTCACAAATCAACAAAGCCCCCTTTGTGTCCATCTGGGTTTACACAGCAGTTTGAACAAAATGCTTTCATAAAAATGTCAGAGGTGGACTCTGGCATCTCTGCGTTATTCATATGATGGCCACATTTTGATGCTGCCAGCATAAACCTTCAGGTTAATTGCTGGAGACAGGCAGTCACTCTAGCAGCTCTTTTACTGGAAGACTGGCAGGAAGTTAAAAACCAAGACTGCCTTAACTGGCTCTTTATCTTTTCAGAGCAGGAGGCAAAAAAACACGCAGACAAAGAGACTGACAAAAACGTGCATGTTCTTGTTATGGAGACTTCGAGTCCATCAGCAGAGATGAAAGTTGACCAGTACTTGGCTGTGGAATCAGGCAGAAAAACCCAATCTGGCTCCGGATCCCTCTGCTTCCTTAATAATCAAAGTGCTGGCCTGGACGTTTCCCCATACTGCTCTCGCTGCCAACGCTGACTCTGGTCTGAGGTTTCTGAACTTTGACAGAATCCTCATGGCAGGAAGCACAGGATCCTCACACGAGCATGAAAAACTTACAGCAGTCCGGCAACTCCTACTATTACAACGCTCAAAATATGACACCAGTAATGAAGCGTGACATCCAAAACATTCACTTTAGATCCAGTGAAACAACAGGAAAGTCTGCATCAGCATCAGAGAGGCAACCAGCGCTCTCATCAGAGAAAACGTCGTCTAAATCCCATTTAATTCTGCGAGTAAGGATCATTATTTTTGTATTTAATGAGATGAATCAGTTACTGTCTACAGATTTACTGCATGTCTGTTAATAAAGAGCGCCATCTTTCTCAGTGGTTGGCACCGGTTATGACCTCTGTCAGTTGGTTTTTCCTTGAGCACAGCTGGGCTCCATTCAGGCTTGTTTGTCAGCGACGGACAAAATTGGAAACCATAATGGAACACAAGAGCCAGTTTGTGTGAAGTGCCTTCAGCAGGAGCGAGCCTGCACAATGAGGCCCCAGCTGCAATCTGTGATTATCTGCACCGACCACCAAGAGACAGCCGTGGCTGTTTATAGACTTCTCTTCACATATGTTGATGTATTTATTTTTTCACTCTTGGGTTTGTTGGGCGTTTGTTGGTTAAGACCAAGGGCAGAGAAAGTGAAAATAAATTACGATAGAGACAAACGCCTTCTGCTGTATCTGTACCTGAAATGGCAAGCAGCATTTTCCTGCGGGCTCCAAAGGTGGTGATACCCAGTTCCTTCAGGTCCTGGTCTGTTAGAGTTAGGAATGTCTGGAGATCAATCTGGAAGAAGGAACAAATCTATTAAAATTGAGGCTTTATCATGAAGGCAAAAATTGCCCCAAAAATACTTGGAAAACAACAACAACAACAACAAAAAAACATGCTTTATTTAGTGGTCCTTTAATCAACAGGGTTAGGGTTTTGTTTCAGGGTGATGCTCTGAGCTAAATATCTGAGCATTATATCTACATTAAAAGAGCAACCAAGCCTTTATGCAGGGACAATATATCAGGTTGGTAATTATTATTTTTATTCTGCATGCAAGGTTTTTGGGTATTTGGCATGGACGGTGTGAAACAAAGACATACTTTCAAGTATGTTACCTGTTGGTTTCTTAAGTTCAGTTTTGAAACTCAATCATGTTGAAAATGTGGACTCAACCCATTTTTCTGTCCACCCAGCATGAGGCAGAGGAAGACTTGGCTAACAGGTACAAGCTCCCCACCAGTCAATCAAGGCAGTCACGCCCTTGACTATGCCTTACTATGCCAAAAAAATTATGCAGCCATAATATCTTTTGAGTTGGTTAAAAAGTGTCCCCCCTACTGTGTGTTGGAATAGGGAAACATGGAATTCATATTAAAATGTTATTTTTTTTAGCACCAGACTGTAAGCTTAATTATTCATGCAGTTAAAGGTGGAATTTTAGCACAGGTGTTAAAGGGGCTTCATAGCTTTTGGAGCCTGTCTCAAGTAGACACACTCAGGGAAATGCAGTTTTAGCACCTCGGCTTTTTATTATTATTATTATTATTATTATTATTATTATTTATTATTATTTAAAATTATTTTTTATTTAATACTTATCATTTATTATTATTATTTAAAATTATTTTTTATTTATTTTATTTATTATTTTTATTTATTTATTTATTGATTATTTATTTATTTATTACTTCAAGGAAATGATAAAGTAATCATAAATGTTCTTCCTTGAGCTGCGTCACCCCATAGCAGTCCGTAATGCACTGGCCTGAGATCTTGCTACTAATAAGCGGCTGCTGGAAGAGAGTAGGTGAGTTGTGTTACGTCTCTTTGCTATAGAAAATTAGGCAAAGCTAAAAAGATGTTTTGGTGGCTAGTACTATGGCTGGGACCCTATATGTTCTGTTGATAAAGTTAGGTGCTGTTCTGAGCATTATTTGTGGCTATAGAGTGGCTTTTTGTTTGAGGTTTGTTGATGGCTCCTCAGACCGCTGTGTATTGCTATTGTGCGGTCGTTACTAAAGTTGGTATAACTATAGAGAAGCAAGCGGTTGGCAACATTCATCTTCGAGGAGGTGTCTAACCACAGTATTACGGTGTGTTAGACCTTAAATTAATTTTGCACCGGAATATCACTTTAATGTGCTTAAGTGAAAAGGTAAAGGATTTTTCATGGTGCGAGGAGAAATATTAAGGAATGTTCACAGTAAGAATTCGGCATGAATAGTGGGGCAAAACCCAATGGCTGTATCTCTGGTGGTTGATAAATTTGTCACAAGAGCTCTGATAATACCTCTGCCAAAAAGAACAATTGTCACCAGCATGAGAGTCAGACTGAAAGAAGGAATGGGTCTACAGTTTTTACAACCTCTTGTTGCTGGAAGACGTCTGTGTACTTCCCCAGGCCAAGCTTGCTGAACAGTTCAGGCAGGTCCGAGCCCTTCAGGGACGAGTTCAGGCTGCAGCCGTTGCTGCCAGTTACAGAAGAGATGCAGTCCATGTAGTTACTGCTGCTGAGGTAATGCTCTGCAGCTGTCCATGTTAAAGAAGAAGCCAAGAACACACACACACACACACACGGTGATTAGAAATTTAAAGTAAGCAAAGAGCAGCATGAGTTGTGTTATCTGAGCTTTTTTAAATGTTAAGTCAATAGACAAGAATATTTTCACATGAAGTGAAATCACTGTTTTAATCAGTCTCGTATTCTAGCCAGAAAACAGAAGTAATTTCTTTTTTACACAAGGCGACCACAAGAAGCAGATTAGGTGTTCAGCTTTAGTTCTTCAAATCCTGGTACTTGTAGTAAACTTCTAAAAGTATGATTAAGAATGATTAGATCTGGTTTCTCCTTGTAGCTCAGACACAACAAACAGAAATTAACTGACCAGATTTGTTCTGTTTCCTTTTTGGACTGCTGACAGCGTTGGGAAACTCGGCGTGACTCGGCAGGCCGTTACCTGTGCCATTCCTCTCTCGCCAGTTGTCCGAGTCACTGCCGTTCCCAACACCTTCCCTGCTGCTGGATCGGGACAAAGACAGCGGGGAGCCCTGAAAAAGAAAACAGAAACAGACTGACCAAATATTCAACAAAGAGTTCTGGACGCCTGCTGTGCTCTGAGTGACAAGGGCACCTCAACAGGGTACAAAAACAAAAAGAAATACTCTTTCTTAGACCCAATGCTGACAGCAAGCTCATTAAGCCACGCTGCAGATGACGAGAAAAGTGAACACAGGCTTTCTATTTCTCACCTCGTAGGTGGTGCTCATGCTGGGCTTGTATGAAACATGGTTGGCTCTCCTCAGCTCTTTGATGGTCTCAGCTGGCATGGACTTTGAGAAGCCCAGACCACTCCATGTGTTAGTGGGGGTCCGCACCTCCGTCACAACAGGCTTCTTCAACATAGCTGCGTAAAAACAGGTGCAAACATACACCTTTATAGAGATACCGCCTAAAAACAGACTAAATACAGCAAAACAAAATCCTCTTCCTGTTCCTCTTAGACAGTTTTAAATGACAGCGAGCAGTTAAATGTGTGTGTGTAGCCTATCTAAGTGGTTTTTCTGTATCTATACATCGCTCTTCTCCATGGCTGAGTATGTAATATCTGATCAGGACTGTCTATACTGTGACTCAAGTACTTTGTCTGCTACTTTTCAATAGTAAAAGTAAACTGTATTTAATAGGTTTACTGTTTACTATGTTTTACACTGCATGTTCGATATATCTACTTCATAAACGGCATTTTTCTATGTTCTTTGCAATATCTTACAGACACTTCCCCATTGTTTACAGATTTAAAGTCAATAGAAATGTCCTTTTACCCATATTTTTGTATCTTTGATTAGCACTTAAAATGAAATGTCATTACAGAATCATGAAAGACCTTATTTAACCTTTACAGCTCACAGAATACTTGTAATTCCCAGCACATTTTTTTAACAGACAGGAGTTTAAACTCACCTTTTGTTGCCAACAGCTTTTTCTGCTCATAGTCAAATGCCTGAGAGGAGAGAAAATAGTTTTCTGCCTTTATCACCCAATTAACCTCTTAAGAGTGCATGTGAATTTGTGTGTGTGTGTGTGTGTGTTTACCTGCATGTTGGCAAAGGAGGTCTGTGGTGCCAGTCTAATTCTCTCCCTCTCGTTCTGCTGTGCCGCCCTCTCAGCCGCCCTCTCACTCCCTGGTGCTCTCTTATCCGCCACAGGGCTGTCTGACGAGCTGGACTCAGCGTCCGAGAGGAGGCAGTCAGAGCTGTTGTGAATACACAAAAATATGGTTTTAATAAGCGATTAAAAAAATGGGGTCCAAAAAGGAGGCAAAGCTATTTTACCATTTATCTAATTTTTCCATCATCTCATCATCTCCTTACTTGACTGTTAATGTTTCCAGAATCATCAGGTTTGACTTTTATTCTAATAACTATGCCAGGGTGAGTGTGCGTAAGACAGACCATATGGCTTAAAATTCCGGATATTCCATTACTTTATCATTTCCTTGAAGTAATAATCACCATATTAATCATTTTGCAGACATGGTAGTTCTTCTGCCTTCGCATCTTGGTCTGATTGCATTTCCATGAAGTAACGATCATAAATGTTCTTCCTTGAGCTGTGTCACTCCGCAGCAGTCCATAATGGACTAGCCCATGGTCTCACTACAAACAAGTGCTGCTGGAAGAGAGTAGGTGAGTTGTGTTTAGTCTCTTTGCTAAAAAATTAGGCAAAGCTAAAAAGATGTTTGGTGGCTAGTGCTATGTCTGGGACCCTATATGTACTGTTGATGAAGTTAGGTGCTGTTCTGAGCATCTCTTGAGGGGGTGTCTAACTCGGTGTTACAGTGTGTTTGACTTTAAATTAATTTTACGCCGGAATATCCCTTTAACCTCTGTATAATGACAAAAACATCCAAACTTTTTGCTATCACTTAATTCTTTCAGATTTCAAAATCATAATCTGTTTTTTCTGGGTTTTCTTCAGCTCTAGCAGAGACCAGCTGGTTCCTAAACTCATGGAGAAAGTAAAAGTTGCACACTGTAACAGCAGGAGCTGTAAATGATCTCGGTATTTGTGCTAAACGGTAACAAGAGGAGCTGTAAATGATCTCTGAACTCAAACATACTGTAGATGGGAGTTCTTGGTTCCCTGCAGGAGCTCCACAGCCTGACGTTTCCCCGATGAAGTCTTGCATGAAGCCAGCATCTGTTTCAGCTCGCTCCCGTTGGCCGAATGCGAGGGGCTTCTGGGCATGCCCACCTCCACGAAAGTGTCAGAGCCTAAAGACAGTAAGCACACTTTGGGTTTATAGCAGTCATCTGTCCATCTGTCTGTCTGTCTGTATATAAAACTGTGAAAACCAAACATCATGTTTTGTCTCATTTTTTCTGTTTTAGAGATGCACAGCCTGTTCTCAGCAGTGTGCGTCACTCAGTGTAAAGGAGTGTGCAGCTTGGAAAGCATATGCACGTGTCCATGCATTTAAGTGTGACAAGTCTCAGTTGGATCCTGGATTAATTAAAAACACAGCAGCTGTAATTATAGTGCTTTTCCCCTGCTACTTTTCTTTCAGCCTGACAGGAACCTGAGCTGTGTAACAAGAGGTGTGTGTGAGTGTATGCATGTGTGTAATTAAGGTTATCTGCATATAAATGGTGTACTCTAAAGCAAAAAATACATGATGGCAGTCAATCTAGTACAGTTCCCCGGGGTTAAATGTTTGAATAATCTCCCTGCACTCCTTCAATCCAGAACGAGGACTTGAGTTGGAGTGGGTGAGCCAGTCCAAACACATTCTGTGACACAGGAGGAGGTGAGGGAGGGAAAGGAAACCTGACTGAGATGCACCACATTGGGTAGACGCAGCTCAGAAAACAGCGGGGAAAAACGAGACGCGTGAGAGTGTGAGTTGGAGGGGAAAACCGCGAGTGTAAGGCACAGAGGAAATGAGGGCCTTTCTGAACCACTAGGAGACCAGCAGTTAATCTGTCTCCGTTCCAGCACAATAAAAGTAGTCAGAGGCGGCATGAGGTTAGCAGGACAGAACAGAGAAAAAGGGATAAGTTCATTCGAGGCACTTTCAAGGCAAAGTGGGTTTTAAGCAGGCTGCGTAAATCTCGAGTGGGAAGGCATAAATTGGACGTTTATGTTAGGTCTGTAAGGCGGAGGTCCAGCAGTGTCAATAACGTTAAAAGCAGAAATATACTGTCTATTTGAGGTTAGAAAAACAACTAAATCACAAGATTTTAAGTGCATCCCTCACATATTAGAATAATAAGTGGGGAATTTTCCTCCTGAAGAAACAACTTCTTTCCTGGACATTTTTTTATTGGAAACATTCACTTAAATTTCTTTAAAGACAAACAAGGAAACGGATAAGAAAGGAGGTATTCATCCAGGGTTGGAAGTCATTTCAAACACTGCAATGATGAGCTACTAGGGCCAAAGGTTGGGCAGATGTTTCAGATGATAGCATGTGTGCACAATGAAAAGTTATGAGTCACAAATTCGTTTAATAACTTTGATGAGAAACATCAGCAATTTAATAATGAAATGGTCTTTACCAGCCTCTGTTTTTAACATATATTTAAATCAAAATACTTCTCTGAGCGCTGGTTTGGCCCAGTGGTTGACATTGCATGCTCCATGCACAGATGCTATTAATAGTCTCCTAGCAGGCGGCCCAGCGTTTGAGTCCAACCTGCGGCTTTTTGCTACATGTCATCCTCTCTCTGTGTCTTTTTCTCTCACAGTTATCCACTCTGTCCTTTGTCCTGTCCTCTCACTTTTTGACTTCTACAATGCGCTTGTACTTTATTCTTCACCTTACTAAGTCTAAAGACTTTCTCATGATTTGTTGGGTTGTGCACCTTCCAAACATGGACAATAGCTTCAGTTGCATTTTGTAGTTTATCACAGCCGTGTTTCTAAATTATAAAAAATACTGCACAGACATGATCATTCCTTCTGGTAATGCCCTGAAATAAATGACTCTTTAACATTAAATGAAATAAATTATAATAAAATACTTATAAGTTTGCCAAAGTCATGCTAATAAGTTTGTTTATAAAATACTTTGGACTACCTTCATCCTGGCTGGACTTGCTGGACAGCGGTTCTGATGGGTTGTGCCCGCTGGCTTCCTGGACCGTGTCGCAGGGTGCTGGACTCAAAACAGTTTCTGCAAGTGATGCTGTTGCTATCCTCCCGTAGACTGAGCCAGGATGCTATACATGCATTCAAACACACAAATGAGAAATATGTATCAAAGAGAAGACAAAGTCATGCATAGTCAAATAGAGTGTATAAATGTGCTAACCTTAACATGCCCGTTGAGAGTGCAGGGGCCCTTTGCACAGTCAGGGACTCCGTTAGGCTGCTTGTCGATGGGAGCGAGGCCTGGAGGAGGGGATGGTGTACTCTGTGTGTAACCTTGAACGCCAGACAGCAGTATGCTGCTCAGGGTCGCCTGGGTTGCAGGGTGCAGCATGAGCTGAGAGGAGAAGCCTGAGAACACAATGCAGGAAGAATAAACACAGCATCAGTAAGGTTAAAGTGCTTTTTGTTAGAATCATTGACTGTTCATCCGTCCATCCATTCATCTATTTTTTAAGCCATTTCAACTTGGACCTTTCAGAACTGTACGCTAAACAAATAAATTATAACTTAACCACTTCAGCATTGGTCTCTCGTCTACTGTAGACTATTCACAGATAGTTGGACGACTATTAAATTAATGCAGCAACGCAGAATGTATGCTGTGCCATGACTCACAATAAGTTCTGAAAGTATAAAACCATGGAAAACACGCCTCTGTCTCCTCCACTTGTTAAAAATGAAGCCAAAATACCCCTGTGATCAATACCGACATATTTCGACGGTGGTTATTTTGGAGCAAACACATGCATGCCCATAGGTGATCTGGCTATTTCAGTCTCAAACCTGAAACCACAGTGTTCCTGCAGATCAGTAAAGTCTACAGCAGAATACACTGTGTTGATTTTAAGGTCACTCTAGGTAATAGAAGGTGCAATAAGTTGTGTCATTTTTTCGTTTTCAATTTCATGACTGCTTTGGCAATCTGTAGAGAAATACTGCAGAAGTCGCTATTTTTTAATGCCATGGCATCACATCCCCCTTTTTACACACCAAATAACTAATTTAAAGTGAAGTTTGCAGTAAAATGAACACTTGCACATAGATCAGCACGGTCAGAATCAGGCTTTATGAGAAATACTACACTCAGTCAGTAGAGTAAGCTCAAATTTTTTGGGACAGCAAAGCAAAAAGAGGTAAAAGTTCACCGACACACCCCTCACCCTTTTACGGTGTACTCTATAACTCTCCACAGAGCGAGGATATTTCTGCTCCTGAAATTAAATCTGTCAACATTTTCTTCAAGAGCCACATTCTGATTTCCCTGAGGGGACCTTCCCAAAAGGATCAATAAAGTGCTATTCAATCTAATCTAATACCTGCACAAAACTTGCAGTGTTCTTACCTTGAGTACTGGTAAGTGAACTGGGCCACAGGGAGGGGGAGGGTGTGGGAGTGCTGGGGCTGGGGGTCTGCAGGGGGCTCATGGAGGAGTTTAAGCTGTTGAGGATGGCGTTTGGGGCAGCAGAGTTGGTGAGGGAGTGGGGCGCTGTTGCACCCAGGAAACCTGAGAAGAAAAGGAAGGAATGGGGAAAGGGGAGAAAACGGGAGATTAGCGGTGGTCCTGTCAGAGGATGGAGCCGTTTTTCACACTAATCACATGCTACACTGTAGCCCTCAAAAAATAATCTTGGTCATCAAGCGATTTCTCTGGAATTCCATCAAACTGACTTCAAGCAGACAGCGAATGACAGGAAGAATTTTTAAATTTCAACAAGGTCACGGATGCAGAGGCACGTATCTAGTGTCTCCTCATACCCAATAAAACCATGTTATTAAGAGCACCAACATTGTGGTGCCTGGTGTCTTAGCCCAAACACAGTGTATGAAAACAGAAAGAAGCAGGTCTGTGGCTTTAACAAGGGGCTAGTTTGGCTCCAGGAATAAGGCCAGGGATTCTTCTGGCAGACTGGGCTGTAATCTGAGGAAGAGAGGCATGTAGCAATTACTAAAGGCCAGGATGTGGCCGTCCACAGCCTCACCCCCCCGGGCCCCTGGGTTTACAGGACCCAGCACGTTACCATTGGGATGCCATGGCACATTGTTGTTTTAATGTGACCAATTTTTTTAATCTAATTTCCCCTCATTTCCCTTTCTAAAGACATAAGGACATAAAATCAAAGTTGTGTGAGGAGAAAAAACAAATTCAAAACATTGCCGTCCAGATCAAAAACAGAAAGTTTGAGAAAAAGAGGCGCTCCTTTGTTTGTTTGTTTGTCCCAGTATCACTTTCCCATATCTTATTTGCACTATAACTCTATAACACATTTTTGGCAGTGAAAATAACTACTGCCATATTACTCTGCTTTTAAGCATGCATGGAAAGTATTTTAGATTAATCCTATGATTTCACAGTTTTCAGCATGTGATCCCTGGGAAACACAGAATGTACACATACCAAAACTTATTATACAGATAATTTCTAACGGATCCTTTGCAAGGGTACATGTTTCCAGTAAGTTTCAATGTCATTGAGGCAATTTTTCATGGTCGTCCATTCTCCAAAATGTCTGTGTATACCAGAAAAGCAGGAGTATAAGTTATATTAAATTCACCAAAGAATGTCTGAGTAAGATTTATGACAAGCTTTGTGGTTTAATGCAAGATTAACATTTATTTAAGTCCTGAAACAGCAGTAGATGGCTACACGGTCATTTGTGCGGCAACTTTCCAAAACTTTGTGCTACTTTATTTTCCCAAAACTTCACTCAGTCAGGAAATTGCTGTTTTCAAATTCCACGACTTTCCCATGTTTTTCATGTCTGTCATGCCTTTGTTGCCAACATATACTCAAAGTCTTAGGATAAATAAACATAATTTTACAGCAGCACATCAAAGTAGAAAGCAGATAACGGGTGCTAAATATTAAATCTGCAAAACAAGTCCAAACACATACGTCACCCTGACATCTGTTCCAGTCTCAACTTTATGCCTCCATGCAGAGGTCAGCGCGTCAAGAAGCAAACTCCTACGTGAATTTCATCATCAATCATACTATGATTCATAAGTTCTCAAAACATCAAAGCAGCACAACCCAATTCCTACTGAATTCATTTTCTGATTGTTGGCTGATCAAAGGTTGGTACAAGCAGGATTCATTTCTTCAGCATCACGGGGAAAGCCAGCTCTGCAGACAAAAAATGTCAAAGGAGAGCGCGTAGATAAATGATGGTGGGGTGACTCACTGGTTGTGATTCATGTGCATGTTTGGAGGATATTTGTTTTTGATTTTAAAAACTACACGCACTCAGTCATTCGGCTAAGCAGGTGATAACAGGCTCGGAGAGGAAAACTGGCTTAGATAAATCTTCAGTGGATGAGTTGCTGGGAGACTGTGTTGAGTCTGCGGCTGCCACCAGATGTGGATGACAGTGATGTATGAGGACATTAATTCCTGCACAAATACATTTTATCTCTAATACATGTTATGCAAGGGAAAGAAGAGGTCAAGTCTTATCTTTCCTTGTGGATTTATCTTCTATCCAATCGTGGAAAAAGAACAAAAACAAAAAAAACATAAGAAATTCTCCTAACTAGTAAGTGTCATTACCCAGATTGCTCAGCCCCAGTCCAGCTGAGGCCAGGATGTCCAGGCCGACGGGGCAAATGAGGGACGGGGACGGGCCATTGGTGGCGGGATTCAATGCCACAGAGGGTGAGGAGGAAGAGGACACACCGTTGCTCTCCAGACCTAAGAGGAACTTCCGGGCTTCGTACATGTTCACTGCATTCCTCTCAACGCTCTTGACGATCACAGACTAAGAAAAAACATGAAATACAAAGGGAAATTAGGAGGAGGTACGAGAGTAAGGGACAGTTAAAAAGGAGAATAGGGCAAGAGGCATGAGGGAGTGGGGAAAAAGAGAAAGGCCCGTGGGGAGCGAGGGAGAGATAGGATAGGGAATGTTGGCAGCAGATTTAGGGAGTGAAAGGGAGGATGAGGGGGAGACAAACAAAGGGGAGGAAGGAAGAGGGAATTAAGGGTAGATTAGAAGGGTAAACATGGAGGCAGTGTGGGAGAGAGGAGACATGAGAGTAAGGTTTGAGAGAAAGCATGTCTTAAGCAATTTCATAACACACTGTATCAAATCAAGCTGATGGACACGAGTTAACAGAATATGAGGCAATGAAAGTTACTCAATGACTTTTACACTATGAGATATTAAACAAACATTTCACATTTTCATATAGGAGGTTTGAACTCAGAGGTGGGGATGACTAAATTTAGCAGGAACTCCAGCCTTCATAAACATCTTAGACAAATAAATGTGAACACAAATCACACCCCAGCTCTGTCAGCTCTGAAAAATGAATTCCAATAACTGTTGTACTCTCACAAATGCATACATACGCACACACCCTTCCTGATGCAGCCAGAGGCAGAGGCTGCAGCCTAGCATGTGGAGAAGCCTTTTGGATTAGTACTGTCACCTCTTTGAAATGTTTTAGTGAAGGGTTCTTAAGAGGAGCTGGGCCGGGTCAGTGTTTACACTGGCACCTCCTCACCAACCCCCACAAGCCTGTCTGGTTTGGGCACCAAGCCCTGGCTCAGGGCAGGACATGGGCACCATGAAGAGACAGGCAGTACACGGCCAAGCGCTGATTTATGATTGGGAATACTATGTGTAATAGAGAAATAAAGCATGTTTGACATTAAAGTTTGGCTTCAAATAAAACACATGTGCACCGAAATTTTTGTGAGAGGCTGCAAGACAAAATACAAAATGGAAACGGAAAACACATTTCACTAATACAGACTAAATCAACCAAGAGGAAAATATCCATATCTAAATTTACTACCGCACTGACGAAGAACAGATGAAAACCAGGCCAGTGAGTTCTCAGACAGGACAGCAGAGGTGTTGTAAAAGCCTGTTTGTCCACATCCATCAGGGGAAATGTGCAGAAATCTGATTGTCCACGGTGTCGAGTTACCAAAACTCTTTGCAGTTCTGGCATAAGACGATTCTACTTGATAATGTGTCTGTTTTTTCTCTTTCAAACAATGTATAATTGTATATGTATAATTGCCATGTATAATTAATTTTCATGCCAAGCTGTGACATTTGACAGTAATTTTTTTCAATGAAACAGTGGCTGATTTGTGTACTTTAAACCTCTGTTACAGGTAAGACAGCGCAGTGTTTCTCAGGGGATAAAACAGTGAGAAGTTCTTGAATTTGGATGGAGGGTGAGCCATTATTTATCTTGATCGTTCGAAACTCTAGAGAATAAAGCGGTTGAAGGGATATTCCAGCATAAAATTAAGTGAGCTGCGTCACCCGCTGCGGTAATGGACTCACCCGGAGGTCTCCGTACAAACAAGCCACTGCTGGAAGAGAGTGGGTGAGTTGTGTTTGGTCTCTTTGCTAAAGAAATTAGGCAAAGCTAAAAAGATGTTTGGTGGCTTATACTGTGGCTGGGACTCTATATGTACTGTTGATGAAGTTAGGTGCTGTTCTGAGCATTATTTGTGGCTATAGAGTGGCGTTTTGGTTGAGCGCATGGCTCCTGGGACTGCTGTGTGTTGCCATTGTGCGGTCTTTACGAAAGTTGGTATATCTAGAGAAGCAAGCGGTCGGCAACATTCATCTCTTGAGGGGGTGTCTAACTTGGTGTCATGGTGTGTTTGGCCCTAACTTAATTTTACGCCAGAATATCCCTTTAAGTACAGAGATCTGTTTTAAGCAAAAATTGTATGTCGACGAGGCCAGGGGGAGGATACATATTTTCTTCATCTCTACAAACATTTTCTTGTCTGACACCCCATTTCACTTTGATGAGACTAAGCAACAGCCAAGCCCACATGTTGGAGCTTATTCAACAACATGATCCACATACAATACGATTTTCTGAAGGCGTTGTGTGTACTTGAAAAGTCAACTGGAAAATGAACACAGCAGACTAGCTTTGCCCATAAAAATGGACTTATTTCTCAAACTAATGGTGAGTGGAAGTACAGAAGTCAGGATCACTTGGATCGATCCTCAGGGGAATAAGACTGTTTGTACCAAATTTATGACAAACTAGAAACAGATGAACCAAATTAACATCCATTTAGCCAAACCACGAGCACAGCTTGCAAAACTTTCCATGCAATGTGAGCGTCAACCTTGTGTCATACCTTGCTGGGCTGTTTTGGCTTTGGTTTGATGCTGATGAAGACGTCCAGCTGCTCCATTAGTGTTGTGATGCACTGTGGCTCCACCTCAACGTCTTCTTTAATGTCAAACATTAAGACCAGAGGCAAGCAGCCCTGTGAAGCAAACACAAAACAAAAGTTTTCTTATGCTGGCAGCAGACTAACAAGCCTCTTAGCCTGTAACATACATGTTCTTTCTTAGTGGGTTCCTTGTCATAACAGCAGTATACTTCACTTTCATTTGCAGACCCACGTGTTAGCCATACCAATAAATACAAGATTCACTGCTGGATGCATCCCACACTGAGCTTGGGAAATTCCGCCAAGAGCAATCTGTTTTGCATGATCACCACCACAAGCACCACAGACATCTATATTTTGGGCAGAGTGCTGGACAGCGCTCCTATTGTGAGTGGGTGTAATTAGCAGCAGAGTATAGGGCCAGGCTGGCTCTGACAGGGCCTGAGATTGGAGCTGTAATCTAAAGTCTGGCTGGAAAAGACCAAATCACACAGTACGACTACAGCGAGTGGGACTCCTCTCCCTCTCCTGTTTGTTCACTCCTGTTTTCTACTTTCAAAACAACCCCTTTTATCCTATTTTCTTTTTTTTTTTCAATCTTCCCTACCATGCTCTGCTTTCTATGCTTCTCTTCCCTCCAATTTTTCCATCGTAAATCAACTTTTTTTAAACTTTGTTACTCAGACAGACAGTAGGCTCCGTCTTGTGTGTCCAAACAGAGAAAGTCGTGTTTAGTCACTGCAACAGCTTTGGCATTTGGCTAAATGTCTTTCAGGCCAAATGGGACGCCGCAGACAAAGAGAGAGCAGCTCTGGCAGAATTACCGCCCCACATTATGGATCTCCAAACAGAAAGCCAAAGCTGTTTACGGCTGAGATGCAGAAGTTTTCAGCCAACAGTAATTAAAGGGCTATCACTTCTACACATTTTTCAAACACATTTGATTATGTTCCTAAGTCATTCTGATAAGGGCGGCCTCAGTGGTTACAGGCAACAAAACAAGAATGACCACAGAGCATTTTTGACCGACAGAAATGTAAATGTGATGTGCTCCTTCCGAGTCCAGAGTGTGATGGTAATGTGCTTGTATTGAAATTACTGAGGGGGCTGAAATTTAAGTCCACCAAAACTCCAGCATACGCGAGCCAAACCATTACCATTAATGCCGTTAATGAAAATTTCTATACAGACAGGATATGTCGGACTCCTGCCAAGCTAATGCAGACATGTGTGTTTATTCTACATGCAGGTATGTGGCTGTAAATCACACAAACTGACCTTGAATAAGCCACAAATTGTTGTTTAACTGGACATGTCAGCAGCATGAGCGGTGCCAAGCAAACTTCTCCCAGGGCTTTCTAAAACCTCCAAAGGCAATCATGGTTTTCTTCTTCAACTCTATCCCAAACCCCACACATCATTCACACATAACATGATGATGCTGGTGAAACAATGACATCTATTGTAGCTGCCACACAGCATGTCAAAACTGTATATCTAAGGGTTAGACTGCCAATGCTCTCTTTTCACCACCAAAGCAAAGCTTAGCAGTTTCACAAAATTATTTTCCACATACAAGGGTAAATAAACACAACACACTAAAACACACAAGTGTGCTACACACCATGAGGTACTGCCTTGCCAGGCAAACTGATTCAATGGTGCCCTGAATGTAGACCGTGGATTTTTTCTGGGGGCTGTTGGGGTCTGGGAAGTGGATCTGGGCTCCTGTTCTCTGGGTGATGTGCTTGATGTTGCTGCCGTTGCGGCCCTTCATGAAAAGGTGGTGCTGTGGTGCGATGTCCAGGTGGGTGGTGACTGAAATTGTGCTCGCCAAGCTGCCGGCTAGGTGCTCCAAGAGAAGAGCGGTACCCCTCTGAGGAAACATGAATGACAAAGCAGTTTGGTAAAATATTTTTAAAAAGTGAAAAAAAAAAAAACATTTATCATCATTTTTGAATAAGAATTGAGTGTCCTTATTCAACCTTGCTCATTGTGACTAGATTAAAGCTCCTGTGAGGATTTTTGGGGGGTTTATTAAAGAGACTGAAATTCATGTTAACGCTTTTTTAAGATATCTAAAAGCAAAAAAGGCCATCAGGGACAAGATTGGCAGTTTGTTTACTGTAAAAGTTGATGCAAACAGAAAATTCCTTACAGGAGCTTTAACATCAGAATGTTAACGATAATAATAATGATAATAATAATAGTAATAATAACTTTATTTGTATAGCACTTTTAAAAACAAAAGTTTCCAAAGTGCTTTGACATATAGTCATGGAGCACATGGAAAAATGACAGATAAAAACAAAAATCTCAGTTAAAACGGAAGTGAAGGCCATTTTCATGTCATAAGGAACCTAGACAATACAAGAACCATGCAACATAAAATGAGACCATGAGGACCAAAATAAAAACATAAAATAGTTAAGAAAGAAGAAAATGCAATTAAAAGGGGGGATGAAAGCGGAAACAGGATAGTAAATATAAAAATCAATATCAACAATGATAATAAAATAATAATAGGTAATCCTGATCATAATAGTAATGATAAAATAGAGCAACAGAAATGAGCAAGAGATAAAACAATAAAAGGCCTAAAAGGTTAATTAAGGAAAGAGTACAAGTATAACAAGAGCTTAAAAGACAGTAAAGCTGAAATAAGATAGAGGTAAAAGAGATAAGAGATGACAGAGAAAAGATAGAAGACGTTCATGTTGTTGGCTGTTAAGTCCACTTACAGGAGCATCACTACAGAGATAACAACTCAGTTTTTAGAAGAAAATCACTCTCTGTGCGATGATCACAAAATCTATCCCCAAAAATGACTGACTCACCATCATCATCATTCAGTAACTCAAACATGACTTTTTTAAACACTCCTGAAATGAGTTATTGGATTGCCAAGTGTAAAACACAATATTAACTCTAACAACAAATAACATGTCAGCTTAAAACTCCATGGCATGTGGAATGGTTATGAGATTTTAGTCCTGGTGGTAAAAAAAATAATTCTTTCCACACTCCTGAACAATACTTGGCAAAATATACAAACAGTAGAACAAACAGAACTGCATGAAGAGATGAAAAACAGTTGATGTCAAACAGCAAATTCAGAACTATATTTCTTCCAGAGCATCAGTCAGACCAATTATGAACTTAACCACTCAAAAAGGGGAGCAAGAGAGCCATGGTGCTCTTTTCCCAGAGAAAAGAAACGTTTTCTGTATCACCAGTGGAAACTATTGTAATTTCCACTCCATCTGCTGTCCAGTTGAACAGCCTCATTGCTCACAGTCTCTGCTACGCCTCTGCAAGCCATCACTTGGCCTTGTAAAGTAAGTCATTTCCAGTGTGCAACAGGAATTCATACACTGCGGTCAGCATAACACAACAATCCACAGTGGTTATAGCAACCTGCGAAGGGTCTCGCACCACCACATAACATAGCACACATATTCTCTAATCCTGCAGCCATTATCTGGCACCAAATCATCCTGACCGACCCCTCAGACCTACCACATGCTTGGAGACGTGCTTCTGCATGCATGCATTTGTACATTTTACTGTATGTAGAAAGCAGGAATGCTTATGTTGTTGTCCCAGTGGAGTCTCTGACGAATCAAAATGAGCTATATTCTTCTCATACAGGCTCGGAAAGCTGGCAGGTATGATTTGGCACAGATGATGAGGATCCTGCTTGGCAGTATTAAACTTGATGAATCTCATATGCCAGTTTAGGAAGGGCATCAGTGTGTGTAAACATATATTACTAAAAAGTATGTTTAAGCACGAGTAGAGGAATTGTAAAAGTCTGTTTTCAATAAATATCAAACTTTGTGAGTCTCTTGGACCTCCTGGTACAGTTGTAGGGCATTCCCTCCTACTGAAGCGCTGACCTAGCAGCCTGCCAGTTCAAGCCACCAAACATCTCTCAGCACTCTCTGCCCCTGTGGTGCTGAGAGTAATGAGGCAGTTCATACAAGAAAAGTGAAGAACGCTGACAGTGTTGGTGGGCTTTGACATAGTGAAGCCCTGGAAACCTTTTTTTGGTCTGTGGCTGGCCATGTTGAGTGTAGAAGGTAAGGAGGGTATTAGCTTAAATATTATCATAGTAGAATGACTGACAAGGAGCTCACCGATCAGGGCTCAGCTGTTCTTTGGGGATCTTTAAGGGGGTACAAACTAATAACTGGGATATTTGAACCGATGAACTGTAAAATTTGGTCACTTCATGAATTTTACTTTCATATCGACGGAAAATCTTAAGGACACAGACTTAATTTTTGCTATTATGGCAATTCGGGTCACATTTAGGACACGGGCGTGCATAACTTTGTATTGAATGCAAATCAGAACATCTGTCCCTGCATAAAACTGCACAACTCAGTTGATAAATTAATGTTAAAATATTCAACCTTTGGAGAATTTATTCAAGCTGGAAAACAAATGCTACATAAATTGAGCACTTTTTGGACTTGATTTATTAAAAGTTAAGTCTTACGTGAAGCAACCAGCCAGATATTTACTAAATTTAAGCTCTTAACTCTAAAAATTTGCTGCTATTTTCTTTTATATTGAAAAACACAGTTTCATTTAGTTCTGCAGATATTTCAAACAATTCATGTCAAGCCCATAAAAACTTGGGCGAGTGTCTTGTTGTCTGATAGACTGTGGACTGATTGTTCAAGGAGATCCGCAGTAATTAATAACAATAACAATAATAAAAATAATAACAATAACAACAACATCAATAATAATAATAACAACAACATTAAAAAAAATAAATAATAATAACAATAATAATAACAATAATAATAATAATTATTGTTATTATTATTTTTATAATAATAATAATAATAATAATAATAATAGTTCCACCCCTTGCTCCTCCAGCCCTCCTTAAATACCTTGCGTGTTAGCTCTCATCAGGGTATGTAGAAGTGTAGGGTGTGGGTGTGTATTTACAGTTTATATTTTTTCTTTACTTCATATGCACATGTCAAACTTATTAGAGGTACAGAGAATTTTATTTACTCAACCGTCCTACAAAATCAACCAAAAGGCCGAGCCCTCCTCACCTTGACTGCGTTGGCATTATTCTGCGAGCCACGGACCACTCCGGTGGCTCTGTAGAGGCGGGTGGGGGGCTTGAAGGAGACTGTGAGGTTGTAGGTCTGGGAGATGTGCTGCACGGTCGGGGAGCTTGGGTCGGACTGCATGATGGCTGGAAGCTCGAAAGACAGCACAAGAGGGAGCAACTCCTATAACAAGGAGGGTCAGAAAGACAGGAAATGAAATGAGGGTGAAATGGCACAGCATGATGGCTGCTGAAGTGCAGCAGCTGTGCAAAGTCGTATTGATTATCTTCATTCTGCCACAGATGCTGCTGGACAAAATGATGAGATGGAAGTAAATTGACTGGGATCAAATAACGAATTGGCACTCACTCAGACTAGGGTGATTTCTTTACACAGTGAGGACTTGTGTGAATTGATGCAGAGACATAACAACCTTGCCCTCAGCTGAAGGTGGCAAAACTTTGCCTGGAAATCTGTCGACTCAAATAAATCCAGGGAAGTTTCTCAAAATGAGGTCAGCACTGCACGCAAAAAGAAAAAGACCTTCTTTGTTGCATGAATTTCGCTACAGGTTACAGTGGTGGATCACTCACGAGATCATGGCTGCAAAGTCATTCTGACTGTGGTTGAAAAATTCTGCAGAGCATCAGCGGTCTCCGGCAGGTTTCGGGCTCATATATTAATTTCAAGTCACTGAATCCAACCGCAGAAGCAGCAACAGACATGATCTTTCGTCGTTTAAATCACAGCAGTCATTCAAACACAATAGATGGTGACAGGAAGGCCTCTCTTCACCAACACACATATTTATGCATGCATGAGAGAAATCACGAGCACACGCCCAAACAGAGACAAACTGAAGGGAATGTGCATACACACAGTCACACACAGGCGAATGAATACACACTCTCACACACGCACAGTGTTATCCAAACACTGGCTCTTGGGCAGAGGGCCACTATGGTTTTGGCTGCCAGTGAAGGGCAAGCAGCATGAATTGCTCTGACCAAAGAAATGCGTCCCTGATCAGTCCCATATGCGCCTGGCCTTACATTTATATCACGTTTCAGCACTCGCTCTCAGAGGACTCGAGAAATTTAGGTCAGCGGCAAAGGAAAGGCAAGAGAGGAGAGGCAGAACAGCAGGAGTCAAGCGCTGAATGAAGAATAGACTGATTTTTATGGTGGAGCTGACCTCAGCTTTTTTAAAGCAGTCTACCTGGCAGATACCAACTTCACATGTATTCAATCTGAACACGCTACTAAAAGACTTCAGTTCTTCTGACAGAAAGGGTGAGAGATGAAGAAAAATGAAAATATCTTCGAGGTAAAGCAACTCGCCAGACTTTTCATCACCTGCCTGTCAGCTCCACCTCTGAAAGCTCATAGAAATCCCCCTGAGAATCCATCACCTCAACAACTGCCTTGTTTCAGACTTACACAGATCTCCACCCAAGAGGGCCTCAGAAGTACAGTAGAAATACAGTAGACCTTACAAGTCTCCTCTGGTATGTCTGGGAGTTAAAGGGACATTACCTTCATCCCTGGTGTAGCTCTGCGAGAAGGAAAAACAAAACCATTTCTGTTTTTTTCTTTTCTTTTCTTTTTTTTTTTTTAGGGGGGTTAGGCAGAAAAGAAGGATGTGGTCTAAAGGCCACCCAGGACTAGACACACATCATACAACACACTGTTGTGCGCCGGCAACCTCAACAGAAGGGGGTCAAGACAGTAAAATAAACCAGACTGCTTCCTGCATGTTTTTTGAAATATATTTACATAGAGTTCTTTCATATTTAAGAATATTTGTTGTTGAGAAGACAAAATATGAGTCATTTAAATGCCCAAAACATACTGGACAACTTGCTTAGCTAAGCAGCTATTTGCAGAGCTGGCCCAAGGCATAAACATACTAAGCGCCTGCTTAGGGCCCCACGGCCAGTAGGGGGCCCCCAAGAGCAATCAAACATTTTTTTGTATGATCAAATATATATTATTGTAAAAATTAAATAAAATAAAGTAAAAACATTTGCTTCTGCTGATGTCGGCCTATGATTCTGCCGATATGTTAAAGCTTTGCTACCGTTTTGTGCCTCCTGCTGTGCACTGAGCATCCTGAACGTGTTACATTTTGAGATTAAAAACCATATGTGGCACCCTGATCATTATTTATTAGTCATTCATTGGTATTATTTGTATGGTTGCATTGGTACTATTTATGTATTATTTATGTTACATGTGCAAAGACATGTCTGGTGCATTAAATTTATACTGTAGTAGGTGTGTGAATGATCAACAATCAATATTATTGGCAGAAATAGAGGGCTCCTAAATCAAATTTTGCTAAGGGCCCTATTGAGGCTATGTGCAGGATAGTTTAGTAAATTTATTTATTAAGGATGAAACCTACAAGACATAAAATTATAAGCAATGTTCTAAGCCTGCGGCACAAGCTTTACCTTAAACACTGAACATGGCCAGGCAAGCCATCCATGTTTTAATAAAGGGTTAGGGAATTGTTTGAACTGAAGGGACAAATTTGCAAGTGGCATCAATCTTCTCATATGTCTCTGAAAAAGACAGCTGATAGGTGTGTGGATGTATTTTAGTAAGTATTCGCTGTGTGCTGCTTTCATGTAAAATTTCTCCTCTTGTTTGTCAAAATAATCTTCAAGTTAATGTAAGATATTCATGAATCTTTAAGAGTTAAATGAGAGGATAAACACAACTGTAATGTATATGATTTCTATCAAACGGTACAATGGGCGTAGCTGAACAGCTGTTTTACAGGTTAAAGTGTGAGAGGAGGAAGCGGAGGGATTTAAATATTCATCCACCCCGTTTTTTCCCAGTAGGTGACAGTAATGCACTTTCAAGCTGTTAGCCAACTGTCCAATAAAATTAAAAAGAGAAGAAGAAGGAAGAAGAAGAGTGGCCTCTTAAAGACTGCACCCCCTTCAACCTCTCCCTTCACACTCCCCATCTGTTTACACGTTTCAGTAGACCAACTCTGAGCACCCCTCAGTGGAGAGTGAGGGGGTCTAATAGTGAGTCTTTACTGATGCTGGCTCTCTGACATAAAAACTGTTTATGATTCATTCCAGGGAGACAGTACATTTAAGTTTTCTGTTGTTACCGCCACAGCAAGACACTGGTTTGATTGATACTGAGGCGTTTTACTTATTTCAAAATAAAAGAGAAAGAACAGCTGTTAATGCTTCTCACCCAAGATGTTAATCAGGCTGTTTTGGTATCATTAATTCAACATGCAGATTTTGCCTAAAGTTAATCTATACATGACAATATGTAACAAAGGATATCACTAACATATGCAGAAAAACATTCATATACTTTGACTCTGGGCAAAAAGACGATGCTTCCGTACATTAATTACCGAGCATATACTGTTATTGTGGAGACATGCCTATCATTTGTTTATTTTGAAAACTACAAAACATTGTGCGTGGGTGTAGCCTATTCATGACTTAATGATGGAAAATATCTTTTATGGTTGAGGTTTTTCGAGGTGAAGTTTTGATAATGGAATGGTTTAGATAAAAAGGAAATCTCAACAGTGTGCCTGTTTCCCTGTTGCACTTGAGGAAATTGTCTTGAGGTTAAGAAATTAAGCTTTTATGTGATTCATCTCATTTCTCAGTAATGAAGAACAGCACGTTGTGAATAAAGAGTGTTTTATGAAACAGCATAAAAGGAATTATGATATAACAGTATGGGGTGAGTATCAAGGTCTGGCTGCTTAAAAAAAAAAGAGCCAGAGGGAAACGTATCTTTTGATCCACCCTCGTCATCCGCTGACTGTGTGTTCTTTGGAGGCTAAAACAATCTTTGTGGTTCTCTACAGCTTATATTATAAACCTCTTCGTAACACTGTGCTATGATTTGGTTTGATTATTCATCTTTTTCACTCGTATTAAATATTAGATGACCTGGTTTATGGCTTGATGCTTATGAAAATAACCATTTAGCACGAAGAAGTATAGGTTTGCATATGCAGACATTTGCAAATACACACTGTGCTAACAACCAGCATGTCTCTCCACCCTATCAGACGTCTCACTCAATCAGTCATAGTAACTTGCACACAGACTTATTAGTGTTGGTCAGTCTGCCATAGAGGAACGTGCTCACTGTAAGCCGCAGTGTTGAAATAAGGCAAAAGTTCAGGGATGTAACACTTAACTTGAGCAGAGAGGTCCTCCGCCCGCAGGACTGAGGCTGGAGGTCGGGCTTCCAGTCAGACTGAAACTGAAGACAGTGAATAGTCTAGGAAATGGTCTGGAGATACACCAGCTGATGAGGCTGAGGCTCAAGCTTTTATTTTTCAATTGTTCCAGGGAAGTGGTCTGGGAATAGACTGGGAATTGTGTTTGTGGCTTAAAAGTACTGAAGCACTGTGCCTGGAGAGCAGGATTACCGGCTGTAACCCTGGAGTTCTTCTACTGGTGAGATTAGGCAGGAAACTTGGCTGTCTTGACCCCCGGTTTTGTGGAGAAGGCAACTGTTTGGATTTTAATTTTGAAGGCCAAATGGAAAACAGCAGCACATGACAGAATTCACTGGAGGAACAAGGAAGAGCTTGGGTGGACTTGCAAATAAACAACAAAAGCAGGTGTGATCAGCAGATTTACAATAGCAGTCCATAGATTTGAAAATGTGCAGGGTTTACCATACTTTTTCTTTGAATAATCTATATTACTTAAAGGGATATTCCGGCGTAAAATTAAGTTCAGGTCAAACACACCATAACACCGAGTTAGATATCCCCTCCAGAGATGAATGTTGCCGACCACTTACTTCTCTAGTTATACCAACTTTAGTAACAACCACAGTTAGCAATACAAAAAGCCACACGCTCAACCAAAACGCCACTCTATAGCCACAAATAATGCTCAGAGCAGCACCTAACTTCATCAACAGTACATAGAATAGGATAGAATATTCCTTTATTGATCCCCCATGTATTTTTACATATACGGTCCCAGCCACAGCCACCGGAATATCCCTTTAATTATAAAAAAAACAAGCTACTTTCAGTCCCTTCTCTACAGCGATTGGCTGAAAAATAGAGTAAACATGTCAAACCACACATGGGCTGAAGTTAAGTTGAGCTAACAAATAAACTAGCATGGATTAATGATTCAGGAGAAAAATGGTGCGCTGAGGCTACAGTCAGGCAAGGATTCACAAGAAGAAGACAGGCGAACAGGAAATAGCTTAAGTAGGGTTTTTAACAACTTGTAACAGCTTACATAATTAGCATGCAGTCCACAAATCTGTATGTACAGTACATGTATAGGAAACTCATCCACAAGGTTGTTAATGAGCTCAGTAGTGCTGAGCATGAACTGTGGTGGCTACATATTTGGCCACAATAGGATGTGATGTTTCTCTGAAATATTTCCATGCAGTTAACATAAGTCAGTGCTCACATAAATGGAAAAATTTCAGAAATCTGAGCGGACCACAGTCACTTCCCTTCATGCAGGTCAGAAATTACACCCCTACGAGCCTGGAGGGAATGAGTGTTTGGGTGGAGTATTCCTTTAAGACAAGTGTGGCTGAGGTCCAGCTTACCCGTATTTTGACTCGTGCTGCCTCCACCCCTCCCGGCTGCCCAGCGATGGACACCTGTTTACAATAAAAAAGTTACATGTAAATCAGTTAGCTGGGTCGGACTCAATCCAAGAAAAACAATGGCTCAGGTCAATGCATACAGTTACATGAAGTATAAACGAAGGCACAGTTTAGAAAAAAAGGTGACTTCAATACTGAAACCTAACCCTTTTTTGTACCTTACACTATTTCCACTTAATGTTTTTATTATTGAGCCACATCATTATAGTTACTATGAACATTTCAATTGAATTATTGACCCCAAAATTGAAGTAACTGACCATTTAAAAACCACCAAGATGAGAGCTTTGATTGAGTTCCTTACCACAGAAATATAAAAGGCCATTAAATGTCAGAAATTTCCTTTTTACTTTCTTGTGTTTGTAACGGATCAGCAGTGAAGGACAAAAAGCACCTCAGCAGAAGAAACAAATAGGAAAGCGGTTCAGCCACATTAAGAGCTAAAGCTAGTTTGGTCCTTCCTGACAAACACACACACACACACGTCACAAATGTGGAGGGCAATGTTGTGGGAAGACATGACATCTTTCCAAATGAAAACCAGAGTCAAGCCTCGTATAAGTGAACACATGCCCTGCTGAAGACTGTTTGAACAATATCCTCATTTCAAACAGCTCCAGTGAGAGTGAAAGGTAAACAGCACTTTCATTGATTTTCACACGTATTTAGATTTGCTTACCAACACCACTGCACGTGTCAATATGCTCTGAAGCTCAAAGGCTCTACTTCAGCGTGTAAGCATTTGAAAGCAGAAAAAGGGGACAGCTGAAGGGGGTCCTGGGCTTCAAATGAGTCTCTTGCTACCTTTCAGTCTGTGCTTGCACCTAAAGATGCACCAATCCATTATCGATACCTAGGCTGAGTGTATTGGCCGATACTACTGTTGAATGAATGAACTGTATACCTTGCCCTGTGAGTGAAGGCATCAGGCTTGACCTTAGCCTTGTTAAAAAATGGTAATAACTTAACACAGATATAAATTTACTAATATTATCTATGAACAAATAACAAATTGGACATTAGCACACAGCAAAAAGAAGTAAGACTTCCATGTCAACATTTAGTGCAAAAGGATAGACAGACATGGAATATAGAGTGAACAGAATCACTGTGTTGCTGTGTATGGTATTAATGAAAAGAAAAAAAGACTGGATTGGCGTCATTCATCAGATATCCGATCCAGTTATTGTGTCAATATCGGAGTCGATATCCAATCCAAATATCGTATCGGTGCATCCCTACTTGCAGCATTGGAGGGGGTTCAAAAAGCTATGAAATATCAAGTACTGACAAGTTATCTGCATGTATGTATTGGGGCTATACATTTATATTGCAATTTGGATCACAAACACATTTTGTATTCTTCCAGTATTTATACTACTACTAAATAAGAAAAGTGGACACTCTGAGGTAGTGTTCTCGTACACAGGTGTACCAGCATCTGGCAAAGATAAGTATCTGATGTCGTGCCCAGTAGTCTGCTTTCCTGAACTGCTCATACTTCATTTTAATGGTAATTACAACAGGATCCACTGCTCTTTAAGTGAATCCAGCCAAAACACACCAGCTTCCTCCGGGTCGGCCAATCAAAACACTTAACTGACCCAACTCTGTGCAACCTGTTTAGACACTCCAACCTGAGAGCTACTACTGAAGAAAATAAACTGCAGAGGTATGAGGAGAGTAAACACCTGACAGCAACAGCATGCAGAACACTTAGACTCTCAGTATAATCATGGTTCAATGATGTGGTTGAAAAGATTTAAAGCAAATATTTGTCTTTGATCAGACAGCAGCCAGCAGCAACCTCCACCCATCCTCCTCGCATCCCTCACTGAAACTGCACAGAGTAAATCTACGTGACGCCCCACAAACCTGGTTGCTTTTCTCCGCCTGGTTGTTCCTGTTGGAGTCTGGAAAATGGATGTGGCAGCCTGTCTCCTCCATCACCCTCTTGATGTTGTTGCCACCTTTGCCGATAACGTGGGAGTGCTCTGTGTGGGAGACGTCCATCTTCAGAGTTACCCTGTTGCTCTAATGAGTGGATGAGAGGGGGCTGGAGTAAGTATTGATCGATAATCTTTTCAAAAGCTTGTTTAATGGAGCAAGAAAACAATGCATTAGAATGATAAATGATCAATCCTTCCAGGTAGACTGAACTCGGTAAAGGAAGTTTTGCCCACTTCTTAAATACAGATGCAGCCGTGACTCTAAGCCCAGAGTAGCTTGCACCAAAAAGTAGCCACTTAGTTTACAGATAGGAGTTGATGACGGTACATCAGATCAAATATTCTTCCTCTTTTTCTCATTTGAATGTGTGCAAATGAGAATCAAGATCGTAAGTGCTGCTCTCCTGAAAAAAGCCAGTGCAGCATCTGTTCCCTTAACTCCACCTAAAAACAGTCCCAAGACCCAAAACTTACAATTTCCCTTCTTATAAACACTTTCAGCTGCAGCAATCATTCTCAAATGAACCAAATCAGCTACGAAAGATGAAGTGCATTAAAAAAGGTATTCAATTATCGAATGCCTCTGTTGTTTCTGCCAGATCGAAACAGCCTTTTCGTGACAAAACCACATGAAATACTTAAAGACCTGAGGACTATTATGTGCTGCTTTTTTGGTGCTTGGCTCTTCAAACTGCACAGAGAACTGCCTTCCCCCAGAGGGTGCTACAGTGCAGGTGCCTAGGTGGTTGATTTGCTTTGTTGCCATGGCGATGAAGCCTGCATGCACACACTGACTGCGGCTCAGCTCGGGGATGGCAGTACCTGGTGACATTAGCGCCAAGTTGTGCTACACTGCTGTGTGCAATCTGTCACTGGGAAAGAGAGGAAGCAAAACACATTCAGGGAGAGGGATACTGAGATGTTTACTGTACCTTTGTGTCCAGGACAGACATTATCCTGTCTTTGGCTTCTCTCACATTGTCCCTCTTCCCGCACACCTTGATATGTGGATCTACAGGGGAGGGAAGAAAAACAAGAGAGGGAAAGGTTAAAATTGTAGGGTGGGAGTGTGTGTTGCAGTTTCCTGTGCGGTAATGAAGGGCAGAGATTGAATGTAAGTGAGAGAGAAACGCAAGTAAATCCCATTTAATCAAACATGACACAGCAGTCTACATTTGTCAACAAATTATAGAGCGTCGGAGGGAAAGCTCTGCAACAGTAATTGCTGCTTTGATATCTGCCGAGTCTCATTCAAGCTGGCAGGCGACCACACCACGTGGAGCAGGGGAGGGGAGCGGGTAGGAGGTTTTGCATCTCTGTAATATATTCAAGCAATCCATCAGTCAGTCGAGAGGCAGAAACACTCAAAGCTGGGGAGACTTCTTCTGCAGCTATCGAACCCTGCTTGACAGAAGACAGAGATGTTCGTGTGATGCTTATCACCTCATTCTCCTGAGTCCCATTCTGTCAGTCAGACACTGCGGCAGCTCATATACTTTGTTGAGCTCTTTATCAGCTGTCATACGCAGAGCCAATTTTCTCTCTCGCAGGAATGACGAGACAACATCTGTGTGAAATTCTGTATTAATACTTTTAGTGGGAACACAGAATATTTGTTTGAGTAAAAAGTTAGCATGAGAGAAAGTTCTCCTCCAAACTCTGAAAACTTCAGACTGAATAACAAAACTCACACCTGAACCGTTTCAAGCTAAAGCTTCGGTCTGTGCAGTGTTGGCTGAGTCTACATCTGGATCAGCCGCATGCCGAACCCCTGGAGGACTCAGATGTAAAAAAAAAAAAACACGCAAATTCAGAATGTGTGCACGCATGTACAACACACCCACAGTCCAGCGCCCCTGTTAGCTGTACTAAGCTGCAGGAAGTCATCTAAGCCCCCTTCCAGGAATAACCCTCCCCATACACACTAACAGACACACTCAGATTAACGGTATGGATGACATTTAACCCTCATAGAATCGAGTCACTGTTAGAAAAATCATTGGGACCTCAAAGAACCCCACATGTACGTGTTTGAACTTCATCTTGAGAGTGAAAATCCTTGACATTGCAGAAATAAGAACAACTAGAAAAACATGGTCAGCCCTTTTTTTTCTGGGGACGAGGGAATTCCCAACTTTCAAATGTTTTTGGGAATGTTTAATTACCATTTTCAACTCACAAAAGCAAAACCAGCGTAGCCTCCATGGAGCTGCAAAAGACCACATGATCTTAAGACTTGATTATATATAATAATAATAATGAATCCTGTTCTTTGGAAATATCTGAAAGACGTTAGGTCGTCTGTCTAAGAGCCAAAAGGAGCTACGAGGTCCAGAACCGGCAAACAAGCGCTGACCTTGTTATTGAGTCAGGGGGGAGAGGCAACCTCAACACACACAACAAGAGATGTTAGATCATGTGGGAGAGAAACAACAGGGCTTAGATGGCTTGAGGGGTAGGAACCAAACAAAAACCCAAGCTGGAGCTTGAGACAGGAAAACAAAACCAAGGAAAACAAAGAAAAAAGAGCAGAGAGATCACAGTCTCAGCAGCGGTTCCAGGAAATTTTCCCATCATACAGCTGTTCCTCTGAACAATAGAAATCCCTCTACTTCCTCCTGTGGCGCCTGCTGCGGCCATTAGAGGGAGTTTTGGATCTTCCAGTCAGTGCTGCACTGCACATCTGGCAAACATTAGCCAGCCTAAACGAGTGTTGCAGTCATGATGTAGAACACCCCCGCATTTTTGAAACCGAGTGAGCTGCGTGCTCTTTCCTCTCTGTTTTTTTTTTTTTGGTTGATTGGCTGTGGAATTAAAAAAAAACGAACACCTTAAGTCTTAATTTGGCACAAACAAAAGGTAGAAAAGCAGAAAAAACAGGAGTGGAGCTGCAGAAAGCAAAAGTCTTTCAGTCGCATGGATTTTTACACAGCTCCACTTCCACAGAAAAGAAACCTTTTGACCCTACTGGAGCTCTGTACTGGCACAGCTTAAGCATTTTTCCAGCTGAGGACTGCATTTGCAAATACCACACAAATGAAGGGAAATAAGTCCTTCTTACTCTAAAAACATCTGCAGAAATGTTGAAACAGACAATTGGCAAGAAGAAGTAGCATGTGAGATATCTATCGTGTAAAAATAAAACACAAATCTTAAGGATATCAAGGTATTAACCATTCTGCTGCATAGTCCAGCAAGTTGCACTGCAGCCCTGTCTCGTGTGAGTGATAGCGCTTTCCTCAATGTATTGAATTACCAACAGGGAGCAATGATAGCTTGCCTCAGAGGCTAACAACTGGCCTTATCACACTCATGCAGGTGGTAGTGAGGAATAGCTAGCTGTAGGTGATAGATGCAACAGAGGAACTGGCATTTTGATGGAGAGTGGGGAGAGGTTACAAACGTACAAATCCCTTCACATCTGCTGCTATCCTGCAGAGTGTAACTGATTCCAGACCGCACATGAAAGACAACACTGATGCTAAATTCCAGAGAAAACAATGCAAACCAATAAGCTTAAGGAGTGCTTTTTTAGATTACGATCACTGGAGGTAATCAGTAACCCCTCAAGAACAACACATCCACGTCAGAAGCTATTTTTAGTACAGAGGAAGTGAGTTTATGCGGGTCATATCTAATAAAAGAGTGATACAGAATGAAAGGAATGCAGTTTATTGTCTCGTGTAATTTTCCTGCAGGCTCCTGTTTTTATTTTAGACGGCCTTGTTTTTCCAAAGTGATCCGATCAGATTTGAGTGATAAAATCTTGAAAGTATTCTTTCAAAAGAAAAAAGGGTTCTCAAATTGTATTAGTTCATGAAAACCAGTTTTGTTTTGTTCGGGTCATAGTTTCAAAATGTTGCCTTGAATTATTTGGGTGGTTTTGGAAAAGCTTTGATCAAGAAGTTGAAGAGAAAAAAGGTAATAAATAAAAATCAAATGAACTGGTACATGAACTGGTAATACGTCATGCGCAACAAACCACATCTTTAATACAACACAGCTGTTTCTTCAATTTGCAACTGATTTAATTTACTGTAACTGTAATTCATCAGCTAAAGTAGATATAGAGCCAGCTTAGGCTGCATTAAAGCAAAAGGAATGAAAGATGTATGCCCTGAAAGCCGCTCGAAATATCAACTACTATTGGTGTCCCAATACAATTTTTTTTACCTTCGATACGATACCAAAATTGTTGTCTTAGGTATTGTCAAATACCTATATTGATCCGACATTAGTGCAAACTTGTGCATGACAAGTTTTGCACTCAGCTGCAACGTTGTTTTCTGAATTATATGAAAAATACTTCCACAGGGCCGTCATCGCTTACTGGATCCGAGTGCTGCTAGATAAAGGTGTTGGAGCGGAGTCCGGAATTGATTGCGTGTATTGGAGCGCTGATACCGGAGATATAAGATGCAGGCCAATATACCATATTTTTCACACTTTCACACTATAAGGTGCACTTAAAACCCTTTCGGCTTGTTGCACCACTGCAGCTACCGTAGCCTTGCGGGGTCACTGAATGAGTTAATACAGTTTGACTTATCTGACTGTTTTGTTTGGCTTAATGCGCTTTATAATCTGGTGTGCCTTATGTATGAAAATAGACGCAAATTGATGGTGCACCTTATAATCAGGTGCGCCTTATAGTGCGAAAAATACGGTAATACAATATTCCATTTTTTGCTGATATCAGAATGATATCCGAAATCAATATCATATCGGGACAACCCTATCAACTACACATACAAACATATCCAACATTGATTCATCACTTTATATTTAACAAAATGAAAAAGTCCAGAGTACTTACAAACAACAACTTCATGTCTGAGACCTTCATGAGGTTACCTGGACTTTGGATTCAAGATCTGATTCAGGACCCAGGTGAGTCTTTTTTAATATAGTTTTATAGGATTTTGGGAGTTCCCATCTGTTTCTGCTGGTCTGGTGACTGTTTACTCATATACTGTAATGATGCACTTATTGACTTCATAAGTCTTGGAGCAAATGAGGTACAATTGTTTGAAAAGAAACAAAGTAGTTGGTTAAATTTCTGTTGTTAAGCCTACAATGTGACACTGATGCGTACTGAGGGCCAGTTATAATCTGGATTTCATGCTCAGTCTTAGCCTCCAGACTCTGTCAGAGTCAGAACAATCCCCCTTTAGCCTTTCCCTCTTCTCCCTCACATAACTTCAGGTTGTTAAAATACACACTCAGTTCCACATGTTTCTTCTCCTGTGAACGCATTCCCTCAAAAGATAACGCCAAATGATAATCCAACATTCCTCTCCTTTCGGTTTACGCAATTCAGAGGAGAAAGAAATCTGACAGGCAACAAATCATGGAACAAAGTTTTAAATAGCATCGTCTCATGCACAGAACATCATTCCCAGGTGGGGTTGGAAGCAGGTTTTGTGAATGAACTAATGCTTGGGATGAATGGATGTTTGTGTGAGGGAGGATTGCCAGTTACAGTTGATTAAGCATCTTGAGAGAAGAATGTTAAAGATTCTGATGTAACCTCGTCAACTATTCTCTGTGCGGAGCGAGTGAGGAAGTTACATAATGTCATTGGATTCCACATCTGGCTCAAAGACGTACACTGGTGATTCCCCTGGGGACAACAAAGTGGGCAGAGCTACACCTATTCCTCACCCCCGTCACCCTCAACCCCTCCCGGATGAGCTTTAAATAACCATGATAATATTTTATTGGTAACAGAGAGCTGGAACAACTAATAAATGCGTGACTCGCACATGGCAGCATCAAAAATTCCTCAGAGCAGATATTAAGTCACAGAGGAACAGAAAACACGTGCTTTCATCTTTTCAAACTTCTCTATTAAATTTTTAATACCAAATTCTCATGCAACCAAGTAATACTCCCCTCTTGTCCATTTTAGCCCAATCTTCCATGAACATATTTGTGGTTAAAACAGCATTCATTGATGATCATTTACATATCAAAGGCAGAAATCTGACCCATGAGCTGAGCATGACTTTTTCCAATGGAGTGGCCAAATTGACCGACTTCTGCAGAGGACGTTTAAAGAATATGTGAGCAGAGCAGGGTGGAAACATTTCAGTCTTTGCAGCTTAATCTTTAAAGTCTAAAAAAAGTTTGTCTTAAGTCACAATATTGAGTACAAACTCAACGAAAGTTTGTGAAACCGAAATGCCAGGAAAGATACTGGTAGCCTTGGCCGGCACATCCAAAACAGTTTGTTTGATCTTCAGTACAGTCAGTGGCAGAGCAAACAGCCAATCGCTGCTTTAGGTTTTGGTTTAATTTTAAGGAGGGGGGCATGGCCACCTCTTAACTGCAACCCTGAGGTTGCCTCCCCGATATTGTAGGTAAGATAGTATGACATGACACATCTGTACTATTAAAACTCTTTTAGACAAAAAAAATGGTATCTTGTGTTTCACAAAGTGAGAAAATTAAGAGTAATTTGTTTTGCAATGTCATGAAAATTCATGCCAGCATTTACGGGCTCCAACACATTGCAGGCTTAACATTTTTAATTTCAACTTCATGAATCCTTTCAGCCCATTTGTTACCAAATAGTGAAGTAACATACGGCAACATGAATAGAAGCACAACAGATCATGAAAATCTGAAAACAGGAACAGAGTAAAAATTGAAATTATTACCTTTTTTGGACTTGGCTCCAATTTTCAATTTGGACGGCCAGGCTATCTGTGTTTGGGTCTCATCCATGATCTGAAACACAGTAAAGGAGGGTCACCATTAGGGTATCACACATATTAGTAGTGGCAGACAAAAATATACCAACACTTTGGTTTGTCAGGCGCTGTCATACAGCTTTGAAGTGGTGTATACTCAGGTCGAGAAATGCATTTCATTTTCACTATTGTCACACTACTGTCAAGCCTGGGTATGATGTTCATGCTTTTACACCATATTGCTGCAGTCAGATGAAGTTGAAGGTGGTTATAAGATTTCTTCAGATTGATTGGAGCCTGTTGGAGGATTATTATGGGTTTGTAGGGGGCATGCAGCAAACACAGGAAATGTGTTAAATATGAATGACTAAGAGCTAAAGCGAATGTGCACTCTCATGTATCTGCTTTTTATCACATTACAGATTGTTACTGCAATATCCGCAGGCCTGGTGTATTCTGAACTTGCACAAGAGTAAAAATTCTGCAACCTAACTTCATGCCGATCATGATCGTTTCCATCTTTGATGTCAACTCAGTTCACAAAAACACAGAATTCATTGGGCCCCTGTAAAAATTGTATAAGTTTAGTGGGTGTTTTTTAGTGCTGTAATGCGGGGTTGGCTTTGTTTGATATGTCGACAACTCCCTGTTCCCTCTCCTATAATACAAAACATCGATTTGGATGATAACAGGGACCACATGAAATAAAACATTAGCAGCCAATGGTGCAGAAAAAAGGCATCACATGAGGAAAAGTTCAGCGGAGTTAAATGATCTAAAACTCTTCTCTGAAGTTTGTAAAACCTGGAGAAATGGAGGAGCCGTGAGTCCAGTTTCTATGTTATGTGAATGGTGATATAAACTTATGTGATGTTTCCAAAAGCTGCTTCTTTTTGCTCAACACCCAAATCCTCCCACAACCCCTACACCGGCCAAAAAAGAGACAAAAAAAGAAAGAAAAACTAAGCACTTGGCTCCGATACACATGAAAAATGCCAACAACAATCGAAGTAAGAGCTTTTTGACAAGTCTAGTCTTCATAACCAGGAGCATATGTAACAACGTGAAAAAAGGAGCTAGTCAGGGCACTCTCAGTGCTCGGATCTGCAGGATTTATCACTAAACCCTTTCTTTCTCTTGTCATCTACGAGGAAGTTCACCTTGCTTTGATTTCTCACTTCAGATCCACAAACAAACCTCTGAAAACTGTCCTTCAGAGTACTTTTACAATAAAGAAATGGACTCCCTTTCCTAATAGCTCTGTCCTTGATATGGACTATCCTTGTTTTCACAAAGGTCCTGCGGTTCCTTGGTTTGTTTAAATTCTTTCCAGGGGTTTGTATTTTCGGGGGTGGAGGAGAAATGAATTTCTCTTAAGTTTCAGACACGTGATGTAGCACCAATGACCTGCTTTAACTATTACATGAGCAGCATTGCGTGCTCTTCGGTGGTCCAGCGAATTAAGCAATGAGCCATATATTATACTCCAAAAAGGGGAGGAGGCACATTTAGAGCCATCAACACTTCCAACGATGATAAGATACTTAATAGTAGCACTTCAACGGTTCACAGTCCTCATTATTTGAAAGATTTTCACATTTAATCTGTTTTTCCCCGCTTACCATATAACAAAAACCGTAGCCTATATTCCCAGGGGAACTTCAGCACAAATCAAAAATGGAAGCGTTTAAACCCCTCCATATGCTCGTCTGGAAGTAACACAGTCTGTTTGGCATCCTTTACAACAAACTCTAGCAGTTTTTACTCACTGCCAGCTTCACATACCTACACAACAGAGATTTAAATGCAGCTGGTGTGTGCTTTTTGTCTTTGAATTTTGCAGACATTCACTCCTAAGTCGATGATGGTTGACTGGAAACTGCTTTAAGCCTCATTGAGTTTCTACAATGTCCAATAATCGCAAATGAAAAAAAAGCAGAGAGTGAAGATGAGCCTCAGAAAAAGGTGCATACGCTTTTGTGGTGCCAGATTGAACTGATTTGAGAGCAAAAAAAAAATGCAGCAACGTTTTATAGTCATTATCCAAATCATCAAACAATAGTGTAATAAAGTCAGTGCCGTGTGTTTGGTCATTCTCCAGTAAACACATAAAATTAATCACTGCAAGCCAATAAAATCATTGCACAACACGCTTATACATCCAAGTGCACTGATTGATGATTCTTACATCCTCTCTCCTCTCTCTCTTGGCTCCTTTTATATCTACGTGTTTTATTGTGCAGAGAAGTTATTATATAATAGTAGAGAAACATCCTTCAAGTTATTCACTTTCAATTGCCTGAATAACAGAAACAAGGGGAATTTATGTTTCACTTTGCGCAATGAAAATGAAGGAGCATTCCTTTTAGGCAATCTTTCTCAACTTTTTTTTGTCAGGAATTCTTCTCTGGTATCATTAAAGTGACTAAGCAGAGAAAACTTAGCATCCAGGGTGCTAATCATCCCCCCATAATGTCCTCTTACTGGAAACCTCCCCGTTCTCCCCCCTCTGCAGTGTTATCACAAGAGCTGCAATAATATTATCAGTCTATGCACTCAGGATGGGTTTACACGCCATAAATCTGAGGCCTGAAACCAAAATCTGATGACTTCTGTGTTCCTGTGTTTCATTTTCGCCCGAGGCACGAGTGACTCTAATCCACAACATGACACCCTTCCTCTCCTTCCCTCTCCCTCCCTCCTGCCGTCCTCAGCTACATGTGTGAAAAAATGATAAATCACAAATACCCGGTGGCTGAACGCTTAACGTTTTCCCTCCATGTGCTCTCGCTAACAGCTGGATGTATCACAACATCATTAGAGGACATTCTGTTCTTGGTGATGCGGAGGGATTTCTTGATGTCAGCTTCTAACTTTCCCCCTTTGTTGTCTTTAAAAAGTCCCTGGTGACTATGACAGATGTGTTTGGATTCTGAAACAGAGATTTTTAATTTAAAACCGCAAATTAAAGAAATATTCCTCTGCCACAAACAGCAGACAAGTGATTGTAACTTTCACATAAAAACGTCACTAAAAGTTTCCTCTTTAGTCATTTTTATCCAGGAAACAGTAACATAACACCGGAGAAAACCCAATTTAGAAAAATGATATGTTGGAAATGAGAAAGATTACACATCCTGAGCTACTCCAATTATATTTTCCTGTAATTATGAAAATTAAAAGCCAACGCCTCATCTACTTTTCATCTACAGGCTTTGTTCACAGGGACCTGTTTCCTGTCCGGCGTTGCTGCTCTTGGCAGCGTCCTGCAGATGGGACTGATTTCTGACAGACCACACACCATTTTAAAAGGCTGGATGGCGTTTATTTTTATGAAGGGGGCTCGCGAATGCCTCTCAAGCAGGTCTAGATATTTGCACAAATTAAATTACGTATACATAGAAGTGTCCCGCCCTTTCGTATCATCCGCTCCATCCTTCACTGAAAGAGAATAAATACATAAAAGCTTCTGATTGGTTATACGGCACAGCCTTGACATGATGATTGCTTCTAACAGGTTTGCAGCTGGTGTAAGCAGACGTGTGTGGAGCTGTAGGTAAAATCAAACAGGACATCATTAAGGTCCTGAGAGTTGGTGCATGTGTTCATTACACGTGACTGCGTGTGTATGTCTCTATGTATGTATACGTTAAGCACAGCAGCAATCAACATGGCAGAGGCATGTTTCCTGGCCGGCACTGCGATGGTGCAGCTGTTGATTCAGCTGGAATGTGTGTGGAAGAGTGTGACTGCCCATGTGTGTGTGTGTGTGTGTGTGTGTGTTAGGGGGACACAAAGGGCTGATGGGGGCTGTAAAGAGGTTGGGAGCAGAGTTTAGAGAATGAGTGAAGGAACTGCAGAGGCCCAAGCTGTCAACATAGACTCCAACCATCCTCATGAGACCTGACAGTCATAAATGAGTTCAAGTTAACAATCAGAGCACTAACTGGCAACCAAAGTCCTATTAAACCTCAGGGCTAATGCTAACATATACACACATATACACAGGAATGAAAGAGGGACACATTTTACACAGAGGGCACTTGTGTGGAGGGGAGTGGGTGGATTGATCTTGCAATAATGTCATCAGTCTAACTTTTGACATGTAATTATCAATATGTCAGTGCTCAATATTGATAATATCACTGAGGAAAAATGGTGCTCTGAACACACGTCCACTCACCCCTTTGTGGCCTCTTGACACGTAGTGGAGCCGATGACATGAATGAAGGGAGTGTGGATGGAAATTAACAGGTCAAAGAAGAATGAGAGAGCCCCAAAATAGTAGAAGATGACATCGGATTGTCAGACAGTAATTAAGAAATGCACTAGTAGCCACTCTTGGAGCCAGAAAGGTTAGAGAAAAGACAAAGCTCTTCTGGCTCTGTATCCAGAGATGGGAGGAAAGGTGGATGATGCCCTCTAGTTTGCACTGAATTCACCCGCAGGTTGATTCCTCAGACGTCAGAGTCCTAAGGGACGATCACTGCCCAGCGCATTCAAACTAAAGTGCAGTGATATTCATGCACTTTGCCTTTTCAGGGGTATTTTCTATCCTTCAGATATTGTGATCTCTTAGTATATCATAGTCTTGCAGTAGCCTACACTATCATCGTATAGAAGTATAATGATATAATCAGTCACCCAGTGATTTCCCACACATACAAAAACATGTTTACTGCGGGCATAATAATTTCTGTGTTATCAGACAAAGCATTGAGAAGGTAATTTATCATTGTTGGGACCTGTGTGATAAATTTGATGCATCACTGGTGCAAAAATCAATATCTTAATATAAAAATGGCACTGTCGTCTGAACAGATTTCCTGTTATATTGACATGACATTCACCTTTAATGGACATTTTCCAGTTACGTTAATATTTTAGTGTATCATTATATTATTTTCTTGCAATTTATCAATCATTGCAAACTCACTGTATCATCATACTATCATCATTGTGGAGCATGTATTAGTTATAAATCACATCCTGAGTAAACCTGGTGTACCTTGTGATTCCCACCTTTTCTTTTCATATCAGGCGAATACTTCACCCTGAAAGACTCGAGTTTTCCTGCAAGCACAAGACTCTTCAACACCACACACCAAAATGAAATAAAATTATGCCTGGCCTGAGATCTAAGGGCACTAGCAGTTATATATTACGCCTGGCATTATTTACACAGCCACAACTCTTTGGAAGAAGCACTGGAAGGGGGATCAGCCATAGCTAAGGGGTTCAAAGGCAACTCTAAACTCAAATCCACTCCGCGCTCCTCTGTGATGCTTAGTTATCGGCTCATCCAGCCGAGCTCCTCGGCTCTGTGCCGTCCCGCAGCTCAACTTCTGTACTGCTCTCCAAACGGCTTTGTGGATTGTGCCATGGTTTGACACACTGTCAGTTCCCGATCCAACGCTCTCCCTGCACAATTGTAAGATGAAGTGTTCACTGACGCACACAGTCTGTTGAATTCATCAGGTAAAAACAGTGGCAGATATATTTCCATTGTCTTATCGAACGATGACTCACCACCGGGTTAACAGAGTGCAAATGTAAAATAACGTTGGATCTGTGGGAGAGGCGACCAAAACAAAGACTGAAAAGAAAGGAGGGACATGAAGCTGGAGAGATTCCCTCATGTGAGCAGCAGGGATTGCACAAAGCTGATTTCCCAGCTGTGGCACCCTCCTGTGGTCCCACTTTGTCTGCTATCCTCTTTACTCCCTCATTTACTACATAAGGAGGGTGGCCTGTTTGCTCTCTATGACAGACTGGAGCTCTGCACTCAAAGGAAGTCCAGCAGACAGTGAGTAAGAGGGTTTGATCAAACACACTAACGGTGCCTCTGGGAAGAAAGAGCGTGGGTGGAACAATTTCATGTTGCTCTCGTCAGCAAATGAACTTGAAATCTCCCTGCTGAGGCAACAACGAATGTAAGTGTGCGTCAAAAATGACCCAATCCTCCTCAGATGAGGGGGAAGGTGACTGTGCATGTGCCTAACAGCCTCTCTGAGTATTTGTGAGTGTGTGTGTGGTAGATGGGTGTGTTGGATAGTCAGGAAGCAGCCCAAGTAAAAGTTTCCATTTTCATCTACTTTGAGGTATTTCAAACACCTCATCCATTTTCTTTCAACAATACTGTTCCACAGTCACGCTCTGTGTTTATTTTCCTGACTTTAATAAGGCATGAGTGGTGATCACGCTATCAGAGGAAAACCATACACAGTTATCCAAATGGAAGTTCTGCAATAAAAACACGACTCCAGCCCTCCTCCTACACCGCTCTTCGCCAGGCTGCCAACCCAAACATCTGCATGCTAATTTCTAATTGACGATTTAACCTCCACTAACCACTCTTCCTTTGAACGAGCTGTGACAATATTAAAGCCAGAGTCTTCACAAAAACTCACAAAGTCAATACACCAAGAGCCACACGTTGTCAGAAAAGCCCTATAAAGTGAAGCAGACACCTTTACTTGGATATATTAAACATTACTGATATATCCAAACCAAATGGAGGTGGAGGAAAAAAGTCTACACTAGATCGACTGAGTCCTTGTTAAAATTCCAGGGATAGGGATCTCAAGGCGCCTGGTTTGCATTACTTGGTTTTTCAAACTGCTTCAGGGACAGTTAAATTGCCTTCTTCTTTGACGTGTAGCTCAGCTTTCTTAACCTCCAAAACCAAAAAACAGAAAAAAAGACAAAAGAAGAATGCTAAAACAAACCGTTGTCTATCATTTATTTCATTACAGCCCATTACCATACCGTGGAGAGAGTTTAACATATTCAGGGAAATGGTTTTAAACAAGAATGAATGCTCCTGAGATTTCCAGGGAATCACAGAATGATGAGATACAGACCACAAGAACAGCTCTGTGTTAACACTCAACCCTGATTGTTGCAAATTTGATTGTTTTCATTTTCAGCGCCATGTGATTCATCTGCTCCCTACTCACTCAAATACTTGGTGTTAAAATCCAATAAATGTTGCAGATCAGAGTCATTTCTTTGCCAGTCAATTAACACCGGCTCAATATCTGGTTGTGTTAGAAACTGTTCTCCCTCTTTCAGATGCTTTACAGATGGAAATGAGCTCTTTTATGTTTAACGTCTCATTTCAACTCAGTCTGTGGACTTAGAGCTGTAAGTCATGTCATACATCATTTTACTGAAAACAGAATTTTAACAAATGATCAATTCTTCACTTTATAATGCTAAAGAGTTTTTGCAGTGGAGCGACACTAAACTGTTCATAAAAAATGAGAAAAATGAACAGGATTTTCTAATGGAACATGGTGCTTTACTGTAGGCTCTTAACACTTAGGGGAACTAGGTTTGGAAAGTAAAGAGCCAAATAGCAGAACAGTCACACTTTATATATCAGACTTGTAAAGCTAGAAATTTCAAGAAGGTATTAGTTAAACGATGTAAAAAACATTTCTAGTTAATTTGCACACAAAGGAGAAAACAGACAGGAGAGTGAGGTAAACGAGTGTCCCAACAATTCACCACTTCTGTCTACAAATAGAACTAGTTAGTGTTGATGTTCATGTTGCATTTAATATCTTTTAATTCACTCAACTTTATCTCTTCTGCTATAAACAGTATGGGTTTAAATTGTTGATAAAACATATGACATTATGCCCAGAAACAGAGATATTGTCCTATGAATTCATCTCAATCAAACAATTAGCATTTACATAATGAACCTGCATGATCCTGCTCATTACACAGGGATCAACTAAAGCTACAGACAAGCAGACTTAAAATCATTCATTCAAAGTTGATTTTAATGATTTGAAAATAATTTAGGCTATATTTAGAGAACAACTACTCTGATGATATGTTCACTTGTGCTCTTATAGCGACGGATTCCTATTTGCCTACTTGTGGGATGTATTAACGTCAAAAGTAAACACTTTAATTCACGGGGTTGTCACAGTGAAATATTAGTCAGCTCATTTGTTCACATTTTTCATCTCCAAAAAAGTCATTCAAGGTCAACTTGAAACTTTTCTGCTGTTACAGCAACAATCACTATTAATTCAATTTGATTTATAGTAATTGGCTGAATTACTCTCCAGTAATGCAGGTAAAAAAATAACCTCATTATTTGGCAGAATGTTTTAGCACGCTAATATTAACATACATTTTTGCTATACAATCAACAAGCAGTATTGAAATTAGGGATGCACTGAAAATTTGGCCACCAAGAGCATTTTCGGTTTTCGGCCTTGGTTTCCACATTTTCGGTTTCAGCTAAGAATTTTCATTTCGGCGCATCCTTAATTGAAATTAGTTCAATATGTGGTTGTATCTTGTTTTGCTCTTGCTGTTTAAAACCATACCTACTTTGTTGTTACGGGGTTTTGACGAATCAGAGTCAATTAATTAAAAATAAGTAAGTCGGGTATGACCTTTTCTGATGCTTGTATATATTCAAACCTTTTTCCACATTGAGTCGTCCTCTTCCCCACTGGCTGCTAACTCAAAAGTCAGATGTTTTAAACATCAGAAAATGTTTTAATATCAGAAAATGTCTATCAGACTATCATTAAATTAAAAGAATGATTCTACTTTAACACTTGAGTTGTAAAATCCAGAAAGGGGTCCACAGTTGATCGATCAGTGAGCAGCAGAGAGACAGAGAGCAACAGTTCAGGGCTGATTAAGACCACTAAAGCACGTCTCTGTTTTATTGCATGTAATTGCCCCTCAAAGCATCTACTAATTAAATCACTGAAAACGAAAAAGTCAATGAGGCAGTGCTGACCAGAGCAGGCGTGAGTTTAACCTCCTCTGCCTCCGTATTATGGTACATTATGTAAGTGAGAAAGGCCCCGAATGTTGTGTCAGCTGTGTTATAGGATCAGAGCCCTGCAGCGACTCCACGTCACTGTTGTTCTGGTGTTTTTGTTTGTTTTAATCGGTAATTACAAAAGACTGGAGGAGCACCTGACATCTGCTTCATCGCAAAGAGAGAGAGAGAAACACTAGCTCAGTGGGCTCGAACACAACGCCAAGACCAAGCAAACAGACTCTAAGAGCAGACTTTACACTCACCTTCTGAAAGAAATCCTCCCCGCCATTGACTCTCCCTTCAGAGGCAGCTAGAAGGAGACAGAGAAGAAAGAAAATAAATTCATAAAACCACACAGAAACACTAACTTTTGTATACACAGCACAAATACTCATATTATAAGTCTCCTTGAAACATTGGGGTATCTTTTGGTGGATCTCCATTTCTTGGATGTTGTGTTTGGCACAGCAAACTTATGCTGTTCACTGACAGGAACAGAATAAAATGTTCCAAGTTATTTTCTGTAATCCCAAAGATTGGATACAGCTTCCGTGTAACAAATTGATGGATACAGTGGAAATAGTTGGGCTATTATGGTGGTACAGTAATGGCGTACTTCATTCCTCTCTTGGGTCAGCTAGTTCGCACTTCTCTGAGACGGTTTTCACACTTTAGAAATTTGTCTGTCAGCACACAGGCCCTGGGGACTACATTACCGAAAAACTTTCAAATGTAACTGCCTAGAATCACTTGTCAACAAAATAAGCACTTTGGAGATTCTTGATGGTTTCAAATTATTTTCTTAGCAGGTGTAAAATGCTGAGAAACTCCTCCAGCGGATTCAGTGAGCTGGGTGAAAAACAGAGGACCAACCAGGAGAGAGAGTCGGGCCTTAAGCGCTCCAACACATCTGCAAGTCCTTCAAAGTGTGGCTGCTCTGTAGATGCAAAATACATATCTGCTCTCCAAGGAGAGATCTCATGTTCCTCTGTCATTTGGGAGCACAGGGAAGGTTTAATCATGCATTTCAGCAAGCGCTCAACAGACGGATCTGCTGCTGTCTGTGCAAATCTGGGTCAGAAGGAACAGCAGAGTTGATGTTAGGTTTTACAGCACATCCATAAATGCAAACCAGACACGGATCGTGATCGCAAAAACATGAGATGAATACATGTTTGAGCAGAGTCTGACTCAATGTAATGTCTGATCAGAGAGCATTAGCACTCATGAGATGTGAAAACTCATACTGTTGGATAATAAATTCATCAGGGAACAACACCTGGGACTAAACAACAAATAGTCAGATTAACCATTAATTATGCATATTTTCATCTTAAAGGGATACCTACTCTCTTCCAGCGGCTGCTGGAAGGTGAGTTGTGTTTAGTCTCTTTGCTAAAGAAATCAGGCAAACTTAAAAAGATGTTTGGTGGCTAGTACTATGGCTGGGACCCTATATGTACTGTTGAAGAAGTTAGGTGCCGTTCTGAGCATTATTTGTGGCTATATTTGTGGCATTTTTGTTGAGGTTTGTGTATGGCTCCTTAGACCGCTGTGTATTGCTATCGTGTGGTTGTTACTAGAGTTGGTATAACTAGAGAAACAAGCAGTCAGCAACATTCATTTCTCAAGGGGGTGTCTAACTCGGTGTTACGGTGTGTTTGACCCTAAATTAATTTTACACCGGAATATCCCTTTAAGCAACCATACCTGAAAATTGCTTAAGTTTCTGCTTATTTGATGGTTTTCTGTATCATATACGACTTTTAATACATTGTTTTAATGTACTTAATGATAAGTCAGGCAGGAATTAAAAGAAAATGCAATCATGGCAGAGATGACAGATTTATTGCCCATTAAGAGTATTTTGATTTAGTAGTATAGGAGTATTACTTAAGTAGCATCTTTACAGGTAACAATCGGCTTTGGTTTTCTTAAAATGAGATGAGTTCAGCTGTACTCACACATGAACAAAACTCTTTCAAAGTCAATCTAATTCACTCCAGCTTCACCCAGACTGTTCCCTGCCAGCTTTTCAGTGAGATTCCTGCATGAAGTCAAGGTGAGGCGGTGAATGGCAATACAAATATATTAAGGAAATTCACAGTTTGCAAGTTTCTGCCTCATCAAGGTCAGAGCCTTTGATATTTTCTTTTCCATCTATCCGTCTTTAAACACTGCCATATCTCATACTGTGTCCAATAACGTGTTAACTTCACGCACCACCTCCAAATTCGTAGTTTCTCTGGCAGCCTTCAGTTTTTCGTGCCTTAAATAGGAGGTATCCTGCTGGTTTCCAGGCTTTCCATTGTCCTAATCATTTTGCTCTAGCTTTACTTGCAGCTTTACAATAGTGACTAACTTACTCACAGTTTGTTGTCTTTGAATAGCATCATGTCAGCTTCTGCCTGAAACACAGTCTGCCCCTACTGTAACCCCCCCTGCCACACTGTTACAGAGTTAATTGTATTTCTCCATTAAAAATGATGAATATTACTTTATGTTTTGAACCCCTAATCTGACCTAGAAAGTTTGGATATCGACAAAAAAACTACAACAAAATAAAAAAGAAGAGAGCGGGACATTTCCTTTGCTGTTTGTTGTGTCTATTCTGCTCATTTAAGTCGATTCACAAATGGGTGTTGTTGTGATATTGAGTTCCTCTTACATAGTTCTCATGTGACTTTCACACAGATTACTCTAACAGCCATGTGATTCACAATCTAAAACTTTGGCTGTACTAAAGGCTCAGACTATCCAGGGCATAAAGGGTTAAGAGATCATACTCTGGCTGCATGGATGACTTCTGCACCTGGTTGAGCTTTCAGATGAGTGTGGGCTTATGTTTTACTATGAGTTCAATCCGTAACATCCAGAACATTGACAACAGATTCTATTCAGCATAGCCGTGTATTAAACTGTCAAAAACACACACGTCCTCATGCGTTTATTACTCCCTAAAACTTGATGCCAAATTTCTATGAGGGGAGAATCTGCTCCTCGTGTTAGGTGCATCAAACCTGCAGTGCACACATTTGTATCTGATGATCCTTACCATGTGAATTCCGGGTGTGAAAACCACTGTTATGTCTTCCCCTGATAAGCTCCACATTTCAAGGCACAAACAGAGCAGATTAAAACCCTCAGAGAACACAATCCCATTTCCTACCAGACCTGACGTTATGGCCTTTGGCAGTGCAGTAATGCCAACATCATGAGCACTTTACAAGTGTTTGTTCTTACGCAGGCTGCACAGTAAACAAGTCAAAACCACAGTTTATGGAAAGACATGAGACTGGCCGTACATGCCTTAACAGCTGAGTCTATTTCAGATTAAATTTGTATATAGTAATAATAATGCATCAGATTTTTATAACGCTTTATCTGAGACCCTCAAAGCGCTTTACATTGGATACATCATTCATTCGCTCACACAGTCACACTTTGGTGGTGATAAACTACCTTAGTAGTCACAGTTGCCCTGGGGCAGACTGACGGAAACGTGGCTGCCATTTTGCGCCTACGGCCTCTCCGACCACCACCACACAACACTCACAATCATACACCAGTGGAGGACACACACTGGGAGTAAGGTGGGTTAAGTGTCTTGCCCAAGGACACAACGGACAGACTCAGGATAGGGGGGAATCGAACTGCCAACCTTCCAGTTATTGGACGACCGCTCTCCTTCCTGAGCTACTGCTATATGACAAAGACTCACCATCCCATTTAACTGATAATAGATAAACTCAGGACTGAACTCCCTGGTTCGTTGTCTTGTCTTAGGGGTTCAGAAACTGTAGTCTGAAATAAGATACAATAGTTTCAAAGAGTATGAGCCAGTTTTCACAAAGGGAGCACAGGAATGAAAGAAAAACTTTTCCTCATCCACCTTTTCCAGGTGAAAAGCCTCAAGCCAACTGAAGAATCACCGACACATGAAGACAAAAATCAACAAAGCTTTAACATCCAATCACAACTCTTCCTTTAAGATCACCACTGTCAAAGAAAATTACACAATTCTGGAGTGATGAAAAAGTGACAGATGGAAATCATCAGCAGTGGAGGAGCAGAGCTGCTAAGACAACACTGAACACCAATTAAGTTTCCTTGGTCTTTGTTTAAAGATTCAGTAATACTGGCGAGCAGCTGACACTCACAGCGATGCACGCGGCGTACTGACAAATGCTGTGCATAAACAGAGACAATGGAAACAACTTGCAGCTGGCTACAAACACGGATATGGACTGAATTTAAACAGAGCTTTTTCTAAACACAGACCTACAACAGCATGTACTGTAAGAGGGATTCCAGTCAGTATTCCAAGATTTAACATAAAACTGGAAAAATAAGTTATTAAAAAACAATCAATGGATTCACTGGCATTGAATGTTAGAGGCAACCTTGATTTTGTCTCTCTTGATTTTAGGACAATCTGTTGACAAAAAACATATTTGATTTATCTTGATAATTGTGACTAGAAGTGTTTACAACCAGTATTTAGTTTAGGGAATGATGGAAAGGCTCAGCTCTTCTGTGGCCTTAAGTTATCCAGAATTATGAAAGACTGTTGCTGATTACTGCAAGAATTTCCAGTAAGACAAACAAAAAGAGTCCAGACTGTTTTTTCTTTTTCATTCTTATCTACAGAGAAACTGAAAGAGTGTGAACCTGTTATTTTTTCTCCTCTGTGGTCTCAGTATTATCTTCTAATCAAAACAAAAGTCAGTCCAATTGGCAAAGTAAAACCCAATAGCCTCTGAGAATGGTAAATCAGTGAATTAGGTTTAGATCGGGTTCATGGTAGTGTTGTGTCGTTCGCAAACGAACCAAATCTTTTAAGTGAACATACTGAACCAAATTGCTTCCTTAAGTGATTCGTTCGTTTCTCACTTCCATTGAACTTAGGTGAGAAACAGCATTGCCAGTCGAGCAGCCGGCGAACGAGGGACTGCATGCATCGACACCTGTGGTGAACGAATCACGCATTAATGACACTCTCTAGAATCATTTTTGTCACAACGAGTAGTGCGTTAAACCAGCAGCATCCTATCACTGCAGCAGTTTGCGAGGGAACGATGTATGTTCAGTTTGAATTCTTCTAAATGTTCAGTGACCGAATCACTCACTGAGCCCAATTAACTGAGCTGGCCTGATAAATAGCATACCCAGGACAGTACACTTAACACATCTTGACTTATAAACAAGTTAATTTTTTCAAATCTGTTTGCCAAAGCAACACAGCCAAACACTCTTGTCTCCCAGTCCCAGAAGTGATGAACTGAACTGAATCCTGAACCGTTCAGCTGTGTATCAGTCCAGGAGGTCGGAGTCAAAGGAATCTCCCACGAAATGTGACATGATTCGGTGATTTGGTAAACAAATCTTTTGAATGAATCTTTTTAGTGAACTGATTCCAGTGATTCAGTACATCTATAAGAACTGCCGTGCCCATCACTAGTTCAAGGTGAGACAATTAAAACGCCACTCTTATTTCAAACTCTCCTCAGCACTCAAGGAGGACGTGAGGTTCTACTGATCTAACAAAATGGTTCAACTTAGAGCTCCTGTGAAAAAAAAACATGAATGTGTCCATTTTGGCACCCTGTATGAATAAAGTGATATCTCTAATACATTTGTTGGTCATGCCTGTACATGTTCAAGTCGTTTTTCCTGACGAAAATATCATCCTGCTTTCTCTGTAATGACAAATGCATGTCTCTTTGTAAATATTTGCCATTGGAAAAAGTAAAAAAAAAAAGAGCTGATTCATGCTGTCAGTCATCTAGTCTGATTCCCACTCTCTTATTCCAGCTGTTAAAATTACAACAAAGTTATTCTTATTGCTGAAGGTCTCGTCTGCTAACAGATCATAAAAAGGCATCATTTTAAATTCCAGTCTTTTTCATAACCAGCTAAAAACTCATCACACAGTCTTTAACCTTTCTTTGTGTTTAGATTCTTGGTTATATAGCAGAGTAGTATCATTATTTCTACAAAAATATTTACTGGAGAAGGTATAAGCATGCTAAAAATATTAAATTGCTGCTGTTCCCCAAGAGCGCCTAACAAAATTTAACACAGCATGTAACAGCATCTGTACATGTAGATCAAATTCTTAACTGCAAGGAATTGCATGCAAACTCCTCTCCATCCATGCAGAAACACATACAATCAACCGTCTCCAAGCATTTCATTCAACCCAAGCCTGCAGCCTGTAGATGCAGCAGAGTCGATGCCAGCTCTAGGATAAAAACAACACACAACCTATAAAACTCTGTTTACCATGGTGCGATGCCAGCAGTGTAACATTCTCAAATATTGACATTCACATCTCAGCGTTGATACGGGTCAAATCAAAAGGTCAAACAAGGCCTACTGACACGATTCAGGAGAGGAATAGAAATATAAAAATTACAATGTTTGTTTTTTTTCCCCTTGCAACAACAGAAACAACACAACGGCGTTTTTTGGCATCTGACGCGGAAAATGAGAGAAAACATGAGCCATGTGCTAGGAGCAAAAAATCCTGTTGGCCCATGTGTGGAGTGTAAACCGGCCATGAGAGACTCAAAAGGGGAGTGGAGCAGGGTTTCTGCGGACTCTGAGGCGAAAAATATATAGAAAGAGATATAGCATCCTCCTACACTCCATTTACTCTGAATCTGCACACCACTATGGGTTAGAGGTCTAAACACGACATACAAAAACAAATTTTCTTGGTTAAAAACTTGCTCTGAAATGACTGCAGACAACGATACTTCATGCCTTTGAGAGCAGACACATCTCTTAATTACCCCAAAGTAGTCTAGTTCAAGACCCTCTCAATTACAGGCTGTGTAAAGTGTTCACTGGTGGCTTCTTCGCTACTTAGAAAAAAGAACTCAGTGACAGCGATGACAGCGATGCTGGTGGGATTAAGTATGAGGATGTCACCATCTTGTGCCAGAGCCAGAGAAATGATGGCAAGCGTGAAAGATGTGATCACAGCGACACAGGCAGAGACTCGGAGAAACCGCTCTGAGATGATATTTCTGTGACTGATGTTACAAACATTAAAAGGAAACTGCACTGATTTTTCACATCAAAGTATGTTTACAGGTCTCCAGGGGAATATGACTGCAATTACCAAAACAGTTACATGAGTTTTTTACGGCTGCAAGGAAGAGTATGTCAACTATGATACAGATTTGAAAACAAGAGTATGAGCAGAAGATTTCAACAAGTTTAAGAACTGAGAGAAAATTTGGAGGCCTCCAGAAAGTTAAAAGGAGTAAGCTTAATACATCTCTGCTGCAAACCCTCACATCTGTGTTGAGGCTAACTACTCATGACTGTATTAGCTGCTTCAAGCATGACAACTGGATGTGACATTGCAAAAGGTGCCTGCAGGTTCTTTCACATTAATTAAAGTATGGCTCAAGTTTGTCAAGAAACGAGAAAGAAAATGTTTATTCATTTGCACGACAGACCCCAAGTTTATGATTCTGAGCCTGTCGTAAGTCAAGGAGAGCAGGAAGAGGACAGGATTAGGAGAAATAACAGCCACAGGAGACGTAAAGTTGAGGAGCAATGAGACCCTCTCTCCATGCTGAATGTCGGCTCTTTGAAGTGATCAATTCTAGACTATGTTCAGCTGTTTCTTCCTGAGCCTACTGATCTGGGTCACTGATAGGAGCCTGAACTCCAGTCATTAATATTATTAACACTGAGTTTGTTTACCTGGGATGGAAGATGGATTCAAACTCTGCATTTGCATGTAAAGATAGATGAAAGCCAGCTTGAACAAGAGTATTATGGCCTTTGTAGATTTGAAGTCATCTGTGGGTCGTGGATAAAATGTATTTGTATTAAATCTGTTGATGGAGTTCAGTTGTTCAGTAAAGTAGTATTTTCACCAGCTGTGGAAACACTACACGTTTTTGTACTTAAAAACAAATACGAAGAATAAATCTGAACTTTAGGGATTACTGAGCTGAGCTGACATCACTAATAAAGGGCGGGTCTCACATGCTTTAGTCGGGTGCCTACTCTTCAAGTTTCATCCAGTCTTTGTTTTGATCAAGACTGGCTGTCATGTTAGGTTAAAGAAATTGTTGCATCAAAGTCACACAAATATTAGGATTAAAGATGCTGACGTGCAACCAGAAAACCACCAAAAACAGTCTTTGCTGTTTCACTTCATCTTCTTCACATCATTCATGTTTGCTTGTGGATTTGATCAACATCACGCAACAAGACGGAAAGAAATCTTTTTACTTATATTTGCCCTTTTTTCCCCACAACTGACAGGCAATTTTCCATTAAAATGCATGACTCGTGCCTCATTACTATGATAACCAAGGAGCCTATTATTCTGTCTGCCAACTGAAACCCAGACTGAAATTACAGGCCTCACTAAAGACAAATCTACTGTAGCCTTAAACAAGAATCCCAGAGCACATCCCGTATACATTAACATATATTTCACAGCATTAAAAAAATACCGCTGCTCAGTACAATCCAACTTTGTTCAATTTGTTTTTCAAGAGCACTAATGTGCTTTTAGTGTTTTTTGGCACAGGCTGCGCGAGGACAATGTAGCCCTCCTCCCTCTGAGCACAGCAGTTTGTAAAGGCGTCACAGCTGAAAAACGACACGGGACCCTTGAGTGCAGACCACATGTTGCAATCAGTTCTGTTCTCTGGTGTTTCTTTTTTAATATGGAGCAAATAATGTGGCACTAATTTAAAGCAGTTATCTGCTCTGTGTATTTATCTGACAAAGTAAACATGATGGTCAACGTAAATCAGATCCACACCCACTAATAGTCTCCTTGTAATTATTTCATGCATCTCATCACCATCACTGCATTTAAAGACAAGGAGAGACAAGGCAGTGAAAGGCAGAGAGGACTCAGCTCTGGCAGATGGAGCAGGGTCTGGGATCCATTATTTTGTGGAAGGACAAACTCTGGGAGAGTCTGCTGTTTTGACATAGAAGGAATGTAAACAAAACTGATTTCTCCAGTCATGATACACACAACAATCAAACAAACAATAGAGACATAAGCTTCAGAAAACCAAATCCAGAATTCTGATAAGGGTATTTTCACTAGTAGCGAGTTATTATCCTGGCATACTTCGATTTCATGATTTAATGGTGAGAAACACTATGAGGAAAGAGTTGAAAAATGTACTATTACTTGCACTGAGAAAAGGGTCAACACCTCCACATTCAGTTGCAAGCTAATTTGACAGATTTTAACATAATAAATCAGTCACGCTATAACCACCAAATAATCAAGAGGGGGTTTAAGCATCCGATTATTCTGATATTTGTGCAGCACCATAACTTTGAAGGCAAAAATCCTTCATGTCAAAGGATTTCAATGGAGAGAGGAGCTTTTCAGATTACAAAAAGCAAAAGACAACCCCTAAAGGCATCGACTAAATCTCCAAACGGAAGAGCTGCTTAGAGGAAAATCCTCTGCACTGGCTACAATCACAGAGGGACTTAAGGTGAAACTGGGGACATTCACATTGAAGTATTCACAGGCATTAAATGAGCAAGGTTAAACAATGTCTATTTCTTCTGGTGCAAATTTCATAGCAAATGACAAGTCTAATCTAGGAAAAGTTTGACATCTCAGTGTACCCACAGCTGACATTCCTTCACTAAAGTGATATTTATATAATAAAAAATATTAAAACCAGATCATGAGCCCCATGTCTGAGAGGACAATGACTCCTGTGAAAGAACTACAACTCCCAGTTCCTCTGAAAAGAGCGGGAGAGCGTGATGTTTTCACACCAGCTCTCAGTGCCTGCCCCCCCCTTTAGCGTGCCCAGAAGCTCTCAGCTGATTCAACATGGAGTTAATGAGGGGCCTCAGGGAAGCCAGAGAAACACATGAATACACACAGAGAAAGACTCTCAGGCTCAGAGAGAAAGATTCAACTCAAGGGTACACATATTTCAAAATGTGTCTTCAGGTCTGATTCAAAAAGCTGCATATACCTATAGATTCTTTCATTACAGCAAAAATTAATAAAGACGAAGGGGAATTGTTGGGAATAAGTTTATCTTTAAGAGTTTTGTTCTATGATTAAACTGTTTTAAATATCTATAAATTCATCTTACACCGGATTAGAGATGCACCGATCCACTTTTTTCCAACCCAATCTGATACCGATACCTGAGCGTATTGGCCGATATCTGATTCCAATACTACGGCTGAATGAATGAACTGTATACCTTGCCCTGTGAGTGAAGGCATCAGGCTTGATGTGAGCCTTGTTAAAAAAAGGTAACAAATTAACACGGATATAAATTTACTTAATGTTATTTATTAACAAATAACAAACTGAACATTAGCCCACAGCAAAAATAAGTAAGACTTGCATGTATTAAAAGAAAAATTAATTCAAAGAAGAAAAAAAAGACTGGATCAGCAAGAAGGATCGGCATCATTCATCTGATCCAGTTAATTTGTCAATATTGAAGCCGATATCCGATCCAAATATCGGATCAGTGCATCCCTACACCTGATTGTTTCACTTTTATCGCAGACCTCACTACAGTGAAACTGAAACTGAGACCTATTCATGATGACGTCAGAAAAAAGAGTTGAAAAGTCATTTTAATAAATTTTAAAAATCCCTGATAAACCAAGGTAATGAAAGGAGAAACAGTTACTAAGTGCAATTTAAGGCCTGACATAAGCAGAAATATTAGAGACAAAGCCCAACTAACATGACATTTCTGAATACAATTAGGAGGTCAATACTGTGCAGTTTAGACACAGAATGATTATGGGTCTTTTTCACTGATGATTTTTGGTATATAGAAGTCTGCTTACTTCCAAATTCAACCTCATTAGATTATTTAACACTGTCACACAGTGTCAACAAATTATAGAGCAGATTGTAGCTTTGAGCTGGAGGGAGCTCTGCTGGAACAACTATGTAATGACACCGTTTTTGCATCAAGCATCTCCAGATTTTTCAGTTTCCCTGTCACTTAATAGTTTAAATCAATCCTGAAGCTGAAATATTCATTAAAAGCCCTGTTTTGGTCTTTTAAGAGTCAATCAAACAGACAAATCTCTCTCTCTCTGTCATCAAGAGAAAGAAACTTCTGTTTAGAGAGTGCAGCAACATACCTAGTTGCTCACAAATTTATACCATCTCACACACCTTCAGACCATTAACCATCATTTCACACTCTGACTAACACACAGGCACACAAACAATTGTAACCTAAATCCAAAAGCCTGTTTGAGAAGTAAACAACCTGAAACTGTAAATAGTCAGTTCAATCAGCACCATTGGTCAGGTTGTTCTTCTTGTTCTCATCATCGAGCCTGAAAGCCTCACTTCAAAGACGGGAGGTTTCAGCAAGTACCTCAACTACAGCTAGCACATAGTTGACAGTCGAAGTGTCCTACTCTGAATGAATACAGACAAAGGACAACACCTTAGATCCCAGCTGACTTAAAGAAACTTAACACCAGTTGGCATCTTAACAAAAAGATTACTTAGAAACACCTGAACACCTTCTCAAAGAGATCAACTGGTCTTATTGACACCTAAGATGAGAAAGTTTAACAATTACAGCAAAACTGACTGTCTGATGTGAGACCTTTCCTATCTTTCTGTTAGAGAGGTGTCAACACAGTCTTATCTGTTTGAGAAGATAATCAGGAGGTTAAAAATGACTCCATGTCACAAAAATGCACCTGCTAGTGAATTGAACTGCTGTCACATAGAAAGTAAAAAGGTACAAAGACAAATGTGGTTCTTTTAAATACAGAAAATATTGCAAAATGCTGCTTTGTATTTATTTTTCATGAATGATCTCTCACTGTTCCTTTCAGGTTTTACTACATCTATAATTATGCATAGAATAGGGGACATTATTCAATTGGCAAAATATTTATTTATTGTCATAATCTTTGCATTTTTACTGCCATGTATCTTTTTTGCAATAAAAATGCTGTCAATAATCAAAATAAAAAGCTAATCATTATGTTTGTTTTCTTTGATTAGGTTTCTGTACAGTAGTTTTCACTGTCAGTGACATAGTCTCCCATTAATGGGCCTACCCCACCTTTAAAACCCATCTTTCAGTCTGACATATTTCTTTCAGTCGACCTATACTATTGGATTCATTGTTTTAACCTGTTGCTAACTTGTGTATATTTTGTGGACTTAGTGGTCTTGTTGTAACCTTCTCTTGTAAGGTGACCTTTACTGCTTTGAAAGACGCCTATGGATAAAATGCATTATGATCATTACTGTTTTACTGAGCCGAGCAGAAGTCATCCCCTGATCTCACAACATCTCTTCTCAACTCTTTTAGAGCTGCCAAGCAACGGTGTTATGGAATAGATGGTGTTAACTCACTTTGCCACACAGGAACTTGAATCTCTGACTCTAGGGTCAAAGCTACAAGAGGGTCCAGACGAAAATACGGGGCCTAAGGTTGTGTTGACATTCTGTTCCTCTGTGTCCGTAAACATCAAGTCCATTATGACCTTAGTTATATTTACACTGAATCATCTTTAAAGGATCCCAGCCCAACAAGAACAAGAAATCAAGCTGTTGTTGGTAACATGTTTGGGTTATCATCTCCCCTGTGGAAGTGCTGCCAAGTGATTACACAACACTGTGCATTCCTGGTGCCTGGTATCCACTGTGTTAGATCCCCCACGGAGCATGAGGGAGTCAGTCTCACTTAACAGGCTCAGAATTGCTCTGTAAACATTACATTGTACTATTTTGAAATCCCTGATATTTCACATCCATTTGCAGCCACGCATCTCCTCTTTGAGGACATGATGGATGTGTGCAGGGCTGCAGACGCACATTTTTTCCTCGATTACAGCCCTGCATTACTCAACCTCTAAGTTATCTCCATCTGATACGTCCAATCAGAAGACAGAAGAGCTCTAAGGGAATCAGCATAATCCAGTTAGGATTTCTGTGAGATTCCTGCTCTTGAATTCACTCAAACAAAATGAGTTTTCCTTTTCTTTCCCAGCCTCCACCCTTTTTCTCTCTTTTGTTCAAGTGGAGAATATTCTAGACACAGCCAAAGGGAGATCAAAAAAAGGTGCTCTTATAAAAATGACCTCTCTCCAATCACAGCAAGTGGAGAAAAGGCAGATTGTCTTGGATGTTGAATGAGGAGAGAGAACAACAAACCAAAAGCCGAGGTTCTCCAAAGATAAACACTGAAAGCTCCTGGGGGGAGTGGTTAAGGGCTGGGTGGTGCGCATGCGACCGAGTGTGTGTTTCAGCGTTTATGTGTGTGTGGTAAGTGCGCACGCGTGCAGGATAAGTCGGGGCTGCCCCCCTCCGCAGAAACATTTCTAAAATAGCAACCGCAAACCAGACAGAATGTAAATCTGCACTTTGAAAAGGGTTGAAGAAAAAGAGCTTTGAGGGACATAGAAAAACAGGTATTCATTTCAGTCCATTTACAGTTCCAGGAGCAGAGAAATGGGTCACAGCACTCCAGCTCCACTCGGACGGCTGAAATAGGACTCCTGGTTTTATTTTCTTGAGTAATGAATTACAGGTTTTTCCACCGACTGAAGCTCAATTATATTACAGCTCCTGAAAGCCTCATCATGCCCAGGATGAAGGAATTCAACGCGTAAGCAAAGTCGAGTAGAATTGTTTAATTGTATCAGCATGTTTCAGGAGAAACCTGCAAAAAGAGAGAGAAAAAGGGAGAAAGAAGGACGGTGGCGAGGGGCAACTGAGTCCAGTCCAGTGAGCGGCACAGTTTAGAGTTAAATTAAAGGAACCATTGCTGTCACTAAATAATCTGAGGTGTGCTTCTTTTGGAATTAACTTTTTAAAGCTATTAAGTAGGTAACATTAATATGAGCGTATTGATTTTATTCTCTGATACTACATGTCCCTCTGTAAATCTCCTTTTTATCCTGCAATATCGAAGAGATTTACACTTTCAGTATCTTATTTTCTTCAACTGTGATACATCACTATCCAATGAAAGCTGACCATATTTGGTGTGTTTTATATTAATAGATGAATATTAATAGCCAGCTGTTTTGTGAAAGGGGAATTTTTTGGAGATGAATGGTTTCCACGCTACAGCAAGTGATATGTGGCTGTTTCTTGAAAGACGCCGCAGTCTAAAACTCATTCCACAGTTTTCAGTCTTGTCCCAGTTAGATACTACATTTATCATTTTGTAAAGAAAAAAGAAGACTTGATATACATTTAAAGAAACGCAAAAATCCTGAAATTCTTTGATGCAATACATCATTGCACAATTTTGCAGAGTATTTCAAGTCAAAACATAGTAATATTGGAACATTACAATGAACCAATAAGTGCTTTAAGTGCAAAGTGACTATAATTTTTAATTTTCTCAAGTAAAAGAAAGAACTGGATGTAAACACAACTTTTCTGTGTTTTTCACATGGCTTTTGGATGACAAGTGGTCATCACACGAATTTCTACATTTCCACTCAAGTTCCAGTTTTTTCAGTTCCAGTCCAGTCTGTATTTTGGACTAAGAGATAAGTTTCATAGTTTTTTTATAGAGACTTAGCCGGTGTTTTAGGTAGCCGCTTCGACACGCTGGGGGTGGTGAGTGTTTGTGAGGAGATGCCCGAGTGGTGCAGAAACATTTCCCCGGTTTTCCTTCTCCTTACAATGACAGAATTGCACATTACGTCAATTTCCACGATACTGCGCTTTTAACAGTAGATTCTGTTTTTATTGGCCGATTCCGCAGTTCTGTTAACACAGAAATCATAGGGCCCTAGTATTCCTGACTTGGGCTAAGATTTATCAATAGACCACTATATCTTCAAGTATAACAAGACACTCTTAAGATTTTCCTACCAATTCAACCTGCCAAGTCAACCACAGCTTGACTTCTCGTAGTGGCTTCAATGAAATCAATTCCTCACTTTAGCTTTAGGAGCATTTTTTATTCCCTAGGCAACCAGAGATTCTGATGTTGCATTACATGGCTATCTCCCAACATCGTTTAATGCAGAATTGGTTTTTATTCCTCCTGACAATTGCAACTACTCTACTACTAAAACAGAGTATCCAGTAAAAATGTGGTTTTAACATCACATCATTTAATATTGCCAAAAGACAGATGACAATCTCATTTTGGGGAATAAACTGTTTTCACTTTTAAGCCTGGGAGAAGGTTTTCCCCTCTGCACTGCTGGCTCAACCTATTGTTTTCCACTTCTGCCTGCATTTTTTCCGAAGGGTGGACTGTGCATGAGTTCTCTCCAAGTTCCCAGCTTTTCTAAAATATAATGGTGTTACACGAGAAAGAGCAATGTACCTGAAAAACCAAATAACTTCAGTGCTCTACTGTCATTACACAGGGATCATAACATCAAATCCAACCGATGGTCCAGCCCTACCACTAACTTCTCAGCAGCAAAACTGACTTCTGCAAGATAAAGAAACACCATTCCCTCTGATCTGAGTGTTTTCAGAGGCATCTTTTCCTGGGTTTGGTTAAGTCAAAGGTCAGAGTGAGGATTTTGTAGTATTGTAAGGATAAAGAGCAGGGGAAGTCCAAAGACTCCACAGTGGATCTGATGGAAGCTAGAACAACTGAGCAGTGTTTCAGTACTCCAGAGGGAGCAATAGAGGGAAAGAACGAAGGAAAGTGAAGGGAAAGCCTGCAGCACATTCCCCAAAAGACACTCACTTCCTGTCTGTGAGTCTTACTCAGCACCCTGGAGGAAGAGGAGGAGAGAGCCCTCACACATACTAAGGCTATATAAGCCAGAGAAATTATTCCCTGAAGAATAAAACAGCTGAAAATATTACAAAATATAAAAAACAACTGTAACTCGAGGGCAATTTTCCCTTTCCACCGGCCTCTGAAATAATGTTTTCTAATCCTGTGCACATTCTGCAGCCTGTAAATGAAGTCAAGTGTTTAAACATGCAGTATGTTTTTAGAGAAGCTCCAAATTAGCCCCTCCTCCAAAGGGAATAATTAGGTGAAAGAGCAGTGTAACACTAACATCACGACTACATGCTATAAATTGTTTTTGTTTTTTTTTACCTCATCTAATAGTTTTTTTAATTTTAGAGACAAAGGTTCCCAATAATGGTATGCACTTAAGGAACGGGAAAACAAATTAGCTCAATGAAGAAAATGATTCACTTAGCATAATTGTAGGTTTGTTGTTGTTGCAGTATTCAGAAAACATGTTGTTACGATAAAGTGCTCACACTGGCTCACCAGGGGGCAAAGCACAACACCACTAAAGTCTCATCATTACAAGGAAAACCCTCAGCCCTAAATTCTCCTTCAACTGACCCCAAACTGTTAAAAACATGGGTTAAACATGCTTGAAAAAAGGAATGGAAAACCTCTCTGCACATGTAGATGCACTGCGTCTGGAGAAATGTTACATCTTTCCCACACTTGCCCGTATTGTTTGACTTCATGATGAATGTTAAAGAGAAGGCGCTCTTCCCTGTGCATATAAAACTATCTTTCAGGCTTTCATACCTCTGTCAGGGTCTCCAGGGTATTAACTTGGAAGGTCTATTCCTGTGAGCCAACAGAACAACAGTTAAACACAGATGGCTGTGAGGGTGAGATTTTGTTTTCACTTCACACTCCATTTACTGATCTCAGCCCTGAAAACCTGCGTCCATGCCAGTGTGAGAGACAGTAAATTTGTAATTGTAAAGCAGTAAAACAATTTCCATTTTCTCCTGATGGGGACTGAGCCAAAACAAAGGAGTAAAATACGACTTATCCAAATAAAAAGGTACTTTGAGAGTGTACGCTTGGATTTAGTTTCAGAGTGGAGACGTGCTGGTGAGTCACTCACATCTCTTAATAGGCACAAAGTGCTTCTGGGTAATTTTTATACAACAGAATTTACACCACCTTAGAAAATATGATCTGTTATCCTGCTCTGACCCGTTTCTTAGGAGAACAGCCAAATCGATTCAAAAGGAAAACATTTTAAAATTCCTGAATCAAAGCGAACATTTTGGCAAAGTAGATCTGGACATCATAAACGTGGCAATAAATGCTCTTACAGGAAATCAGATATTTCTTTACTTTAATTAAATAATTGTCTGCATGACCAAGGGATTCACTTTGTTTTTGTTATTTTTTGACTAAAGTGGCCTTACCGGGGTGCAAACTTATGTGGGGGATAGGAGAGCAAACACAGAGACATGAACTGCATTTATTTACTTTTTCTATCTTTACTTATTGTACCTACTTTAACAGGTGCAGTGTGCAGTACTTCGCCACGTTAAACAGAACTTACTCGGTACAGTTTTGTCTCTTTTATATCTACAGAAACTGGTCCACTTTCACAGAGGCAGCAAGCTTGTATCACTGTGTTTCTACGGTACCTCAGGCAGGACAAACTAGTAGCATATGCCTTTTTTTTTTTAATCAAACGATTGGCAACGCAAGATGTACTGGTTGGAAGACAAAGCAAAGGAGAGAGTGGTTGTAGGAGCCAAATATGTTTATGTGAAACCATAAAATGAGTTGCAGTTCACTTTGTGTGCCGTGTGTGTCGCTGTCTTGTTATCTGGGAGCTCAGGAATAAAGGTAGCCATGTCACTGCTGTGGGCAGGTGTTTGACCCAGAAGGGCAAAAGGTTTTTGACCGTTGTGGCGCTAACTGCTGGCGTTTTCCTTGTTTGTTCAGTGTTGGATATCAATTGCAAAATGGATTTGGTTATGTTCATCCAGACTTTCAATGATCACAACTCACGGTAAAACTCAGTAGCACGGCGCATCAACCAGGTTACTCCAAGTCAAGCACCTCAGTAGCTTAAAGTATCGACTTCACTCCTACAGTGGTTGTTCTACACAAAGACTTGCGGGCAGTAAAAACTCAACAAATGGAGGATTATACACAAGGATCACTGGAGCTTTGTGTCCTTGAAAGCTACTGTTTCATTAACAGAAGGGGTGAGCAAGGGAGCATTACAAGCCAACATTACCATCTCTACACACTGTACCTTTAACAAGTAGCACATAAGTTTCAAAAAGATGGTCTATTCATTTTGATGACAGCTTATATCTTAAGCTTTAAAGTTTTCCATATTCAGAGTATCAATTTTAAGCACCAACTAAAAATATGTGCTAAAATAAAATGCAAAGAACACAACTGATCTATGATACATTTCTATCACATCCAACAGTTATGGTGCTTTCAGTTATCTGGTCTGACAGTTGTATCCTTTCAATGGTTTTAGGTATTAGAGATCACAGCATAGAAACAATCCATTTTGTTGCTGATAGTCTTATAGACATCGCTGTTGATCCAGCTACAAGCTCCTTACAATAGCTTCATCAAAAAACTAACTTGTCAAATCTATGTCATTCAAATTGTCCTTACAAAGCTGACGAAGGATTTTACTGAGCAGACATCTGGATCTGAAACACTCTGAGCTAACAACAAGCTGGAGCTCTGCTCATGGAATGTGTCGGCTGAAAGTGTGGGAAAGTGTTTTACTGGTTTTAATTATCAGCCAATAAAATGGACACTGCATGTGTGAGTCAGAAACTGATGAAAGGGAACAAATTCAACGTTTTTTCCCCCAAAATACTTTAGGATATTTTTTAATGTTTCCCTCAGGAAATTATGATTGCCCACTTCAGTGTTATTGATTGTGGTAACTTAAAAACTAACTGCTGCTGGCAAGGATGACACCAGTTCCCAAAACCTTCCAAAAGATTGTATCTCGCAGCCTCGGGGAAAAAACAGGAGCACCAAGATTTCACGGCAATGACACAGCTCTTCTATGAGGCAAAACAACACTGAAAGACAGCAAACATATCATCTGTGGAGCAATTTGATTGTAACTGCTTCATTGTGGTGAATCTCTTCCTTAAATCATACCAACACTTGAATCACTAAATGCTAAACTAAGAATTCTGTTAAAAACGGCATGTGGCAAACACGTTTACAGATATTAACCTGCCTTACATCAATAATCCACAATTGCACCATCAGCTTCTTATCTAAACAGTATTAACACTGAAGGCCAAATTCACAAATGGATTGCACTGCTTTTGCACCTGCTAAACCTGTGAAAATGCACCAGAAAGGCAACATCAGATTAATTCAGTGATCATGACAATGGTTCCTCTGGATGACTACAAAGGAATATATTTGTGCACAAAGAGCATTAAAATTACTTGGGCATTGCTATTTTTATTGTAATCAGGGGATAAACCATCCATGGCTCAGCCCTGCACAAAATAGATAGTGCCATTATGCCAATGGAGTATTTTATTTTGTTTGTTTTTAAATTGATGAGCTGCATATTAAAGCAGCAAAGAGCATCATAAAGTGCACGACTGTCTGAACTCTGTGGGCTTTTTTCACTTGTGAATTGGACCTCGAGGAAAGTGATGCACAATTTTTGGTGCTTTTAGCAGCTACAGTTTATTCTTTGTGAATTCCTCTGTGTGTAAGAATGGCAAAGGTCACTAATCCATGTGCTTGAGTATTGATCAGCCAATCATGATTCAGGATCAATGAACCTCACAGAGAAAGGTTTCATCGACACAGCCAATTCATCATTGGATGCCGATGATGTTTAACTGCATTTATTAAATGTACCTCATATGACAATAAATCAATGACTTATTTTAAACTATGATATCCATATGTTTTAATACTGCTTTATATCTAAGATTTTAATGAAATTAAGAGGACTTCAAGAAAAGAGGAAGTCATTCAGGGAACATTTAAACAGTTAAATAACTAAATCAGTTCATTTCCATGCCAAGGGTGCCAAAAATATAGATAATCCAGAGGCCTCCTTTGTGTTTTATTTCTACTAATCTTCATAAAATTGACATTTCTGGAATGGTTGGACTTTTCATTGGATGAGAGGTGGCACATTTTATCATTAACCACACTAATGGGCATTTATCACCATTCTGTGACCTTTCAAAGATTAAGTAATGAATAAGTTATGACAGGCAGTTACTGAGCAGTCGAATTTCACAGTTATAAAAATCAGGGGCAGTTGCAGCTCATTTCTATCCCTGACTCTGTTCATTTGAAGCGTCTTACATAAGTGTAGTGCAAAGACATGTTTCATACATGCATTGAATGAATGTTTAGCCTTATACTGCACACAAGCAGGTGCACTTTTCAGCAGCTGACTTATAAACTGGCCTCTGGCATAATGATTTACAAGACAGGCAGCTATGTAAGCCATTGCTAAAGCTGTGTATTAAAATTTTCCAATGATGTCTGTGTCTGGAACCTAATCTTTGGCTTAACACCTTATCCATTCTGAAAGTGAGGCTCACTGAAGGCTTCAATTCTATTTCTATGAGTACAGACACATTTTCCAAATAAGACAAAAATCCGACAAGATGTTGTCATTTGGGAAGTCATTACAGCTCGATTCAATCAGTGGCTTTCAGTGGAAGGTCAACCACACTCAATTTCCCGGGAAAGAGAAGTGAGCGATATTGTCACAGACGATAAAACTCAGAGTAAAATAAATGCCCTGCGAGTTCCCATAAAATGATTTCATTTTAACCCGAACTGTGACTTTCAGAACACAGCGTACCACGACAAAGACTAGAGCTCATCCAATCAAAACACGGCCAGATGTTACTGAGCTGGATGAAACTAAAAGAGGTATTTATTTGGAGATAAAAGAAAGAGATTAGAATCAAGAGACACAGAGAGTTGAAATTTGGTCAGATTATAATTAAAGTAATCCGAGGTGTTGAATCAAAAAGGACCCGTGGTTAAAGAGTGATCAGATGAGTGCTGTAGGATTGGATCATGGGTTTATCCAACCAAAATCTGCATTGTGAGATAATTTGATTTAAAAAACAAAATAAAAAAAAACAGGACTATTCTAATTCAAGCAGGAGGCTGGATAACAGGAATACTTTGCCACATATTTGCTTTACAGCCACTGTGACAGCATAAATGAGGAGGATTTTAGGGTTAAAAGAAAAATAAAGAACTTTGTCCCAGTAAAGTAGTTCATCAAAGAGCTGTCAATATTTAACAACATATTTCATTTTAAAGCCACTGGCAGGATCTATCAGTCTGTGCAGACTAGTGCCCCCTATGGGCAACGTTTGTATGACATTATCTCATTTACTTGTAACACACATTTAGCCTTCCTTTAAAATCTGTATTTAGATCAAGGGGTTTAAGGGTTAATCTTCGCCAGTTTTTTTCTCGTACAACCAGGACAAAAAAAAACTTGGTAGATCCTGGATAGAATAAAGTGGGTTTCCTAATCTGATTTGCTCTCATCCATATAGAATCTTTAGATCAACTACAGATGCTAAAACTGAGATAACCAAGCTCCAACTATGAGGCCCTGGTTCTTACTGGAAGGGTAGAGGTCAAAGGTTAAAGTAGTTTTACGGTTCAGCTGAACTAGTATTTAAACCTGAACCAACAACTGACCAGAAGGACCAGGAGACAAAAACAGCAGTCTTTTCTTTTCAACAACTGAACTTCAGTGTCAACACAAGCAGTATCAGCCATGATGTCATGATGCAACAGTTGGGAAACTAGATGCTGGCAGAGACACCAGACCAAACTAACAAACTGCATAGTCCCAGTAGACAGGATAGATTATACCTAACACAAACAGATGAGTCGAGCACGCACACAAACAGACACACTGCAGGACGTGGCACACGGTATGTCCGGGATGCTACAGAGTTTAGGGCCGGCCTCTGGTTAAGTTGTTTTCCTGGAAGAGTTGGGGATGACATGGAGCTTTAAGGAATGTACCGAGCCGAGAGGCAGCAACCAGGGTCTTCTCCAGGGGAAATACGTGTGCGCTTGCATGTGCATGTGTGTATAGAATTGAAGGAAATCCAAGGCTAGTCACTCACTGAGGATTTCTGCAGAAGTTAGTCACAAACTCGAGCAAAGCTTACTGTACCCATCAGTAAAATAACATCTTGCCTGATTTAATTCCAGTATGATTGTGGCGCTCTAAATTCCTTGGCTACCTCTCAACCGTCCTTTAATGGAATTGATAAGAGCCCAGCCCACATTACTAACACACCTCTATTGCACACTCGTGTGTTATGAAATGTGCCATAAAATGACCTCAACCCCTGCATTTTCAGGGACCCCTTTACAGGGGCCAGCGGGCCTGTCTTTGCAAGTCTGTCATTGCTCTTTTTACTGTCAATGTGCACATCATTAGGGGATAAATCACATCATCTATTTCAACTCCGAACATGCAGAAAAATTTAAGCTTGTAAGAACATTAAATTCTGTTTTAAAGGATGCTGGACATTTTGACAGAGCAGACTTAATGTTTTTTTCTGAGCTGTAGATTTACATAAACTGTTTTTTTATTGATGCAGGCCAAGATTTTTTTAGTTTACAGACTGTTTTTTTTCATGGAAATAAGAAAAGTGCATGTTCAGGTCAATTTCAGTTTAGTCTGAGAACAAATGGAAAATCTGAGCTTCTGTAGCGATAGCTAGAGGTCGAGGTGTGTTACTACAAGACGGGGAGATGATGGATTTTGCTCATGTCTTTGACCTTAGCAACTTTATGTTCCTTTTTTACTTTCCACTTTTTGGTGAAATTTTAGTACTCCTACAAATACTTCAATACAGATGAAAACTTATTAAAAGGCCCAATGCTCAACCTTTTCTTCCATGTATAAAAATGGTGACAGAAATCGAAAGTTAATATGATTTTTAATGCCTAATTCGCTCCTGGTCACGCACAAGGCACGCTCAGGGGTCGTCACCGTGCCGACAATGTGCCCGCAAATTTTACGCTACTAAGTGGGATTTTATGCACCTAGAAATAAACAAAGGACTGTCTAAAGTGTGCAACTTCTCGGAAACAACGAAGCCTGTAATTACATCACATGAAACGTGGAAAGAAAACTCCTAAATGTGAAAACACTTCAAACTTTACGCTTATTCGTTTGGTTTGTCTTTTACCCAGTAACATGACTTCCAGCTTCTTACGGTCCACCCGGAACCTCTCCTCTGTCCACTCCGGGTCTGGCAGAGGATGGGGTCCGCTCAGATCCTCCTCAGATCCGGGCGGAGGAGAGTCGGTGCTGCGCTCGCTGTTGGAGCCCTGGTCCGACTGCTGCAAGTATCCGCTTAAAGTGTCGCACTGGGCAGCCATTGCGCTGCGCAGCAACTTCTCCAGTTGGCCACCGCGTTGGATTCAAGTGAAGTTGAGCCGGAGCAAACTGTTGAAGTCGTGTTAACTTTTTTTGTTTAATCCCGTCACTTCGCGGTGCTATTCGAGCTCATTGCAGCGCAGCTGGGTCCGACTTCCTCTGCACTTTCTTCAAGCCCCGTCGTTTTCCCCCATTCCACAGACACACTTCTAAAAATAGGCACGGACAAACTAGGTCCACTCGCTTGAAGCTGTCTGTAGAGTTAACGGGGCGCCGCACAAGCACACAGCAAGCATACCAACCAACTCCTCGGTAAAGTTTCACGTGTCATCACGCAAAAAAGCGGGACTCCTCCCAGAAACATTTTTCGACCATCTACCTCCCCCTGGGTTCATGTGAGGGGTTTGAAAAGTTGCTTCCCTGCTTTTGGAGTTTTTCTCAGTCGCTTTGGTTCATTTCTCAGATCAGAATGAAAGTTCTCATTACTATTAGTTCAACCTCCACAACACTGAGTCATTTGTGCACATCATCGTTGCAGTTTCTCATTCCTCTGAATAAATTGTTGCAAATTGTTCCTGGACATGTATCAGTTACTTTCATACAATTCTCTGCTGTTTTATAACATTATCATTTGCTTCTATCATGTCAGTCAAAATGAAACATACTTATGAATGCTGAAAAGTCATTCCTTCATTGCTTGAGTCATTACATAAAAAAAATGTTCAACTAGTTGTCAAAATCTGTCAAGCTAACTTCATAAATTACTTTATCATTTTTTTTTGTCCTGAAAATGTCTCCTACGTTGAACAATTGCTCTCAGGTGAACCTCAGCTTGAACTCATGAATAAGAAAAAGAAGAACTTTATTAATCCCTGAAGGGAAATTCAAGTGTCTTGTCTCACAGAATATGTCTCTAAAAGTTATCTACGATTTACACAAGAGTTATAAAGTCTGATGGCTGTTGGTACAAAAGATCTTCTGAATCTTTCTGTCCTGCAGCGAAGAGAGAGGAGCAGTCCACCACCATTGGCCTTTGGGTCATCAAGGTGTTGTGAAGTGGGTGATCTATGTTCTTTAGAATAGTCTCCACCTTCCTCAGTGTAGATCTCTCCACCACATCCTCCACTGAGTCCAGCTTTTTTCACCAGTTTGTTAAGACGTCTTGCATCTTTGTGTTTGATGCTTCCTCCTAGAACAGAACACTTTAAACACCACAGACTGATAAAACATCTGCAGCATCTTACTACAGATGTCTATTGATCGGAGTCTTCTCAGGCAAAAGAGGCGGTTCTGCCCCTTTCTGTAGATGAAGTCTATATTCTTAAACCAGTCCAACTTACTATCTAAATGAGGAGGTGTGTGAAGCATTAGTTGTAACCAATGACAAGCCACTTGTCCACAGTCACTCAGAGCTGAATCCCATGAACCCTCAGTTGGTGAGCATATGTAAACCAACAGGACATAGTGTGTCCCATTTCTACAATTCTGCAACACAAAAATGGAAGGTCAGCGTCGTGGAGGAGGAGTGAGAATGCGGGGAAGAAGGGGAAGGGGACAAAACAGGGGCAGAGGAAGAAGAGGTGAAGTATAACGGCAAATCCCTGATGAAATTAGGTTTTACACTTACCTCATTATGGCTGAGGCTGGTCGACGGGTGCAACCAAAATGTAGGGAGAACCACTGTGAATCTTATGTTTGTTCTAAATAGGTGACTGAATTTTTTATTTTTTTGCACAATGCTGTAGAATTGCAAAGAGCATATGCAATAAATAAGTGAAAAAAACATGAATACTTGCTTTTGAGGAATCAACTATTGCAGGTTATCCACAAGGTTTTGCAGTTTCTTACTAATTGTTTTGAGAAATGCACTAACTGTTGTGCAAATGTTAATACTGATGTGAGAAATGCACCAAAGCGACTGAGAGAAACTGTAAGACATTTACTGGATTCAGTTTTTGCTTTTGTTGGACCTGTTGAGCACATAACTTCTGTGCCTCCTTACAGGGAAACTAATTTGGTGCTACAACCCACTATATGGCACAATAACAAAATTGACCCCCCCCAGGTAAGTTAATAGGGTCTCATGAGGGTTTCAATACAAATTTCTTAGTCAAGCTGTCAGTTAATAACACCCCATGTGTCAATTTTATTGGTTTACAGAGGAAATACTCCACATCCCGAGAGTGCTTACTGGGAAGTAATACAGGAAGTAGGGACTAAAACAAGTGTGGAAGAATACGATTTCATTCAGAAGCCTGCAACGGATTCAAAAGTAGTTAGAAATTCAAAAGTCAAAGGTTCTGTAATGTGTGCAGATATAAACAGTACATGGAAAGGGTGCAAGCCCCTATAAAATACTGAGTAATTCTTGGTTTATTCTCTATACAGTTATGTATAGCATGTGCAGTTTACATCATTCTAGTTTTTTATGCTTATTTTGAATTGCAAATCCCAGTTGTTGTTTTTTTGTTTTCTGTATAGCATTTCCCCTGATAGATTTATCATTTAAAGGATCATCTCAAAGGACCTACAGTCATCACTGTAATTTCTTAAAATTTCAATAATTCTTGAGTCAGAGCTGGAGCTTAAATCACCTCTTGATTAATTTTTAGTGATTTCTCCCATGTGATTTGACTGATGTTCCACCTACCTGACAAACTGATTTTAACCTCAATAAAACATTGACTGCATGTGCTCCTGAAAGTTGAGTTTCCTCAGCTTGGACTCTGCTTCACCTTAACATACAAGTTAATCTGTTGAGTTTAAGGTTAAACCCTATTTAAATGCTTTATTCTCGTGATCGAAAATGTCAAGCCTTTTCTAATCAGAACTGTGGAAGTTGAGGGGTCTAGGACAACATTTGTTTGGCAGTATGAAAACTCAACCCTGTGGTCTTTACAGGTCAGATTAATTAATAAGTACAACAGAGATGAAACAGTTTCATATTTCTGTTCTAACATTAATCCCATGTTAATTTTTTGTAACATACACCTCAGCACGAGACCTAAACTGCTTTGAATAGCAGCAGAGGTGGTGATAACTGCTAGTTTAATTTCAGTGAACAGAGGAATTCATTTTGTTTCATTGTTGAAACAAGATAATTTGATAGCACCTGTCTGCATCACTCCTCATCCAAATGAACCCAGATCAAATATTAAATAGAACACAAACATGAATATTGAGAATCAACCTGATTGAAAAGTCTTGGACAGTAAAAGGAAAGACTGCCACCTAGTGGTTCCAAGAAGAAAATAATTCAGGGAAACTTGACTTCATAGCAGATGTAATGTTTTCCGACAAGGTCATTCATATCAAGCAAGACAGAATAACTTCAGCTACAATTTTTTGTACAAAAGAAATGAACAACAACCCATTTTATGAAGGCTTTTAATGAAAAAACTTAAAAATAAATTCTGTAGAGTCTCGATAAATCTTTTAAAAGGAATTACAATCAGGTCATTTAACAGCTAATAATAATAGAATTATGCCAATTTTAGGGAGAATAAACAGTAAAAAAAGTAAAGTCAAGTCTCGAGTAGGGAAAGAAAGTGCTTCAAGCAAGTAAAACACCCCAGCTAGAACCAGTGAGGTCGAGCAATCAAAACAGTACTTTCATATTGTGAGGTGTTTAGGGTTGCATCACTGATGTTGAGCATTGGGCCATCACATTGCGTGGGTCTGAGTCCATTCTCTGGCTATTTTGTTGTACCTAAAGAAAGAAGAACATTAGAAAAGTTTTTAAAAAATGGTAGACTAATTTTAAGTGTTTATCCCTAATTCATTTTTTGGCCTTAAAACTCACTTTTGCCTGTCTGTTTTGTAGATGTTTGCAATGTCTGGCACAAGTGGATCATCCGGATTTGGGTCACACAGCAGAGAGCAAATGGATAGTAAGACTGGAAGGAAAAAATAAAAATGAATATGCACACACATTAAATAACAATTGGAAACAACTTTCTGAATTGTGTAGCCATTTCAAGAGTGAAATGGCTTTCGTTTCATACACCTTCTTATCAAAACCCCATGTTTCAGAGTATTTTTTGATACAATTATGACAAATATACTACTATTTGCCTCTTTCAACCTCCAAATTCATCTTAAACCTGTAAGTTCATATTTCCAAAACATTGTAAATTAAATATGGTTAAAAGGTACAACTCCGGAAACTATGGGAATACCTTCATTCATTTATTACAATCCAGACTTGCTGATAAGAAGATGAATGAGGTTAGGGTTAGAGCAAAAATATATATATTTATATTAAAGTATATTATATTATCTAAGTTTTTCTTCTTTTTCTGCCTTAGTTCTCTCTTAGCGTCACATCGTGTCTCAGGTAGAAAGTAGTTACCCCACAGTCCTGCTGTACTATACAACACCACAGAATGAAAATGCTATTTACCTTTCGATACTGTGAGTGCAGGCGACCACTGTGACCTCAAGATGTCAAGGCAAATGCTGCCATTGCTGTTTATATTTGGGTGGTAGATTTTTGTTGTAAAGGCAACCTGTAAAGAGAGAAGGAACAAACAAGCACAAAGTTAATCAGTTTTTTAAAATGATTATAAAGGTGGTGGAAGTTTGTGAAATGAAAACAGCTTTCAAAGGACTGATAGACTGCCAGAGTAATTATCATTTTCTCTATAAGGACAGGAAATAATGGAAATGGTTGAGAAATGTCTACATTCACGAATGAGCTGATCAAGAATCTTACCTTTGGTGGTTTGAAGGGATAGTCAGTGGGAAAATGGACGGAGAGGAAAAATACTCCTCCATGGTATGGACTGTCACTCTGAAATAAAGAGGAAACTTGTTAAATTTTGCTAACTGCATCCTTGAAGGATGAAAAAATGCTTGTAAATAAACAGTAAAACAATGGGATAATCTAAATAATTTGCCTCCTGTTGGTTTCAGATTTTACTTGGTTATTTTAAGAATTTACGATTTTTCCGCTTTCCCCATTGTCTCAGTAATGCCATTTGGCTTCAGTCAGTAACAGTGGGATGGAGTGTGCCAGTCTGTGCTCTCCATACTGAATAGAAAGGGCTGTAAAGTCAACATAAAACACTATTGTCTAGAGATCCAGAAGCAGCTTGGTTTCACAGAAATCCTGGAAACTAATCCAGAAAAAACTCACCGGTCCTGTGATGGTTGCTTGCCAGTGAAACACTAAGAGGAAATAAAGAAAGAGATTAAAAAAAAGATGTAAGAATATGAAGCGTGAGACTTTAAATCCACAAATCAACAACACAAAAACAAATGAAACAAGGATGAAAGCTTAAGAAATAGGGATTAGAGCATGTAGACATGTATATGAACAGGAATTATAACACTTACTGTCATCCCCCACAGGTCCAGCTGAACAAGAGGCTGGGGGGTCCTTCTGTAAATCCATCAGCTCCTGGAAAGATTCGACAATTAAACAATTTTAATAACCTCATTCTTAGATAGACTGAAATTACTTAAATTACTTTGACGAACGACAATCTTACATAATTGAAAACGAAAGCAGAAGAGAAAGCAAACCCTCTCCTAGTTGAAGTACTTTCATATTTGAGCCAACTTTAGCTGACTTTAGCGAAGTTAGCTTATTTAACTTTCACATCTGAGATAAGCGAAGCTGCTTTCGGATGTCATCCCCACAAGAGTGATGGGATGACTTATTAGGAGTAAAATCTATCTTGTGAATCATATTTCTAGCTTTGGATTACTTTCAAAAACCCTTTTCAATACTTTCTTCCAGGTTAGCAAACAGATGCTATTAGAGGGTTGACTGGTGGCTAAAATATAGCGATGCTTCCGCGCCGCTCCAACCTCTTCTGTGATAACATGAAACAAATCAAGAAAAGATCGATATTCCTACCTTTTTTATTCTTTTCAAAGCCATGACAGACCCGCCAGTTAAGCTAAAAGAAGCTACGGTGTTAACTCTGACAGCTGTCAGCAACAAATACGTTCACTTTCTGCCGTCTCCGGGTTATTTGTTTTGACAAACTGATTATTTCTTTTGTTTCCGCGTTTTTGTTCGACGACGGAGTGTGGAGCAGTGCATTATGGGAATTCGAGTTTCTGGTAGATACATTAAAGGGCCAGTTCACGATTAGAACTAGTTATAGTTTAGTGAGAAACCACTGTGTGAACTGACTAAACATCTGACTTTGTGATTAAGTGTTATGGAAAAAAAAATATATAAAAATAATAAAGAATTATAAAAAATATAAAATATAAAAAATATATAATTTTTTATACTTAAAAAATTATAAAGACACTGTAAAGAAAAAATAAAAATGTGATGCAATGATAGATAGATAGATAGATAGATAGATAGATAGATAGATAGATAGATACTTTATTATGGAAATTCAGTTATGTCAGACATAGGCCAATGCATCCACATTTTGTTTACTATAGCTACCATCCAGCTCTTGATGTGTTCTGCAGACAGCAATGAATAAATCCTATTTTTTCTTTCCAAATGGCTATAACATAGTTTGGCATCATTGCAACTTTGCAACTGTCTTTTCATCTTAATCTGTATGTTATTTTCATTGCTTTGAGTTCTGGTGAATGCAGCGAATGACCATAATGGATGCTTAAAGCTCCAGTGGAGAGATTTTGTGTGGTTATGAAACATAATAGACATGTCTGACCTCTATAAGCTGAAAAGACTATCAGCCCCAAGTTGATTCTGTCTATATCATTGTAGAAAATCATTTCTAAACAGATGGTTTTCACATAAGTTATTATTTCTTATGCCTGAATCTTCTACCATGTGGTAGGTGTCACATGATTTGATCAACTGCATGCTGCTAAATTTACCTCTTTTGACACTTTCCACAGCAATGACTCTCAGTGAATGGTATTTTTGTTTGTTAAAACAAAACCCAGCAAAAATGTAATGAAAAAAAAAAGGACTGATGGTAAATGACAGATACCTTAACTTTGTGTGATATTAAGATAAATTTAGTTGAACTTCACATGGTTATCAGCATATGTAGCTTGGTAATATTTTGGCATCCTCATAGCTTAAGCTGTACTCTGAAATGCAAATGACTTGCTTTGAATAAAAAGATACTGTCAGTGATGAATTAATGTAACTTTACTTCTGTATGCAAAAGAGCAGTACGAGGGATCAGGGTGGAACCATTACACAGCTTGCACATGCTTTGTGAGGCACAGTATCTTAATCAAACGTAGTGTTTGGCTTTCACTTGAGGCACTTCTAGCTTACTACTGACTAAATATTTAAAGGCCCTGGGTTTATATGTTTCAAGTAAACCATAGATGTATTTTAGCCCTTAGCTATTATTATAAACCAACAGCAGCACTTCAAATCAGTTCTATAAGTAGATGAAAGCCAGAGTAAAGATATGAGTGGTTATTGCAGCCGCATCATGAAAGGGTTTGCAGGGATTTAGTCTACAGGGAAAACCATAAAAGTCAACCCCACTGAAATGAATGCATAAATGAGTCTCTCTAAATCTTATTTGGACATGAAGCCTCTGATGTTCAGTATTTGTACATGATAAAAGCACATGAAATCCTGCCTTGATGAAGCCGCTGGTGCTGAAGTGTGATCCACTTTGACAGCAGCACCTATGGAGTCTCCACTTAGTTAGGCCAAATAAAAGATTCTCAGCTCAGTGATCATTTAGCCTAAATGAAAATAACTTCCTCTTTAATCTCAGGAACTATTCATATTTTATATGTGTGCATTGAGCATGAGACTATTCAGTTTGTTGGGTGCTAATGAGACCTGTGGTAACTGACAAAATAAAAGTTACTGATAGGAGTGCAACAGCCTTGTTTGCAGCACATCTTAAAGTCACTTTAAAATTTTCCAAAAAATTCAAATTTTCAAGCCACTTAATCTGTTCCTAAAAAGTTTTCTTTTCGAAAAAAATAAGTAAAAGTGCAATTACCAGTATAAGGGGCATACAAATACAGATCAACTCAGATCCTCAGTGGGATAAAAACAGATTCAGGTATCTTTTTTGTGTTAGTTTTAACCCTAAGATACCTGCCCGCTGGAAAGAATTGGTATGAAAACAAGTCACAGAGAAGGTCAGTAAAAACTTCCCCAAATTTGGAGGGAGAAACCCTTCCTAAGCCACTGCCCTTACCTTGCTGTGTCCGTCTGTTTGTGTGGGATTTTAAATTAGATGATACATTACCAAACCAAGCTGAGATATAATGTATTTTGCTCTCTGTTACAGCATGACGGAATAACATCATTATCCACTGTCCGACCCCAGCAGCCGAGTCTGCACTATGGCATCTGTGTGCAAGCGGAATTCACATAGACTTCCTAAAACAGATTGAATACACTCTTATTTTTTAGTGAGATAAACCTGGATAATACAGATGTCTGGACCACTAGTGGAGAATTACCCCTCAGATGTCCAGATATATTCGTAAGATCTTTGTTTTTTAATGCTTAAAATGTTGGTGGTTTTACATGTTGTGTTGTTGGTCTGGATGCTTGGTTGCACACTGCAGAGAGCAGAGAGAGGGAGAGGAGGTGAAGACAGGAGGAAGATGAACATACAGATGCATAGTGTTCATAAAGAGAGGGGGCACATCTGCTATCTTTCACGCCTGGATGGCTGCATATCTCACAACCACAGATTGCAGTAAATGCAGAGAATTTCTAATTATTCATTTATTTATTTATGCAGCAATGGATGTACTACATCATGTTCTCTTACATTAGCAGCCAGTGTTCGGCATAGTTAAAAAAAAATACCTGCATGACACCACTGACCACCACCATCTTATAATGGTGGAAAATTAAATTGTCAGCCCGCTGTATACCCCAAATAATATATTAATGAAATTCATTTAGTCTGTTGGAAAGATTCTTATGAGGTGTTGTGGCTTATTTAATTATTTCTCAGTAGTGTTGCTCTCTGCTTTCTCACTAAAGTGATGCCATTTAATTGAACAGTGCATAGCAACAACCGAGAAACACTGAGATTACTTTTCTTGCTACATTTGTCTTTTAATCTTAATTTGCACGTGAATGCAGCGAATGACCATAATGGATGCTTAAAACTCCAGTGGAGAGATTTTGGCTGGTTATGAAACATGGTAGACAGGTCTGACCTCTATAAACTGAAAAGACTATCAGCCACAAGGTCGATTCTGTCTAAATTATTGTAGAAAGTTAGATCTAAACAGATGGTTTTCACATGAGTTGTTATTTTTATATGCCTGAATCTTCTACCATGTGGTAGGTGTCACGTGATTTGATCAACTGCATGCTGCTAAATTTACCTCTTTTGACACTTTCCACAGCAATGACTCTCAGTGAATGATATTTTTGGTTGTTGAAGAAAACAGCAAAAAATGTAAGGGGGAAAAAAAAATCAGAACTGACACATGCCCATAATGAGACCAAGTAAGAGAACAGTTTTTTAACTGTTTTAACTTTTTCGTTCTTATCTGGTTTATCTGGCTCAAATAAAATAAACATATTAATATAATAAACAGGTCAGGACCTCAAATGCAATTGTCATCAGTCTTCCCTGAGCTTTTAAGTGAAGTTAACGTCTTAAAAGTAAAGTAAACAGGGAGACAGTAAGGGTTTTTCACCATTCTACAATACACAGAAATATACCCTTTCCCTTTTGATTGATTTTTATTTCTACTTAATATAGAGAATTTAGATAAATTTATAACAGAAGTGAATCCAAAATGAGACACTTGACCTTCACTTAGCTTCTTAAAAAAACAGAATTGCAAATTGTATGGTGTGCTGTTTCACTTACCAGAGTATCAGGCTGAAGAAAGATTTTGTGGACTCATTGATGGCACTTAAAGTGTTGACCAAGTTTTCCCCTTGTCCTCCAATACTATTGAGGGCCAGGCTAATCAAAACAGACCAGGTGATCAGGTCCAAGATGTTGGTTCCGTCAACATAACCATGAACGAATTTCATGTGTGTCTTATTCTGGAACAAGAGCAGAAACCCATAAGTCATGATAGTCCTAGAGAAACAGCAGGTGTTAAGAAAACATTTTAAATGTTCACTTAGCAAATCCATTTTCATTGCGACAGGACCATACTTAAATTTTAATTTTTCCTGTTACCATGCTTGAATTTTCTACCTTTGCCACAAACACCACCACTTCAGCCTTGAACTATAAATACAAAAAACACAAACTGGAGTTCATTTGATAACTGCAGCAGGGAAATAACAAACACAAACAATTTGTAGACGAGTACACTTCAATGAGAGCACATCTGCTGAAAGCATACCTGAGCAGGGTTTGCTGGGAACAGGTTCCTTTCAACAACAAAAAAAACAGGTCCCTTTCAACAACAACAAAAAACAACGACAACAAAAAGGTCACAATGTCAGTAAGCTTGTGAATGTTGTAAAACTACACAAAGTACACAGCTTGTGATGTTTGTTTGACTTTTCTGAACACCTGACATGCAGAATTTGTTATTTAAATATATCATAATAAGCTTCTCCTCTTTCACTATCAGGTCATATATTGCTGTTACAGTGGCATGGGTCTCATCTTCGCTTTCTCAGTTTCCTCTCTAGTGTCAGCTACTCCTGGCTTGATCAACAGCATCGTCAAAAAACAAATAAATAAATAAAAAATTGCAAGAGCTATTTAAACAGGAACATGAAAGTTTTTATTGCATTGAAAACAGTCCTCTAAAATCTAAAATCCTCTCTACAAGTCATTTTAAACACAAAACACAGTATGTGCAACAGATCTCAAGGTGTAAGTTACTCCACGGTTACCCTGAAGTGACTCAAAACTTGAGACTACGATGTGAACATGGAAAGAAGAGCAAACTTCTGAAAACCACGGAGATGGGGACGTAAGATTATGACAACATAAATTTACCTTGTGATTTAAAACTTTGCATACATGTAGTTATATGGACATAGTTCTACCTCGGACTCATATGTATCAGCAGTGTTTCCACTACATTCATTTAGCAGTGGCGCACTGTCACTGCTAAATAAGATGCACCGCTACTGAAATTTCACGTGATCATTAATATCAATGCGCCACTAATGAGTCTACTCGTACTGTGTGAGCACAACAACACACAACGTTATTTCCGATTTGTTGTGAGTCATCAAGGAGTGCATCAAATCCTGTTGGACCCTCTTCTATCAACGTGAAAGGTAATGTTCAAGCTTACACATGGTCTACAAAGCGAGTACCATTAATAGCATTAGTAGCATTATTATCAATGCGCCACTAATGATTTCTACTTGCACTTCTACTCGACTTGTTTTGAGTCATCAACGAGCACATCAAATCCTGGCGGACCCTCTCCCACCAATGTGAAGCTCATACATGGTCTGTATAGAGAGTAGCGCGGGTAATGTAACGTGAATGTAACAGCGTAGCTCCTGGAGTGGTAAGAGAGTGGGGGTAACAACGACCCCCCAGAACACACACACACACACACACATGCTGAAAAAAATTCTAGAGGAAACACTGCCTGACCATGTAAAGGAATTAAATTAGTATTTCAATTTTTAGTGGCGCCCTCTGGTGGCAAAGATAATTGCGATGTGACAACATACCCATGCGACAACAAGCTCCGGTCTCCCCTACTGTTTCTTTCAGTCTGTTTCATAACCATGACAAAAAGTCCCCACAGTAGCTTTAAGTAATGAACAAAACACTTCCTGATTAAGCATTATTGATTACACATTTGAATCTAACTGACTTGAATGAATGAATGGTGATGACAGCAGAAAGTCAGGGTGATTATTTCCTTCTGGTTTTTAAAAAGTGCCACGAAATCTGCCCTACATTTATGTCCCTCTCTGACCTTTGGTAAAAAAAAAAAAAAAAAAAATTTGATTGAAAAAAAACAAACAAAAAAAAAACAACAATATCCTGCCAGTCCTGTCTTATCTGACTTTACTTTAAGATCCAGTGTATTAATGTAGCTAAAGCGTGATTGGTGTTTAAAGTACAAAGGAGAAAATGCGGTTGATTTCTAAAACGGGTTGTAATTTATTCTCAACGCGCTATTGGTCACCGATCGATGCGCGTTCACGGCGCTCCGTGGCGGCGCGCTCGTTGCTTCTGAGCACCGTTTGGAGGAGAGGAGAGGAGGAGAGAGAGACGGAGAGAGCTGTAACCACACCAAGAGTCCACCGAATGACTGCCTTAGCACGCTGCCAATGAACAATCCTCGCATTCCTATGTCTGCCACTTGACCCACTGAACGTTACGGACCAGGCTTCCACCTCTGCACGGATTCAGGAGTCCTACCGCGGGCTGCCCGATTTTTCAGGTGAGCCGTCCTCTCCCCCTCCTTCCCCTCCTTCTTCGCCTCCTTCTCCTCCTGTGACCGATTTGTTGTCTGAGTATTAATCGTGATTTTAAATGATAAAAAGGGGGGATAGTGGCGGGTGCGTGCGCTTTTTTTTTTTTTTCTTGCAGTAGCTGTCCAAGGTGCTGAAACGGGCAGTGGCTCGTGGTAAGAGAGGAGAAAAAAAACACAGTGCCTGTGTAGTAGAGCTAGCGTCCTCATGTTAGGAGCAGGTTGCATGACTCCGCTGTTTGCATGCTATGGGCTATTTAGCGTTGCAGACTAAAACCTCTCAAAGATGTCGTGTTGCTGTCGTGGAAAAAAAAGGATGAAGCTGCAACGTGCATTACGGTATTTCTTCCAGCAGCACGGTCTGACTATGGCTCCTCTGTTTCTAAGCTGCATTGTAGAGTATAGCTTTCCCTCCTCCTCTTGAGACGGTGTGTTGTTTTACTGCATCTGTACCGTTGTCAGGGTCCGGGGTCTTCTCCAGCTCACCTTATCTTCCCCTTTGCAGCCTCATGATACATTTAGGTGCGGTGTAAGGATTGCTTCTGCATCCTCTGATGTCAACAAACAGTAAAAGGTTATCACTGTTGCAGGCATTGATTTTTGTGCACAATAAATCCATCAGGGAACAAGGGGATTGTAGTCTCTTTCAAGTTGAACTTTTGCCCGCTCGCTGGTAATCGTACCGGTGACCAAACCTTGTACAAAAAATGTCTATTTTTTGGAGAATGTCCTCGCCAAGACCTTATGAAATGTTTACACATGTAACCAAACATGAGTTCTGTCAAAAGCATACCGCAGACCACAACTTATGTAAATTGGCAAGGTAAAGAGTCACATCCAGGCCTCTATTGTTCTCCTGCTGGACCCAAATATCATCTTTTTTTTCTCTCTCCACAAACAGGAGCACCTGACATTTCCTGTGGCAGATAAAGTCTCTGGATCATGGCACAGACCAATAGTGGCGGGCAGGGCACCAACGGGGTAGCGGACGAGTCCCCCAACATGATAGTGTACAGAAAGGTAAGGCTGGTGCTGCTATTTTTAGTCCGCACGTGTCGGTGTTTGTGAGTGCCAGTGTGTGTTGAAATCTCTTGCATTAATTTACTTGACGATGAGCTGCGAAATGAAAATTGCTCACACTAATAGCAAGACGGTGTTCCCGCGCCATGCTTGATTTAGGGCTGTAATGCAACATCAGCTGGGTGAGAGCATGCAAGGAACGTATATTTTTTTTTCACACACAATAGGCATGACATGCAAGTGGAGTGAGAGCATACTTAAACACATGCACACTTATGAGAATCCCTGACAGGCATGCACACATTTTCCTGTAAAACCATTCGCTGTCATGTTGGTTTTTAATGGAGGCAAAGCAGTCGTTTATTACATGGCCGGGGGGTGTACTCCTTCACTGTTAAATCTCTAACTACATTAGAGGAATTGAGAAAGGGAGGGGAGTACAACGGCCAAACACCGAGACACCTTAATCCAGTACTGCTTCAAACATCAAACAGATTACTGAAATAATCTGCAGGGAATGTTACATTTGTTTACTCTTCGGCTTAAGGTCCAGTTGATGTTCCTTATAGGAATTTTAGCATCTCTAGCATCTGGGAACTTTAAGGGTCTGAGTTGAGTGTAATTTTCATGATGTTTGAGCCCATAACAAAGGTAATTTTCTGTCACTGAGTGACTGACAAAGTTTTCTTGAATCTTGCACCATCCTCCTCCATAATTGCGCTCGCCTCTCACCATACCCACACACCAAAACAGAGAAGAATAGAAAAAAATCAGAAAGAAAAGCATGGAGAAATGGTTGAAAAAGAGGCAGGGCCAGTGTGAGGAGTTTGTTTGGGTTAGGACTCACCCCTGCCAAATTAGGCTGTACACTCCACCACCCTCAACTCTCCTATTTACACGAGGGAAAAGCAGAGGGCAGAGAAGACAGAGCCTGTTTCGGCCTCCCTGAGTATGAGCTTTACCCTGCTCGTAAAACTGTAGTAAAATTCATTTATCTTTGCCGTCTTTACTACATGACTATGATTTCATTTGTTTTTTTCCACTCAAAGAATCTCCTGAATCTCACTGGAGAAACCACCTTGCAGTTGGGAAACTTGTGTTTTACTTTACTCACACCTGCACTGATGAAGTGATTACATTCTCATCTCACTTACAGATGACTCAAGCTTTGAGTGAGTTTCTGCATTTCATATTCTTCACCCTTCACTGAATACACCCATTTCCATCTGCGACAGCTTCTTCACACTAGGCCGAGGATATGCTTAGCATGATATCATAGATTGACTGTATTTTATAGCGCTCGCAGCGTGTTAGGCGATAGCGTTGCCAGTGTGTGACAGAATTTTCAGGAGATGTTGCTATGCTTGCAGCAAACAGGAAGGCTTTCTGCTTTTTGAAATCAAAAATTGTAGGATCTTCTTGAAGCAAAACAGCAACCAGATACATGAGAGGATCTTATAAAGTAGGCTGGATATTTAGGATTACAGGTCAGATAAGTGACTGTTTTATCATTTTTTATACAGTGCATTTTCGTGAAGACAAAGATGAAAACATCTCTGCTTATTTTTCCATTTTTATAAAACACATCGAACAAATATGCTGAGGCATAAAAGACAGTTGCATCTACATATTGACCTATGTCTCCCCAGGTATTCAATTACATGTGATGTCTCTTCCTTCCTCCTGCTATTGATCCCTCCTTCCTGCTGTTCCATCATGCTATGACGCATGGAAAGAGTAAAGTATGCAAATTAGCCAAACATCTCCAGCTTGTGCAAGTCTTGCCTTAAATGGTGTTTTTCTATAATGTCTTTAAAATAAGGATGCAAGAATGATCTGAGTTAAGAAAGTGTTTGTTCCAAAGTGTTGGTTTAGTCATAGAGGTTTCATACTTCATCCAACGCTTCCCTTCACACCACTTGACCACACATGGCCACAGCTTGGCTCCGCTCACTGACTGACCTAGATACACCGCAGAGTGAAAGAACATGGTGAAAGAAGGGTGGAAGAAATCGTGTTTCTGAAGTGGGTTTAAATAAAATAAAAAAAATGCAGCTGGAAGAGCTCCGTCTGTAGACATGTTGACTCCGCCAGCATGAGCTGAAGCCCCGATTGCTTTTCAACCAAGATGACTTGGCAGAGGTGTTGCAACCCACACTTAGATGAGGCTAATTCTCGAGTGGAAAAGCAGCTTTTATGTACTGTTCCTGCTGCTGCTCAGACTGCTTAAGCACCAACTTACTGCAGGAAAATAATGTTCATATCGAGCAGCATCTACTCAATATCTGACAATGTGCTGGTGGTGTATAGTAGAGGAAGGATTATGTAACTTGAGCAGAGGGAGTTTTATGGTTGAGGACAGCAGAAAGTGGTTTGATAGTCGTTCCACTGGGAGCATAACTATATCTTTTCACCCTCTCAATCTCTCCTCCCCTCTGGCCCATCCACCCCTCCACTCCTGTCATTAACGTCTAATGAAAATGGATGGCAGAGCTGAGGTGTTGACCTGCCTGCAGTGGAGATGTGTGCAGAGATGTCTGTGTTTTTTTCCCCGTCATGCACATACACTAGGGGTGGCGGTTGGCCTTGGGTTTAAGCGTCCGTCCTGTGCACAGAGGCTGTAGTGCTCATCTTCGAGATTGCTGGTGTGACTTCCAGCTGCATGTGTTCCCCAATCTGAACTACCCACACTCCCTGTCTCGATAAAGGAAAAAATGGGAATAAAAAATGGATGCACACATACTTGCAGCTATTGATAAATATAACCACAAATCCACACAGTGTGTTTGAACAGTCAAACGTACAGAAATGCACGAAAACTCTCAGCCTGTCAGTGATTTATTTAGATCAGTTGCTGCAAATTTCATCACTTGCTATATGGATCCAATCAGGTCCCAACAAGCAATATATCAGAGCTCATCCAGTTTGTGAGGAAAGACCGATAAAACGTCTGATAGAGTGATTTGGCAGATACGCACAGCACATCTGCTGCTCTGCATCATTACTTACCATTTAAAAAGCTGTTCAGATTTCTTTCTGCTCACATATTAACCAAGTCAGGCTCATAACTTCAAGAGTGTATGCTATGTGTTTTTTTTTTTTTCTGCCTGCTCACATGTGTGCGATGAATAATGCTGTGATGCATACATGAGCGTGTGTGTGTGCCGTATGTAGGGCAAATGTTGCTAAGAGAGAATCGTGAATTTTTTATGCACGCCTAAAACAGCTCTGGTGAAGTTCACAGCCATTCAACGTGAGGAGGGAATATCTTCACTCAGCGGGAAGCGTGCACTGTGTATGTGTATGTGTTAGCATCTCTGTATGTATGGAAGCATGTATGCAGTGTCTGGTATCTTAAAAAAGTGAAAAGGTGAAAGAAAATGCACTGTGATGTATAAGATACTCAAATACTCATTAATCCTAAATGGATCCAATTACATAATAATGTTCTGCGCACATTCATCTTAACTCAGAAAGAGAAAATCCACACTAATGTAACTCAGTATGCCATGAAAATTAGCATACTCAACCAAAAGTAAAGCAACACACAACTAAGTATTTTTATAATTTAAAAAAGTCTAGTTTATGAAATAAATACATGGTTAAAAACGGAGAAAATTTGCTATCATTTGTAGCTCTGAAAGAGGAATAGTACCATATATAAACCACAATTTCAGAAGCAGATATTGCTGCTATTTAAACTTCAATAAATGAACTGCAGGCAAAAATTTTAAAGTGAAACAAAAATCCAAAAGGTACACCAGTCAGAGACAAATATATATATATATATATATATATATATATATATATACACACATATATATATACATATATATATATATATATATATATATATATATATATATATACATATATATGTATTTAAAACTCACATGTTATCATAAACATAGATTATTTGATTATTGATTCTAAAATTGAAACAAACAGTTTCTAAAAAAGAGCTTTAATTTTTGAAAATAAAATGGTTACTAGTTTCAGAATCCATTTCTGTCTCACAATGACTAAGACACCAACCTAAACAATCTCACTTTTATTCAGGTTCAGCTTCTCCGTCACTTAAAAAGTTTCTCCTATCACCAAAAACAATGTTGATTTTAGAAGAGCTGGGCTTTGGAATGTTGTGACTTACTGCACTTAAGCTAGAAAACCTCTCTTTTCTTCGCAGTCTGACAGAAATCTCTCTTGATTTTTGCAAAAATAAAAATTTTAATAATTTGATTGCCTCACATTCCACCCATCCCTTTTTCATCAGAAAAACTATTTACAAGGGTTTTTACAAGATAAAAATGAAGACAGTCATCCTCACCAATTACGATAAATATAAAATGTTTCTGTCGAACTGAATGGCAACACATTTTCTGCATTTTAAATTGTCAGCACTTTAGGCACTTAAAAATGTAAGCACAAATATTCATCTCTTCAGAGTTTTGGCTTGATTTTTTTTTAAACAGATGATCAACAAGTTAGAAAATTCAACATTTTCTCTGAGAGCACTTTGGCAAAGTGAACACTTACAATCTCACTTGATACCAGTAAATGTTTTAAAGAAGTTGATTTGCCGCATTTCACTCTCACTGTAATTTCGGAAAACTGTGGCTGTCAGAGCTCCTTACAAGTTGAAATAAATTGCCAAGTTCACATTCTTGCAGTTTACTGTCACTGCTGGAGTCAGATCTCCCTCTCTGGCTTAGTCAGTGACAGCTGAGGCAACAGCCCACTCTTATTTACATCTGAACCGCCGACGGGCAACTAGTAATTGTTCTTCAAGCTGCCAGTGTGGCTTCTGTCTGTGTGTAGAGCCATTAATCCTATACTGTAGGTTTATTGTTTTTTCCACAATGTGCTTATCCAACATGGTATCACAGCGTTATATTGTCTCCAGTCGATACAGGAGGGTACTGTTTTACATCTCGGTGCTTACATAAATATCAATATTGGTATGTTTTTGAAGTAATTGGTCCCTGGTGAACTCAGTGTTGTCTGAAGATGACAGCGAGGCAGAAAGAATGTATGCACGTTTACCACTTTGAAGTAGATAAACAACCTAACTGTTGGTATTTGGGCTGAAAAATATCAGAAATATAACACACAACCTTTTTTATATCAATTCAACTAATCAGATCTTATTTTAAAAGCACTGTTCATACAGACTGACTTAGAACAAAGCGCTTAAAGACAAAAAAACACAGTAAAAAGCTATAAAATAATTAATATCAGAGCAGACAATAAGTGATTATCAAACAAGTATGGCTATAAAAGACAAACATTGCCTGTGATTTGCCTGAAGTCTCCAGCGAATACATGCCTTAAGTTATCGTTCAGTGTTTCTAAGATATCGCTTCTGTGATATGTGATGTATTACTTCATTGTATGTTGTAATTCCAACCTCGACATGAATGCATTTTGCTTTTTGGCAGTTTTTCAAATGTTTATGAAGCAATAACTCACCAGGGCTTCCCGGTGGTGGAAGTCTGAACCACCTCATTGGGGTTTGCAGCACATCGGCGAAGTTAATTTTCCCCATTTAAGAATAAGCCACGTAAGATTTGCATATTTTGTGTCAATAAGAAGCTACCATACTAGGGGAGACTGGGGTTTGTTGTCACAGGGTAAGTCGTCACATTGCAATTATCTTTGCCACCAGAGGGCGCAACTAAAAATTGAAATACAAGTTTTATTCCTTTGCATGGTCAGAGGTCGTGTCCTGTCTGAGAAGAGAAGAGCACATTGTGAGCTGAGATGAGTGCCAATTAACCATTTCACACAACCCAAAGTAAAAAATGTTACTTTTATATATTTTAAAATAAGCTTCTCCCAGATAAAAATCCCAGCAGTGATACATGCTGACCTTTTAGAGGAGAGATCAAGGCATCCTGTCGTACCTCAGTCATTGTTCTGTTTTTAGTTAACTTTAAGCCAGAGCTACAATTAGCAAACATGGTAGTTTGGGGCAACATGTCTCAGTCATTTTGGGGTTAGTTGTCACATGTTTAAAGGGATTAAAATTACCATAGAGAGTCTGCTTATCAGCAGTTGTCATATTGAAATTTTGACTTTATTTTTACAGAGAAAAGACTGGTTTAAAGGAGAGGAGAAAGCGAGAAGACATGGTCAAGAATTACAAAAGAAAAACAGAACATGTCAGTGCAGTACCTGAAATGATGCTGAGGGCAGTCAGGCAGGTGACCTGAGCTAATAAATCAATCTGGACTACAATAAAGGACTTTAATGTCAACTACCATACCTGCAAAACATTCAGCCCAGCCAAAATACAGAGTCAGACAGCTCTCCAAACTCCAGAACATGTTGCACAATATTTTATAGTAAGGTTTATTTAATAGCTATGTTCAATGTTTTTTTCTGGCTCAATGATAAATATTTTCTGTGCCTGACTTGGCAACATGTCACATGTTCACACTCTCTATTTGATTGCTTATAACTCTGCACTGACACAAGATATGAAAATGACATGAATATGAAACCTGAGACTTTGGTCTTTCATCTGGTACATATTTTGTTTATATATGATGTATTGATTCCAAGAAACACATAAGAGTGTAAAAAGTGTGACAACAAGCCCTGGTCTCCCCTACACTAGATGTAAGTGGCTGGAATCATGTGATCAGTGGAGATAGATCTGTGAATCACCATATGCCACCCCTGTAGCCTCAGTTTGGCTGCAATACAAAATGAAGTCTGGGCAAACTCCTGTATCTACCAGAGATTTTCTTTGTACATTTTTGATTGCCATTAGCCCAACATATCATTTGCAACAATAAATAACATCGACAATGAAGGCTTCCTCAGAATGTCTCCACCAGCTTTCCCTGATGTTGATGTTAGCACACCCTGGGAAGCTCTGTCCTTCACACTTTTAAAAGGTGTTATGCTGCACTGTGAGATTTGAAACATTTCTCCTTAGCCTGACCTAGTAATGAAGTCATGAACAAACAGAAATAACAAACAGGGCAAAGGTATCAGTGCATGCTATTGATTTGTCAATTGATTAAGTGGTTGTGTACAAGGGATCATTTTGCATGAACAAGACTCTCCCTCTCCTCTGCATTTTTGCAACACAGCAGCATTGTAAGATGATGCAGAGCAGCGGCTAATATTAATACTCTGGGCCTACTTAAAATTCTCCCCAGTAGAAAGCAATTTTCAATCCCTACTTAATCTGCATCTGTTAAACCCACCCTGTATCAGCTGTCCTGTTATCAATACAATTTCCTACAACCGTCCTACATTGTTCATGAGTCATAAAGCAGCGAGAACTGAATACATTTTCAGCTTTTTCTCAGTTAAGAGCCAGATTGAAGGGTTCTTGTTCTGCCTGTCTCCCTCAAGCTGCAATCAGATGATCAGGAAGACCGGGAGAAAGAGTGAGAGAGACGGGGGAAGGGGGGGTGAGGTGGGATGATCCTTAATTGCCAGATCAGAGAGAAATCTTTGTGTGTGAAGTGGGTTCTTTGTATACCAGCTTGCCAGCCAGGCCATTTCTCCTCCCGTGTAGGAAAACATGCATGTTCTTTTGTGCGCGCACTGTGGAGGGAAAGTGTGGGTGTTTGGCAGACACTGTTGGGGTGGAAAATTGGCATTTATGGCTTTGTGCATTTCAAGCTAATCCTTTTTTTTCCCCCTGTATTTGCTGACATCAATACCTAAACGCCAATTACAGGGGCTGGCATTAGTGACACATGCTATAGTCGATAATTATGTAGGTGTGTCATCGTACTGCTGAGGGCAAAAATAAGCCAATGGGCCGTGTTGAATCCTGAATCTTGTCACAATATGAGATGTTGGTGATGCTTTCGCGAATAAGAAGAGGAACACAAGGTCCTTTGAAAACGTTCACTTTTCAGATATGTACAGAAAAGACTGAACGTTGTTAAATAGTGGAAGAGTTGTTAGGCTGTGATGGCTACTCAAAGGACTCAAAAGTATTTTCTTTGATAACTCAGCAGTTAGTATTTGTGAATGATCTCAGCGTTACCTTTAAATTGATCACCTTTAAGCCATTGCGTCACTATTTCTAACCTTGTGAGAGTGACAGATGTCCATTGTTGACAACGGTTACTTTGATTAGAGACACAGACTAAGACTTTCTACCGAAGTTAGTAGTCCAACAGGCAAATCGAGATTAAAAAAAGAGGTTGAAGTGGAGGGGTGACGTTCTAGAGTTGATTATTATTTACATTCATACCCAAAATGAAATACTAAATCTCGATCAGGCGCTACTCACAGGGATATCTGATTACTCTACAATTACTCTCAGCCTGTTTTCCTCCTTCATGCTGTGTTTCTATTGCAAACAATCAAAGCCAACATTAATTGGCGCATATTTGCAGATACAGATTGTATAACACAAGACCTTGACAGCTGAATGTAACAAAATGTCAACTCTCCGCCCTTCACTGGGTGAACAAAACACTGAAGTACAAAGCAAATAACACCTATAAAGCTAGACAATTAGTAAGTTATACAGTAAGTAACAAGGTTTGATACAACGTGCTAATTAGCGAATGCTTAGAGGGATTTTTTCCACAACATTTTAAACATATTTTTCTAGTTTACTTTGTGTTTAAAGCTCCTGTGAAGAATTTTCTACATGTGCCAATTTTATATATTTCTGGATCAGGTCCTTAATATCTACAAGTCTTGTTTTCTGATTCAGAATCTTACCCTGCTTTTATCAAATGCTAATATCTACCCTGCTCATGTTTACTGTTTCATGACTACTAACCTCCTGTAGTAGCATAAAAAAATTACAATGTGGAAATTGTGAATCTTCTTGTACATATAATTTTGCTTTTGAAGGTGATAAAGAGGCAGTAAATTGCTGTAAATTTCAATCTATTTCATAATGTGGTGAATTCTCCTCATATGAGCTTTAAGACATGATGCAAACCTGGATGGCCAGTCTCTACAGTCTTATGTTTATTTTCACCTAAAAACAAGAGCATAGTATTGCCCAACTTTTTGAAGTAAAGTTGCATGGCAAAAAGGGGTTGCATCAGATAAATAACTCTGGCATGGTTCGTCTTACACCACAGGGCCATACAGTAAGGTGACAGATTAAAGATTCAAAAGCAGACTTGACTGGGTGACGGTTTGGGCTGCTCTGTGAAGACAGTGAAAAGATACTTATGCCTCTCTTCCTCTAAGCTCTATCCTCTGTATATGTCTGCCACAGCTGGAATCTTTAGTCCTGTCTGTGTGGGTTATATAAGGGTCTAAAGAAGCCCGAGCATTAAGATAGAGGCTGACTCAGGCCTCGCCCCTGTCTGCTGATTTAATTCCTGCTCAACATTTAGCTAAAGATTACAGGAGAACCTTGGCTGAAGTTGTGAATGAATCCTTTGATATCCGTGGAGTGATGGTCATAATGAGGACAGAGGCGCTCACTTAAGGTGAATAAGCAGTAGGAAATGCGCACAGTCTGTTCATTCTGGGTGTATTTCATTGTATTGGGTGTGTATTTGTTCATCCATCTGAATCAGGTATGTGTCCTTGTCCTCTCCTTGTTTATTTTCTGTCCTACCTCTCCTCCCCTGCCCTGACCCTCCATCACCATACACACCACATGCATCTCAACTCTGCCCTTGCAGTCACTGCCTCTAATACACTCACTCCCCTGCTGTTTCCTTCTTTCCATACCCAAGCTCTGACAGCGATGTATATATTCACATCTGCTGCTTGTTCTTGTCTCTTGAAGCTGTTAGTGCTATGTTTCTATTTACTGTCAAAACTCTGCATTTAGTTTCCAGCCGCATCTCTTCCTGACATCCAGTTTCTTGTCGTCTAGAGTCAGTGATTCATGCCACGTACCCAAAGACTCGTGTTGCTCTTGAGGCGGTGATCAGATGAAAACTGTAATGGTGTTTGTTACAAATTTAATTTCAGTCTTATTGAGACATTTTTAATAAACAAAAGTAAGATCCATTACGTGAAACCTAAACTTAAAACTACCCCTTAATTGCTTCTCCTGCAGGAATTAACTTGTGAAAATGTCAGTGCTTTTCAAATCTCTGAATAAATCCACATTCTACTGAAGGAAGATCAAATATTAGAGGAATGTTGTTCTCCAAAAACCAGCGCTGTATTTCAGAGCCGCTTCTCAAAAGCTAAAATCATATTTGCACGTCAAGAGCCTTCAAAAGTAAATAGAAATAAGAAATCTTGTTATCTTCTCTGCAGAGTATTTCATGCACCGACTCCCTTCTCTGCAATGGATTTCAGCAGCTTGGAGCAAGAATGTCGTTTTTCTGCAGAACATCCTTTTACTTTTTTCACCCTCCATCTTTTTCTCTCTTTTTCTCTCTCTGCGTCTAGACTTGTGAAATTTTCCTCTCAGCTCCAAGACTTTTTCATCCCAGCTTCCTTCTCTGCCTCTCTCCAGTTCTGGTGTTCACACTTTGCCCTCACCCTTTTTTCTACCCCACTCCCCCCTTCCCTTCATGCTCTCTTTTGTTCATTTTCAGGTCTTTGATGTTTCCCATACACTCGCAATAGCACACTAACTTTCTCTTTGTCTGTCTCGCTCTTGCCCTAGCGCACATATGCACCCCCCTCCTCTCTCCCTTCCATCAGTGTGTTTTGCCTTACCAGCAAAGCATCCATCCACCTCTGCCTCTCCGTCCCCTCCTCTCACATCCCTCGCCTCTCTTTGAAGTCATCAGAGCCCCAGTCGGAGCTCCATGCCACTCCAGTCAGCTTTTATCCTCACTCAGTGAAGAAAAAAAAAGGGAGGGATGTATTTAGACCCCGCTGGAGCACAGTCATCTCTCCTCCTGTGTGAAATGATTCACTTGTGACTCATAGCTTTATTGGGGACTCTCTCTCTCTCTCTAAACAAACAAGCAGTGGTCGTGGCATTTTTTCCATCCAAATTGACTGGAACTGTAACTGAGAGTGCCGGCCTGATTGTCCCCCCTGCAGCTCGGTGCTTCGCTCGCACAATGATGAGCCGTTCTCCCAGAGGCAATCATGTCTTGGTGATTAGCCCGCCATGACTGAGTGCCATCGCGCAAATCCAATACCAAGCCAAAATAATAAAAGTCAAACAACAATTGCTCCAAAGGGTACATTTTCATATGTTTGAGGCGTACATTTGCATTTGCCAAACAGGAGGAGACGCACCTTTTGTCTAAAATCCGGCTCTTCTCGACTCATCATTTTCACACACACAAGCACACTCAGCTTGCAGGTTGCAGTGTGCTGAGCAGCTTCCACCTGCAGCCTACTGAGGCTCACAGCTTCACACCATTAGTTCAGCTTAGCGAGCACAGCCATCCTCAGTACAGCCTCGTCTATAAACCTCGGGCGCCATCTTGACTCAACTGCTCCTTTTTTCTCGTCTTTTTCTGCCTTCACTGCAAATGTGGCAGAATAATGATATCCAGCTATAAACAAAACATGTAATATCAGTTTCTCAAATTGCTTGGCAGAATGTGTTTCCATTCTTACATCATACTTTTTCAACAAACTCTTCCAAAATGAAGCCAAAAACATCCCTTTGCGCTCAACCATTATACTATATATAGTTCATTCGGGGACTTAATTAGCTTGTTGTGTAATCTGAAGCAATGTCAAGGCGTCTTTAATGTTTCCATATTTAATGATGATATTTGAAGATGAACTTGAAATAGTTGTGTCAGCTGTAAAATATGAGCATGCGAGATAGGGTCTGGGTGGCGGGAAATTGGCCTCATTAGATAAATTCAAGTCTGCCTGTCGTGTCCAGGCAGCCATGTAAATAAGATGATTAATCACAGCTACTTAGATGAAGTTGGCGATGGAAATGCATATTAAGAAGTCTAAGCTGTAAGCTGTTCTTGAAAATGCACATAGTTAGGATAAGAACAGTTTCAGCTCACTGTCTGTCTGCAGGTGCAATATGCGACTACTAATTTAATCCAGATTTATTTAACTCTTTGTCCATCAGATGAGTTGCCATGAAACTGTACAAAGCCATTTATGCTCTATAACATCTAACTAAGATGGTAAACTATTTCATTTTGTTAGCATGACACCATCTTGCCACTGTTACTCATATTTTTCAATCTAGTGAGGCATTTTTATCTTATTTAAGTTTATATATTTTGCCTAACAATAGGGCTGGGCGATAAAACGATAACGATATATTAAAAATTTCTCGATATCGATATAAAAACATGGTCAATATGCTTTTCGATAGTCGGCATTCTGCCATGTTTTGGTAGACTATACGAATAGCCAATGAAAAGGGGAGTTGCTCTGGGTCTGCTTCACGCTGAACCAATCATGTGCTGAATTAGAACCAAGTAGCAAACAACTATGTAGTAGCAGGCTGCAGCTACACGCAACCACAGCACTTTGACACGTGAAGCCGGCAGCGCTGTCAGTGAGGAAAAAAGAAAACTAGCGCTACCCTCAGCAGAAATGCAGATGAAGATTCAACAGATGACATGCTACCAATAAGCACTGGTAAATTTCATTTAAGAGTAACAGGAAAATTTAAGATTGATAAGTGATTTTTTATTAATATCGGTATCGACTGATCTGAAAAAAACATGTCGTGATAAACTTTTTCCCATATCACCCAGCCCTACCAAACAATATTACGTTATACAGGACAGCGGTTTGGACCCCTCCCCACCCCCATCCACGAATGGTAGCCTTAGTTCTTTGATTCCTGTTCTTGCTGACAGTCTCTCATTAAGATCTTTGTTACGCAAGGCACCCAGAGTAACACGGTGAAAGGCGTCGATAAGGGAAATATTACGCATGAAGGCAAATGACATTAACAGCTCAAAGTAGTTGGAACTGGTTCTCATCCAGAACTGGTTCTCAATTCCTATCCCTAGCTACTCCAAATAAAAATGAAGTCCTTTTATATGAAATGCTAGTCTCAGATCTGAACAATCAAATAAATTGGCTGACAGTAAATTAGTCACTTGCTCCTTTGAGTGTAAATTTGAAATCATAGTCTTCCAGGCATAAAAAGGAAACTATTTCACTGTACTTTCAATAGAACTCCTTATCTTGGGTTTTTAATATTCATCATTATCTCAGACCATGACCTTGAGTCTAATAGAGGGATTACATTCAAGTAGACAATACCGTCTCCAATGCTTGTGCTTTCTCCCGCCATCCGTTTGGTGTCTGCTGCGGTGGCTGTTGGTTGGCATCCCTGTGACAACACCGCCAGCAGCACGTCAAATGCCATTATCTCAAACACTAAAGCAATGTGTCCAGCCCACCCTTAGCTAGCAAAGTGACAGCACATGTGTATGTTTATGTGTGTGAATGTGTGTCTGTGTAATTATGTCTTAATCTGTGCTCGCAAATGAGCAAACATTAGCTCTGTTTAAAGAGCGCTGCTCGGTCCGTGAAAGCCTGCAGTGCGGTGGCTGCGCTTATGCATTTTTCACCAACCCCTTTTACTTCTAACCACATCGATGAAAGACTTCATTACTGCCTGTAACGAAGTACATTTTCCCCACCACTGCACTAAACTGTAATTAATTGTTTACCTGCGGACTTCCAGTTTGTGCTACTGTATAACATTTCAGAGAAAAATACTGTGTAATAGCCCATATTTTGCTAAACCATTATAGGTGTAGTTTTTAAACAGAGTGCATCTTTATAGTTGTGTTGGTATAGATTATTCAAACGGTACTTAAAGTTATACTATTCTGAAATTAAGCTATATCTTTTACAGTGATCATGGAGTTTTTTTCATGTTTTTAAAGGATAATATAACCGTAAATAATAGATTAACTGGAGCTGAAGTTTTCGGTGAAACTCATAAACCTGCAAACAGTCACTAGCAATTTTTCAGCTTACCATTTAGTGTCCTAAATTTTTTAAAGGAATACAATGTATTGATAAAAAGCTGTAGAATATTTGTTAAAACAATTTCCCTGCCCACAGCAACAAATACTTGTAGGTATAGCCAGAGGTGTGGATCTTTAACCACACTCGACGGTGTGCTGGTCCCTCTTTGGGTACAATCTGCACATAACTGCCTCTTTGGGTACTTTGTAGACAAAGTGTGCTTTTTTTAACAATCCATCTTGTCCTCTATAAGATTAAGAATAACTTTTTTTAAACAGACCAAACAATTCTCCTTTTGAGAGTTACTTTTTCAGGCATAAAGTGGAGGAAGACATGCAGGAAAGGCTTGTGGCTGGGAAATCAAACCAGCAGGGGACAGTAGCCCTTAAACACACGCACACACCATGCTGTCTTTTATAGTCATATGCAGCTCTAAGTGAATACTTTCTGTCTGCATGTTTTTTGTCCTCTCCTTTGACATCAACTCTATAGCAGCAGTGACTAACACAAAAATCAATCATGAAATTCAGCTTCTACCTAATGGACTTCTTTGTTTTTGTTGGTATGGAGGCCTTAATATTAGTTTCAGTCTGTTCAGTAACCAGCTTCACAACCTTGAAAGTGTTCCGTCACCTTTTCACACTTTCTATTGCACCTTGTCTGTAAAAAAGACCGGCTTTCTTTGGCCACCTATAATAATTAAAGCATATGTGTTATCAGCTCCTCTGTTTCCTCTTGCTTGGCCTGGAAAACTGCGACTGGACACTGTTAACAGGGTTTCTCATCTCCCAATAAAGCCTCGACATAGATCTTGTGAACGTGTATATTGGCAACATCTTTCTGGCTGTCTGAGTGGGACAAAAGATAAAATATGTTATCTGAGCTCTGAGAGGAGTGAAATAGGACAAGGTCAGGTTTAACAATGTAGTAGGATATGATGGGAAGGGTGTCTCTATTTCTTGTAACAGACTGGTTTGATTTGTTGACGGTAGTTATTTTTTTCTTTTTCGCTTGAACATCAGTAGAGCCCAGTGTGAGCTGGTTTTGAAAAGAGTTAGAAAGGATATGTCAGAGCGGGGATGAAAGCAGTGTTTCTATCACCAGATTTGATAAAAGGACAGCATGAAAGTCTAAAGAGAAGAAATTTGTCTCCCCAATGGCCTGAATGAAACATAACACTCCTCAAAGTTGTGAATGCATGATAAGTTTACCACCACATGAAGCACTTTACTGCCAAACTGTTGCTGTGATGAAATCTAGATTTTAACTTTTCTCAATTTAGTAAAGTAGTGCAGCCTTTTATGGTAACACTTTACAATAACCATAACTTAAAAATGGTAAATAGACCATTTATAAATGGTAAGCAGATAGTTTATTAATGTTTAATCATCATTTATAAATAGCATGTAGACCATTAATAAATTGTACATTAAAAATTTTAAAAACCTAACCCTAACCCTAACCTTACAATAACCATCTAAGTAATGTTAATAGGTGGTTTATAAACCACTTATTAATCATTTACAAAGTATTACAAACATCAGATGCAACTTTACAATAACCATCTAAGTAATGTTTATAGATGGTTTATAAACCACTTATTAATCCTTTACAAAGTGCTATTGACACACATTTTAATCTAGATGTTTTACAACTAATAAACTCTGTATAAACCTTTAATAAATAGTCCATTAATAATGAATGAAAATTATTAATTGTAATTTCATTGCTTGTTTATGGTAAAGTAACTATTAACTTACGTCAATAAACTATTTGCCATTTATAATTGGTCTCTATGCTGTTTTTAAATGATGATCAAACATTAATAAACTATCTATTTACCATTTATAAATTATGGTTATTGTTAAGTGTTACCGTCTTTTGTTTTGAAAGGTTCAAATTGTCATCAGCATTATGATAACTTCTCCCTGATGATGGCTGAAATCACCCGCGACTTTTGGAGCGAAAGGTTTAACACCGTCTAACCTTCATCATCTGCACAGCTCCGCAAGTGTCAAGTGTCACTTGCGCTAAACAGTCAGCCTTTATCTGTTTATCCTGATGTTGTGTCCTCAGAAGTGAGCGTTTGTGTTTCCTGTCAGTTCCCTGCTCCTTGTCTAGTCTCTGTTGTGTGCAGACAGCAGAAGACAGAAGAATGTTAGCCTGCCAGTATCCAGCTGCTTCTCCCTTATTGGTATTCAGGGCACACGGAGCCGCCCTGAGTGTCTGTTGCACGTGCCAAGGAGGAATGTGGGAAATGAGGTACATGGAGAAAAGAGGAGGAGGGGGAAGAGGAAAGAAGTGAAGCCCCCTCCCTCTCATGTTATTTGGACCTAAAAATAGACAGCATCCTCCCTTCTTTTTTCTATTCCCAGTGCATCTCGGTTTCCACACCGAGCACCTCTCCCTGGATCCTCCCAGGATCCTCCCTCTCTCTCCCTCCTCGTCCTCTTCCTTCTTGTCTTTCTGTTTAGTCTAAGTAAACATGCTCTCTGGTGCCCCATGATAAGACTCCTCAAGTGTAAAGCCAGACAGTTTGGACGCCGCTAACAGGCTTGGCTTGATAAAGGATTAACTATAGGGGTGATTTAATTTAACACCACGGTATTCCCTGAGCCAGACTGCACTGTGTAACCTCTGAAAATAAAAGCTCATTAAATGTTCCTGAGCACAAACCCCCTTAGTGTCAACAACTGGTGATTGCTTATCTCAAATTAAATCACAGCATGATCTCTTAAAACAGTCTTTAATTATTGTTTAACTAAGTTTAAAAATAGGTTTATTTAATAGTCTATGCATGACTGATAATAGATAATAGCATGCACTTTTAGGTGTGTTTATATACTCCTATCTAAGTTGGCTCATGCAAGGTTAGCCACCTTGCCAAAGAGATATCCAAACAAACAAAATCAAATCAAGTACATGTTCCGATTAGAAACCATCAACAAACAAATCTAATAGCAAAACTGTGATGAATTCCTTTTGAGTCAGCTTTGACCTGAAAATGTCTGAGTGTGTGCAACATTTTCAGCACTCGGTGTTCAAATTTTGATGGGAAACTTTTGCAGATTACATCTATAAAGTGATGCAGCATTCTTGCTTCTCTATCTCCTAATTTATGATAGTGTGCAGTTTGAGTGATGAAATCATGGTAGGTGGGCAGGAGGGATATTGGCTTTCAGTGGATTATGTTCTAGCACATGGCCAACCTTGGCTTAGTCATCGCGCCCACGGCCCGCCCACCAAGAAGATGAGAGTGAGAGAGAGAGAGTGAGAGAGTGAGGGAGGCCTTGCCCTATAGAAACACTATCCCACCAGGAACACAAGAATTTAGTGGCCTTAGAAACTCAGGAATCAGCGTAAGGTAGAGACAAAAGGGTAAAATAAGGTTTGGGCATTGAGAGTACTACTCTAAAATGAGCCAGAAACTGATACGTAATAGTGATGAGATTAGTGCAAACAAAAAAGACAACACTGACAACAGGAGTAATACAAAACAATTGAGTGTTTGTGTGAGCGTGGGCTGCTGTTCCTCAGGTCAGAAAAAGCTCAGTATTATATTAGTCACCAAGAGGCAAATAAAAGTTTTATAAATGATCCTTTCCAACACAGAATCAAAGTGTCCCCGTTTAATGCCCCCAGTTCTGCCTACCACCTAAACACTACCTGTGCCAGTACTTTTCTTAGTCTACCTACTACATGTTTTTCCATATCTGTAGATAGTAATACAGGATTAACTATCACAAAAAATCCTTAATTTAGAAACTTACAGCACCACATCTGATGAATAAAAGGATTCAGGCAGTAGAGTTATTATTTCAAAAAGAATAAACCCAGGATTTTTTTGCAGTGTATATACAAAAAAGCTTTTAATATCAGTGAATAGCTATTAGTTATTGATGATATTAGGTAATATCACGATATCGCTGTTTTTTTTTTTTTTTTGTCTGTGTAGTCAACATTTTAAACTTTTTGAGCATCCACTAAACTGTTTACCTCGGGTGCTGGAGTTTGTCACTTTATCCTAGATGTAGAAGTCCTGCAAACATTGTGTTTGCTGGTAGTCTGTTGGCATCTACAGTAGCACCAATGCTTGTTACTTTCACGTTGACTGGGCCTCATTTGTATTTATCTGAAGTATTTATCAGCATTATATCTGAAATTAATTGGAACTGTACAAGCAAGCAGGAGCGTCTATTTGTGGGCGGGGCTTGCTGGTGCAGAGAGGGAGGGGAGAGGAGGAGCTGAGGGGAAAACTGGTTGGGAGGGGTAGAGTTTACATTCAAGATTCTTCCCCAAAACTGGCAATTCCTCAGATCCTGCCTACCCCACCTTAAAGCTGCTGCGTTCTGTTGCAGCCGTGATAAATAAACAGTGACACCACTGCACTCTAAAATGGTTCATTTCACTTAAAAAGAAATAAAACTCAAGAGAAGCCAGTTGATAAGCCAAAAGTGATGTGCACTTTTTTGTAAATAGAGAAGAAAGATCACTGAAGCACTGAAGTTCTGAGCTAGCAGCTACAAGCTCAACATTCAGGGGCCGCTAATCATACTGATGTCAACGGGAAACTGCATCATAAAAACTGGCAGAGCACTACTTTATGGGGTATATCACCACAAACCTGAGGATGAAACGACCATACACTTCTTACCTCTGAGTTGTGGTTTCAGAGCGCACTTGCAGCACAGCATTGATCTGAGTAAAGTGCTATGCTTAATAAACTTTTCTTACTTACTTGCTGAAATCACTTGATTTTAGGTGCGTTCGAGCAGACTACATAATTTTTGTATTTATTAACATCTCAAACCCCTGTATCCGTTTACTCCCCTTAGAAAAACAGTCCATGGATTTGTAAATTTATCTGAATTGGCACACCATTCCTTCTTGGCTTTTCCTTTTTTAATTTTGACTTTTATTACCAATTTTAATATCCTCCACTGCTTAGATCAGATAACAGTATGAAATTCTGTTGGGTCTACTGTCACCTTTAGCAGTAGTAATAAAAAATTTGCGAGTATTTTATTATGTGAAGATTCAGAGCTTTAATTAGAGTTGAACCTTGAATATACCTCAATCCACTCAGCAAAATTTGATCATATTAAATAAACTGTGGTTTTAAAACGTAGAACACAGCATGATAGGACGTACCAGATCTAAAATTTGTAACAAAAGCTGAATGAAGTGCAACAATGTCAAATGAGGATACATGCCCATGCCTTTTTTTTCCAGGAAGCAGGCATTGCTGGCTGACTACCTCTCATCCATGATTCAGTGTTCGTCTCTTTTCTTTGGTAGGGGCCTGTCCCTTGGGGAGGTAGATGTTGAGGAGTCTGGGGAAATATTGAACATCCTTCTGCTGCCTTACACTGGGGACACTGATTCTCTGGGGACGCGGAGGGGGGGGATCGAGGCCGTGTGTTCTAAAAAGCCGTGGAAGTTGATGAAAAATACTGTGAGAGAAGGGCATTGTGGTGCGAGTATCTGTTGGCAACCATCTGGAGAGCACTCTGAATTAAATAATGATAAAACCGTCTGTCCATCAAACCAGAGGACAGCTCTACAAATGCTGCTTATGCTGTTGTACACTACACACAAATTCTGTACAAGGAGTTTGATTATTAGACTACCAGCAAGAAAGTGATGGAGAACACAATGCACAACCAGTAGCATAATGTACAATATTTAGTAATGTTGCAGGAAAAGATTATTATACAGAAAACTGATTAGACCAAATTAGTTTCCTGGAAATATAAGTTAGAAAAGAGAAAATGAGAAATGATTAGCCTGTGGTCGGTCATGGCTGTGGATGAATTAACTTGAGAGAAACATCAAAAAGGCTGTAAAACAGATGTTCTTTGTTTCGCTCCTTCATCTTCATGAACGTTTCCAACATCTAATAAGACAAAGGCGCCGTTTACTGGGCAGGGATTGGTCTTTGCTTCTGTACTCATCCTAGAGATGTGCAGACTATTTATTTGAATCAGGCACTAGATAAATGCAAGGAGCAAATCATGGAGTTGGTATGTCTGTCTTAGGGACGGGAATGGAGAACAGGTTCTTGTTGAGAACCGGTTCCAAATGGTTCAATCCATCGACATCATTTACATTTTAACGCAATGATTTCCTTAATGATTCCTTTCTTCTGGGTGCCTTGAAAAACGGTTTTCAACGAGTGCCAGTCTACGCGAACGAGAACAGAGAGAGAAAAAAGCATGGCGGACAGTACTAAAAGTAGGCAGAAACGATCAAAAGCGTGGATTCATTACTAAGAGAGACAACAACAGCACAAAGTGCGATGGGGGGCACGTATCAAAATACATACATCTTTTTCTGTTATCAGAGACTCAAATAATTTTGAGTTAATGACGAACAACTACAGTCTACCTTTTTTTTTTTTAAATCAAAGTAAGGCATTGATAAGGGAATCGTTAAAGCATTGAATCGATAAGCAGAATCCATTGTGGCATCGATATCGATAAAATCTTATCAATTCCCATCCCTAGTCTGTCTTCTCTGCAACACATTTAACAGATTTAATGAGGCAAAATATTTTTTATATTTCTTTGTTTAAGTTGTGTTGGTAGTGTAAACACATTTATGTATTTCCATATATAAATGCTCAAGTGTCGCAAAGCATCTTATACAGTTGGAAATCAAACCAGCAATGATCAGCGGATGATGCTAGCTGAGGCGAATAAGGCAAATGAACTGTCAAACAAGCAGGAACTCACTAAACAGGGAAACACACAAACAGGTAATAGCCAAATAAGGTAATGTAATCAACACCTATTAAGGTAAACATGCAACCGAGTTCGCAACAACTTCTTTACAGCTAACAACAGATCACTTTTTCATCAAGTGATTCTTCCAGCTGAGATGAGGAAAGATATGCAGGGAAGTTCTTAGAAGGTGTATTATTGAAACATGATACTGAAAGTCACAGAAACATTTCATTGCCATCAATGACAAGCATGTTAAACCAAAATAATACTGCTACACGTTATAATTAATACTGTTGTAAGTTTCTTGTTGACCAAAAATTACTTATTTTTGATGTATGTATATAAAACTTTGAGTTTTTGTATAGAGCAAAGAGCACCGAGCAAATAATCTTTTAAAGCTAGCGTTGACTTCGACTGATATGTAAAGGAAAATTGTTTTGCTTCTCAGCTCAAGTGCTAGTTTAGCTTGCCACATTTTAGCACCTCTGACAAAGGCTGTCATGTCTGGCCTCTATCCATCCTGGCTGAAATCTTACTATATAAACAAAGATGAAAAGTGTTGTACAAGGCGGTGACCTCTTTTACTCCTATAATAATGGTTTCATCTTAATAATGGAGTCTACACCACCTCTGAATGACAGCTGGGAGGTTGAGTAATGGGTTGAGACTAAAGGTCTCAATATGCTACACATGAACCTTTTTTTTCTCTCACATTGTCCGGCCACATCTGAAGACAAGTGTCGAAAGTGTTAATAGCTTTTGAAATGGACACTCGCATAGTCAGGTGAAATGTCAGCTGTCATGTGGAGGAGTGAGATGCCATGAATCACAGAAATCAGGATAACCATGCACACTTTCAGACAGCCATTGCTTGAACAAATTTATGAAGTTGAACTCGGCTGCACTCTCGGGAAGTGAGAGAAAAAATCTGCAAAAAAAACATGAAAGGAGAGAGCATGAAAGGGAAGTTCAGACCTTTTTCACTCACTCACCTCAGCACACCTGGACATTTTCTGTCTGAAGTGGGGAGCTTTTGATATTGTTAGTTTTGGTGAGTTACAGAAATCAGGGCATGCAGTCCAACCTCTGGTCCAGAAATTGGAAAAGGGGTTGAGGGAGCCTTTCTTTTGAAGCATACTGGTGTTGTCATGAATCTGATGATCATTTATGGCATTTAATTATCAGCCTGGACCTAGCCCATTTTTTCTGTATCATGGCAAATCCCATTAAACATGTTAATGATCTTTCATAAAGGAGGATTTATCATGACTGTTTTTCAGGTTCGCTCCTTTTTGTCAGAGCAGTGCAGTTTTTTTGATTAGTTTTTGTTCAACCAACTGTTTTATGTTGATCTTTTTGAAATAATCCAAAGAGAAACCCCCAAGACAGTATCTATATAGGCCCTCAGTGTTTTTTTATCAAAGGTTCCCTTCGATGTTATACAAAGATCATGTGTTACAATGCAGCGAAAGCAAGGGAAGACGAATACTTGTATGAAAAGTATTAAACTAGTATTAAATGGATGAAAACAAGGCAGGTTTCCACGAAAAATAGATTAATTATAAATAATTTAATCCAACCTTAAGGTTTGGTTCACAGTTGTTGATACATTGAGCTGTTTCATACCTGCTAATAGCTCATGCTTCTGTGTCCTTTTTACCATAATGACTATTTGTGACAATAACCAGTTTTAACTTTGTTTTTACTCAGTTATTATCAATATCTACTCTTCTTTAACACCTACTGACAGCCAAACAGCTGACAGCTGGCTCCCTTCCTGTTGTTGATTTCTATAAAACCCACTACATAACAAGTTGCATTACCCGCTTTTCTCATACATTTCAGAAGCACTCACTTCTGCCTCATTATATTACAAGAATGGGAAAGACACCTGTTTGTCAGCATGAGTCCTGCCTCTGTTTACTCCGTATGTGTGCGTGCTGGGAGGTGGAGAACACTCCCCAAAAATCAACTTCGGAATCTAGAAGATATTAGCAAAATTCTAAAGACCGGAGTACGGCCTAGCCCCTCTAGATGGTTACGTTTTTTTCTGCTGACTGACTACTCCACCCTGCTTTTGCATGTTGGAGCTTTTTAATAACAATGCAACATGCTGTAACCAAGACATAAGGGAGCTAGATAGCTTTTAAAACCAAAAATTCAGTGTGTTGTATTTCACTCCAACTGTCACAGAGAAAGGGAGAACTTGACAAACAGTCAGACGAGAAAATAAATCAAGGCATTTGATCAGAGAGTCTGGTGACGCTCTATAACTTCTTGGTCTGTTGGTGCATGAAATAAACTGCAACCTGGAGTCTCTGTTTGCAGAAACAAACTATAACAGCTTTCTCATATGTAAGACCCTTCCACAGGTTGTATGGACATTTGGAGATCAATGTGTTACGTATGAATTTCCAGCCACAACAACCAGGGAGGATGTCCTTGCCTGTTGCATAAACAAGATGTTTACTTTTGTTCATCTTTGGCGGTTTGGGCTGATTTTGATTTGAGTGCAACCACATTGGTGTATTGCTGTAATTTCTGCTAAAAATAACAAATGTACTTAGAACTGCCTTTGGAAAATCAAATTCTTCCTTAAAACACCAAAAGAGGTTGAGGCAGCTGCCTCATAGTTTAGTATTTAGCAAAGAAAAACAACAGCTCATGAACTGATCCTGCCAGACAGCTTATCACCTCAACAAAGGAGTACTGTCAAACATTGTTATCCGGAGATCATGCCCCATGACAACTTCACCTATCTTTGCAGTAATTTTTACACTGCTGTTGGTGTTGCTGGGTTGGTGCCAGATAGCTTTACAGCTTTTGCTTTGTGTTTTAACCAGAATGTTTCACACAAGCAATCAGTTAAAGCCTTTCAATAGGAAACACTGCAGTATCAACATGCAAAGGGCCAGGATCAAGAAATATTCTCCAGAGCAACCTTAAGAGCACTGGGCAATAAATAATTCAGTTTGATTAAAGTAAACTGGATTTAGAGGAAATTACTGCGTCCTTTAATGCTTCACTTTTCAGTCACTCTGAGTGCTTTAAAGGAATAAGATGCTATACTTGGGCCAACAGAAAACAAGCAAACGTGCCACTTAGGTAACCCAAAGTCAATAACGCCACATGGGGAATCAAAGATCGCCTTGTTTGTCTGTAAACATCAGCCTCACTTTCATCCATTAGCAGATCAGACCTAAATCACATCAAGCCATCGACGGACTCTCAGTCCAACGTCAAGGAGCATTTCAAAGCTGAGGAGAAACATCATGGTTGACAATATCCATTTGTAATCATAAAAATAAACCAAAGTCTGGAGTAAGAAAGCCATCTGCCTGTCACTGTCCATCACAGCTTGTTCATGATGATTGTACTTGAGCTGTGTGCAAGACTGTTTCGCAGTGGCATCAGGTTTTTCTTATCACAGTCCAACATTATGGAAATAATGGACAAATAAGAACAGCAACAACTGGTGCATTATAAAACACATTCATTATATTAGGTGTGAAAAGTGACAGGAGGAATAATTCCCATTTAAAACAAATGCAGTGAATTCTGTAAAAGCAGTTGTGTAGATTCCAAGTAAGTGTACCTTTTCTATGTGAAGTTGAATCATATTTAATATGTCGACAGAAGAAACAAGGTAGAAAACAAAGAAAAGGAGCATTTGGGATGGTCTTTTTAAAGAAACACATGCTACTTTTAGTTGATGGCTCAATTGACCATATTTCTATTGCAGCTTTTCTCCTCTGACGTCATGCTCCAAGTAATAATACGCTAATATATTTAGAGTTTGAAAATATCTCAATTATTGAACTTCATTTGAACAGGTAAGAAGTGAAGAGGCAGAGTTTAGGCAAGCCTTTAGCTGCCTGGCTACCATGTAAGTAAGCCACAGCCCCAGTCACACCTAAATATGCAAATCTTGAAACCTCACTATCTTCAAGATGAGACTATTATTTATTTAGTTATTTTTAAATTAACCCCTTGTACAGTCTGTACAAATAAATAAACATGATTTCCAAACCAAATCTGTTTTTTGCACCAGATTAAATACAAGTTCATTTCAGGGTCAATGGGGTCTCGTCGGCTTTTTGAGCAAGCCTCAAGTGGACACATCAGGGACTGCAGATTTTTTTTCAGCTTATTTTTTTTATTTATTTACATTATTTTTCTTCCAGCCAGGAACCAAATTAAAACCTGATCCTATCATGTAGCAGGTTAGCTGAAAAATGGGGAAATGCTTGTGTAAGCTGGTGTCTAATGATTATATTTTACTGTCACTTGAGATATCTTGATGGGATCACCACCTAGATTTTCTATTGTTTGCTGTCATTGGCTGCAGATCACTAGAATATATAAATTTCTTATATTACATGACTTACAAACTGAATCTAAAGTCAAACATTTTGACAGCACTGCTTCTTACTTTAAACACACACTTGGATGAGAGGGATGTGGCTTAATAGTCTAAGGAGCTTTACTCAGAACTCAGACAACATCTTGGATCAATAAATGCAACCGAAGGCAAGGAATAAAGCAAGCACAAGACTGCAGATGTTGTTAATGCCTAATCAGTAGTTTGCACAATTTCCCTAACAGCATCTTGAAGCAAAGCTCCAGTTTGGATGGAGTAATTTCCTGCACTCCAGGCAGAGTTGTCACCTGGGCATCTGTTCCTGGTGTTGGATGATCCCTACCTGCTGTGAAACAGACGGTGGTCCCGGCTCTTTCCCCATCTGAGAGCCTTGGCAGATGAACAGTGGAGGCTTGGGTGCAACGTATGAGAGATACGATGAAAATCTGAAATATGCAGCAGTAAAAGAAGAAAGTTAAGACTCAGAAAGAGAAATCCATTTTCACAAGAATGGATTATAAATCTGGGTAGTTCATGTAAGATTAAGGCGAGCAGAGCAAACAGAGCGTGACCCTCTGTTGCCAAGGCTAAGAGAAGGTTTTTTTTTTTGTTCATGGCTCCTTCTCTTTTTGATCTGTATTCAAAGGATCTTTGTATTTATTGTCTTCCATTTACTGGCACTTTGACAATAATGTCAAATGTAATTTAAGTTTATTGAATCTAATGAACTCTAATTTTATCTCGAATCATTTAGGTTTTGAATGATAAGAAGCGCTGAATCAAGTCAATTAATTAGGTCAATTAGACGACATGATTCATCACCACATTGCTCAAAGCAAATTAACCAATAATGTGACAATGAATGACTCAATTGTTAGCATCATTTTTCAAGCCAAAAATAATAACATTTTTTTAAATCAAACCAAGCTTAGTCACAGGATTTGCTGCGTTTTCAGTTTTATGACAATGTGATTTAAACCTTTTGGGATGTGGACTTCTTGTCAAAACAAAAGACATGTAGTTTTACCTTCATGGAATAGTGTGTGCAACTGAGCAAGTGTTACAAACATGACTTTTAATAATCACCAGCCTAAAACTCTTCACAGGAGCTTTAATGTTATTGCAATGTCCTAATGTAGTTACACAACATTAACTTCAAAGTTATAGCAGCGGGGGGGAAAAAAGACAATGCTTGTTCAATGTCCTTTTCTCCATTTCCTGTCTACAGATATTATCTAACTCTTCTCTCTCTCTCTCTCTTTCTATCCTTCACACCTTTTGTCCCCCTGGCTACCCCCACAACCACTTTCTTTCTTTCTCTCTTATGAATGAGTGATGGCAAGCTGCCAGAGATGTCCTTGTGATAGTGGTCACAGACTGTGTTGCTGTGGTAACTCGGAGACTTAAGATTCATGGCATCCATTCAACAACCTTGTCAGCACAAGCTCAATAAGTTCCCCCACCTTTCTGCAGGGTAATTTTGTTTTGAATACTCAAGTGGTGCAGTGCTGTACAGGTGCAGGCTGAAGTGTCTGACGTACTCTGTTTGAATTCGGCTGGCAACCCAAAAATGTTTCGATCATGTTGTTGATCATTAGCCAGTTTGACAAGCTAATATGTTTATTGTAATACTTGGCCTTCCCCTGAATGGCACATTTCTACTCTTTCTGTCATTCAGTCACAGTTATCGCAGCATTTTCTTTGTTTGACATGCAGGGCTCTATTTTCGTGCGCGCCGGTGAGGCGGCGGAGGGCGGCGAGCCCCGCGCAGTTGTATTTTCGTCTGGCGGAGCCCAGCGTAAGGCCAGTTTGGTATTTTCGTGGCATGAGCCGCACGGAGGCGAGCCGAGATCCGCCAAGCTGGGCGTGGTGGCGTGGCAGGGGGAGGTTTCGACAGGATCAGCTGGCGCAGTGACATTTTCGTGCTCGCCAACGGCGTGTAAAGTGCGCTGAATGCTCGCCGATTCAAACCTGGTCAGCTTTCAGCGCAAGGCGGAACGCAGCTGGTCTTGTAGTATTTTGGTAGACCGGCGGCGTATCGACATACGTCACTGATGCCTCACCGGCAGGTTTCCACAGTGTCAGGCACATTTCAGTGCAATAAATAATCATCAATTATTAATCAGAGTCAGCACATACATTTAGATCTATATCGATATATTCTGATCTATATCTGATCTGATGAGCGCGTTTGGCACGCGTTTGGACACACAACCTGACCGAATCAACACAGCTGAAACCGCATCAAATTAAATTCAATATCTAGTAAATAAACACACATGATGAAGTTAACAAGATATGTAATTCGTCTCCCTCCTTTTCTTTCTTCCTCTTCCTCTTATTTCTCGCACAGCTCGACCTGGACACGTCTCCGTGTCCTCTGTCCGTCTTGCTGCTGCTGCAGCTGAACAGATGATTTGTTTCAGTGCTCAGATGCGTTATCTACTTTAAGCCGACATACGGATATTATAATATTCAGTTTTGTGAGCCAAATTTATTTTATATGCCAACATCTATGAAAGAAAGAGCCAGGCCACGGAGCGCGATGGGTCATTTACGCACAGATGGTTCCGATTTTAATGCCATTTTTGGAGTTTATGTTGTGATCTGTGCGCTCAACCCACCTTTGTCACGTGAGGTTTGAATATGAGCAACTTTATGTGAGTGTCTTTATTTGTGGAAACGGGTGTTTGTCTTACCAGTGGGTCCAACATTACGCACACTAAATCCATCTGTGCTCATATGAGAGAGTGTGGAGGACACTTGTTGAGGAGCTGCCCTCTGTCGCCATCTTGTGGCATTACCGTCTTCAGACATCTCTTGATCTCTTTGACTACTCCATGAAAATAGTAATACGCCTCACCTGTGGCGGATTTAAAGGCAAGGAGAGGAGCCTATGTGATTGGTGAAAACAGGTCTCGGCTGTGTTAAACCAACTACACGCCCCGTCTACGACTTATGGTGCTGGGAGGAGCTGAGTTAGGGAGGGGGGATACTTACGCCGGGCTGCGCGGCTCACCAAAATACCAAAATGTGCTTGGGAACGCCTTGTCAGCGCGGCGGATCTGACTGACGCTGCGCTTGCGGCACGTCTCCGGCGAGGCACCAAAATAGAGCCCGCAGAGTGTTTATTCTGGGACAGAGGTCAGTGAGCTGTTTTCGAAACGGTTGGTTGTAATTGGGTGCTTTTAGAAATAAAATGAATAAAAATTCATTAATAAAATGTAGAATCTGTGAGCATGGACCCAGATTTTGGTTGAAGAAGTGTCATGATACCTGTTTGTACGAGTCTACCCAACATCATCTTTCGTAATCATGAAGTAACCTTGGAACCTATGGGCTCTCACCTAAAGGCAAATTAAATCTGCATGAAAGTACAGCACACAACATACTCTTAGAAGTTGTCTCTCCAAGATCAACTCAGTTTTGGCTTCTTATCGTGCAAGTCAGATTGAAAGCAAAGGCAACACATGGGAAAATCTTGCCCAGAAATCCTTCATAGCTTATGCCTGGCTGTGCTGGAGGCCCCAATTAGTTGGCCATTTTATATTCATATTATAAGATATATGGTATATGGTTCTTAGTCATACCCTTTAAGTTGTCCATACAGTAGCAGTAGTAGAATTAGAATAGTTGCAGAGGGAGGTTAAAGGTTGCAAGTAAAGTTATTATAGGAAATCTGACAAGCGCTGTCATTGTGTTGCAAGAAACAGAAAAACAGAAACACTTAAAGACAATGTTAGTGTTAGGGTAGCTCGCTAGTGCACAGCTCTTTTAGCATCGCTGTTATAGGGAGTTTGTCAACCAGTATATTAGTGGGGTTCAGTATTGTCAGCTAGGAATTTAAAACTCAACCTTTCTGTGATCCCACAACACCATTAACAGGAAACAGGAATTTTCAACATGAATCATATGGTTGTTAATCTTTATGGATAAATACAAAGATTAATGCTGTGAGAGCTTTTACCTAAGATAAGTTATTTTCTAAATGTCTGAGTAAAAAATATTGGTGATGGCAGCGACTTTTTCTGGGGCAGCTGGCCCTGCAGTCAATATCAGGAACAGAGCTGGCAACTTCTCATTCAAGCTTAAAACCATACTGCCTTGATAAGTGAGCGAAAAGACCAGTCGGGTTGCCAGCGTGTCCAATTTCCCCTTTCATACTCTGCCTACACCGTCTGGTTTATCAAGGGAGCCTCTTGATACACAAAGCATAAACAAGGCTACTCATAAGGCTTAAAACCAGATGGCTCGGTAATCTCTTATTTATCCTTGTCCTCTCTGTTAACAGCTACCACAATGTGCTGCAGTATGAAATGACCCTTATCTAAACTTCATACTACCTTTTCGTTAAAAATGCAGAAATACATCCACATAACTGGCATTTATCATTACAAATAATATATGATACAGCTTCCCAGTATTGATACAGCTGATGATTTGTTTTGCAAGACGATCATGAATCTATACACATTATACAGGAGTGTTGCAAGACTGTTCACAAATCCATACAAGTGTATTGTGGGAATTAGAATCAGTGCATGAATGAGTCATAGATGCTATTTTTTTCCCAAAGTAATCAAAAAGTTCAAACAAAAATTGATTTAGGGATGTTTTTACGGGTGCCTTGGAGAAAATCGTCAATTTAAATCAACCAGACTTCTTTCAGTAGTGTATAGTTAATCAGTGTCTGTCTGGTGAAAGCTGTATCCATAGAAACAGTGTGATTTTGATACTAGAGATACTTTCCAGTAAGCCTCATGTTTCAGTCATCTAATTACTTCATGAATTAGATATCAAGTACTATCAATTCTAACCAGTCCACTTGGATTTCTGTGGTAAGCCCTTCATCGGTTCTGCTTGACAGCGGTCTTGTGATGATGCCCAAGTAATGATAGTAATGAGTCCTGGATCACTGGAATATTCGTCCCCATCCCTGATTGATCCACTTTTTTAATGCATGGGTTTTGATTTATCTTACAATATAGACAGTGAGATGACTCTTCCATCCAAAGTCAAGTTTGAATTCTTCTTCCGTACAAAGCATTTAGTAAAAAAAAAAAAAAAAAAAAAAAAGGTGGTGGTGGTGGGGTGTTCTGATGAACATAAAAGCTCTATCATGACCTTGTGAAGTGTTCTCGTTCAGCAAAGGCTGTTCCGGTAAGAATGCCTTGGCATCACAGCAAGTCTTCAGTTTGTTTGGCCGTGAATGAGCAGCTAACCTCTCTGTGCTTGTGCGGGGACAGGGAAGGAAAGGGTCCCTTCATTATACACCTATGATTGCAACTTCAGTATGTACCGATAAGCAGAGAAATAAAGTAATGCAGCTGGAAATAAACAGAAATTTGTCAACAGGGATTCAGACCTTATATAAGATGTGATAATCTAATTAAGGCTGTTTGAAAAAAGGTGTTAGAGTTCATCAAGTGGTGAGATTCCTCCTCCTAGTTGATATCTAGGTCGCCACTGGAGAGGATTGGCATAGTTTGAATATGTCAGAGCTGTATACAGACGAAAGAGACAACAGAAAGAAAGGAGACTTGTCTATTAAAGAGAGTAACACAAGGTGAAGAAATGCCAACTTAATGTACAACTATTTCACTGTAAGGTCATCTATTTAAAAAGATATTAGCAGTTTGCCTTACCTTACCTATCCCTCATAAAGGAGTCTGTTTGTGGATTTGCTCAGTATGCAAATGCTTCAGCAAGTTCACTAGAGATGTGTGAGTCATTTGCCGTAACATAGCACTTCACTACACTTTAATGCAGCTGCAGCGTATCTCTGAGTGGCTTTGTTGTCATAATATTGATCCTATTAAAAGTTACTGACCTTGAATCCGCCTTCTGGGCTGTTTATTTTGCACTGTAAACCACTGCCGGTTTTTGAGGGCAAACTAAATAGGAAATAGTATCTCACCGCCTCTGCCACAGGTTCTGCCTCAATCACTGAGCCCAGGACTGCAGCTCAGGGGGAAATAAGATCAAGCAACTGCAAAAACTGTTTTATCTAGTCAGGCTGTCATGCCATGTAGCTGCAGGTTCTATTTAGGTTGCTCTCACACCGCCTCAGGCAGCCAGACTGGAGCTAGGGAGTCACCTATTTCAATGTTGTGCTTTTTGAAAATATAATAATCCCCTCCTTCTGTGTTCAAAAGCCTTCAAAACACACTATATCTGTGCGTATGTGTGTGATTTGTGTGGGTGAGTGTATCTCTGTACTCTGTTTAAGTGCATATGCTCTGTTTGCAATGCGACTGATAATTACTGCACACTTTTTGTGTCGCGCAATGACAGATATACCTGTGTTCCTGCGTGTCCGTGGATGCATGTTTTCGTGATGTAGAATTAGGAGTATCTCTTCCGCTCGCTTGTCCTCAGATAGCACTGTCAAGGTAATACCATCCTCTCCTCATACATTTGATGCAGTAGCCTTCACCCATCACAGGGCAGGCAGCGAGACAAACTGAGAGAGAGCAGAGAGTAGAAGAGAGAGAGAAAATGAAAGCTTTTAATTTCCTCAGCAGTGCAGCCACTGAGGTTTTTACAGTTGTGCAGATGGACATAAACCGGGATGAATGCTAGATGAGTCTCAGATTGAGTAGCAAGACAGGCCGCCTTTGACTGAGTGTGCTAATAAAAGACTGATGTAGAGATCTTGTTGAAATCTATGATTGATGATGCGCTCACTTTCACAGTCAACTTAACAAATACATGCTTTCCAGTTACAATTTGTAAGTGGCCAAGCTCATTCCTCATATAATATTTATCATGATAGGTCTTTCTAGCTCTTATAAACACTCAAATGTCCACAGGGGTTTAAAGCATACCTGGGTAATGATGACCTACTTGTTACCTTTTGAAATATGCATTTGCTCTCATCATGTGCTGTCCATTTTTAAACATAATTTAAATCAAGGTTAACAGTAGCTATGAGTGGCTTCATGTATTAAACAACTGGTGCTTGATACAGCTTGATGCTTTGCAGCACAATTAGCAATATACTCATTTGTAATTTCAAGGTTATAGTCGTTTAGAGCAATAACAATGCATTGAACTGCCTCAGGTGTCTCAAAAAGGCATCTCATTGACACACAGTACTCCAGCTATAAGTAATCCAGAGCTCTAAAAATATTTTTTTCTGCAATAGATAAAAAAGGGAGGATGCACTTTGAAACACTGAGACACATTGACTTTACACTGGCTATTGCTGTTTGTGCGCTGTAAAACTCTGATATGGTCACAGTGATACTAAGATGCAGTGTATGACCTCCCCTCCCCCTCTCAATCAATCATACCACCGTTTTTTATGTTGCGCATTCACAACTAGTTTTATCCCAAGATGCTTCACAAAAAAGCTGGTCTGGACCAAACTCTATTTGCAAAGAATGGGATCAGATTCAGGCCTATCTGGTTAGATCAGACCCACTCCCATCCCATCTTCATCCACATAAGTGTAGCACTTTTCAGTATTTACAGTAGTTACAGCGGTGAGGAAAAACTTCCTTTTAATAGGGCAGAAACCTTGGTCAGAACCAAACTTGTAAGACAGTCATCTGCCACGACTGCATTTAGTTCAGAGAGGGGATAGAGGGAGATGAAGAAAGAGAAAGATGGACAGAGATGAGACTGATGCACATAGTTCAGGCAGCTAGAAAGCAGGCAAGTCTACGGCAGCAAGAATTCTGCAGCAGCGATCCAGAGGAGCCTACAGCATGATGGAGCACAGGGTCTCCAAGTAAAGGTTGTGGTTAGTAACTCAAATGGGATGCATTAGAAATTTCAGTGTTCTGATTTATTCATCTAGTTATTTTGTGACCAGATATTGTTAACAAGATAGATATGCATTGCTTTCTGGCTTACTTGTCAATCACAAATACACTTATCACAAATGGACAAAGCTAACACTATACTACACTGATGGTGTCTTGGGACTTGAAACCATAGACTGTATATACTATGGACAACTTGGTTCCGCCTCCCACCTGTATACAGATTTGAAGCCAGAAAGCTCTCTGTATTTCCACGATTTTTCTTCATTTCCTGAAACCAGCATTGCGCAGTAGCGTTGTGCACATTTGGCGGGAGAGTCGCTGAGAGTCGCTGTGATGACGCTCGGGTGAGCTACGCAATCCCTGAACGCCAATAGACTGTATCAAGTGTCAATCATAGAAAACATGAACCCCCAAATAACTTTTAAAAACGGAGCCTAACAGAAAAAAAGAGGACTTGAGCACAAACCAGTCTTGCTGTAACTACATGTCAACATCGCAAGCAGTGGGGAGAAAAAATTATGTTCTGTGTAATAAATTTCTAAAGTTTGTCCACAGCTCCATCATTTTTGCTGGTGGAGGTGGAATTTATGACCTATACTGCAGCCCATCAACAGAGGGTGCTGAAGTGGCTTCACCCAGCGAGGAGGCAGACGGCGTCTATTCTATATACAGTCCATGCTTGAAACCAAGGATTATGGTGGTGTATAATAAAATAAAAGTGTAAAATATATTTTCTTCTGATCGTTACCAGTCGGGTTGCCCCCTGCTGGTCTCTAGAGAGAAGATTCTCTCGATTATTTTCTCTGAGGCAACATGTTAAGAATCTGTCGTTTAAATGTGTCACAAATTCCTGAAATTTCCTCAGAAAAAAAGCCTCACCTTCCTGGCTTGATACAGAATCAAGTTTACAACCCATCCTTTTTCGCTCCTCTTTTCTTAGAAACAGCCTGTCAAATAAGAGACTTTATGGTACACTTAACAATGGCTAAAAAGAAACTCTAGAGGCTGGCATTGATTTACAAACCCAGTTTGAAATGTGTTTTACTGCAAATGGTGCTACAGAACATTCTGATTGCACTCTGAGTGCCCTCGCAGATAGTCTTTCAAGTGCTTGGAGCCGTGTGCTGAGGCAGAGTTTGTGCTTATGTACGGAGCTTTTGTTAGTCACTTTACATGTACTGAGTCCTGTGCCATCATTATTCAATGATTCACACTGTGCAGCCAAAACACTCACTCTTATCTGTGAAGAGGCTGCAGAGACGCAGTCAGACAGCTCTGGGTGGGTGTACGGGTGGGGGACAGAGAGAGACTCTTGCTGTCTCTCCCTCACTCTTGTGGGAAATGGCTTTCCTCTCTTCCTCACAACATGAAGCCAGAGAGCATCCTGACTTCAAGAGCTTTAGATCCTGAATATTCACGCTGGTGGCATTTCACCGTGTGTAGGCGGTGAGGATTTGCAGAGATAGGAGAGAGTGTGTGAAGTATTGATCACTATTGCTGTTGTCCTTGTTTGCTCTATGTCTCACAGTGCCAGCTTACTCACAGAGCAAGACAGTGAAAGATTGAACACAGGGAGCAGGTTGGCGTTATAAAGCATCGTCACTCAGTGGGGATGAGCTGAACACAATTGGGATTAATTTAGAGTGATATGTTTAAAGACAACAAAAGGAGTGATGCATGCGACTCATGAAATGAGGCCACATAAATTGTGTTTTTTCTGTGCGTCACTTTAGGGAGCTACAGCTTTGCATGCCTGAGTTATATAACAAGATGTTTATATAGAAACTTTTATTTTTATTCTAGTGGCGTTAAGTTTCTCACTGAAATTGAAGTTCATCAGTTTATTGAGGAACATAAAAAAACGAATCTGAACTCCTCATAAGAATTAAAGTCTTTATTTTTTATTCAACAAGTCTAATGACCTCACATTGGAAGTCTCTTTTAGTCGACCACTGAGACCCAACCTACGAAAACCTAATTTGGGGATTTTTTTGAACATGTCCCTGATTTAATTGAAAGTCTAAGTTTGCAAATAAGTAGAAATTTGAAGTAGCAGATGGGCACTTTGGACAGATATCTTCACTGAAGCCTTGTTTTGTTGGATAATGAACTTGTTTCCAGAACTCTAATTTCATTTTTCCTTTTGAGTCACATGGTTAAATCAACAAGGAAAGATTTTGTAGAGGCAGATTTATTGACCTGCTTCATGCAGTATCTGTGGCAGAATAAAAGCCAAACTGATATTATCTGAAAACCTTTTTTTAAATTGAACTTTCTGTCTTTTTATCTCTGCCAAATTCACGATGTTGTTTCATTTTAAGATCCTCTCCAACAGCAATTTGGTTACAATATTCGCCTGAGAATATCATTGTTGATTAGCTGCCAGTTGTAAACTGGGATAGTTGTTGGCTCGAGGGTGTTTGTCTTGCTACAAGCCTCTATTCTTACATTAGCCCCAGCATTGGCTCATGAACTGTAATACCATAGTAGCCACAAATTCACTTATAAAACCATTTGTTGCAACTGTTCCTTTCCATTTATATTCCAACAGAAATTTATTTATACACATACAAAACCTTTATTTAAACAAAAGGAAATCACATAACACAACCTTTTTTTAGCAGAGTTCCACTGCTTAGTAAGACATATTTTTAGAGAAATTCAAAGAATTGAAAATTAAGGAGATTATTCATTAAATTAGACCAACCAAAGTTTTAAACACAGATAGATGATGGATGTTGTTGAGAAGACAACAATTTTTAGCCATTGTTGTGTAGTTTTGTGTTGCCTTTAAAGATTTGGCTTTCGATATATTACGCTCCTACTATATCCCACCAAAAGGTTACTATTTCTTATATTATGTGGGGTTCCCCAGGGATCCTTTGCTGGTTCCCTGTTTTTTTGAGTTTACATGTTGATGCAGGGTTGAAAAAACACATTCAGCTGTACAAAAGAAAGTGAAAATATTATTTTGATCAATAATATCATGTTTATTGGATGTTTGGTGATTAATATTGTAACTTTCTGCATCCTAATAAATCCGACTGACACTGGCCTGTCAGCTGTTATTAACAATTCCAGCTGTATTTCAGTTACAGTTGTATTGTCTCTGTGTAGTTAATGGAAACAGCCAAGATAAAGCCTTTCTAATGAAGTAGTAAAATGGTGATTTTTTTACTTGTAATGCATCAAATATTATATAATAGAGTCATGCAGAAAACCCTTAAGCATCTTTATCTGCTTCTTTTTACCAAGAGGTTTAACATAAGTTTTAAGTTTTCACTGAATGACTCAAATGTTTGTGTTTGTAGGGTCAAGCATCCCAGATGGTGAAGCTTCTGCATTACTGTCTCCATGGATATTACTACAATACTTATAATGAGGAGCATAAATTCTGCTGGCTTTAATGTGGCGAATTAGATATTCATATTAAAGCACAGACACTACAACAAGAAAAACATACCTTAATTATTAAACTCGAGCCCTCATGCCCATAACTGCCTCCTTTTAGAGTAATAATAATAACAATAATGCCATCATGCACCAGCTGTGTGCAAGTTGTCTTTTGAAAATGGGTAAACCTGACAGCTTCATCACGTCTAAATAGCAGAAAATTGAGCGTGTCAAACAAATACCTTTCGGCACAGAGGGTCCTTTACAGGTTGTGAAGTGTGAAGCAACACATTTTGTGTCTTTTATAATGGAGTACGGCTTGTATAATGCAAATCAATGTGTTGTATACATGGTGTTTACATTTTCAATCAAAGGAGGAATTTCATAACTTCCATTGACTTTTGACCCCTTCATCCTGTATGTTCAGAAGCTTGGACTGAACTAGATTTGAATTTAGTGAGTGGAGCTTGAAAAACGCTGGTTGGAGGATGAAAAAGAAGAGAGTGGTTGTTGTGTACAAATGGATTTGCATTGTTAGAATCTTAAATGTTAAAAAAAATTGACAAATGAGGGATCAAACAACAGGAGCTTCTTGTTATCAGAGGCCACCGTCGTTTCACACAAGAGTAAACAGGAGAGTGTTTCGTTCTAGCATGTGATGGATAGATATCACAATGCATTCACCTCTCTGTACACTGTATCTTTATGCAGCTTTGGTTCAGATAACCCTATCAGCGTATAAAACATCTGTGTTGAGTGTGTGTGATGTGTCAATTGAGCAACATTAGACATCCACTGTGGCTAATACACTTACTAGTGACATTTAACCCATACAGCTCTACTTCAAACATGCTTAAATATCCATTTAAGTCTTGCAAAAAGCTTGTTTACTGGATTAGACTGTGGCAAGAAATAATATTGCTCAACTTCCCAAATTCAATAGCTGTTTCCAGATTCAATAAGCACAGCTAACTTGTGATTTTATGTAACAAGTGACACAAATCAGAGACACTATTCATGGACAGAAATCTGACAGCAGCGACTGTTCGTTACCAACTGCTTTGCCTCACTCTGTCCCTGAGGACACAGCTGAACCTCACAGGAATCTTTGTGTATCTGTTTACCTCACTCACACACTACCTCTACTTGCTAAGGCTAGTTTGTTAAAAGTGCTCACTGTTTCTCTTGTGTTCTCTCCCTCCTTTTCTCCCCCACTGTCCCCGGGTTGTCCAGATGGAGGAGGTAATAGCCCGAATGCAGGATGAGAAAAATGGCATACCCATCCGAACAGTGAAAAGTTTCCTCACCAAGATCCCCAGTGTTTTTTCAGGTAAGCTTTTATTCCTCTCTGACTCTTTCTGTTTAGCCCTCCTCTTCTTGTCTCCTCTCTTCTCCACTTGGCTCCCACCCACTAAGTACCCGTTTAGTACTTCTTGCCAAACAAACACTGAAAGTATTTGGAGAGTCGTCCGCTCTCTGCATTTCACACCAGCTGTGGGAGAATGTCAGGAGGATTGTATTGGATTTCTGAGCAATGCAGCCTAATAGATAAAAATGTACGCTGTGGTGAAACTCCATAAGAGGTTAGTAAAGTTAAAGACCGCAGTCAAAAGCTAAGAGGAGTGAGGCTGACATCACTTTCATTTACACACACAGAAAGATAAAACCACATTGCATACTTTAACTTGATATAACTATGACAGTAACTCAATAAAGCCTATAAGAACTTATCAAAAATGCAGCTCGACAGTGCGTAATTGATTCTGTGGATTAATCAATTGGGCATAAAGATTGATGATGTAATGATTGGCCAGCTATACATTTGATATACATTTATGATTTCCCTGCAAGTTCTTCTTACTGGAAATTGTGCATAACCCTTATTTTGCATGCCAATGCCCCAGGGCTCAGAGACTTCCAGACACACCACTGGTCAACATCGCCGATAAGTAAGGCCTCACACTGTGCTTGTCACAACCACTGACAGGTCCAGGCTCTGCTGACATAGTGGCCAAGATGGGGCTCAGATTAAAAAAAAAAGGTTGGCAGTGGAAATCTATACATGGCCACAATGCATAGTTTAGCTGTATTTACATAATTGATATATTGATGGATGCTTTTGGCATCTGCGGGGCAGCTGATGAGGTTTTTTTTCCCCCTTTTTGATAGATAATGTTTAAATCCAAGCTACGTAAGCATAGATTTTTCTCTCTGACTTATCTTCATCTCACTCTGTACATTTGGTTCATGTTGCAAACATCCGTACTTGCTGTAGGAGCATGATAGAATAACAACAGATGGCTTGTACTTGTGGCTCTGTTTTTGCTCCTATTTCCTGGAAACAGTACATGCAAACATATTACTGAAGTGCTGTCTTCATCACCACTTTTACAAGACAAAAAAAAAAAGAATTTTGTCATAACTTCCCTAAAAACTACCATAGTCACAAACTGCGTTATAAAAAGTAAAAGTGATGCCAATGTGTAATTTTGTCATGTCGACCAGAACTTTCTAAAAATGTCCCTCAAACATGACTTCACTCTATCATTACACTTTTCCCATGCATAGCAGTTTTTAGAGATACAGTCCCCCTGTAGCCTCCCCTCTGTGAACACCACAACTATTGTGTTCAGTGGACAACTCAGCTATAAACACTAACAGTCTCAGACAAAGACTATGTAGCTGTAGTGCATCACTCCTCCACACCACTTAAACACTCAATTTTTCACAGAATGCATCGATTTATTTACCTTACTTTTTCCCCTCACTTCTTCATTTAGTTCACTTTTACAGTAAAAGCATTCGCTCTTAATTGATTTTATGGCAGGGTCTTAATAGATCCAATACTGGTTTGTCATAATAACTTTTGCAAATGTTGTTCCTTTTTTAACTGCTGAGCTAAGCTGAGTGCAGCAATTTTATCTGTTATGAATTGTTAACTATATAACCATTTTCAATTTATTTGGAGAGCATGAAACTGAAGATTTGTGGGTAATGGCTGCAGATAAATCTGTAACCAGTACTCTGGTTGAGGGGGGATAAGGGGGAATGAGGGGAATACACACAAGGAGGTGTACTTGGGTATATAAACTGTAAAGTAAGCTGTCAAGGTAGTGAACATTATATTTTCGGGACAGCAAATATTCTGAATCAGAGGGCTATTGTTTTTTTTCAGCTTTTCTTAATAGCCTGAATGAAATCAATAAAGGCACCTGCTTTTGAATCCATCCAATAGTAAGGAAAACTTGGATTATTAAGCCTTGTAATGTACTTTCAACCGCCTTCCATTGGGGTATGCATCAAGGCAGGGGTGCATCCTACGACAAACATTTCCCTCCCCACCAGCGTCGCTAATTCCCCACTAAACAGCGCTACTTTTCCTTCTCCTTTCTCTGTTGGATCGGGTAACCAAGGGTTCACCAAGGGTGGTGAAGTAGCGCTGGTGACGCTTTTGGGATTTTAGTATCATGGCCGAGCGACATGGACAGCTCAATCTGAGGGATAATGCGATAAAATAATTATCTTTGTGCTTTAGCAACAATAAAACGGGTACACAGTTGGTTTCCAACCATGTGCACTGTTAGCAGATCAAAATATCTGTCCCAAACAATAAAATCCACCATCCCCCCTGATTTTATTTCACAACACAACTACTGTCTGTAACTGTGCAGACATTAGCCAGGGATGTCAGAACACCCAACTATCTGAGTGAAAGAGATGTGGACTAAATTGAAGTAACCAGCCAACACCTTATTGTTATTATTATTATTATTTTTGTTATAGGTTAAATTTAAATGTTACTGTTTGAATCTTAGTGTTGCAGTTTACCACTGCTTAAATTAAGTGTGACAGGTCGGCGTATTTAGCTTAAAGCAGCAGTGTGTAACACAAACATTATAAAAGGAAAAACCCTCTGCCTCTCCCTCTACTTATTTGTATTACTTTACCAAGCCACTCTAATCAAAATGATGCACCATATATGTGCACACTGTTTGCTGGGCTTTGGCTGGTGCTGAATACCAAGACATCCAGCCGCCCACAGCAAAGAGGTAACCATTGTGCTCGCTATAACTGGATGTAGAGACATTGTATAGGGCTGGGCGATATGCCACAAAATTAAACACCAATCCTACAAACGACAAATACAAAGGATTCATAACAAGCTTGACCTTCAGCACAATAATCTGAATTCACTAATTAAACTGATTTATGTCCCATCCCAAACAGCAAAATGTCAAAATCACTTTCGGTGAGATTTGATGAGCATCAGTGCTGACAGTTAATCAATATAAATCTAGAGGACGCTTAACTGAAGCCACTGCTGCACAGCCACCGTCATGTTGCGCAAAATCACATAGAAGTTACACAGTGCCATTTCATATGAAGACCAAGTGGTGGGCTGGTTTTGTGCAAGCTAACCTTTATTCGTTGTTTGATTCAGACTGCATGAGTTCAGTAAATTAAATACAAAGGCATCAGAAGTCATAGACCAGACATCAGGTGCGATTTCACTGTACTACTGTAAATCACCTGCAAGAACAAAATCTGTTATCCTCACCAAATTATCATGAAATAATGTAAGCTTGACCTCAGTGAAAGTTAATTACTTTTTGACATGACCAAAGTACTGTTCAGAGTGCTACTAGAGCATCTTAATAGCTTAAATACACTCTTGACAAAACTGCAAAGAAGTGTAAAAAGTTATCACATTTTAATCTGCAAAAGAAACCAGATAATTCAGATCTTCTGCTTTTATCAATTAACAAATCCACTGTTTTTGGGAAGAGTATCTGCAGTTTCACTGTGTCTTTATTTTTAACCCTAACGTTTTCCTTTCAAAATAAAAGCCCTGGCCTGTTTAATGGTGATATACTGAAAATATTCACTCTGAGATATTATTCAGGTCATTTACACTTGCATTTGCCGTTATTCTTAATGTTTAAGCTCATCTTCCTATTTATAATTTAGTCACACCCTGATGTACATGCGTACACTGACTAACACACATTCCTATGTGGCGTCTAATCTATGGGTATGATAATAATCAATTCAGTGAACAGCCTTGTCAGAGGATTACCTTACACGTCTCATTTAAGCTTGCTCTTAGAAAGTGGGTCAACTCTGATAATTTGAAAATGGGGTTGTATTAATGATGTTAATCCACAGAAAATCTCATCTGGTTATGAGGGTGTGGAGACGGCAGCGGGTGCAGAGGAAAAGAAACAGACGAAACACAGATAGACAGACAGACAGCTTGATGGGCAGATAGACAGCCACAGGGACTGACTCTCTCACTGCATGAATTCCCTCATGTCTCCATTTCACACCTTTCTCTGCCTTTTGTGGCTCTCGTCTCCTCAGCACACCTTCACCTGTCAGCATGACAGCCAGTAATAATAGCTTGGAAAATACAGTATATATTTAGCACAAGTGCCAGAGTCACATGTTGTGTTGAGGTGTGAAAACTCCCAGGGAAAAGGGGGTGGGGTGGGGTGGGGACTTAGGGGATTGTCTGTAAGAGGTGAGAAAATGATTAATCTGCAAAAATTTGATCTCAATACCACAAAAATGCAAATGTTGAACACAAGCGTCCACATTGCTTTAAAATTGTATAAAGACTTGAAAAGAAAAATTTACATATATATATTGTACATAGATGGATATTGTTGGAGCCTTGTCTTTTATTCAGTTTGCAGTATTATTCTCTCCTCTCCTCTTATTGTGACCCTTGAACTTCTTTGATTTTGTTTCAGGCGGGAGAAAATATGATGCATTAACTTATTAAAGGACACAATCACAACTGGGATACCTGCGCCGTGACTGAGTCAGACAAAATGTGTTGTAACTGTACACAATAGATGCTTCATTATGCCATTGTCCCTCTCTGGTCATTCATATTAATGGACTACAGCTTGGAGAGGGTGTCAGAAAAGAAAATTTGGTAATGGATGGCCTATTACCCACCCACATGGTGCAACGCAAAAGGAATTGATATGCAATGCGATGATGACTGGAGGTGGGCTGGGTTAAGAGTGTCATTGTTTTCCCTTTCATTTGCATTTATATGCATAAAGGTGTTCCAGCACACGGTGAATACATTAGATACGTCAGTGATTAATATTTATGTGCTTTCTCTTCTCTCAGGTTCTGAGATCGTACAGTGGATGATCAAGAATCTGGACATTGAAGATCAAGGTAAAAAGGCTGCTTCGTTTTGATCAAGAGGAGACCTTTTTTTAACAGACATACAAAACGAGTTGTTGATTATTGAAGTCTGGCTGCTCATTTGTTTCCTCAACATCATAGTCGTCAGTTGAAGCTGCAGAAATAGACATGACACACAGCTCGTAGAGGCAGCCTACTTTGGAACAGAGAGTGCAATTTGCATCACAGTAAGCACACTGTACACGTTCTTCACACCATTCAGGCATATCATTACCTCAGATGTCCATCCTCTATGATAATAAAAAAAAAAACACAGAACTCGGCTGAAAATATTATTGAGTATGCAGTTTTTCCAGTGTCAAACAAACCCGGTGATGAATGTTCCTCATGCCTCAGGAAACATTTCAAACAGAGGATCCAGCATGCTTTGAATTGTGTCTCACTTTGACAAAATATAAACTAAAATAGGCAACACATGAGGCCTGTATTAATACACAGAATTTGCAGTAATTAAGGTGACTATGAGGTTGACGTCTTATTTTCAGTACTACAAAGATAGATAAAAGTATGGTATAAAAGATGGTCTTCAGAAAATCACCACACACTGACCAATCAGATCCTTTAATCATAGAGTTCTGTGCTGATTGAGAGAGGGGAGGAAGTAGAGACGTGTGCAGGACACTTTGTCTATCTGTGTGATGTAACATATGGGGGAAAAATGATGAAAGTTAAAAACTCAGCATTTCTAATATCATCTTTCACAAGAGACTTCATAGGTGAGTGCACCAGCTGGGTCAATCATATTTCTTATATTGGGCTTCACTAACACGGACCTTTTGACCTGAACTTACGCCAAGTTCACCAGGCCTGACTAACACCAGTCATAGCTGCACTCAGTCTTACCACTGACATGAACATTTGCAGAGCGGTGAATGTAACTCACTTCCTTTTTCTCTGCTCTTCTCTTCTCTTCTCCTTTCTTCTCTTCTCTTCTTTGCTGTGAACAAAACAAGCAAACAGAGACATTGAACAGGGATACTGGAAAGCTCTGTATCCAATACTTTCATCATAAAGCAGCATATCGACGTGTTTGGAGGGAAGACAGAGCTGACAGCCTCTTTTACATTATACCTGAGAGCCATAAGTACCTGCAGGGCAGGAGAAACTCTGTGTTTCTATCCCGTATAAACAGTAGTTAAAAGAAGAGCTCTTTATAGACTTATACTAGACTAAAATAAGCCTCAAAGGAGCTCACTATCTAAGTCGAGTCAGATCATTGATTGCTCTCTCTCAACTTGAAGCCCTACAACCTTTCATCCTGTAAACAAGGAAAAAACAGGGTTTGAGTCTAACTGATACACAGGGCTTCACTTTAAACTCTTAAAAAAACATAAGGTTACACATAAGGTTACACCCAGATTTGTGTGTAGCTGGTAATGTGTTTAAAATATATTAGGCTGAAGCTGAAGCATTATGTCTACAACAGTCAGACACACCACAGGAATATATAAAAGCAATTGATTACTATAAAGGGATAAACAGGGAGTATTATGGATCAGTCTTACACTTATGATCATTTCAGGCCTAATTTGTGGATCATCTTTTAGCTTCATTTTGCAAATCCATGTTGATTTCCCTTTTTTTCTAACACTGCAGTTTGTTCTGAGTTTATAAAACATGACAATCTGCTTTCTAAAGGCTTGTTCGTGTTTAGGATTGTGATATGTTGCCAACTCCTCCCTGTTTCGGTTACTCTGGGCGACTTTGAATAACAAGCTTCACTTTGCAGATTCTCCTCTCTGAGAGTTAGTGAAGCCAGACAACCAAAACCTACATGAGGTGTGTTGACCTTGCATTGTAGTGTAGGCCTGTATGCACGTCCCTAAAGAGGGAGGCTGTAGTGCTCTGAGCCCGTCCTCAACAACACTGAGTTTACTGGAGGGCTGCACTCTAAGAGATTGCTGTTTTATCGTATGATGAGAGGATACGTGGATGTTGCTCTCCCTTTCTTTAAATGTATTCATTAGTAAGTACTTAAAAGAGGAACACCTGTGCCTTTGAGGAACTTGCATGTACTATTACTTTATTGAACAAAAGTCCTCAGCTCTTGTTTTTTCTTTGAGCTGTCTATTATGTCCTTGAGCTTCAGTAACCACTGCTATTCTTTCCCATTCTTCCTTTTTTTCTCACTCATTACTCTTTTATTTATTCCAAAGTGATTAAAGTAGAACTTTGATGTCTTAAGGGAGAAGCCAGATCATTTGTTGAGCCCCTTGTTGTGTAAAAATGACTCAAAAGTGGGCTGGTTGAACTGTGGTAACTATGAAAACACATCAGTTATGGATGGTTATAGAGAAATGTAGCCAGCAGTGTGAATCTTCTCAGAGATTTGTGTATACAGTAGGTGTGTTTACCCGGATTGTTTATGTGTGTGGGTGTTTATTCCAGTGTTTGTCTACTCTAATGTGTGCCTCAGGACTGTACAGCTTGTTCATTGTTTTGACACTAAGCTGACTCATGAGTTCACAAGTCCTCTGTGTGTTATTTCATTATAAATTCAAGGATCTGCTCCTCTCTCCTATGCTTGTCAATTTTACATGTTCACTTCATGTTCTGGATCGGGGTGCTGCCTCTGTGGGATATTTGGAAAATACTAAGAAAGCAGTGAAATCGTGGATAAACTCTGCAGTGTTTAGTATTTCTTCCACTTTTTGCGGGTCAGACAGAATGTTACAGCGCTTACGTTTCGCCTATTTAAATGTGCCCAAGAGATTATGCTTTCCCACAGCCTCAGACTGCATTGTGATAAATAATGTAACGGTATACTGATGCCTCTTGCTTTAAAAATAAATACGTTTAAAAATAACTGAAATCACAGGTAATCAGTTGACTGCAGAGAACTTCTGCTTCCAGTAACTTCTGCTTGCTGTGCTATACTTGGCCTAAAATGCTTGTTTTGCTGCTCTGTACTAAGGACGGGTAAAAAAAAAAACACATCATCATTACCCCAAGCACAAAAACATCCAAAGTGTTAAATTTTATGTCGCCTGCAATTTCTGCAATGATCTTCCATAGTGTTGCTCTCCGTGAAAATAGTCAAAACTGCACATTCATACCAGTGAGGAGTCTGAAAACACGTGTAAACAGGCAGATGTTCTCGATCCTTTAGGGCTACATTTTTAGTTTGCTCACTTGTTTTTCGAAACAGGCACAACCTGTGCATAAACGCCCCGTGGTGGTGAAAAGAGTGTTGGGAGAAAAACTATAAGACTTCCACACAGAGCAGCTCCTGGCGGTGCTGTCAAACACATTATAGTGAAATACCACTAATTTGGCTCACAGCAGGACAGCAGCATGTTTATTATGTTTAGGTGGATGAGCTTACATCAGAACTGCAGAGGATTTTGAGTGTTATTTGCTAAATTAATGCCACAAATTACTCAATGATGCACTCAAGATGAACTCATTATCTTCTCAAAGTCCCCATTCGATACAACATTCGATCAGCCAATCCAGATCTAAGGCTTCAAAGTTATGCTTGAATGTTTTAAATGGCTTTTGGGACATTTTAGCTGAAGTTTAGTGTTTTAGCTCTTTGAAATAATACTTTCATTATAATTATACCTATTACTGACTTTGACATTTTCATAAAATGTGCTTCAGAGGCATGAGGGAATAAACTGCTCCCTTCATTTAGGGTTTCTGTTCTATTATGAAGGGCAGACATCTTTCAGTTTAATTCAACTCAAAAGAACTTTATATTTTCCTTGGGGGATTGGTAACAGATACAAGATAAATGTGAAACTTATCCATAACTTATCCTTACAAGACTTTAATCATAACCTTTTTATAGTCTTAGTCTTGTAAAATTTAAGTTTATAAGTGGTCTCTAAATTAGCAACAATAATCAATAGAAGTGAAAATTATTTTTTTTAGAAAAGCCTCATGGTATATCAATACTGATCTTAAATTCCCTGCAAATGTGTTACAAGCTCATAATACAGTGTCTATTTATCTTTCAATAACCCTTATAGAGTCTTATTACTGTTACTACACCTCCTATAGATGACTCTTATATAAACTGTTAAGTTTCTAGTGAGAGCATCTGAGCGTCCGTCTGCAACAATGAATGTGCTTCTTATGTTTTGTTAACTCTCATAAATGTTTATAAGCCCCATATAAGGTCTCATAAATTGTTTTATTAACTTTCAATCACTGCTTATTTCAAGGGACTCAACATAGACTGCTACCAAACTGTTTTATAACAACACCCTTAATACATATATACTGAATATGCAAACAGTTAGACAAAGCAAGTCAAAGAGCATTGATTGATAAAATAATATTATTTCTTTCTGTGGAAAATCAGCAGCAATAAAAACATTAAAGATGACATCAACCACAACGGGACATCATCAAAAAGACTCACCGTCAAGCTGTGAGTGTGTATGCATTTGTGTTATTAAATGCGTGAATTGCACATAAAAAACATCTAATCTGATCAGTTGAGCACCAGGGGACAGTAAAGTGATCACTGGAGGAGGTCATGTGACTCATCAGAGCAGCATGGAGAGGCTGCATGCTGCTCTGTATAATCCCTCTGATGGCCTTCTCCTCAAACTTTTCTCCTCATCAGACTCAAGAGGCACTCTCAGAGTGAAGCACTAAGATGATCTTTTTCAGTCTCCTGAGATCACCTCTTTCTGCACCGCCATCCCGGCATGTTGAAAAGCTTGAAACTTTCTAACTTGTAAAGTAAGGGTGTTTGAAATATTCTAGGCATCTTTCCTGAGTCTCAGTTGCACAAGTATATTATCAAAGCAAAATGCTCAACAAAGCTCAACACACTCCTGCAGAAAAATGAGACCAAGACGACTTATGTCTCAATCTTTATCATCGGGCTTGTTTCTAGTGATCTTGTTTGCTTGTGCAGTTCATAAAAAGCATCACTGTTTTTTTCATTCTGCTTCTTCACCAGAAAACTCCCCTGTTGAGCTTTAACCTTTGCTTTGAGTAAGATATATTTGGATTATTTGTCTCTTTGCTCCTCTTAAAATGACTGAAAGAAACCACCTGAGAAGTTCAGCGAGGGGAATGAGTTGTAAAAAAACTGCAAATTAGAAAGTTTAGTAAAATTTAGAGGAACTCCAGATGGACTCTGATTTTTTCTTTTTCTTTTACTATAATACAATTAATTATGATTCTTTTAACCTTACAGGTTTTATATAAAATCAAGAACAAGATTTTGTCCAAACACAGTTGCAAGTTGTAGTTAAAGCGAATACAAAGTACTTCAAGGTTAAACTTGGCAAATCCTTTGTGGGCATTTCCAATTGATTTTAAACAGGGCTTCTTCTTATGTAACAGCATTTAGAGTATAGAGCAAACATCCATCAAACAGAACTACAAATAGAGAATCTCTGCCCTTTTGCCTTCAGATGAAGCTCAGCTAGAGTCATACTCTCACACTCCATTTGGCAGGGCTCCAGTCTGCTGAGTTTTTGGCACCGAGTTGGTAATATGAATAAAATCAAAGGGTGTTCTCCCCCCAGACACCGTCGCTGGCCTTTCTTGACAACTTCACTAATTCTAGTCCAAGGCTGATTCAGCTATAAAGCTTATAGAAAAATGTATGGTAAAAAGGACACCAGAGGAAACCCCTTGTTACAACAGAACTGATCTTTGTAGACTCTAAAAACAACGAAACAATTTTTAGTTCATTTTGAAGGTTATTGTTTTATCAACCACATCAAATGCTTTAGGCAAAATAAGAAACATCAACTGTCTGTACAAAATTCTGACTTGAGCCTGAGATGCATGGGCCACTTAATTTAAAATAACTGGGTATGTAAAGCAGAGACAGAAGGATTATTTAAGGGGTTTAGAGAAACTGTTCAGTAACTGTGCTCACTGATGACATTCAACATCCGACCTTAAAATGGCATCTGGAAAAACCCTCAGCTTCACTTCAACACAGCAAAGAGGCTGAAAAAGTCATCACATAAACAGACACTCAGCTCTAGATTGAATTATAGGCGACAGGAAAACTCAACTGCACTGTCCGCCTATATGTCACTTTTCATACTTTGCTGCCTTCACTTTTGTCTGACATTCATCCCTGCTGAGATAATGCAGAATGTGAAAAGTTATCACAGATTATAAATAAAATGGGGTTTGTGTGAGGGGATTTTGTGGCCAGATGACAGGAGTTAACCCAGTCTGTCCTTGTAGCTCTCTCATTAGAATTAATTCTCTGATTTAATAACAAAATAGGATGTAAAGTAAATTATGTATAAATTCTGCTGCCAGGAGCAGCGCAGTGGTTAAAGAGGAAGGGGTGTGTTTATAAGTAAACAGGTCTAAATAACTTATGAGCCATCATTAATTAATGAATCCCAGGGACACATAGGCGCACACACACACACACACACACACACACACACACACACACACACACACACACACACACACACACACACACACACGCTTACACATGATCATCCTGACTCTCCCAAGCTGTGACAGTCACCTCAGAGGTAGAGGGAAAGCTGATCTATATTTATCTCACACACACATGGATAAGAATATGTGTGTGCATATACGTGTGCGTGTGTGTGTGTGTGTGTGTGTGTGTGTGTGTGTGTGTGTGTGTGTGAACTAAAGAGCATGTTTTATGCATGCATACAGTAATCTGCTGCTGTTGCATTACTCTGCCTATTTGAAATATGTCAGGGGTTTTAACCTTTGCATGTGTTAACCTATTAGTCAATATCAGAGATTGGTATCCAGCATCCTTTTGTATTTACTCTTTGTAGTTAACAATAATCAGATTTCCTGTCAGGAAAAAAAAAAAAAAACAGTTTCTGATGTTTATGACATCCAATAACCAATAATCGGTTGACCTCTAGTTCTACTTGTTGTGGTTTACCGGGACTCTCTGTGCTGTAATTTAATATTGACACATGTTCAGTTACAGACTAGCTAGTTTAATATGATCTGAAATTGATTTGATTTGATTTATTTGGATCCCCATTAGCCATGGCAATGCCAAAGCTACTCATTCTGAGGTCCATCAAATACCTAACAATGCATCAATGCAGAACAACATATCACATACAATACAGTCCTTGTTCAAATACAAAGCAAACACAACAGATACACAAACCAACAACACATAAACAACACAAGACAGCTCCTGGTCGGCAGCACCACACAAAGCTGTATCACGTCATATCAATCCAAACAGAGCCCAACTGTATTGTATCGTATCATATCATATCATATAGTATTGTTCCGTATCGTGTGGTATCGTGTCGTATCGTGTTGTATCGTGTCGTATTGTATCGTATCGTATCGTATCGCCTTGACAGGATCACAATAAATCGCTTAGATGAAAGACACCAAGCTGTTACTGGAGAGCAAAAGCAGCAACGATTCAGGCACAAGCTGACTCAATGTGCCTACTCTAATAAAGCACATCACTTCAGTTTAGAAACTTGTAGTCCAAGGTTTAGAAACATTTACGAAAATTTTCAGAGCAACTTTGGTCACGTAAGGGTGGTAATATATAGTAAGTGAAACTGTTGCCTTTTTTTCAGTTGCTAAATATCTTGCGATCACTTTCATTACAGGAGTATTGCATTGTGAGTGCTAACATGATCACTGCATGATCTGATGTATGGCATTTTGTTAACTCGCTGTCTTTTAGTTTTTGGAGAATATTTCTCCTACTATTTGCTGAGAGAAGCTCCAAATCCTCTCAGAATGCTCCTCGATTGTCCCAAAAGTTTTTCATCTTGGAAGGTTGAAGGGCTGAGATTTTACAAGGATCTTGTCTTAACTTTGAAGAGAAAATGTAATGATTCTAAGAATTCCCTTGAATTTAATCACCAGGAGCCTTGGTTTGCAGGGTTGAGTAGAAAGCTGTGTAGAGGGTTATTATTGGGGTGGAGGGATCAAAGCTGCGCCCCGGGGCTTAACTGAGGGCAGCCACTGAGATGGAAGCCTCTGGTCAGCTGACTGGCAAAAGTTTTAGGAAGCAGCAGGTTGTTTTTCAAAAAAGAGAAGATGCCACAGAAAGGTAAACATCTCCCTGTCACAACTTTTTTGAAGCATGTAGCTGGTAGCAATTTTCAAAATGAGCATAACATTTACATCTCAACATTTGTTATTTTGTCTTTGCAGCGTTTTCAGATAACAGCAGAGTCTGAATAGTTATCAAACCATCTGATTCTGTTCACATCTACATTTTATGATGCATCCCAACGTTTCTAGAATTAGGGTCGTTCAAATTATCAGCTGAATTTAAAGATGAGCGATGGATGTTGACACCTTGAATGGCTTACAGGCTGAAAGCAGCAGGGAGTCAGTGGTGGCAGATGAGACACACTTTAATGATGATTACATGTTTTCATTATCTGATGGTTTTAAATCAAGCACAGCCAACCGTGTGCTGCAGAGCGCTGGAGGGAAACAGATTTTGTCTCCAACTAAGCACAACACCAGGTGATTTGGTTGATGAGTTCTGCCTCTGTGGATGAAGGTGGGCCAATCAGCAGGACCCCCTGCTGTTCTGTTTGGTTGTGGCAAAGAGCTGCCTTTCCTTCTGTCAAGCAGTGTCAGAGTCTATTAGAGCTGCAGCTCCTGATTCAGGCTCCCGGTGTTTAATTCTGGCCACTCTGTCGAGGATGAATTTCTGCCGCGGGATTAAAGGTGAATAAAGTTAATTAGCTGGTGGGACAGAAAAAGCATGCTGGCTAAGGATCTGGAAATGGAACTACTGATTGGGGCATAATCAGAAAATCTTCTTTTAATGAAAAAGTGGCCGCCCAAAACAGGTTTATCTTTTAGTGCCTAATGAACCGAGTAAAGGCTGTTTACAAAGAGTATAAACTAGAATTTTTGTTAAGGAAAGATCTTGTCTTTGGGATCCCGAGGGGTAAGTTTGGCATAATAAAAAAATGCTTATAGGAAGCCTATAGCACAGACACTTAAAACTCAGTAAGAGCTGACCGTAAAGAGTAAAAATGTCATAAAATGTGGCATTAAGACCTTTAAAACTCATACCACCTATATACCTTGTTTAATATCTCGTAAAAGGTTAAACGTTGAGTATTTCTCAGCTCTGAACACCCAAAAGGCAGCAGAAACCTCAGGAATCTACTAACACTGATCAAGAAAAAGCCTTTTTCTTTTTCTTTGGTCAATCTACTGTACACATTCAAAATATGCCAGGTTAAAACAAGGTTATCACCTCCAAATGCTTGTTACACAGCTTCTTACATCATATTTTTTATAGTTTGTAAGATTGTTTTGTTGGAGATTGACACCACATAAAATCAAAGCCTCTGATTTATTGTCTGTGAAGAAATCAGTGTCTGTTTTAGTCCTTGTGGAGGAAGGTATCTGTTCAACAGCAGATATACCGATCATTATTGTACTCCTCTGTATATCTCACTTTACGGGAAAAATATTCTAACACATTTTTGTGGGAAGAAAAAGTTTCTATATCCAGAGAAAACACACTAAATATCTGCAAGATAGTTGACAATGTTGTTACCTTAAACTTATGGAACAATCAAAGCTGCTCTCTGTTAGGGAGTCAAACGTTCCTGCCCACCATCTTTTTATGTAACACAATGCTGATATACTGTATGTGTGAAAACTTCATATAGATGAATGTGCCAGTCCACATTATAACTGTGAACACCAAAGGAAAATCAAGAGTTTCTTATTTATATCCTGTTGTTCTCTTGTCTGTCTTTCTCCAGTGGAGGCTCTTCACTTAGGGACTCTGATGGCTGCACACGGTTACTTCTTCCCCATCTCGGACCATGTCCTAACCCTCAAAGACGATGGCACTTTCTATAGGTTTCAGGTAAAAATAGTCACACTTTCATTATTCTACCTAAGTCTTCTTAGCAACTCTTTTCTGCTCAAAAATCCCTTTATCTCCATACTTGGATCGACAGTTTTCGTGATTTGTTAGTGCACCCCCAAAGTGTGCTGCACACAGCTAACCCGACTAAATCAATGTCTGAGGCTCTGTGTGTGTGTATCAGTAGCAGTCTTCACTTTACTCTTTACCTGTAATCACTTTTCATTTGAAGCAAGTCCACACTACGGTGCCTGTGGAGGGTCAAGATTCATGCTGATGTCTGCTCTCACGCTCGCTGAAAGGAGATTATGTGCTTTAGACTTCCTGCTGAGCCCATTACACAACAAAATGTTTTATTGTAACAGATGCAGCGCTGGGACTGCATACCCACTTCTCACGACAGCGCACACTTTGACTCAAAACACCAACTATGTGATCAAATATTCTGAATCTTCTTTTGGTTTTGGTTTCTTCATGAAGTTTTTTTTTTCCCTACCAGACTCCATATTTTTGGCCATCAAACTGCTGGGAACCAGAAAACACAGACTATGGTAAGAGAGCTACTCTGTTTTTGTATAATTTAAGTCCCACTTTATGTATTCATTTTGCAACATTTTCCAAAGACACTAATGATGTTTGTGCAGTACATTAATTTAATGAGTCCACTGAATACATTACTGCAGCTAATTTTTACAGTGTTAAAACAGAAATAATGCAACAACAGTATGAAGACATTAAACCACTCTTTCTCTTGCTGTGTGGGTGCAGTACAGTTCGCCTCCAAACTTCTACTTCATAAATGTGCATTTTCAAATATACTCCCCTCTTCAGACTAACTGAAGTGTGAAGTAACTGAGCACCAACACTTTTGTCACTGCACTAAGAGTCTGTATGTTCTGTGTCCATGCAACACGTCCAGTACAGTTGTTTTCTATCAAGAAAATAGAGTGTTGAAACTTTCTTCAATTCAACTAATCAACAAGGTACAAATGGACCCATCTTCAGTGGTGTAAAGCTATGCTCCAGACAGGTCTCTTGATGACAGGGCCACACAAAACCGCATTTCTTCTGGGTAAAACACTCACAATTTACAAGTGTCTTATATAACCTACTTAAACGCATCCCCATAAGTAGAGTTTTCAAGTGTCTGTACTTCGTTGAAGTATTTATATTCCTAGAGTGTTTTCATTTTTACAATCTGTATTGTTCAAATGAGTTCAAGAAGAGTCAGTTGACTTTGGTTATGTATAATTAAGTGTCATCTTCCAGGGGTGTGTCCTTGGACATCCTTAAACCTAATTGGCCACTTTATTTAACACTTCAAAATGCTTAACTTTGATTGGCTGTTTGCCTCGCCTTATATTGAAACCATCTGGGTTGTGTAGCAACAGGCTTTCAACCTTTTTCATATGGTGACTTTGAATAAGAAGATTTTAATTTAGATGAATCTGCTGTGCAACTTTTTTTTAAATCTAAGAAATGCACAATAAGTAGAGAGAGAAAGGGTAGATAAATTCTATACATTCTTGTAAGTGCATGCATACCTTACTCAGCATTTGGTCCCCTAACCCCGTCAAAAAAAGGTGGATCTGTACTGCCTCCTTGGGATTGGGAAATGTTTGCACCTCAATAAATGGAGCATAAACACTTAATAAAAATAACTCATTAGGGTAACCATTAATGCGCTTTTAAGCAGGACAGACTTAACACACAAAAATTACAAAAAGTAAAAACCAAAAAGTCAATAAGTTGGAAACTTGGCAGACAATGTGAGGGAAGTCATGCGTCTTAGTGACAGGGATAGCCAGCATTTCAGACTGTGAGGCATCCTTGTCTTACTGATTTGAAAATGTGGAGTGTATCATTTTACATTTTAACATTTTAAGAATATTTGGTAACACTTAATTTGACACCTATCTCTATAACGCATTATAAATACATTTATAATGCCTAATAATCACGTCATAGCACTATATAACTATAGTTATAAACACTCAAATGATCAAAGTGCTTTATAGCAATAATTATAATGACACACTAAATAGCATTTTATCATGACTTGCACGGTCAGGTATTATAATGTGCTATAGCTGTCAACAACAGTTGCATTGCATTATCCATGTGGGCATTGTCAGTGAGTTATTAAGAGTTATAACACATTATAATACCTGACCTTGTAAGTCATGATATAATGCTTTATAATATGTTATGATTATCGCTATAAAGCATTATGATCATTTATGAGTGTTTATAACTATAGTTATGCAGTGCTATAACGTGATTATAATGCATTATACATTATTTGTAATGCGTTATAGAGACAGGCGTCAAAAAAAGTGTTACAGAATATTGTATTCAATCTTGGTAAAAAAATATGATGTTAGGTTAAGTTAGATTACCCCCAAACAGCCTATGAATTTGTCCTGCAGAGGCTGATTTTCTACTGTATGTGTCACATAGACCTTCAGATATTTACTGTAATCTTTGAAGAAGTAAATATGCACTCCCGCTTTTTCAAAACCTATTTTTCTGTCCATCTTCTGTCACACGCAAACTCTCACCCTCTCCACTGACTCATACAGACTGACAGCATCCAGGGATCCATTTGTATGTGTGCATGTGTTTCTGATGGGTTTGATAGCATTGCTCGGATGAGATTTTGATTGTTGTACAGAGGACTGGAGAAATGACAAACATTTCGTAATGCTGAAAATGGTCTGGCTGAACAGCCGCAGCCTTGCGGGCCTTTCATTTGTTGTTTGAGTTGTAGGAGAGGGAACAAAATAATGTTCCCTGTGGGAATAATCCTGCCAGCGTTAGAGGGAGTTTAAGTATCTCAGATGTAGCAACTGATTCACGTGAATGATGCCTCGTAATGAAAACAGTCTAATGGCATAATGAAGCCTGCACATAATGGTCAGTTTAGGAAGGAATAGAGGGATGATGATAGCAGAGGAAGACATTAGAAATCAGGCTCTCACACACACATGCAAACAAACACACGAATACACACTAGTACAGGCACTCAGATACTATCCACAGTCAATGACCTTTGTGATTTGCAGGCTGGTTTAAATGTGCACTTGAGAGGATTAAATGAGTGAACACAGGGCCACTCAGGGCTGTTAAAACCAAGCTGAGATCCAGTACTCCCTCCATAACCAACCTCTCTTCCCTTGCCGTCTCTCTGTTTTCCAGCTGTTTACCTCTGCAAAAGAACAATGCAAAATAAAGCACGTCTGGAGCTGGCGGACTATGAAGCGGTAAGTGAAAGAGGTATTTTAGTGTCAGCTCTGCTCTTGTCACAGATCTGTTTTTGTTTCTGCATCACTCTCAAGCTTCATCTGTTGCCTTTTTCCTTCAAACTGAACTGAGAACATTTGTTTTTCTGTTTGCCGCTGGAGCGCTTATCACGGATCCTATTAACAGAATCTCTGTGTCAGTTTAACTTCCTGTCCCATCGTTATTTAAACAGAGATCATAAACGATGGTATCTATTTTGTGAAGTTGAAATGATGATCCCTAATCCTCAAAACCTTTGCTAATCTGTTATTTTGTGTTTGCTCTGTTTACAGGAGAGCTTAGCGAGGCTACAGAGAGCTTTTGCCAGAAAGTGGGAGTTCATTTTTATGCAAGCAGAAGCACAAGCAAAGTAAGTCTCTGTAAAAATGCTCATAACTTTGGCAATTGGGCGAGTCTTTTTGAGATGATCATAGGATGATTAAAGAAAAAGTAAGCAACATGGACACTCCAATGGAAAAAAAGAACAAAAAGACTGTCTGCCTGTATCACTCTGCTAAGCCCCTCACACGAACCATTGTCATGCATACCATCTGTTTCACTCAGCTGGTTTTCAGACTCAGGGGGCTGACACATTGAAAAACATCTGATCAATATATCTCTTGAAACGTTATAAAAGTAGCAACAAGGAGGGCCCTAGAGCTCTCAGCGCAACAGAGACAAAAAAAAACGGAGTGAGAGAGAGAAAGACCTGTCGAAACTAGGGCCCGACCAATATGGATTTTTTTGGAGCCAATGCCAATACCGATAATTAGGGGGGAAAAATCCAATCCGATTAATCTGCCAATTTTTTACATTTTTATGAGTTTTTAAAATTGTCTTAATATAAGTAATAAATCTACATATTTACTTATTTTTTTAGCCTTTCAAACACTTCTTCAAAGAATTAAAGGCAGAAAACTAGTTTCAGATCCTTTTTATTGCTAAAACAACCCCTGGCTGTTTATTTTAACTGTAATAAAGATAATAAACTAATTCTTTTCAGCTTATTATTCAGACTGTAGCGGGTGTGAGTCTGATTATTTTGTCAATCTTTGTCTTGTCAAACTCACACACTCGTTATCCTCTAAAATAAATAGAATAAATAAAAATAAAGCTAACTCACGTATACCATAAAAAATAAGGAACACTCGTAGGCTACTGCTCTTCACACCGACAGGAAGACCAACTGATCATCTCAGTAATATTCGGACCAGAAAAGCGTTTTCAACTACACCATCTACAGGATAAGTCGGGGGATCTTTTCAAATGGCGGAACATTTTCGAAGTGAAACCGAATCTTATTCTCCACATTTAATTTCTGAAAATGTCGGCGACAATCAGCGAGTTTTGGCCTATTACCGATTAGTCTCAAATGGGCTAAAATTGGCCCTAGCCAAAGCACGTTGTACGGAAGCAAGATGATCATCCAGAATCACTTTGATTGGCTCATTTTCAGTGTAGAAACCACACACACCAACCATCTTGATTATATCATGTTGCTTACTGTAACTTTAAAAGTCCACAACTTTATATAAAAGACCAAACACACAGCGGACTGAAGGTGGAATGAAAACATGATTGAGGTACACTTTCTGCAAAAGCAGTTATCAATTTGTTTTTTTCCATCACAGAGTTGACAAGAAAAGAGACAAAATTGAGAGGAAAATCCTCGACAGTCAGGAAAGAGCATTCTGGGACGTGCACAGACCAGTGGTGAGTGAAATTACTGATGTTGTCTTCTTCTTCTCCACCTTTGCTGTCCCTGATATCATTGCTGACATTATCAACAACATCTTAATTGTCCTTGTAAAAGTGGCTAAGAGTAAAAAGACATGAAAAATAAGACCAAACTAACAGCACACACACACACAGTGACTGTAAAACACGCTGTATGGATAGTAAACAATTTAGTTCAGTCTATCCTTCACATTCACATAAAGATGGGATACCTTTTAATGGTGCAAAATGATAACCGCGTAATTACTTATATTTAAAAGAGCTTTAAATATTCAGAATTTCTGTGATGTTTTTTATGGCGCAAAGAAGTAAACACCCTATTAATCCCCGGTTGGATATTCGCCTGCCACACACATGAAATGCCACGTCAATAACTGTCACAGCACATCAGCATCAGTGCTGCTCTTTACCTTGTTCATACACACTCGCTTAGCATTAGCATTTAGTTTCCCCCTGAGGTTAAAGGGTCTCCTCTGCAGCAATTCTCTGAAAGCTGCTGCTCCATGCTTAATTGGAAAATAAGTTCAATTTATGCGTCCTTGGAGCAACATAATCAATATTAATTCAAATTTCACAGTGACGCCGTCAAGCTACTTAGCTTTGTTCTCCTGGAAGAGACCCAGATTAGACCACTTGTCCAATCAGGCAGAATTTGCACACTGAGACTCTGATTTCCTGCAGGTTTTCTTGTTTTGCTAAAATTGGCACATTCCACGTTCAATTAAGCAGCATTTTACACATTGTCCTGAAGACTCCTCTGAATCACGTCACACCCCTTCAAAGCATGCTATATTTGATCAACTCAGCCCAGCAGTGGGTTGCACCTGCATTGATTCTGGAGAGTAAATCATAAACAGTTTAAGGTGTGAAGAATTTAATATAAGCTGAATTAGTTCATCATTTTCAGAGTTTTTCCCCTTTTTTTTCTCACAGCCTGGATGCGTGAACACAACGGAAGTTGACATAAAGAAATCCTCTAGAATGAAAAATCCCCACAAAACCAGAAAGGTAAGAAAAATCACCATTACACCTTTCTGATGGTTAATTTGATTATTTTTTAATGATGGATGGGGAGGTCAGGGGGCTTTTATTGGGAGAGTATAGGATAGCGAGTGGAGCAGGAAGCCAGGACAAAGTGGGGAGTGACATGTGGGTAAGGGTGAACTGAACCACCTCCCTGTAACTCTTTACCCTCTTGATACTGCGACACAGACAGTGTAACACAGAGTAAGAAGACAGTTACAGATGTCTTTGTCAGCACCTCTATTGTTCTGCCTGTTAATTTTATCTGTATGTTTTTGTTGTTTCAGTCTGTTTACGGGCTGCAGAATGATATCCGCACCCACAGCCCGACCCACACCCCCGCCCCAGAGGCTAAGCAGCCCACAGAAGAAGAACTGCAAGAACAGGTTAGACCAATCCTTGAAGGGATGTTCCGGCGTAAAATTAATTTAGGGTCAAACACACCGTAACACCGAGTTAGACACCCCCTCGAGAGATGAATGTTGCTGACTACTTGCTTCTCTAGTTATACCAACTTTAGCAACGACCGCAGGATACCAATACACAGCGGTCTGAGGAGCCATACACAAACCTCAACCAAAACGCCACTCTATAGCCACAAATAATGCTCAGAACAGCACCTAACTTCATCAACAGTACATATAGGCTCCCAGCCACAGTACTAGCCACCAAACATCTTTTTAACTTTGCCTAATTTCTTTAGCAAAGAGACCAAACACAACTCACCTACTCTCTTCCAGCAGCCGCTTGTTTGTAGCAAGACCTTGGGCCAGTCCATTACGGACTACAGTGGGGTGACACAGCTCAAGGAAGAACATTTATGATAATTTCTTCATGGAAATTTAAGATATTTGACAAGATTTCAAATTAAAACATAAAAACTTTCATCTGCCTTTGAACAGCAAACACCAGCATGCAACCACTTCCAAGCCAAGATATCCTGAGTGTGAAGATTACGCTTCATCAGCTTGAAATCTCTAATGTAAAACTACTAAAAGTAATACCAGCATGTTGCCTCTTCCTATCCTTTATTTCATTCTAGCTTGTAATTAGCTGACTCCTATCATTAGTTAGGTTCTAACTTGCCAAAAATGTTGTTTTTACTTTTTCCCCTCAGACTTTACCGTTTCATTACCTTGTTAGTTGTAAATGAACGAAGAAGCAATAAACTGACAATGACAATGATTTAAGAAGTAGCAGTAGCAGTTGAGCATGAAACCAGAAAAAAGGCCATCTATGTGAAAGTGCTGCAGTAACTGTAATTGTTTCTGGTCTTTTTATCTTATCAGACAAAGATGACTTTGGGTTTAATTTAAGACCAGCACAGACCACAACTTTAGAGATATTGATAACAAAATTACTGTAATTAGAAACAAAATCCAAGTGCAAGAAAACTACAAACTAATTTGATCCTTATTTTATTATAGTTATCCAAACAGATACTGAAAAGCTTTAACAATCATATAGATGATTAATATTGATTTTTTTTCTGTGTGCTTTTATGGAAAGATAAATTCTTTGGATCAGTTTGAGAGGAGCCTGCTGCAGATTTCATTGTCAGTGTATAAACAGTGTGAGACTTGAGCTGGTCTGGTCCCGGTCTTGGTCTCTGTATTAGTACAACACTAATAGCATCAAGGGTCCTTTAAACAGTGTAGAGATTAAACTGTGCACAACAACATTACACTGTTAAAATAATATGCTGCAGTAAAACATGCCTGATATCTAACAATTTCAAGTGAGTGAGTGAGACTGATGCTGATTGCTCTCTGCTCTGGTTTCAGATCACCTTTTGGCAATTGCAATTAGACCGGCATCGACTGAAAATGTCTAAAGTGGCGGAGAGGTGAGTGATGTTCTTTGTGTCTTTATTCAGTTTGGCCATCGATCTGTTTATTGAGCCTCTAAACAGCCAAACATGGCGCAGAATTAAGAGCTGCGCTGACCTTGAGGAGTGATTTGTCCCACACAATGCCTTCAGTGAGCGTCAGCACTGATGATGCCAGATACTGTGTGGCACATTAAGTGTCAATTTGTCATTTCCATCACTGTGCAGACACAAGCATTCAGCGTGGAGGCTCTATCCTTGTGTCAAAACACACTTGCAGGATTGGCTCTGAAGGGGATTCCACAAACATCTCATTCTTAACTGCACACAGATAGGCATGCTGCACAGGATGTTATAAAAGTAGATTATTGAGTCACACCCTCTCTGTTGTCTCTGCTAAAAAAATAGTTTGCTGGGCTACACAGAGCAGTACGTTGAATACGACCCCTTCCTCACGCCTCCAGACCCATCCAACCCCTGGATCTCAGATGACACCACACTTTGGGAGCTGGAAGCAAGGTGGGACCCTGTATAGATTTTTACATCATAGATTATTATAAACCAATGTATATTTTCAGTTTGTGTGAATCTAATTGGTGATTTGAAGCCTTTTGTTTTTGTGGCCTTTTCCAGCAAGGAACCAGGCCAGCAGAGGGTAAAGAGGTGGGCTTTTGGCATCGATGAGGTTCTCAAAGATCCTGTGGGAAGAGAACAGTTCCTCAAGTTCCTGGAGTCTGAGTTCAGCTCAGAGAATCTCAGGTGAATAAAATACTGCTATGCCGAAGAGCTGCAGCTATCGAATATTTTAGTAATCAAGTATTCTACCGAATATTCAACCGATTACTCGAGTAATTGGACCCAAACAGCAGACTCACCCAAAGTTAGGTTTCCTATAGCCCCACAATTAAGTCAATGCTCGTAAGAAGGCTAATTATGATATTAACTTTAATCATGCCCATAAAGATATTAGTGTCCGAGAGTTGAATAACTCTTATGTTACCTGCTTCTGCTACGACACCAGCAACGTTAGACTACAAGCTAGTGTGAAGAGAAGTGTACAGAGTCGCTAGGTTGGCAACACTGCAAGAAAAGCCCCTCTGATCATTTATTTTTTCACAAAACACTACTCATCAGCTTCATATTTTGTTCTTACACTTTCTTTATACTTTGTTTTAAACCGAAATATGTTTGTGCAGTTGCGATCATTTGAGGCTTCTTATATTAAAATCGCAGGAATAATGACAATTGTAAATAAGTAACAACAGTCTTTTGTGAGTTTTTAGCTCAAAACCACAAGATTAATGCGTAATATATTCCACACTGAGTGCTCTGCATCTCTGAGTGATATATCTGAAACACAGACAGGCACACAAAGAGACTGGCACACAGGGCAGCCAAACTTGGGCTGCATTCTATATCACAATTTAGAGAAAACACAAATATAAGCACCAAGTTGAATTACTTTTTTCATTTGTGAACTTTTTTTTTTTTTTAACTTTTTCACACACATTCACGCTCCCACTCCCACTCCCACACACACACACACACACACACACACACACATACATATACATATACCAGATGATACACAAATGAACGTATGCATCCACAAGTTTTTATATTCTCCACTTTTATTGCTTAAAAGAGTATATCCGCGCTTACCTTGACCCTTTCAGCCCTTCTGTTGTTCTGGATGTAACAGCCTCTGTCTCTTTGACTTATCTCGTTTGTCCTCTTGGAGTTTCAGCTGTTCTCCTCGCATGTTTTGCGGTTAAAAGGTGTCTGTCGAGCGACGACTTTCGCTTGTGTTCCTCCACGATATTTCAGGCAGTGCAGAAGGGTTTACCTCCGCTTTCATGTAACACATCTGGAAATCGACTCGCACGAACTTTGGCGGTGATATTTGTTGGTAAATGTGAGCGTTTCGCGTTGCGCACGTCTTCATCTTCTCAATGTACACAAGGAAGTGAATACGGTGACGAAATACGGAATACGGTGGCGAAAGAGAGCTTATTGGTCGAATTCGTGGGAAATTCGCGGTGATTGGGCGAAATTGGAGCGCCTCGCTGAAGTCGCGCTGATTGGTTGAATTTGCGTTAATAGTCGCGATCGCAATATCGCGAACTTCCGGAGGAACTGATCTTTATACACATTTGATGGAAATATTGGTAACATTGAATTACCTTTTGTAAAATCTGCTATTGTTAGCAAACTTTAAAACTGTCATCTGTCATCTGACATGCACCCTTAAAGTTTGTTCCTTTTAATGTGTGCCATTGAGTGGCTTTATACGGTGGCCGAGAACCACCACTGCAGCAAATAAAATAATAATGCAAAAAAGAGAGGTTGCAACGGAGGTTACTGGTGCAAAAAAAAGAAAGAAAGAAACTGAAGCCTGCTGCAAATAAAATAAGGAATGGTGCAGATTTTAAAAAAGCCATAACGGAGTCGATATTAAGTTGAACTAGAGGATGCCGATGTAGTGTTAGCTACACTTAAACTTAATATGGCCTAACACATTGAAAAGCACACAAAGTGGAATTAAACAATAACCTTTCCACTTACTTTTTTGCTCGTCTTCTCGCCGCCGTTGTCTTTTCCTAAATCATAAAACACCGGTGCATCATCATTATTGTTCCCCAGCAGCTCACTTCCGTTGTGGCTTTTTTTTTTTTTTTTGTCGCATCCTTTTATTTTCGCAGTAAGTTACTTGTTTTTTTTTGTTTGTTTTTTGCATCACCACTTTTTGCATCATTTATTTCCGTTGTGGCTTTTTTTTTTTTTAATCTGCACTGTTTCTTTTTTTAATTGCAGCGGGCTTCCTTTTTTTTTTTTTTTGCTTGGGTAACTTCCGTAGTGACCTCTTTTTTTTTTTTTGCATTTCTTTTTTATTTGCAGCAGTGGCGGTTCTCGACCACCACAGCTTTACACGTGCATAGACTATAAGATAAGATGTTCCTTTAATAGTCCCATGAGGGGAAATTCCAAGCCTATAGCCTGAATCCTGGATGCTTCTCCTGAAATCTTAATAAGGAATTCTGTAGCGTCTGAAAACATGCTGATAACTCTGACAGTGCAGAGCAGAGGTGTGATATGAGGGGATTTTCTACCCTGGGCAGTACATAATGTAGGAAATGGCTGTTTGTATTCTAACATGGAGCTCAACTGGATAATTTAAGGGGGATTTCAGGAAGTTTCACAGTAAAATGCTAACATATTCACCAGCAAGTTTTATACCAGCAGCATTATGTAAGCTCACAGCTATCACTACTCCACTTTCATGGCTTCTACATAAGAAGTAGCAGTAGAAGTATAAGTAGTAGCCTGCAGTAATGATGTGCCTGAGCCGGTGGATGCAGCTTTTTTAAAATATACACTGCTGAATCCGTGGCTGAAATAACTCAGGTGGGCAGGAATATTATGGTAATCCCTTTATTCATGGAAACAGGAATACTGCAGAGTATTAGAAGTGCATGCTAAGAGCTGAATATGAATAGAGTCACCACAGCGCAGGAGAGCTGCTCTGCTCCTTCTGATGGAACAGGCACACGCTGTTGCCGCCAAGAACTGATTATGTGGTCACTTTACTTTGATTAATATTAGCCATGATAGTCTTTTTTTTCTCTTTGGCAACTGAATAGAAGATTATGAGTCAAATTTTTTAATCCAATAAGTGTTAAATGGAAAGGAATGCTCTTTAAATAAAATGTTGAATTTTTATCAGGGATTATTTTCTCAAACAGATTTGTAAGCCAGTGTCAACTTTGTAATACAAAAAGATATCCTTGCTGAACGAACTAGACTTCCAGCTTTGAAAAATCCATGACCTTTGACCTGACAATAATTGATGTCCTGCACATAAAAAGTCGATGCTATTGAACTATTTTTCAGTCTTCTCTTTTTAAAAGTGTATCAATATTGACATTTTTAACTTGCAGTGCTGACTGACTTTATCAACAGCTGAAGGTCTAACCTCTAAATCTGTTCTATAGGTTCTGGCTAGCAGTCCAAGAACTAAAGAAGCGCCCCATCAGAGAAGTTCCAACTCGGGTTCAAGAGATTTGGCAGGAGTTTCTGGCCCCCGGAGCACCCAGTGCCATAAACGTCGACTCCAAGAGCTACGATAAAACCACCCAGAATGTCAAAGATCCTGGGCGCTACGCCTTTGAGGATGCACAGGTTCACACTCTTTATCCACATCCATTGTTAATCACTGCCACGGTTTGGCACAATTGAAAACGCAAAGAGACATCCTGACTCTTACCCATCTATGAATCAGAGCCCTGAGACAGATCTGTATTGTCTTTCTTGCGCCTGAGGCCTTTTTATACATTGTGTTTTTTTATTATGTGCCTTCACAACAGGAACACATCTACAAGTTGATGAAAAGTGATTCTTACAGCCGTTTTATCCGCTCCAGTGCCTACCAGGAGTTATTACAGGCCAAGAAGAAGGTAAGAAACACAACTTCAAACACTGGATAAATGTCTCCTTCAATCTGTGACCCAGATATTTCAATGAAGTGTACATTTTAAACCCTCGCTGTTGTTATTGCATACACTTAAACTTGCACTTTCATCCTAAAGATACAGAAACTTTCCCTCCACTGTCATCCACAGTTATGTTTTTTCAAAGTCTGTTATCGCCCATTAATCTCTGCACACATAAAGCAAGTTTGTAATTTCACTTGATGCGTCACTGTCCTATAGACACATACCTTCTGCTACAATTTACTCAATGTGTACGGTCATTTTTAACGCCAAAGGCAGAAAATTATAGCAGATTTAGAACAACATTGGAGTTGTGTTGTGTTTGTGTTCCCTTGAGGAAAAGACCAAAACATACCTACAGCACTATATGTGGTAGATATTTAAAGTTGAAATCCCTGTCAAACTAAAAAAACATGTCAAACAGATAACAGTCTGTGATACCAGAGGGAAGCAGACGGTATAAATGCAGCGTTTTACCAGAGCGTTCTTCATCTGTGGATGATGGAGATGCTGATACAGGACTCCTGTCAAGCTTGTAGGAGCCATTGTGACAAGCAGAGACACTGAAACTGTCACAACATGATGAATAATTCAAATTTATACAGGTGTATTTATGTGCTTAAAACCTGCCTTGTCTTTCACCTCCTACACTTTGTCTGCTTGTCATTCTGTCAGCAGAGATTTAAAGATTATAACTGAGGCGTTTTTATGATAAAGTTTCATTTGAGTGCCGTGCTTCGTTTTGATGTAGTTTTTGTCTTTCTGATGTCTCTCAAGTGACATCAGAGAATTCTAGCTTGCTGGATTTTGAATATTTATGGTGCCTTAAATCCTCATGCATAATGATATAAATGAACCAAATGTGTCTTTTTCTTTCCTTACAGAAAAGTAAGAACCTATTTTGAAGGCTCTTGTTTCCAGGTAATGTCCAACTAAAATGATGCATATCATATCGCTTATCACATTACAATACATTTTACACTATTTTGTTAAGTATACAACCGTAGTATATCCTTCCTCCAGTGGTAACTTTTACTACGCACCCACTTTGTTAAGGGTCATTGTCTTAAATCAGCTGTACATTACACTAAAAACAATTCTCTGTCATCCAATTTGGTTCTCATCTCTAGGTTACCTTGTTTCATTATCCATGAAATTATTGCTGATAATATTTTTTGTAGTGGGCCTCTGGGCCTTTCTTTGTCAGTATACCCCTCATACAGACATCTAAACTGAATTGATCTCACATGCTTGGACATGCCTGAAGTTGTTTTTTTGTGCAGAGAAAAACATGGCAAAATGACAATTTCCTAAATCTCACATGATTGGAAGAGGATCTGACTGTCAGTGTGGTGCCTGTCAGTGCACATAGGATTTTAGTTTTTGCTCTAATTATTAGATATTAATTTATCCAGGTCAACAGCGACCCTAACACCACAAGAGCCCTAATTTTAATAAGAGCATTTTATAATTTAGTCAATTTTTTTTTTGTTTTTTATTTTGTTGAAATAGAGGTTCCTGACAAAGTCAAAAAGTCTTGATGCAAAAAAGCTCATTTTTCTTTTGAGCATTTTAAAACAAAGAACAGGTCGCTGTAGACCCTAACACAGGAAGAGGGTTGAATAAATAAGGGATGCGAGTAAAGTTACATAAGATAAAGCTCAAACCTTTAAGTTGTGTAGTATGCAATTCTTGCAGCTTGTCCATGACTTTTTATTCGGGAGAAAAAACATTCTCATTCTTCCACTTTCTCACCCTCTTTTCTACTTGTCTCTTTTTCTTAGCGCAGGGGAAACCACTAGCATCCAAGAGGCTGACCAGTCGTGTGCCATCATGCTAAAATCAATGCCATCTCTCTCTCTCTCTGGGACATGGAGAGGAAGACCATCTCATCTCTTTGTCATCATTGTCTGTCCATGCGCTCCTGCCTCAGCCAGGCGATGAGCCAGGCCGTCTGTTCGTCTGTTGTCCACAGGATGTTGCATGTCCATGGAGAGGATGCCCCTCCTTCTCTTCTCCTCTTACAGTACCTGATATATTTCCAGTAATCTCCAAATGAAAGGCGCTGCTGCTGCTGCTGCTGGACTTGTGAGGACACAGAAACAGACTGGTGAGATGAAAAATGTCAAAACCTTCTTTCCATCGAAAAACTGCTGGACCGGAGCCCAAATCTCTCACTTCCAGCTGAAACAAATGATGTCAGAGAGAAAAAAAGAGAAAAAAAAAAACAGAAAAAACTTATAAGACAACAACTTAAACTGATAAATCTAACCAGTGTCATCGCTTTACTGAGGTCAGAGGTCACAGATACTTTGTCACGCTATGGGAAGTGTTGTGCAGAATGAATATACGATATATATACATATATATATTATGATTATTATTATGATTATTTATTGTGCACTTATTTTGCTTTGCATTATTTTATGACACTACAATAATTAGCACATATGGTTTTCATTGCACTTGTAAAGTCACATTTCAGAATGACAAAAATGCTGTCTCCTGTCTGATGTAGAACATAATTCTTTGTTATTCTCTCCTGCATTTATTTTTATACCATATTTAAAGACACTTTTACTTACTTGTATTATTAAAGTTGGCCCTCTATCTGTTTCTGCGGCTTCGGCTTGGATCATTTTTAACAGTTTGAACACTAAAGAATCCAATTTAGCATTCAAGATAAGAAGAATCAGCTTTGCATGGGTGTTGTAGTTCTTCTTTCTGCCACTAGATGGTGTTAAATTATTTCCTAGCAGAAATCTGACTCTTAAACAAGCAATGCAGATCAACAAAATGCCCTGAGGTTTTGTACAGACAGATGTAGCCCTGTCATGCTAAAGTGTCATCACCCCCTGGTCTGCTGAAGGAGTTATTGTTCAAGCTGTTAGTGTTTGAGGTTTTGCAGTTTTATGTTGATGTTGCTGCCCTTTGATGGCAGAATTGGCGTTTGGAGTTTTCAGACTCTGTACCCAGTGGTCAGTTGATCAAGAGCCACAGAGCAGACAAACAGTATTGTCTCTGCTGCATCCAGGAATGTGAGTTGTGGCATTTTCAAAGCTCTTTTTAAGTTTGTCAGGGTAGACACAGAGTGATTTATGGACTGGGGATTATGGGTTGTGATATGATGTGGTCACAGCCAATGAGAAAGAATAATGAAGGGTTTTGAGGAACATCATAGTTGCTTCAAAAAGTTGTCCTTTACTGTCGAAGGAGGTGAAATGTCATTCAATTCCTGGAAAAAGAAATGGTAAACATGGGGGTAAAAAAAGGACAGAAAGCTTGAAAAAGAGGAACTGTCATCTTGATAGCCTTGTTATTAAAAAGAAAATATTAAAAAAGAAAAAACAATAACCACTCAGAGACAAACTGAAGGAGAGAGAGAGCCTTAAATAAAAGAAGTGAAGCTTGGTTTGATTCACACAATGACCAGGACCAATAGGATAAACCCTCCCAGTCTTGAGGAGGGAAAGGGGTGGTGGGGATTCAAACTAAGGCAGGCTCTACTGTGACTCAAACACACTCCAAGACAGACGACAGACAGTCTCCGCAGCTCTAAGATATTTGTTAACTGTTTGAAACCTGGGAATGTCTCTTCTTTAGGGTTAAAAAGAAAAGACGAGAAAAAAAAGTTAGTCTGAGAGTGAAGCTAAGAAACAGAAACAGCTGGTTCAGGAGGATGGAAAACTGAGCGTGTCTTAGACTTTGAATCTTCAGTTGTTGGAGGAAGAAAAAAAAAGAGGAGCGAGGACAAGAAGCCTGAGGATACTAGAGATTATGTTGCCATGGAAACCAAGACCTGGAAGCGGACGCAAGGACCACTGAAGGTGGACGACCTCCCTTGACTGCATCCTCGACGTGTTACTGTTCTGCCTGGCACTGTGGTGAGAGGTACTTAAACATTTCCCAATCTTTTAAGAGTTAAAGGGTTAAATGTGTTTTATCGCAGTGAAAAGCAAAGTTTGGCGTCATAGGTTTTGATGAGATGTAAAAACTTTGGGTATTGTTTGAAAAGGCAAAAACATTTGAAAGTAGTACAAACAAACTCTTAATCAAGTCTTTATTTCACACGGGCAAGCATAAAGTGCCACACTATTTACTAAGTTTTTCTCCTGGATTGCTGGAATTCAGACAAAAATGGTCTAAATGTTATGAAAATGGACATTCTTTACAGGTTACACAAGGAAAAAGTGATTATATCTGTAAAAAAAAAAGCCATGTTCACTTTGGATGTAGTGAGAAACGCGTTCAATGAGTATGTGCTGGCTCGACAAATCCCACGCCATCGCTTCCAAAAAGTGGGCAGTAAGAGCCTGATGGAGATAATAAGACGGAGTGACTCAGTGACTCTCTGAATGACTAAGCAAACAACCATGTAATTCTACCAGCCGCAGTCGTACAGCTATTTAGTTTTTCTGCCAGCAAAGGTTTGATTCCCACATGGGGCCACCCAATTGTAAAATATACACCTTCGAGGTATTGTAAGGTGTTCTGGATAAAAGTGTGCGAGTGCTAAATGACTATAATTAGCGGCTGGTGGTTTGGAGGAATTAGTGCAGCGAGTGAGAAAATGATGACAGGATGTTGTGCCGTGCTTATAGATATTCAAAGTCGTTTTTATGAGAATAGAGGTGTAAGTGTTAATTTTAAGTGAGCCTGATAATCCCCATTCTTTTCCTGTCTTCATTGGCACAGGTGAATTTCCTTAAGATGCGTGTCATTAATGTACACCTGTGTAGTCATGTGTGCACTGATGTGGTTCCAAGTGGGCGTGTGAACATGTGTGTGCGTGTGTTTCTACAGTATGCGTGCAGTGAATGGTGGGGAGTTTGCCTTCTGATCCTTCTTAGAGCTCTGGTGACTGCACCACCTTGCACAGTCTGCTCTGATGTCAAAGAGGATTTAGCACACAGGCACATTACACTTTCTTTAGCGACAGAAAACACTTCATCCTAAGCCTCTAAAGATAGTAAAACTGGTGTTTGATAGAAGCCTTAACAGCACTCTTAACACGTGAACCTCACACAGGAACAGGTAATGAGAGACCTCTGAGAAGGTGGATTAGGACAGCAGAAATTCATGTGGAAGTTGGTGAGAAAGTATTCCGCTAAAATCGAGTCCTTTTTTTGAAAACCAAAAGCACATTCACCTTGCTAAGTATACCATAGATTATAACAAATACTCTCAATCCCCTTAACACGCAGCAGCCTGCTGGTGTACCAGTCATTGCACACTCATGCTGTGAAACCAAAACACGGTTCAAACCCACAGAACTTTATTCCCAGTTTTAATAGGGATATTAAAGCTTCTGAATGCGAAATTCGCCTAAAATGATGCTTAGAGCAGCAATAATTTTCATTTTAATTGAATGGTTTCAGCTTTGAGTAGGGACTCGGGCAAAAATATCCAAGTCATAAAAATAATACAGCATCAATAAATATCTGGGATAGGCTGATAAAGGAAATGAGATTGTCGTCAGACAGTGTCAAATAAAGCCATTTCACTAATCATGAAGCCTGCAAAACAGAAAACTGTACATTAAGGAATTATACAAGCAAACCTCATTTTGAGAGAGCAAATGAAAGGTGGTGTTAATCATTTCAGCTAAGTAGTGCAATCCTAATCTGAAACGAGCTACGCAGTATTATCATAGCATCTCTAATTGCCCCTCATCCTCCGCTAAAGCACTTAATGTTGCTGCGGCGAAGGAGTTGCCTCACATTCTTGCCAGCACTTAGCTTGGAAAGCATTATATATGGGCTGCTAGTCATTATCAAGATGGATTGTGGTGACAAATGGCTGCCCAAACCGCCTTCAGCAGCCTCCTGGCCATGTTGGCATTAGACACATTTACACAGAAAAGCCCCCCAAAAGGACCCCCCTCCCTTCCCTCCTCCTCCTCCTCTTTCTCCTCCTTCCTCCTAACTGTTAATGAGCCAACAGCCGAGCGCAGTTTGGGAAAACAGAATCCGCAAATGCAGATAATGACATGGTTCCTCTTTGTGTAATTGGCTGCAAGTGAAAACATTTCATTTACCTCTCTTTCCCTCTCTTGCTATATCCTGTGTGTGTGTGTGTGTGTGTGTGTGTGTGTGTGTGTGTGTGTGTGCGCGCTCTTGTACACAGCTAACCCTTGTGTGATTGAGGTTTTTGAGCTGCACGGTGAATTAAATGCCGTTCTACTGTAATTAACTGCACTTACCAGTCTGTGTGTGAGACTTTCTGACGCACCGATAATTGAGGCATCAGGTTTTGTTTGTTTTAACCTGCCTTTGAAGGCATGCTGGGAAGATGTTTCTCATGGTTTAGCCCAAGGTACATCTGTGTGTACAAATTTGAAAGTCTTGCAATGACTCTTATTCCCCTTTTTTTTATATTCAACAGCTAAACGTCTCAAATATTGATACATTTTGCACCGAGGCTTGGGATTTTTATGGCTAATTATGCTTTATTTTACTCTGACATTTGAAAAAAGGCCCATTGTTTCAAGACTCCACCATGGTATTATTATGCCATTCTGAAAAACAAAACACAACAATTTCCCACTGACTATAATAGCTGTTTTCAGAAAAAGTCATGTTCTTAGCGCCGCAGTCTTGCTGGTATTTGTAATTTCATTAGAGGTCTGAATTTTGGAACCAAGGTCTGCCACAGTTCACTGAAGCGTTTCCCCCAAGTATTTGTGGTTCTTGTAAAACATAAAGCTGTGTTTGTGGACAATATTAGCGTGTAGCAGAGACAGAGAGGTCCGGTTGAGTTCTGTCTCTGCTGCATTAATGCACAAAACCACAGTCTCCTTCCGTCTCCGGGTCCCTGCCATGATTAGCCGAGGAGAGAGAGACAGATAGAGTGACAAAGAGAGACAGATGGAGAGAGAATGAAATAAAGAGGCACAGCTTGTGGAGGGATATGCAGTAAAGGGGTGTTGGTTTTGTTTCCCTGTAGGTCATCAGTCCCAGACACCACTGACTCTTCCACTGCTTTCCTTCTATCTCCCAACCTCAACCACAAACAGCCCACCCATCCACCTTTTTACTCCCCCTAAAGCCCCTGAATCCTTTCCCCAAACCCACAATTTGTTCCTCGCTGGAGATTGATGAGGAAAGCTTGGCAGACCCGCCACTATCATACTTACACCGAGTTTGGGAGTGGGGAAGGAGCATGCCTGATGCTTGTATGGGCCATTCGTCATGTCCTGTGTACACAGTCAGTCAGGCCATCCCTCAAAAGTCCCTGGGGCTTTGCAGACTGTAGCTCAGGGTGCCTCTTTAAGCGATGGATAGCGGGAGAAGAGGCTGCACACAGAAGCGGTGCCTGTTCCTCAGAGCGGGGGGGTTTCATGCATTTAAACACACAGTCAGCAGGAACAGGGGGAGAAAGAGACAGAGAGACAGAGCAGCCAAAGACAAATGAGACTGTGTTGGACATGGAAGGTAGATCACTGAAAGACTGAGTGGGGTCATGACTCCCCTGATGCAGTAGGTGGTGGAAGGACCCAGCGGGAGTCTTCAGTTTAGTTATTCTAACCTTTATGACGGGTGTGTGTGGGTGTGTGTGCTGGCTTGTGCATGCATGCAGAAATGTGTGTTTGCAGAGGAAATACAGATCCCAAATGCAGTGTCTATCCTGATTAGGGTATTTGTGGAGTTATGCTGTGCACAAACCTTAAAGCAATTAATTTCCTGCAGAGATCCAATTGAAAATCAACTTAAAATGCATTTATTTTTGGGACAACCTTGAATGAGAATACCACATATGAGAAATTAACTTAATTGCTAGCATTAAAACCTGATTTCTTGGCAGAGCGCTTCCTTCCTCCTGGATTTGATCTTAATGAAGGAAATGAAGATAAAAAAACACATTCAGGAGAAGAGATTTGCACACAAAAGAAAGTTAAAAGCAGAGTAGATCTGCGCATTTGTAACCCCAATACGTCTCTATATATCCTATAGAAAGAGTCTGGTACTTCTCTGGATGGACAAACAGCTGCTGTCTAGCTTAAGACCAGTGCTGCCAGGTTAGTGATATACAGACTCAAGTGCTGGTGCAGTTTCGGACAGAGCTGCCATGACCTCTGGGTCAGGGGCAGAAAAAGGGAGGGAGAGAATTCACAGAATGGATTATGATAAAGTCATTTTCTTCATGTCAGAGTGAGTTGCACATTCAGGAGAGGAAGAAAGGCAACATAGAAATTTGCACGGCAAAGAAGCGCTTGTGAATAGCAGCGGCCAATGGCCTTGAGGCAGTTTGGTTCTCTGTCAGAATCTCTGACTTGATGTCATGCAACGCTTGTCAAGAGCAACATCTGCTGAAAAGATGCTTGAGTGATGGTCAAAAATGTGCTGGCGTGAAAGCTGACAGCGTGCGCAGGGGCGGATACTCAATCCTGGATGGAGGTGGAGAAATTTCTCAAGATAACACTTTCTTTCTGGTGCTAACATGATACAGGAGACAGGATGGTGATAATGGACACTGTGGGTCAATCTCAGTTCACTTTGCTCCACAGTGTATCACCAAAGAGAAGACGAGTGGACTCCCAGAGGGCACTGTATAGTTCCCCATCTCTTCCCCTAATAACATGCAGATGGGCCTCTCTAATGCCTGTTTACATATCTGCGGCATAGTTCATGACTAAAGTAAGCAAAGCCCTAATTATTTTACCCGGCGACGGGACCAATAAAATCAACTTCCCCTTCTCGTTATGGGTGTTTAAGTGAATCCTTTGATGGCAGGCCTTTGTTTATTTTTGGAAGAGTTGCGTAGCCGAGAGGAAAGCAAATAGAAGTAATGACACAGAGTTGCTGACAAATGGAGGCCCTAGTGATGGATTCATTTCCTCAATGATGCCTGGAGGGCTACACTCTGAAGCAGGTTCAACATAAATGCACTTTCCTGCCATTGAAAACATGATAGATGGTAGGATCAATATCATTGTGTTAGTTATGTAATAGTCATGTATCATCACTTACTGTCATTAATTTGTTTCTGTTTTGTTTCCCTCTCTTTTTGTAGAATGCTGTGGAAAATAACCATCCCAGTCATCCTAGCTGGGGTGCTCTGCATCACGGCAGAAACCAAAAAGTCCCGGCCCCAAGGATCCATCCCCTCCCCGTACAAAACCAAAGGGAACCTGTCCTCAGAACGACACCACCGGTTAGTGCATCAGAAACCAGAGGTGCTCTCCTCCAGCAGGGAGGCCTTAGTGGTGACAGAGCGCCGCTATCTCCGCAGAGACTGGTGTAAGACCCAGCCCCTCCGTCAGACAGTCAGTGAAGAGGGCTGCCGCAGCCGCACTGTGGTCAACCGTTTCTGCTATGGCCAGTGCAACTCCTTCTACATACCCCGCCACATGGGCCCCAGCTCGGGTCAGGGCCACAACCGAGGCCAGACCTCAGGCTCTGGAAGGAAAAGTCACAACAAGGTCCAGGAACCGTTCCAGTCCTGCTCCTTCTGCAGGCCGCACCGCATCACACAGCTCACAGTGCAGCTGGACTGCCCGGACCTGCAGCCACCTTTTAGATATCGTAAAGTGCAGAGGGTCAAACAGTGTCGCTGTATGTCTGTGGATGTGAGCGGCCACGGGAAACTGTGAAGATGGATGTGAAAACTCCTCTAAAATTATCAGGACTGTGCAGGATTCGACAAACTTTGCCAAACAAAGACTGGCCTCAAGCTGAACCGTCCGCTTTCTGCATCATCTTGTAGGAATAACAACTTGTCCCACAATGAAATGGCATGAAATGTTGAACTTGTATAATTAAAGACTCAACAATGACTTAATCAGAGAGAACACGTATATTGGTGAAAGACTTACACAAGAGACTGCCAGAGACTTTGATGATGAAGCAGCAAATGTTCAGCATTAAACATATTTCATCTCTTATTTGAAACAGTCGGCATCTACTTGGTTACTTATACATTTGTCACGAGATTCCCTTGTGATGAATACCAAACATTATGGACACGGTTGAAAGTTGAACTTTAATGTGACTTGTTTTTTTGCAGGTGAATCCCACACAGTTTGCCAGCAGTGTAAGAGGAATTGACTGTGTTAATAAATGTTTCAGTTTTCTGTATATTTCCCTGAACTTCAAAGATGTCCAAAAAATATTCTGGCCAGTAGTACAAAACATACTGCAGCATGTGTTATGGAGGTGCAATGCAATATATATACACTATATATACTGTATATTATGTAAGCGTGTAAGTATGTATGTCAAAGGTATATTAAATCTATTTCATATAAAACTAAAGCGATGTTTGATCTGACCGCTCACCCTCACACCTGAACAAATGATACAACAGAATCTCCATTTCAAAAATGCTGTTATGTCTTTTATTCAATAAATATAAATGTCTATGGTCAAGGTTATTCAATCAAAACATATTATTGGTATTGCACATGAACATCACATCACATAGTCGTATGGCTACATTAGCATTGGGGTCACACGCACACACACACTCATGCACACACATGGTGGAAAAGGCAAAACTAGGTGCATGAGATTCGCTCAAAACATAAAGCAAGGTGACAAAACTGCTGAATAAAACATTGGTGGGTCTGTTTCAGATCACGCCACTTGGGTATGCACGGCCTTTATAGATACTGAACCACAACAGAGAAGTTGCTGTATAATTATCACTACAAAGGAATGTACAACTATCACATTTCACTCGATGTGAAACAGATTTTTCTTCTTAACATGTAACATTTAATCACAGATGATATGTCTCAGAAAGCACTCAGATGACCTCTGCACTGCGAAATAAGGCACTGATGATCCATACCTACCAACCTATGTTGTAGAAATCTTATAAAACTGTGCCTTTTACCTCAAAAGAAGATATAAGGACAAAAAACATGTGCCTTTCTAGGAAAACAGGCAGGAAATTGCACAAAAAAGAGAAACAGGCTACATATGGCTTGTAAAATACCGAGAAAGCTGTTAGATACTGTAATTTTACTACAAATTTCACACTGTCGTGGAAAATTTCTGGGATTTTCTTGCAGGCAGCTCCACTTAATCTACTCATTGCAGTGATTTTTCATTTGATTACAGAAGTGCTCTCGAAATGTGGCGAGTAATGTGATATTTCAACTAAGGTTTTAACAATATCATACCCGCTTTGAACTGTCTCTCAATAAACAACAGATCTAAATCGATTCAAAACAAATACTGGAGGCAAATGCATTTGTAAAAAATGACTCATGAATCACTGTCAGATTGTACAAACGTCGCTTGTGCAATAGGCTGCTTGATGATCGTTTTCCACTCCCTTGCTTCAGATCTTCTGACCCAGCTTTGCTTTCTGTGGGAGAAGAAACAGGCTTGAGTTATTTACAGCACTGGCACTGGTCTCAATCTGTAACTGCAGGAGCCAGGAGTGCGGTTTCTTCCACACCCCTTAAGGTGTTTGTAAGAAATAGAGGCCGTTAGAAGAAGAGACAATTTGCACCAAAGGGAGAAAAGAAAAACAGGACTGGTGCAGCATGTACAAAATGAACAAATAAAAGCACACATGAAAGCAAATAAAGACAAGAAGTGTCAGGACGTACTATTCCAGTTGCGTGCTTGGGTTTCACATTGTACGAGGCCTTCTCCTTTGCCTGTTTGAAGCACTCTTCAGCCATTTTGACTCTTAAAAAAGAAAAAGACAAACAGTAATAAACATCAGTCACCCAACAGAGACATGTTCAAACTATTTAAAGAGCAGTCATTTACTTTTGAACATAAAAAAAGAAAAAGGAATTTGGAAAAGTCCACTCATATGGTTTAAAATGACTCACTCGGATTTTACTACTATGTGGAGCAGACCAGCAGCATCACTACTTATTGGTGCTTTAAAAGACTAATGATCAACAGGTTGGCATTCAGCAAGAACAGCTTTTAACATGAGCACTGTGTGTGCCTGCGCTGCCTGCTTACATGTGCATAGAACACATGCAAGGATGAATATTTATAGCTCAACGGGAGTCTCACAGAAAGAGCAGCAGAAAGAGAATCGGGACGATTGCCAGTGGCGCAGGGCAAAGAGTTAATGCTTTCAAATTGGTTTTATTCTTTCCTACTGAAAAAGCATTGCTTGTGACATTTTGCTTCTCCTGCAAATACATATCACAATTCAATCTTCATCAGCATAATGGACCAATTTGCTTGTTGTTGACATATGTAACGGTATCTTTAAATTCATCAAACCACTGGAAGCTAACTGGATGCTCCATGTATTCTTTTCATTACTGTGGTGAGGACACAGATTTGGGTCATTTAACCTCTTTCCCCTTCATGAATTTGGATGAATGTGATAGGATCTTCAGTGAACACGGGATGCACCGCAATTTATTAATGGTTCGTGTTCCTCTGCTCGGGAGATTTTTAAAATACAGGATCATTAACATAATAGAAATAGCACTGAAAAGGTCAGAGAGTGGTGTAGTTTCAAAAGACCAAAAAAAAAAAAATTCTGTTGCAGAAGGATTTGGTTTTTAGGGTCAAAGCGTGCAAGTTTCTAAAGCAGAACTCTTCTCTCTATGGTATTCTTACCGTTCTTTTAACATCAGCTTATTCTGCTTCTTCCACTGGTCTTTGAAATCGGTGGAAAACTCATGCCAAATGGTGAAGAAAGTGTTGGGAGAAACCTCCTTCTCTCCTGCCTTTGGTTTAACGGAGAATGACACGCTTAACTCCAAGAAGCTGAGGACAGAGAACAAAAACATTTCTTCAAGACCAAACTGTTACAACATGAGCTTACAGAAACCTTCACTGACTGTTGTGAAACCTCAATGTGCCAGGCAAATATGCAAAATATGAAAGTTAATCTTGGAATAATATGCTTTTTCAGAGATTTAATGGCAGAGAAACGTTTAAAAAACACAAACGAATGATGACTGGGCATTTTAGAGAGGGAAGGAGAACGCAAAATGGAATTACTGCCACTAAAGCAGCAGAGTCATCCAGGTTTTTCTGAAGGATTAACTTTCTGGACTAAATAGAACCCTAATCCCAATGCAGTGCATGGGTCTGTCACTCCTTTTCTTGAGGTGTACAAGCCTCTCTTTATGCGCTTATGTCCATTTCACACACATGTATGACATGGCATGTACCTTGTATGTGCATGGCATGATCAAGGTAACAGAGGAAGGAAAAAAGATGTCTGACAGGGAGACAAATCTAGCAGGAAAAAAAGGGAATAAGTCAGGGAGTGACGCATGTCTAAGTGGTAAATGTGTTGGCCGTTTGCAGTGGATCAATACAGCGGACAGGTTGGGGTCTCTTTGTTTGGAGTGTGCTATAGGAACACATTCCTGGCCAGCAGTAACAGAAGCCTGGAGCCAGTGCTGTCTACTCTCGCTCCGCTTAGATAAACAACACAGACACCGCACAGGGGGGCCTCCCGTCTGCTGCAGGCCTGGCATGATGGCCTGCACCCTCCACGGAACTGAAGGACCCAGGAGTCCCAAATATTGACAAAGCAGCCAGATTACATTTCATCTCTGCATTGGGAATACATCACTTCAGACTGTATGGAACTGCATTATCCATGTGTTATGTTTATATTCTGCAGCTGCCATACCTGGAGTTGTTTCGGTACAAACTGCAGTAATGCTATTGGTCTAGAAGTATCAGGAGTATGACGACTATGGTGCATTCCCAGTGAGAAGTCCAGATTGGTTCAGTCCAATTTGGTAAAGTTTGTTGTGGTGTTTTTGCTTTTATTTCAAGTAGACTGTATCCTGACTTTATGTGCTGGATCCTGAAGCAGCTTGGTTTTCATTTTGTTGTGCATGTTAGCATATCAGACCGTTCAGACTGCCAGCGCGTGCAGCACATCTCTCCTGATTTTTTTTACATGAGCCTCTTGCAGCTCTTCGCCAAAAACACACAAATAATAGCTGAGGGCTGCGTTGGCTTTGAATCAGTCATGTATATGTCACAAGCATGAAAAATATACGATGGTTGGACTTCTGGAACGCTTTTTAAAGCAAAACCTGATACAGTTTTCTGTGGAGAGACCCCCGTTGCTTTTACATAATGTTTTTATTTTGGAAGCTGGGAGAGTTATTTTGTAAAGCAGTAACTTGCAGAGCTTTACATTCGAGCCTGCAGTGAATTATCATTAAGTGAAAGGAAATATTCCCTCTTTTGCAATCTCTCTCTCTACCATTGCACTGATCTCTGTGCCCCCGTCAATGCTCAGCTGGTGTCTGTGTGTGAATTACACACTCATTTATGAACCACAACACCTTTACAACACTCAGAAGCATCATCTGATAAATGTACATAAAACAGTCATAACTGATTTAAGTACACAAGTCTAATAAAAGTTATTTTGGTATCTTTTCCCAACTTTTGACAATGGAAATGCAAACAGTTGTGTAAGCCTACTATACTGGAAAAGACCACATGGTGTAAGAACAGCTACAGAGCTTAATATATTTAATAAACCCCTTTAAAAAGTAACCAATCAAACATGTTTCAGCAGGTTTTGGTATTTATGTGAGTAAATCACGGGATAATTGTTATTATTTCCAGGTTCATACCAGTGAAGTAAGTCAGAATATCACAATGAAACTGAGACCCACTCACGGAGAAAATAAACCATAAAATGAAGGTGCCAACTTTGCAGACAAAGCTGGGGGAGTACGTTTAATTTAGTCTTTAGTTTGAACATTTGGTACCCTCTCAGGTAATGCAGTGTATTGAAGTCTTGGTTAGAAGTTGCATACCATTTTTGTCAATGGAGAAAAGTTGAACATCATTCCCACAGCTAAATACAACAGCAGGACAGTGCCCACAGAAACTGGTATGTTAGTCAAAACTAGTGAACCTTTGACATCTGCTGATATCGGTAATCTACTCAGTATTGGCAAACACCCAAACAGTGTCAGTATTGGGATGGAAAAGATGCTATGATGAGCACATATGTTTTTAGGATGAAGAAAAGAAGTATGCAAGTGGCATTTATCTTTTTAAAGGTGAAGACAGAGAAGGAAAAGGTTTCAGAGACAAAAAATCAAAGGTCTTACATTTTCTGAGTGTCCGTAAGTTGCTTTTCTTGTGCTTCCAGCTCGGTTTTAGCTGTAAAAAAGAAAAAAAAAAAAAAAAAGAAAGAAAGAAACACGTTCTGATTATAACTGCAGAGCAACAGTAAATACAGGATTAGATTAGGATTAGGAGAGATACAAGATCTCCTAAAAAACACACTTTTCACCTTCAGTATAAGAGGAGGATTCCACATGTCACCATTAATTCAATCAACAGTCATCTGGAAGGTCAGAGCTGTGCCACCAGGTTATTAAGTGCTGGATTGTCCTGCAGTTGCACAACTGACAAATGAGGATTGCAGATCGCAGGACAAGTGCTTCTTTGTGCAGGGGTTACTTCGAATGGAGACGGATGACTGTGTGTGTGTGTGTGTGTGTGTGTGTGTGTGTGTGTGTGTGTGTCTATGTCTGTCTGTCTGTGTGTGTGTCTGTGTGTGTGTTTAACATGTTAGAGTAAAAGAGAGTCGGAAAACTGGGGATAGGACACTGCAGCACACATTAGGAGTTATTCCTAGCTAGCCACAACATTTATCTCAGTGGGCTATCAGGATCTTTTTGACTGTTTCCTAAATGATGATATAAGAGAAGAGCAGTGAGACGTGACAGCCTCAGTCAGGGAAATGCTCTGGGTAACTTCTTATCAAATTTCACATCCATGGGGCGGACTTTTTTGTTCATTTTCAAATATGACAGAGTGGCAGTAGACCCAAGCCAGCTGTTTAAATCTTCACTGCGCTGCTGTATGGCTGACAAAAGGTTACACATTAAATTCTCTGTCCTCTAGAGGTCAATTATTTGCTGTCTTAAACTGTCAAGTGATCAGAAACGACCCGTGGCCTCCCTGTTTCTTTCCAAGACAGACGTGACAGAGGATGGGACAGAGAATCTTTCCTGGCACAGAACTCAGTTCTGCTCTCATCCAGGGACTATCTGGTTGCTTTGTGTAATTGAAGCCAGGGCTGCATCTTAAAGATTTTGCACAAACTGTTCCAGCACAACACTTAATAATACGACAGAGTAACGTCCCATTTTGCCCCTAAATACAGACAAAGACATTAATCAAATGAATAGGTCCATTTACAATCATCTTTCTACCAGGAATTTTCTTTTAGGAACTAATTTAAATTCACACAGCAATTGAAGACTTACTCATAGTCTTTGTTTACTTACTTTATCAAAGTACTATGAATAATTCAAAGATGGACTCAACAGCTTGAAATTTGTTTTATCCAAGAGTTAGTTAGGAGCTGATTTTTGGGAACATAAACGATATGATATGATACGATACGATACGATACAATACGATACAATATGATACAATATGATATGATAGGATATGATGCGATATGATGTGACATTATACAATATGATACAATAAGATATGATACAATGTGATACAAAACGATATGATGCAATATGATACAAAACGATATGATGCAATATGATGCGAAATGATCCAGTATGATATGATACAATACGATATGATACGATGGGATACAAAATGAAACAAGATGATATGATACGATAGGATATGATATGATACAATACGATATGATGCAAAATGAGACAATGTAATGGGATACAATATGATACAATACGATATGATGCAATACGATGCGAAATGATCCAGTATGATATGATATGATATGATGGGATACAAAATGATACAAGAGGATATGATACGATAGGATATGATATGATACAATATGATGCGATGCGATATGATGTGATATGATACAATACAATTCAATATGATACGATATGATATGATATGATGCACTTTTTAGTCCCCCCACATAAAATGTGTCTAGATGTTAGATAATGCATATATTTAGCTGACACCGCAGAAATATTAATATCCATCCAGGACTAACATACAGAGACAAACTGCTAGATAGTTTAACATTCACATCTATGGGCCAAAGCGCCACCAATTAATCTGATGAGCGTGTCTTTGGATTGTGAGAGGAATCAGACAAGCACAAGGACAATATACAAACTGTATAGAGAAAAGCCCAGCCCTGTGAGTCAATAGTGTTAGCCACTGCACCAATATGCAGCCTGGAAATCTTTTAAAGTTTTTTTTTGTATTGACAAAAGATAAAAACAAAACAATAAAAACAACCAACATAGAAAAAATAACAGCATCTGTTTTTTAAACTCGTAATTTCTTCTTGTTTTTTTGTATCATTGTGATCATATGAGGGAAGTGCAGTACTAAGGCATAATGACTAAACTAGTAAATGCTTTTAATAAAAAAAAAAAATAAAAAAAATAATTTTTTTCCAAGAGGTGAGTACTTTAATAGCATCATGTGATTAATGTTATAAAATTACAATGCTCCTTTTGATGGGTGTTCACCATGATGTGGTTTTTACACTTAAGACGTACATTGTAACCTAATCCTCATTCATGTTGTGATAGAGTTTTTGAAAACAGAGGGAGAGTTTGACATCAGTCATACTAATCTTCATGTCCATCAGAAACAGATTATCACATAGCCAGTGCTCTCTTTTTAGTCTCAGTGACTCCATCAAAGGCCTGCATGCATGAGAATTTGTGAAGCGAGCGGGGAAAATCGAGCTAGACCAAACAGCCGAGCTCCAACAAGTCCGCTCCCACTGTTATTCTGTGGTTAGTTTCATGGTCAGAAAATAAACAAAAGCGGTTTAAACTGTGGAGCCAGAAACAGTTTAACCCCAGGCCTTTTAGAAATTACAGAAATAACAAAAATAAGACATTTGGCTGTTGTTCTTTTTTTCACCGCCGCAGTAGAGGAACCCCAAGAATCCCGTCTGGAGCCTTGTGAGTCACATGTCCGTGTTACGGTGCTTACATTCTGCTCTCAGAGGGAAAAACCTCATCATTTGCATCAAAGAGAGAGCTCCCATATTTCTCTCAAACACAGAGAGAAAGGGAAGCGAGAGGGGGAGAAGTGGAAATGGGAGATATTCTTTCATCTGCAGACTTCCTTTAAGATGGACAGTGAGCATTACTGGAGAAGAACATATGCTATATATTAGACTCTCTCATCTGAATACAAAAGCAGTTGGAAGAGGGGCCTGAGACTGTGTGCCGAGTCCATCAGAAAGATTGGTCACAGTCAACTGGATGGAGTTTGGGTCAGAGCCAATGCTACATAAAGAATTATATTTGACTTGTTATGTAAAAACAAGCGTCAAACTGAGTCTCACACCTTTGATGTGAAGCACAATACTCCAATACTGTTTTCCTGTAGATGTCGGGTTATGCAGAAAACAGCTTGATTGTATGACATCTGGAGGACATGGCAGATAAACATGACTACACTTTCAATGGATTTAGCCGTAATAACAAAAAAACTACAAGTAGCTGCGTGACTTCTCGAGATTTCCGGGTTAGATATCTATCTCTGGTTTGCGTCTACATGACAGTCAAAACAAAAGCTAGCAAACACAGGGCTCTCTTTCATGAATCCTGTATTTCATGTCTCTGTGTAAGTCAGTGTGGAGTAGCAACTTGAGCATTCGATCAACCAATCAATCAATCAATCAATCAATCAATCAATCAATCAATCAATCAATCAATCAATCAATCAATCAATCAATCAATCAATCAATCAAACAAACAAACAAACATCATCTTCCCTGACAGTAGCTCCAGGATTACAAGTCAGTTAAACACATCATTAATATTCCCACTGGTGTAGGCCTGAAATCCTGATCATATGTTGTGTCTGAGCTGTAGCGCCGTCAGCTGCCACTGGTTGGAGCCACTGCCACAATATCATAAGGCTTTAAAAAGGCTGAGATTAGACCAAAGTATTGCATCTCGTTGCGTGACGTATTTTGGTCCAGAAAAAGGAGATAAGAATGGCTCAATCCAACTTAACCGGAGTATGCTATCTTCTAGATTTGAAGTGTTTTAGTCATGCATTGAGCTAACAAACACTGGTGCGTATTATATGTAAGCCAATAAAGTAGTTTTGTGCCGTCACATGACTGAAATGCAGCTGTTTTTGCAACTTAAGAGCTTGTAAGATGAAGTCTCAAACTGAATGCTAACCATTTTAAAATCTAACTGAACGGTTAGTTTGTAATGCTAGTTTGACGCTCCATCCTGAAAGTCTGACTTCATTCACAGAAATGTGTGTAGATTGTTGTCTATTGAAGCAAAAAGCACATATTGAAATACCAATGAAGAGGACAATTACATCTTTACAGCTACTTGAATTTAGAGATGCACTGATCCATTTTTTTCCGATCCAATCCAATACCGATACCTGGGCTCAATGTATCAGCTGATATCAGACATCGATCCAATACTACTGTTGAATGAATAAACTTTATACCTTGCCCTGTGAGTCAAAGCATCAGGCTTTACTTAATATCATTTATAAACAAATAATAAATTGCACACTAGCACACAGCAAAAAGAAGTAAGACTTCTTTGTAAACGTTTTGTGCAAAAGGATAGACAGACATGGTGTAACAGAGCTGCAGACAGAGTGAACAGAATCACTGTTTTGCTGTGTATGATATTAATTCAAAGGAAAAAAGACTGAAACGGAACGCTGGATCAGCATCATTCATCAGATATCTGATCCAGTTAATTTGTCAATATCAGAGCCAATATCCGATCCAAATATCGGATCGGTGCATCCCTACTTGAATTATTGCAAGGAAACGTGCTATAAATATACCCTTTCCCTGGAAAACGAACTTTCGAAGTTCAACTACTTCCAATTGAATGAGTCGCGTTATAGTTTAATATGTTGGTTGTGAAAGTAGTATTAAGCTCAAAGCACATCTGCACATACAGCTTCACAGAGCCATTAGCATGGCTGTAGACTTCTATCATAGTGGTAGCTAAAGGGGCCAATGGGAGAGAAAGTGCCCATCGTTTACAAAGAATTCATCATCATGGTTTTAGTGACCCTCTTAGTCGTCACCTCACTGTGAAGGTTTATTTGATTTACCAAGAGGAGAGAAGATTAGAGTGAAGGAGAGAAAGAAGCAAGGAAGCAAAGCACAGCTTCTACCATTTTTTTCATAAATCTCATCGCAGAAATCAGAGGGAAGACAAACAAAAGAAGACAGGAACCAAAGAAAAATCATTAACACTGGAGGAGAAGACTAAATAAATGACAAAAACGTGACGTCAAGTGAACAAAGTTAAAGGGACCAGGTGCTGGACAAGTCCGCTTTATTCAAACCCCTCAGGCCTCACTTCTTTTCTCTGCAGTCAATTTAACAGGCTGAGTGACAGGTTCACCCACGGCCATCCTGAACCTTCCTTTAAGCCAGAGCAAGACTTACTCTGTTTTATACAGCAGAGATCAAGATAAAGGACCTAGCTACCAAGTGCAGTCCTAATCCTTCAAAGCAGATAGACGTACTTGAAACAATGGCTGTGAGTTATTCAATACAACCTGGAATAAACAGAGGTCCCTATGGAAACGACACAGAGTGAACCCTGGTGTGTGTATCCACCAGAAAGCAGCATGGAACAGATTTGGAAATGTCTGCAGACAAAGAGCACTTAAATCATTCTGATGGATGAGCTACTTCACATACACTCACACCACAGATGCAGTTTCTACTCAGATATGCCAATGAATTATCATCACACAATGCCCTTTGAATCTGGAGAGATAAATTATTCACCTCTTTAGGTTTTAACTCTCTGTCTGAGGGTGACGCAGACAGGCAGACCAGATGTTCAACTTCACTGCCCATTAAAAGTTTGATCATATTTCAAGGGTAACATTGGAAATGTTAATGAAGACAGCTTGAGTCTGATTATCAACACAGCCTGAGTCCCTTATCTCACCTGTGGTGCCCATTAAGAGAACTTGTTTGTCATTATCACTTTAAGAAAAAAATCAAAACCACATTTTCCTTCAAACTAAGAATATATTTGCATGTTGCAAGGAAGGAGAAGGAGAAGTTGATGCTGAATAAAACCAGACTAAAGTACACGAGTGTTTTGTTTGACTACTGAAGGAAAACATTGTTTTACATGTGCAAAAGGTCAACGGTCATGTTTTTCCCCCTCTTGCGAGACTGAAAGAAGAATCAGAGCTCAGAAACATCTGTAAAACTCAAGTCTTTAAAACTGGCCGCTCACTTACATTTAAATGGAACTTGCATTGAAAACACCTTTAAATGTAATCACTTTCAAAGAAGCACCGTTCTGATCATCCTCATTGTTTTTCTTGTAAGAGCTAAATCATATCTTTAAAGCTCCTGTGAAGAACCTTTGATTTGTGCCAATTTTGGCGCCCCTCTGTGGCCAAAGCAATCTTGGCTTATCATGTCCTTCCGACTTTTGACAGTCAAATGTTTCATTTAGAGTGACTGTTTTATGTGGATTGTAAAAACAGGACCAATTCTTAAGCTGCCCAGCAGACATGTACCCTCTCACACTGGTGTCAGTCATTAAGAATTAGGAAATAGAAACCTCCAGATATCACATAAAACACGGATATAAATTCAGTCTATTTCATAAACGTATCTAAAAAAATCCTCATAGAAGCTGCAGTTTGTCGCTAATGTAGCTAACATTGAAAACACCAGTAAAGACTCGATTTGTTGTGGATTCGCTTCACCAGGCGGTTCAGTCATTTTCTGTATTTGAAGAGATTCATTGAACTATTACTGTTCAGGGTCATGAGTGAAAATGGCAGTACACATGGAGTTTACATACAGTATGTTTACATGTTGCTCAAAATAATAGATTTATCCCCTCAGTTCTAGTGAAACAAGCAAACACACCAGTCTGACCGAGAATGAACTTCTCATTGTTGGACTAACATCCTTGGATAATGTGGTTGGGGATCAGATTCCCTGTCATGTATATGGTTCAATCAAACTGAAACTGGCCTAGATGTCCTGCCAATATCTACACACCAGGCTCTGAGCTGGCTGTTGAACACTATGGGAACGTTGCTGGGAAGCCAGGTAGTAAACAAAACCCTGACAGACAAAGAAACGTAGTGAATAAGACAACCTTTCCTATAGTACAAACAAACAGTAGAGTGATAAAAGTGACCGTGTTTTCATCGTTTATCCTGTTCGCCTCTTGCTAACCCACCCCCACAGTACCAAATAATCTGGGCCTAGCATCAGCACTGACCAAGTAGAAACTGGGATGCACCCCAAAATCCCCCCAATAAATTGGCATGATCGCCCCGAAGTAGGTCCAGGCTAATGTGACTAGAAAAAGTTAAGTATTCAGCCTTACCTTGGCTCAGAAATTCATCCATCTTGTCCTTAAAGGGCTGCAGGTCCCCTTCAGAGGACGATTGGCAAACTTTCGCCGTCTCGCTTGAGCACACTAAAACAACAAGAGAATTTCATGATGAGAGGATAAAACAAAAAATATTTTAGATAAATAACACTCAATCAAGGATTTGTGCTGAAATGTCTAACTCCGCAGTGCACTTGACCCTGGCTGAGCTTGCAAGCAATCATAAATCTCCGCTGGATTTCTGCTGAGTAAGTGTTGGCAAGGACATAATGACACGTAATGACTAATAAGGTACCCCATGATCCAGGAAGGCCCGCGTACTGCTCCCAGGAGAAATTTATGGTCATGCTCTATATGCAACCATAACAGATACACAAACTCCACTCAAGACCTTAAAAGTGGAGAGGCCATGAAACCCTTAAAGGAACGAGGAGGTCGAGCTTGGGCAAGTGGTAATTCAGAGACCATCTGTTGCTCGGCTAGAAAGGCACACAGCCATCCCTCTCCACTGCACGGCTTGCTCAAGTCCTTCGGGCTAGCCAAGGCCATTTCTGCGCCGCCTACCTATCGGAACCCCCCGCTGGGAACTGTCATCAAAGCCCAGGTCTGCTAGAGCACTCAGCTGGCTCTGCGAAGTAATGAAGAGGTCTGCAGGTACAGCATGTGATGATGTATTTATGCACGGCCGGCATGTGCCACTGCCACCGGGGTCAGAGCAGACGTAAGTCCATTTCCCCTGCGAGCAACTCCATCTTTATGAATTGCAAATAATGAACAGCCTAAAGAATCATTATGGTCGAGGAAAAACAATATTTGGCATCACAGACCAGGCACCTGATTGGTTTAACAGCAAAGATACATAAAATGTGATAGAGAACAGACCAGGTTTGGGGAATTGCCGATAGAGCTGCTCAAGCACTAACTCACATAAACACACACATTCTTACTCACACATGTGCACACATAGGTTTACACAAAAATACACAGTCGTTTGTTACCACCTGCAGGCACTTCAGGTTTTGGAAAGTGTTCTGAGTGCCGAGTGACTTGAGACAGAGTCATGAAAGGGAATATTTCCCGATTGGCTCATTCATTAAGACTCTTTTCACTCAAACAATCAGTTTAGCATGTCAAGCATAATCCAATTTCCACACTCTGCACACTCCTGAAGCCTTCATATGCACTGACACATTCATTCATGCGCAAGTTATGCTACTAATCATGTGAAGTGTTTGCATTTTTACATGTTTAAATTTTAGTTAAAAGCCCCTGCAAAGAGAAACACACGTGTAGCGTAGTATGGTGGTGTTTTGATAAATTTGGAGTTCACCAAAGTTGGTAAAAATTAAGTGTCATATCAGATTTAGCGACTAAGCTAGAAGTATAACCAGGGAACTTATCGAACAAGAAACAAATGAATTATTGAGGAAATGTGAAAATTTAAATCATCAAATGTTGCACAATTTGACATAAAACAGACATCCAGATGTGCAAAGGTTTACAAAAAACTTTTTTTTCTTTATACTCTTATTTCATAAAACATTTTTTAATATCTGTACACTCATGCTACAACATCCTCGCTGGTTATAGCTATTAACAAAACTTAATTTCTTGTAAGCAAATTGCTCAGTGCGGCACTTTAAAGACTATTAATTATTTTAAGAAACTAAGACCAAAATCATATATTTAATTTATGTAAGTCAGTTTCCCTCACATGCTCATTGGTTGCAACTTTCATTACATTACTCATTATTTTGCTAAAACGCATATCTAGAAAACATCTTGAATTTCTATGAGCGTATATTGCAACAGTCGACTTAGCTATGTGTTTGAGGGTGTGCAAAATACCCCTAATCTGCCTGAAGAGCCTGTGTGAGTCTTAAAACAAAGGTAATGCTGCGTGTGTGAAAATATATCAGATTATGACTAAAAAGAAAAAATAATGGCAAAATATTAAATTAATTTAATTTCCACTTGTATAATAATAAAAAACAATGTCCATCAGGCTGTATGTAACCGTGGATCCCACAAAAAGACCCCCTTTTATTTTTTACACACACAACCAGCATAATAACACGCAGGGGTCCGTAGGTTTTACTGCTTTGTGATGGTTTGCAGCTCACTGAATGATGTGTTTCAAAGCTGAAGGACAACCTCTGCTAGCTCACTGAAAAGCTGATGAACCTTTCAAAATGTCCACAGGTAAAATAAGAACCCTGACCCTTTGCCTTTTATGTTTTGATCTCTATTTCATGAGGACAGTAGAGGCACACAAGTTCCAACAGGAGTCAACATCTGACGAGTCACATCTGCTTCTGCTTAGCTCGTCTGTACGACAAACAGATGATATCTCTCTGTTGACCCGCTTCTCCAATCCAGCCATGACTGAGGCTGGTCAAATTTGGAAAATTTATTTTTTATTGCGCAAGAAGTTATGCATAGATCTATAAATCATTTATCGCAACATAAATTTCTATGATTTTCTATGATAAACTGTAGACATGATATGACATTAACAGTAAACGTATGGCATAGCCAGGTTGTTACTACCTCATAGTTGTAGCTAGGTAGTATGTAAGTTTTGGATATGCTAAGATGACTAAGGATAACCGGGAAACATAGGTCGGTAACTCACCATTGAGATCTTTCCTCAGTTTGCGCAAATCTCTTTGAAAGTCGTCAAACTTCATCTGGGAGGCCTGAAAAAGGTCGTGGGGCTCGGGCAGAGGGTAGACGCACGTTTCTCTGCCAGCATCCTGGTAAAGCACAACACACATCATTGCACAAAAAGCACACACAGCAATGTCAAAGTCAATCTTCTTCAAATGGGAAGGGGCCTCTCTAGTATATACTAAACACACCAAGCAAGATTGGAATAAATGTCTTCAGAGACCTACATGTGCTTATCAGCAGTGCAAACACTGCAGAGAAGATACGGCTGAAACTGCAGCAGATAATGACCATTAAGCTCTGTGCAGAAAGTACCCTGTATTTCTCTCCTGCAGAGTTACTACAAGGCCATTATGAATGCTGGAGCCATGTCATGCAGGTTGATTTTGGCGAGCTGCACTTTACTGAGTTCATCTCATCTGGAGAGCCTAATTATTTACACTAGCGCTCCTTTGGATGCTGTGCCAACGAACAGACTGCAGGTCTGAATGAACCCAGAACAAAGCAGAGCGAGAGCAGGAGATGAAGAGTGAAAGACAGAAAAGGGAATTAAAAGAGAGCAAGAGCAAGGAGAGAGATTTGTTCCTGTCTAAAATGAGGAGAGAGAAAATAAATAATTTGATAAAGGATAAGCCATGGTATCCTCTGGCAAGAGAGGAGATGAAAAGAAAGCTCTGGAAGGATTTCTAAGCAAATCAGACTCAAACAGAAAAGTGATTCAAATAAACAGAGACCAAAACATACCTCATCAAAGTGCCTTAGATAGTAAGCAACAATGTAGGACAAAAGGCTCTGGGAGTTATCCTGAAAGAAAAGAGAGAGGTCTAAATAAATAAACCAAATTCCCTTTATTTATTAATTTAATCATGGCCGAGCAGGACGTTTTAATTTGCGCAAGGCAAACAAGAATAGACACAGCGGTCACAGACGTTGGGCATAAATCTTGACATTGGAAGAGCAAAACAACAAAACATAACTGAGCTGGGCCGGCTGTCATAACTCAGAGTTGGTGGAAAGTTTGATGTTCTTTATGGATACCTTACTCGGTCCACCACCGCAAAAACACAAACCGCTGTGTCCTTATATGGCTGTGCCAGGGGCACACTGAGCACGCTGTGATATTGAGTAAGAACATTAAAAAAAACATCACCCAAGTCTGTACAGCTAAGATCCTCATGCTTGGCTGCTTCGAATGTTCCTCTTTCTAATTTACTTAATTTTCAGTTCTGGACCCTAACAAATGGGAAGATTTTAAAACAGATCTTGATTAGGATTTATAATTTTCCTACATCACTTTAAATTTGCACAATCTGATGAAACTTATTTTCTGTTGGGATTATAACTCACCATAGTCAGGGCACAACAGAAATCTTTCACATTTTGGCTGCTCTGTCTTATCATTCAGTTATCACGTTCCTCTGCTCTTACTTTTTTAACTTCAAAATATCAAAATAAATATATTTTTTCCATGTTTCATTCTTTAAAGACTCAAGAAGTAAATGTGTCTTTGGAAGTTGTGAAAAAAAAAATCAACAAAACGAGCAACAAATAAAAATATGGGTAACACTTCACCTGACGCTTATCTCTATAACCCATTATAAATATACTTATAATGCATTATAATCACGTTATAGCACTGTATAACTATAGTTTTAAACACTCATAAATGATCATAATGCTTTATAGCAATAATCATAACACATTATAAAGCATTTTATCATGACTTACAAGATCAGGTATTATAATGTGTTATACGTATTGTTATATAGCCTTGTGATAATGAGTGTTTATAATGATAGTTAAAGTTTATAAGCAACTTATGACTCATAATTAATATATGTTTAGTGCATTATCCATGTGGGCATTGTCAGTGAGTTGTTAACAGTTATAACACATTATAATACCTGACCTTGTAAGTCATGATAACATGCTTTATAATGTGTTATGATTATTGCTTTAAAGCATTATGATCATTTTATAAGTGTTTATAACTATAGTTAAACAGTGCTATAACGTGATTATAATGCATTATACATATATTTATGATGTGTTATAAAGGTGGGTGTCAAGTAAAGTGTTACCAAAATATGCAACACCAAAGTGCCAAAAAAGCTTCCTGAAACCTTTTGCAGCAAAGCTGATTGAATTAGTTGAAGCTGCACCTCGATAAACAAATCAGAAGCCTTTGCTTTTTCTACCCTAAGACACCCCCTGGGATCACCACCGACAATAATGAGACACAATGTAAGATTAATATTAAACGCAAAATTACCCCCTTAGTAAGTGCAATAATATCATAAATGTTCTTTCACCCCTCAGACTGCAATAAATACGCTTCTTCGATTTCCAATACTATCCTCTTTTTCAGTCTGAGTGCCTGAAAATATCAGGTCCTGAATGACCTTGAATTATCTGGATAATGTCAGGCGTTCATGTGTGAAATGAGGTTTTAGAGTGAGGAATGTTTACTTTAACTTCTGTGACACACAGACTCACACTGCTCTTCACGTCCTTCAGTTTTGGCAGGATGTCCAAGGTGAAGCCGTCAGCCTGCCCTCGGGACCGATTGCCTCCGTTCATGAAGTTGCCAAAAGCCAGCACCAGACCAAGCACCTGCAGCACACACTGACCAGTCTGCAGAGTCTGGTGCACACACACACAAACACAGAGTATTGCACATAATCAAAATAATGTAGACGTGAAGGCCAAGAGCAGAGAAAGAGGAAGGCCAGTGTCTCACCTTGCAGACCCTCTGAAGGATTTCTATTTTGCGGAGGATCGAGGTGATACATTCATGGAAAGTTGACTGGAACAGGATGCAGAACACTCGCTCAGAGAAGTTTGGGATTTGGGATAACTGGAGTAAAAACCTGACAGAGAATCAAAGTCAATCACATCGATATATTTAAAGAGCAGCTCTCAGACAACATATTTGGTTTAATGCTTACTGTTCAGGCTTGTCCAGAGGCTTGGTGTCCTCTTTGCCTTTGGATGCTTGAATATGCTTATTAATGCCATCCATCTCATCGGGTTGTGCTCTCTGTCCATAAAAAAAGTTAAACTGAGCATCAGAATTGCTGACTTGACTACAATCTGCGCATAGTTTGATCATAGAAACATCAGGAACTGTTAGAAATTAAGGCTCTGATGCCAAACACATTGGCATAAACTAGAGTTGTGCGTGTCCGACCAGATGTGGTAAACATACAAGTGTGGTGTTCAAACACATTCCTCTGTGTTTCTTTTGTACTTGTATTGGAGGTATATGTTTTGCTGCGTTATAAACCTTGGTAACCAACAGCGTAAATAAACTTGGAGAAGGAATATAGAATCTATTTCATTTGTGGTGTAACCCTTAAACCATGAAACAAACATGAAAGAAAGTAAAACAGGACAATGACAGGAGGGAAGAGGATAGAGGGGATGTTCATCATCTCCTGATCACTTGCCACAACTCCTTCCTGAACAATGCTTCATTCTTGGAAAATATAACCAACTTTATATTTTACAGATATTGTACAGATACTGAGATTGCTCAAAGCTAAATCATGCACTGTGCATGTTTGGATAGGGAGATGTGAACATTGGCTCCTCTTCAGGGGAGACTGTGCAGAGTGACACAGCTGAAACTATGCCAGATTTACTGTGCATTGCAATAGCCTGCCTTCCTGTGCAAAGCATTTTGGGATATGAAGCCATGCAAGCAAAGCTGGTGCACCTCTTAATCATGTCATGTCAGTAAACAGTGGTTTACTATTAAGTATTTAAACCCTGTGGGATGTCGGCTCAGTTGAAAAGACTCCTGTTTCAGAGGCAACTGACAAGCAGAGGTGGGCGGCACATCTTCTAATTATCTGTCCAAACAATAAGACTCACTTATTAACACTCTGTGCAGAGGTTTACAATCATGATGAATTTTATAGCAACACTTTAAACAGACCACAAATACTGCATCAAAAGCACATTTATAAAGCTTTATGGCTGCATCTGTAAAGCTTTATGAAAAAAATGTGTCATTAATACTCTTAATATGGTATAGCATGGCCTTTGGTGCTTTTTCAGGGGCCCACAGTCTTAGATACACTTAATAAAAGTGAAAAGAAGACATGCTACTTTTTAAATTTCAAACAAATGGGGACAGTTGTTCAAAGGCCCATGTTTTGTTGAAATGAAACAGATTTTTTGAGTCAAAATTGTACTTAGGGCTTGATTTGTTTATATACTAAATGAGTTCCCTACGAAGTTTTATAAGTGGATAAAGTTGTAGAGGTCATGATGTGTTACGAAACCAAGAATTTAAAAGATGCTTTTCTTAGTTTTGCATTTAAGTATGTTTAGAGTCAAGCTGTATTAAAATCTTCATTTGGCATTATATTTACTGCCTAAAACCCTTCATAAACATTGCTATAAGCTGCTATAAATTCTTATTTATAAGGATATTGAGATCTGTAAAGCTTCATAAATGTGCTAGTAATGCATAAGAAATGGTGGGTTACTTACATCTTTTCGTCATAAGATTATACCAAAAACTGACAAATTACAGATAGTAAAGATGTAAATAAAAGGTGACACTTTTAACTGCTATCGATCAGTCTCCTAATCCATTAGCTATCCTTAACATATAAAGCATTTGGGAGCAACAGTGAACTTTTGAAAGCTATGCATGAAGCAGTCAGACATAAGGGACTTCTGGTAAAGACTTGCTCTTTGTGTGTGCCATTGTTTACAGTCTAACTAGTGTTGGTGCAGTTGTGTTGAGAAATGGCAAAAATGAGGAGATTATCAACTCCACTTGTATGCAGGTGTCTGTTCGTAGACATGATTTAAGGTCAAGCTGTAGGAACTTTTTCATGGTTCTGGAAACTGCAGGATCCCTCCCTTTTCTAATTGTTTCCACACCAGATAAACTATGGGCTGTTTTAGTTCCTAGAACCCAATAAAGTGAATTTTTTTAGTTCCTGCTCCAGAGTAGGTACTTTGAATAACTTAAGTGCACAGTGATTGGTCCATAAGTGACTGTTTGTTGATTGGTTGAACATAACCACTATTTTTAAATCACACTGAAAACATTAGCAAAAATCAGAAAATAATAGGTTGGCAAAAGCTCTTAAAATTGTTCATAATAGAAAAAAAGAACAACAAATAAACCAACAATGAAGTCCAGGCTTTTGAGTGTTTATGTAAAGGAGAAGATTCAATTACAATGTGATTTTGGCTTGGCAAGGCTTTTTTAAAATCTTTGAAAGTATTTCCTGAGAGTTAGCTTCACTGGGTACCAACTACAAGGAGAGGGAGTGTTGTAAGAACTCAGACAAGACTACAGAATGTAAAAGACCACAGCAAAGTGGATCTGATAAAAGCTAGCAGGTTATCTGCCATGCTGAACACAACTCAGAGGTTTCTATTGGTCTCATTATCATGGTGATGTGAATGCATATAGAGAAAAAGTCTAATGCTGTGTAATTATCAGGGGACTCTCCGGAAAATAGTTCCTCTTCAAAATGTTGTTTGGTCCAAAAGCATCAATGTTATGATAGCTGGTGTGTTACAGTATAGCATTGTGTTATGACTCTTTTATTTCCACACAGACTGTTTCACTGTGAACAGCCAAAGCATGCTGAGATGACAGCACAACACTGCTCAGACTCAATTGAAGCCAGAGCTCCTCTGATGCCCCTGTGGAGTCCTGCACCAACAGATTTAGCATTTCTATGCAGTATCTGTAAGATTGGCTATCTGCTCTGCTTACCTTAAATTTATGCTGATGTTGATAGCAGTATAGGATAAAAAAAACTACTAAAGACATCTCTGAGGAGACTGATTTTGTCATCAATTGTCTTCCTGTCTGGCGAACTTGAGCTTCAAAAACTGAGAAAGTATTCTCAAACCACCTTTTTTTTTTTTGCTATAACTCAACCGTATGTCAATCTCCACAGTATACATTTCAGAAATGCTAAAGCGCTGCCCCCAGCCAGACTACATTCCTGACTGTTATCCTGCTGTCAGGCTCTGGACCACAGTTTTATACAAGGTGGTAGAAAAAAACAACAGGCTAGATATGCCCCTTCATTTCACAAGAGGCAAAGACAATAGATGTTAATGTGTCTGACGCAGATGGGCCAAACAATAAAACCATCCCCAGGAAGAAAATGTAAACTCTCTCTCAGCCTGCAGACCCCCAAAGAGTCTCAGCCGTCTGGTCTCTCCTTCTGTTTCTCTCCATCCTTCTCTCTGGAGTTCAACCTCGGCATGGATCCTTGGAAAACTTCAAACACCGGCATCAAACGCACTGAGGGCCCGATTAGTATTCTACACACCGCTGCCTTCTGTCGACGAGGGCAAGCTCTCCTTCGCCTTCTCTCGAGATGTTTTCAAGTGTAAATATATTTAATACAAAGCAGATCCTTTTCAAAGGGCAGCAGCTGAGCCCAGCAGTGTTTGGTGTAATTGGGGACAAGTAGGCATTAGCGTGTGATCTTTGAATTGCTAGGGCATGTTGCAGTGGTTGTTAGCATGAGAAATGCAGTCCCATGTGGAATATCAAATGCAAAGGGGAAAAAGTGGGATGATATTTGGGATGCCAGAATTCGAGTGGTAGCCAAGTGGTATTCATTAGTCAGGTTTCTAACACAGGCCTAAACAGAGCCAGCCAGGGCTCAATCACTATTTATGTCACTCAATTTTCAATGGAACAACATTTATGAGATTATTTGTACATTAAGCTGCCAAAGGATGGTGTCCAAATGACATATTGCATCATGTAATAAACATGTCAGATATGTTTATGAATCACCAGGCCATGCAGTGGACAAAAAAAAAAGAAGTATGAGGTGATTATTTGTAGTTTGGAGGAGGGACTTTGGCTTCGACTGACCTCTGTGACATTTAGCTACTGTCAGCTGAAAGGAGTCTGAACTTCAGACATCCAGTCTGGGCCCAGATTATAGCTTGTGATATTAGAGGGGAGGGAGTGGTGTCCCACTATCACTGTGACCCCTTAAATGGCGGAGGCTTATTGTTCAAAGACCAGGAGTGGCTATAATCCGCGAGCTCATAGACTGAGCGACTCTGTCCCTTTGCCTGTGTGTGTGTTTCTGTGTGCGAGTGTGCAGCAGCAGCAGCAGCACAGTGTGTGCACGTTTGTGTGGGTCAAATTGTTTGTTTGTGAGCATGTTTGTGTGTGTGTGTGTGTGAGACAGAAAAGAGAGTGAGGGAGAGCAGTGTGTGATCTGGTTCCTAGCGCAGTGAGCGAGGGTGTAACCATTAGAAGCCCCTTGCATTCCTCAAGACAGGCTGACTGTGCTGCCAACTGTGGTTTAGGGGGCTGGAGACCCACAGACAGGATGGAGTCTCGCAATACAAAAGAGAAACAATTTGGCTCCTCGACTCAATAACACAGCCTCGGGCCATCAGGGGGAGAAGGAGAGAGAGAGAGAGAGAGAAAGGGAAAGAGAGAGAGAGAGAGGGAGGGAGAAAGAGAGAGAGAGAGAGGGAGAGAGAGGGCTTGAAGTCCCGGGTGAGCGGGGAGGTTAGAAGACTTTTGATCCTCAGTTATGACACATTGGTTCATAACTGCAGCTTGTCTCGAGCCTCCGTCTCATTCCCATGATCAACATTATTAATATGCCTCTGGCAGCCAAAGGACCAGGCCTCTCCTGTGTAGTTGTGCCAAAAAGCAATTCGCAGGAATTTCACAGCATCTTAAAACTGTATTCTTGGTGAAATGTGGAAAACATGCCCGTTTTTCATGTTCCATTATTTACTGACCTGACTTCGAACGTAGACTGAACTGTTTCCACCGGGCAGGGGAAAGACTTCCTATCAGTGAAGGTTGATGAATATGTATTTATCGTATACAAGGAGCCCTTCAGAGCCAAAAATGGAGAGACATATTGGAAAGAAGCGATGACAGCTCCATAACTCTATTTATGCAAGTATTATACAACACAATGTGGTCATTTCACCCGACAAAAGCTCCACGTACTCTTTCTTTCTTTCTTTCTTTCTCTTTTAAAACCACATGAGGACCTTGAAGAAGAGCTGCACGACACAAACACTACACTTTCCCTATTATTCCCATCGCATTCTCAAGGAAAACATGTTTACTACATGAAAAAGTTTCAGCAGACAGACCTACACAAGGCCGATTCTGTCGCCAAACAGCACACATACCAGTAGGGTTTGTGGCGGGCCTGTTTGTTTTGGTGTCTAACGCACACTTCCTTGAGTTCAATCTTTCAAGTGGAACGTGAATTAAGAACTCCACATAAGGGAAATATGTACACAGTGAGGTAACATTTCTGACTGACAGCTTAAAAACCATGTCGCTTTGTATAATCAACACACAAATTTAATTAAAAGTGTTTTTCTCCCTCCCACCTACACTGTATACATACGTTCAGACCCTCATAATCTTCAAAAGGCTCCTTTTGATGGATAGCACTTGGTGTTTTGTGGTTTACCGTCAGGGAAGTGCCAAATAAAACATCACTAACAGTTGATGAGAGATTTTTTCACCATTCTGTTGATATCAAGACTTGTTGAGTCCTCTTAGGTTTCATTTTGTAATAAAATGATTGCCTGTTATTCATATATGGCATGAATAGTGTAACCATAAATCATCCTATTTGTCACAAGGAGACTGTTCCAAAATAATACTTCAGCTGAAAACCACAGAAGGAGAAGAAAAAAAAAAAGGTTTTCCCAGAGTGAATATTGCAGTCGAGATCAGCCTGAGCTGTCACTGGTGTTACTTTGTATAATTATCCTGGGTTTGTTGCTCAACACTGTGTATTTTTACGATTCTGCACTGGCAGGAAATTGCAGAAATGGATTTCAGTTTGGAGATATTGTCTTTTCGCTGTTTTATTGACTTTGCTGAAACCACTGTCCACATGAGCCATAAAAATACCGTCTTCAAAGTCAAAAATTTGCAAGGTTTAAAAATGTTTATTACTGCTGTAACCAGAAAGACATAGCTACGATTCCAAAGACCGCTTAAGTGCTTTTTTTTTTTTTTTTCTACTCACGTTTTCATAAAGGGCGTGCAGAGTCTCCAGGTCGACGACTGTGTTGTCCATATTAAGGACGGCTGTGGATGGAACCAGAGGATGACATGGTTAATGTGACTGTTTGCAGCAAAGCACGTCATGACATTTCTGTGCTGCCTTCAAGGAATAACGTCAAACAAATCAGAAATCAAACCGGCACAAACAGGCCTCAGTTTTCGTTAAACAATATTTATATTCACTGAAATCTTCTTCAATCTCAGGTTCTTTTGGCTTTCCTCTGGGATGAAACAAGGACAAAATTCTTCTGCGGAGTGTCATGTGCCGTCTGCTGTGAGTTACGTAGATATCAGCTCTCATCACTATAGCAAAGAAAGGGGGCCGCAAACTGAAAACATAAATATGGTGGTCTGAGAAATCTGTCAAAGGTACAGAGATCTCTGTTTGAACTCCTGTGTTTGAATTCCTGGTGTCGCCTTTTTGTCTCGGCGCAAGGACCTGGCGCCCGCGAGCATTAATCCTTTGAAAGTAAATGTTTAAAGACAAACAGAGCCCGGGGGTCTGCCACGTTGAGGCTGAGGTGTTGCTGTATGCACAACCGCTTTGGTAAGGCACTCGACACCTATATATGTGTTTTCACCGGGCTGTGAGTGGCCAAATTACTCACATTGTTTTGATCTGTTGATCTGCTGGAGAGGTTCAGAGGGGAGGGATGGTGTCATATGGGATAAAGAAACATGAAGTAATGGGTCCAATACACAATGTTCTCTTTACATCACAAATGAAGCTTGAACTTTGAGGCGTGAATTTCTTACAGACTGTCACCAACACGCAGAAGAAAGAAGGCATGAAAATGAATGACGATACAAGCTTATAGGAACAAAGTCTCATGTGACTTTTGTCCTCTTCCAGTAAATTCTGTCTCAAGTTTTTTGCCTGAATATCTGCCTTTATGTAATCCTTCAGCCTTTTAAATCTCTTCACTCCCTTTCCCCTTGTTCTTTGCCGTCACTCTCTAACCTCCTCACACTCTCTCCTCTTCTAAAGCCACCACAAAACAACTTCCCTCTCTTAGACGCTCCCCTCCTCTATTTCTCTCACTCTCCTCTTGTCACCATTTGGTTTTCATTACTATCTAAACCAGAGTCTGGCTGGGTTGCTTTGATTGGAGACGGATTTTTCACAAAGACATGGGAGAAAACCGTATCATCACTCTGACACAGAACTCTTTTGACCAAAAGGCAAACCCATCTGTCTGGGTCTACCCCGAGTACCACATTCAACCCCGGCATGGCGCCGCCAACCACCATATTATACTGAAGACAAAGCCTCGCAAGAAGCAGACGCAGCGCGGAAGTGTCCTATGAAACACGCAGAGTGTCGGCCAAGTCTGACAACAAACAATAACAGCTGTGAGGAAAAGAAAAATGTGTTCTCACTGAGCAATCAGGGCGTCATACAACAAACACGATCCAAATCAATGATTCAGATGTTGTTTTTTCTTTGAGTCAGAGATATGCGAGCGATGAGGCCTTTGATAGTCATTGTCTTCATCTTGAATTCAAGAGGAAATGAAACATGACTCACTGTATTGAGAAATTAATTAAAAAGTTTTGATGAGTTAATTTTCCCTATAAAAACAAAATGATCTGTAAACGTATTATAGCGCAAGGATGTATGAGATCATTTTAGAGATTGAAAAACAATGGAAATGCTAATACATAGTCTTCTAGGTCTTCTATTTTATGTGGTATAAAGATCGTTTTACAGCTTTTATAATGAAGGCCTAACACTTATTCACTTCAAATGCATTACTCAGCAAATAAAAAACACTTCTTGTCAGACTTGTTTGTCTAAGGGGGTGGGCAGTGCTGTTTTTGTGAATAACAAGCTCACACTTAAGCAGAAGTACTTCACCAAACCATTAAGATATCTTCTCTGTGATCTCACCCTCCATGATATACTGAAGTTTCCAATCAACACTAATTAGACTTGATGGTAAAAACTGTCCTAACATAGGAGACGAATGACAGCACTGATGAGAGTGGCCTTTTCTTGCCCTCCTGCTCTGTCCTGAGATGAATACACTCAAGACTGACCTAAAAACTTGAAAAAGAGAACGAATATTCACATAAAAGACACTGCAAATATGACACAAAACATCAGCAGAGAGTGAGTCACTGTACTGAAAAGTGTAGATAATGTACCAGCCTTAACTTCTGCTCTACAAAATGATTTATAGTGGGCTACCAAACTGCCAGGAGCATCCCGATAAAGATTTGAAGCTGTAATAAAAGGCTCTTCTGTCGGAGGCCTAAATAGAGCAGGGACATGAGGACGAGTGTTTAGACACATGGATGAGCGAAGACTGGAAAGCAATCAGAGAGTAACTCAAACAGGAAAACAGTCGGCTCCCATCATCGTCTCCTGAATGACTTCACTTTAACAAAGCCGTTTGGACAAGATGGTGACAACTCATCAGAGAAAGACCAAGAGAGGCGGAGGAACATGATGTGGGGGATTATTCATAATGAAAGCCGAGGAAAACAGAAGAGTGTAACAAAGGAAAGAAAATAGATGCCATAGATGAACTTATGATAATTACAAGAGGAAGGTTTGAGCTTGGGTGAATTCCTCGAGCCGTCTTACTCAAACATTAGCAGACTATGAATCAGTGGATATTGATGAACCTTAAAAAAGTGTGTCAATGCTATTGTTATTTCAAGTTTCGGTTGTTTCAGGTTGTGGTTGATGTCAGTTTTTGGTGTAATCACACTTAATGCTTTGATAAGAACTCACAGAGCCCCTTTGTTCACTTTTGAACAGGTCTCTAATTTCTGGGAAATGTAGGAGGCGTGCTCTGAAGTTAGCTGGCTTACTTAAACATACAGCAAACGGTTAACCACTAGTTGATTTTAGTACTGAAGTGTTTTTAGTAGGCTTTTCACATTTTCTTTCTTGGTTTTATATTACCTTCACAACATATTTTTTCAGGAAAAACGTAAAAGTGTAAAACAAAGTATGTTTTTTGGGCTCCTGAAAAAGTTAGCAGTCATGCTAGCAGCTCTATAAGGCACTGGTGTGACACAGATGTTTTCACGGCAAAATCATAGTATCAGCATGAGAAAATAGTTTCAGCTGTAATGCAGAGAAGCCAATTTTAAAGAGGTGTTAAGGTAAATGTTGGATGGCAGTGCTATACAGACGTAAAGATTTAGAGATATATCAGAATTTATTGAACTGTAAATCATGTAAAGCTGCAAATGAGCTATCAGAGGAACAATATAAATCTAAATGTAGATGAAGGTAATAGAAAGGTCAAGATAGGTAATAGAGAAAGATAAGTGAGTGGCTGAAGTTGGTCAGATTCTTTCTCTTAACATCTTCGGATCAAAGTAGGGGACAGGATAGCCAATCTAAAGCAAAGCCAATGTGGGCAAGTAAGAGTCACCAATACATCACTTTATTTTTATATTTGTATTTGTATTTCTATATTTAACTGGGAATAGAGGTTGGCTATTTTCTGTAACAGAAGTAAACTTAAAGAATAGGAAAGTATTAAACTGTTTGTGTTTTAGGCATTACAGTAGAAAGAAGAAAAGTTTTTAAAAACATCATAACACATTCAGAAAGGTCCAAACACATGTTACAGTTTCAGCTATCCTGGATTTTACAAAAACCTTATGTCAAGATATCTCTAGAAAAAAGCTATATGTGAGTGAACAGTGGATATATGATGATAAAGTAACATTTACCATTGTGAATGTCTTTCATATCCAGGTGAATGCTGGACATGAGAATTCCCACTGCCTGTGAGCGCTTATTGTTCAAGAGCTTCACCACCTGAAAGATAAGAAACAGAGACATGAGCAGCAGGGTTATACAAGGCCACAGAAAACAGATGTTATTAATACTTCTTATACAATGACACGCAAACAAACACACATCCAGACAACACACTTAATAAAAGAGTGGAAACACAAAACAGAAACATCGCTCCCCTTTGTCTGTCATTTTCTGTGGAAGGAAACCAAAGACCATTCAACCGCAGACATTAGGAAATTTAAATGATGTCTTGCTGAATTATGATGATTAATTATTTCTCCTTTTCCTCAATTTCTCCACATCCATCATCTTTGAGGAGAGCAAAAAGAAGTTTGAAAGATCCTTTTTTCAGTGAAGTGGAGTACTTAAACGTGAATTCAAGTCTTAAGCTTGTTAAACAAATACACTTTCAGGCAAAACCAATGTTTGCAGAGTACAAAAGAGCTCAAAAATGAGCAGGAATAACAAACATTAGCTGGATAACATTAGCATCCACTTGACAAAGGGCCAAGATTTGTAAATTAAGACAGTGTTTTTATTATGCATGAAAAAGCCCATCCAAGGGAGCTGTTAAGAACCACAGCTTGCCTGTGTAAGCACAAGTGTGCACAAAGTACCGAAATAGTGAAAGAACAGGACGTGAAACACTTCCATCTAAACCAGATCACACAGACCACAGACCCCCTCATACACACAGGAAATTATACAGAGCCAAATGTCTCAGTTTTCCCTTCTTAAACAGAGTTTTAAAGGACAAGGTGTTTATGACAGTGAAAAGCCTCCTCAGCAAGTCTAAGGTAGCTAGTGTCGCTACCTGTTCATTGATATTGAAAAAAAAAGTCATTATTCATATTTTATTAGCTGACCTAACAGTACAAATGTAAGGATACCATGGCAGAACATATTTTGGGGACCTACGTGATGTGAAAAAATGTGGACAGGGTTCTACGGTCAAGGATGGTTGTCGGAGGCCCCCGGCTCCAGCAATCAAACACCAAAGTACCTGAGGTATTTGAGTGACACAGCTCCAACACTCTAAAGGCTGATATGACCGGCTAAAGAAACTCATCCTAACAACAAATATGCAAAAAGAGGTTTTAATTATGTGAAACATGGTTGGTTAGTTTACCACACAGCCTGCGATGACAGAGGATCACTTCGGCTGGTTTGACATGTCTCTTAAATAACTCTTCCTTGCTGAGTATCTTTAGTATTATTTTCTAATAAAATACATCTGGATGCAAAAACAACACCGTATAATTAGAATCATTTACAAGAATAACCCTGTCAAGAAAAAAAAAACAAAATAAGAAATCTTCTGAATCATCTTTTAACAACCATATGGGATCCATGTGTCTGTGCTTTGCTTAAAACAAATCCTCAAAGTTAATAACATGTTCATCTTTTGATCCATTTCTTACTTCAGGTCTGACTTCTATGAGCCGAAGACTTTAAAAACCAATGGACAAACACAACAGCTCCCCTGAAGTGAAGCCAAAGCATTCACAGCTCCCCCTGGTGTCTGGCAGCAGTATAGCTTGTTAAGCCAACCCCCCTCTCTTTCAACAGATTGAACATGGATCAGACTAGAAAATTAAATACATCAAATGTTGTTTTTCAAGCAGGCTTTCTGTTATAGCAGATGGGTCTTATCATGCTGGTTTATGTGCAAGTGTTCATTAGGATTAGGGTTACATCATCAGTCTCATAAAATCACACTACAAGCTCCATAAAGTAGTGCATGTTTAAAGCAAAGTAAAAAAAGGAGTGTCTATGTATTTCAATTCTTTATTGCTGTAGGAATAAAAGTCTTACATCAGGCTTCCCTACATTTCACCTAATTACTACTTTTTAGGAGTATTTTGGAGCTTTAAAAGCAACAGAAGGTAGAGTTAATTAGAGTTAGCCCACCACACAAAACTGTCGGGGACTTTGCCAAATGAACTGTCCTCAAGTGCACCAGCAAACACATGTAAATGCAAACAACTTGCAAAGACTTGTTGGTGGTATAGCCCTGGTGGTTCCCACACTGGCTGGTTTCCATAATCCAGCTGTTCTTGTGATTAGTTAACAGCATTAGGTTGTCATCTGCCTCAGTCACAAGATCTGTCATGCAGGCTCCTGATGCACTGCTCACTTTATCATATTTGCTGCCATGGATATGAGATGAGACTTGAAAATCGTGGTTAGTTGCTGTTTGTGATGAGTGACAAATATTGTAACTGAAGAAGATGATAAGGTTAAACACAACAACTATTATAGAAACCAGTAAACATAGGAACCAGTATGTCAATAAAAACAGCTGGTAATTCTTCCTTTGTATGGCTGTGGTTCACCTCTGCCTTCTTTCCATTTTTATCGTACGTACACAGCTATAGCAGCCTCGCTATGTCTGTTAGTACACCCCGCTGCAAAACCGAAGATAATCATGGTTGAATCTGTGGGGAACTTGTGGACAAGAGTGTTCATTTAGCACTGAAACCCAGTACATGGGTTTGAAGGACAGGTGGTAGTTTTAACCTCAGCATCCCAGAATTGACATATAGCTAGAAATATGACCGCCTCATTACAATAGTCTGCTATTGGGGCTGAAGCAGTGGGTGTCTCAGCTCACAGGGTCATTTTAAATAACTGTTTTTATACATTTTTTGTCTGAAATGACACTTCCTGTTGAGTCACAACTTGGTCAATTCAAACCACACTGACACAAATGATTCACATAATGCGTCTTTGGTTTCTAGTTTGACCAACAACCTCCAGAGATATCATTATCTCTCATTGTCATTACAAAAAAATGTCAGCCAACGACAGAAATTGTCTGAGAATCTTCATGTTTTTTTCAGCTTAATGTAATGATGTCTGCTCACTCATGGTCACACCAACCAGCCATAACTTCAGCCGCCTAATGTTATACAGGCCTCCCTCTGTCATATCAGAACAAAACAACCCCAGCCTTACGAAATAAAAAGAAAAGAGTGCTGCAAGTATTGCGGCACACTCAACAAACTGTGATACTTTTTCATCTGAGGCAGCATCACCTTTTTCAGAGATCTGAGCTCCTGGGGCTCTTCTACTAGATCAAATCACACTTGCAGGTCTTTGCTCCTCACACACATCAGTGTGCCTTGGCCATGCATGACTCTGTCACTTGTTCACCACTTTTTTCACCACTGCAGACAGAGAACACCTCACAAAGGCTGCAATTTTGGCATCGCTCTGACCTTCTTGTCCAGCCATCACAATGTGGTCTTCATCAAGGTCGCTTACATCCTTACTCTCATCCATTGCCATTGCTTCCAGCACATGAGCTTTAAGGATAAAATGTTCACTAGCTACCAGTGTACCCCACCCACTGACAGGTGCCACTGAGAGGAGAAATCAGTGCCATTCACTTCACCTACTAGTGGTCATGATTTATGTATCTTGGTTATTACAACTGCTTATGAATATGCTTATCTGAAATTGTAGCCTACAGCTCCACACTAACTCAGTGGTAATGATATCCTTCTCCCAGAACATCATAGAACCTGCCATTCAAAAAAAAGTTCAACAAATATTAGCTGTGTTTACCTGGGCAACAGATAATTGGAATAAATGCCCGATCTGAATAAAAATGTACCATGTAAACATGTCGATCAGAAGATTTTGATCCAATTCGGCTCAATCGGAAAGAAATTGTATTTCGATCGAGAGGAGTGGTGTATGCTGATCGTTATTCCGAAACGCGTCCATGTAAACACTTATTCCGATCGTGACTCTGTTACCTGACTCGATCTTCACTCTTTAGCTCTTGGTTTATTTATTGAGGCCAGAACAGGAGGTTTCATTATTAATACTCTGGCATAAAACACAACAACATAAGACACAGGTGCCGTGTCTGCTCTTCCGGTAACATAACAAGGCGTACATACGGCGTAATGATGTCACATCTGCACGCACAGTGCAACTTATATAAGATCTATCTTATATATATATATATATATAGGGCGCCATCTAGTGACATTATTCAACAGGGGGAAAACTCATGAATTGGATGGAGTGAGCCACTACCTTGTTTGTTGGTTTGTTGACAGCACAGGCGTAAATACAACTCTTCTTCTGCGGTTGTTCTAGTGAAATCAGACAACTCTGTGCATGTCAATATGCTTCTAATCTGAATGAAGCTTTGTGCCTGTATACGCACATCATGATCGGATTATTTGATTTGCACCCATATGAACAGTGGATTCAGATTATCTCATACCTTAAATTTTTAATCGGATCAAGAAATTTTGCACATGTAAACATGGCTAGTGTGAACTTGTCAAAATTCCAGTGGGTTTGTCTTTTAACACAGGGCCAAGATTTTGATTGGATAAGCTGATTAAAACTATTCTGCAACAGCTGAGTAACTATTCTGGATATTATTAAAAAAGTCTCTGTTTTAAATCATCCAAAGGTTTAGGTTTGATTTATCAGTCCACAAGTTTTGAGCTGCAAGCTGTTGCTCATTGAAACATAGGGGGTTTTCTGCTTTATTTGTAAAGTTCAAATACACATCAATTGATCAAGTAATGGAGAGTTATGAATATCGCTCACTAAAATAAAGAAAAAAGGGTCCGTTGTTGCACTTCAGCCCTTGTACAACCTGCTTATTAAAAACTTTACCCATACAGGCTATAAACTTAAGATCTCAAGGCACTATAAGCAGGAAATTTGCATGCATGCACATAAAATGTGAAAAGAAATCACACTTTGCATTTTAAAATCAAGCACATGTCAAAACTCTGCTGGGTTGATCCTGAAGGGCGTTCAACAAAAGCCTAAATTCTATAGTTTCAAAGTGAACGTGTCAAATAAACCACAGCAACTCTTTAACTCCACCCCACCCCCATACGAAGAGGCCATCCACACAAGGTAAGCCGGCTCCTTTTTTAAACCTGTCCACACACAGACAGCAGGGTCAGCACCTGACAGCCACTGTCAGTGGTAGTATTTCTCCACATCTCACAGTGATGTCGGCAGAGGCCGAGAAGTGACGTCAAAGCTGCTCTCTAGTGGTGGCTCTGAAGGGGATGCTTGCGTCTGTTGAGCTAAAAACACACAGTGGTAGGGGATGCTGTTAGTGGTAGGGGATGGAATCGATCTACTCAGTGAGCTGGAAATGTCAAAAGTCAGCTCTAAACTGTGTCCACTCACAGGTTGTGTTTTTTCTTTTTCTTTTGCAGAAGATATTGGCTGTTGTCTTCAATATCACTTTTGATTTCAGAGCATCAATACTGTGCAGTGAGGACAAAGAGTGTAAATCAATCAGGATATCACATCATGTAAGCCTTTCGGAGTAGAGAGGACACTCATTCTGGTTGTTTCCTCTCTTCTCGCCTTACATCATCCCTCTAAATTCGCAGGTGTAGTGCTGCGCTGTGCAAAAGCTTGCCTTATTCTCATCTTTCAGGTGTTAAAATAACCACCTGAAAACTCCCAGAGTGTCAGCGTGCTTAAAGACCGTTATTTCTGAAGAGTGATTCAGATGAAATTTATGTCTCAAACTGAGACTTTCTTCAGTGAGTTAAATTCCCTAAACTTTTTCACTGTTTCTCTTCGCAGTTGACTTTTGTTCACCGCAACAGGTAGTTTCTGTCAGGTTTCTCTCAAGTGGCAAACCTCTGATTTCGAAAGATGAAGCCAGTGTGGGAGTCCTAAAAACTGAGTGCTCAGAAGAGACTGACTGCAGAAGCTCCTGAAACCACATATAAAAGTCTGGTAGGAAAATCAACTGGACTCCTTTCAGCACACTGATACATCTACAGTCAGCCTGCTGGAGTCTGTGATAAAAACAGGAGTTTATCAGAGCCAGTATATTACAACTTTTCCCCCTCATTTGCTCGTATCCATGCATTTAAAGAAAACCTGTACTGTTCAGTAAATAAATCTTGTAGGGGCTTAAAAGACTTCTCAGTTTGCAACATCAAATAACCAGCAGAGTCTCTGCGGCATTAGCTCAGGCTAATGTTCTCGCACAGTCCATCCGCACCTCAACAGAGTCCATCATCATGGTTAAACTACTGGTTGCATGCAGAATAGTGAAAACAGATGTTTCTAGAAAGAGCTTCACTGAATCTGCATGTCTAAAGAAATAAAAGTACAAACACAGCACACAGTTTCAACCTTTTTTGGACGTCCACAGAAACTGACTGGATCTTATTAGCGGTGTAACATAGCTTTTACGTTAATCATTAATATTCTACATGTTAATTCTTTCGCTAATACGGTGAAGGTAGAGGAGCTTAAATATTGCTAAATCAACCTTTTATTCAACTGGAACCTTTTTGCAAACGGATTTATGTTTTGTTGTTATATTTCAATTCATCTTTCCCCGTAAACTAAGAATATTTCCCGACAGCGGCCCAGCCCGAGAGCAACAATTCATCTCAGCAACTGCAGGGTCTCTATTAGAGGGGTTGAAATGTTTTTCCCTGCTGCAGCGTTATTTATGATTTAGAAACGTCATGTGGGTAAATAGAACATTAACATAAAAATCCTGACTGGAGCAGCTTTAAATTGTAGATCAAATGTTTGACTTGCAGATTGATGGAGTGACATAAAGGGCATCGGGGAGGCAAGCATTAAACTAAGTCATACAGAAAGCACAATGGGAGGAACCACATCACGATATACAGCTCCCAGGCTTCTCCCTCCCTCCCTTTTTTCCTCCTCTGTCTCAACAGTCATCACCGTCGTGAGGTTTCCTCACCGCACGCGAGACTTTGGCTCCGTGCCACTGGATGGTCACAGAGGAGTCGGGTGGGAGCCAGAGCTCACACCACATAATCACTGTCTGGCTGTGGCAGTTCCTCCTGTCACTCAAAGAACTCAGAGTAGAGAGACGGGAAGAAACAGGGTACTAGAGGAGCGAGTGTGAGGACATAGAAAGTCCCGAAGAGGAACTGTTGACCAAGAAGGTGCAACTACATACTTTATCAAAAATGGGGTTCACTTATAAGCTGATATGTATAAAGCTAAAAAGAAAATGGCACACTTACACAAATACACATCCTTACAAAACAATCCTTTACCTGCTTGGCCTTGGACTTGCTGATTGTGTCTGAAATGGGCTTTTTCTTCTCCTTAACAGCACTTTTGGAGAACAGCTCCACAAATTCATCGAAGTTTACAGTTGGTTCCTCAATTGTCTCCCATACAAGTGAAGCAACAGGTCTAAAGAGAGAAGAAATGAAATTATCTATGATGAAAAGACGTCAGCAAGAATGCGTCATAAAATGTAAAAAATAAAATTCAAGTTCATGCTGCTGTGACGTTTGTGTCAATCTTTGTACAGAGAAAATATTCAATTTATACCCTGAACTACTCAGCCAGCCTACAGATTACATAAAGAATTTAGTATTAGCTCCTTGACTTTCACGTAAATTAAAACTTGAAATTTCCAGAAATGTACTGAGTCACACTTCATGAAGTCTTATTAAATCAAGAAAACCTGTTCAAGTCTGTTCTCTGCTGACTACATTGCCTGGACTGCATCACTTTTATTTTCCACAAGGTTAGCATCTCTGCGTCCGTCACAGTGCGTGGTTGATCTATATCTAAAGTGGACAAGCTTCCTCTCAATTCTCTACTGTTCAGAGAATACCTGTGTGTAAATGATCCGTATCTATCTTCACTGTTACAGCAGCGTAGGCTTACTTTTTAGCATGCAGCTGGATGCGTGTCCAGTAAAGTGGCTTCATTGGCTTGGGGGGCTCAATCACCGCCTTGGCAGGGGCGGCTTCCTGCACCATCAGGGAGGGCATGGGTCCTGGTGGAGGTGGAGGCCCGAAGCCTGGGGGTGGGGGCGGAGGAGGGGGGCCCATTCCAGGTGGAGGGGGTGGAGGAGGAGGGCCCATACCAAACGGTGGAGGCGGTGGAGGAGGTGGAGGGCCGAAACCTGGTGCAGGAGGCGGAGGTGGTGGTGGGGGTCCAAAACCTGGTGGTGGAGGAGGAGGAGGGGGAGGAGGTGGCGGACAAGGTCCAAGCCCAGGTAAAGGAGGGGGAGGGGGTGGTGGTGGAGGAGGAGGAGCGACACCCCCTCCTAGAGGTGGTGGAGGAGGCGGAGGAGGAGGAGGGGGAACGCCGCAAGAAATCGAGGGAGGAGGAGGTGGATGAGCGCTGCTCTGCTGCCTCTGCTGGCACGTGCAGACAAAGCTCTCTGCTGATTTAGGGGTGGAGGATGACATAGTCGCTGATCCTCCGCTTGAAGGCACGTCAAACTTAAAGCCCTCCTCCACAGGTGACGTCTGCACAGAAACCTCCTGGCTCATCTTCACCAAGCTTCCTCCTCTTATCTGTGAGGCCTTGTGGCTGGCAGTGCCCAGGGCTCCTGCATTATCCGGGCTGCCCTTTGCCAAAGAGGCCTGCTGGCCCTGCAACACAGCAATCTTAATCCGCAGGTCATAGATGGTCCTCTCCAGCTGAGTGATAAGACAGCTCTCATCCTCGGAGGACGACTGACCGGATTTCAACCTGGAGGATTCAGTCTGTCCACCAACAAAAGGCAAAAGCAATGTACTTAACATGCATCAATACAAACCCAAGCTTGTGCATTTACTATGTAAAAAAGACGTTTTTAAAATCAGGCAGTCAGGCCAGTCTCGTAATCTAAATGTGAGGTAAGACATTAAATTTGCTGGACATAATGGAATAAATTACACTTTATATACAGTGAAGGAATTAGAACTGATGGAGCTTAGTGACATAGCTGTGAGCCAAAGAAGGGTCAAGAAAGTCCAGTAAGTCTAGACTTCATCAGACCTCTGGCTCCAGTCTGGTTAGAGCAGGGATGAGGGGATACTGAGAGATTTGACCCCAGAGACAGCGAGTCTCCTCGGGCCTCACATGGGGAGGGTGTGTGTGTCTGCTAGCATACATTCCCTGGTTGTGGTCACATCGTTGACTCTAAAGGAGAATGTTCAGCCAGTATGGACTTTTTAAATTTATTAACTGCTGGAAAACAGGGAGGTGCGCTGTTACACTCTGAAAGGTCTTACAACACAAGCCTGACCTCTGGTGGACAAAGAAGGATTTACAGCTCAGGATTAAACTGATTCAGATTATCCAGGACATTTTTTTTACTGTCTGCAAAGGTCGTGCTGTTTTAGATTGTGAGTAGAAATCAAATACACAACCTTTATTTATCCTTTAAGACCCTCATGATGCATTCTTTAAACTACCTCTTTATGCCTTTTCTACTTCTTTAATGTTATCTCTCCTAATCTTAATCCAGTTTACAATTGTCTGTGATATTTCGACATTGTTTTCACAACTCTGTTCATTTGCCTAAAAACAAGATGCACATAATACTCATCTATGTTGGAGGAGCAGCATCTAAGTCCTCTTAACCTTATCTTATAATAACAGCGTTATCAGATTCAGAATACAACACTCATACTGTATTTTCTGCACATGATTGCGTGCATAGTTTTGAGAATCAGCGTAATGCTTCTGCTACAGAGAGTTAAGAGGCGTCTTTGTGATCTGAGGACATTCACACAGAAAGCATAATAGTTATCTATCAGAATGTAAGTCTTCCGGAAAGATGTGATTATAGTGCATAACAGTGCAAAGTGAAAGCATCATTTTGAACACACAATATGACTCTGTGAAGATAACAGCGTTGAATGAATTGCAGTATTTTGAACTTTCAACATAGCTTGAAGTTTTTGCCCTCGATAAAAGATTATTCCTAGCTGTGTGAGGGCAAAAGTAAAATAAGAGGTTCACAAAAATGTTTAAAAAACACATTTTTTTTCTTTTGAAGGTAAGAAGAAGTCTTTTTAAGTAAAAGGACACTAGAAGGAAGATGCTCTCTCATGTAAGCAATAAATTAAACACTCCACATGGAGTGTGGACAGGGCAAACATACTGTAAAGCATTTAAAGATGAAGAATTTAACTAACCGGAGAGTGCAGTTCCCCTGGTGTTTTTGCTGATTGATTTAAAGTGGATTTGAAACTCTGCTCTCTGCCAGTAGTCCGCCCCCCGTATAGTTCCCATAGGTGAGAAGACACTGGCAGGCCCACAGAAGCCCAGGTGTACAGCTGATCCTCCTGCACACAGTTTAGAAAACAAGCAAGTGCAAACACTGTAAACGAGGTCAGATGTCTGTGCTTAACACTACAAGCTTGTACAAGTGACAGTAGCTACAACTACACTACATGTGGCAAGAGTGTGTACATATGGTGGGATGCACCATGATTAAAGGTTAATCACAACCACCAGGGTAAGGAGCAGAGTGGTAGCAATATCTGCAGGCTTAAAGTGTGGATAAACTTGAGGGTAAAAAGCAGCTCAACCCAAAAGCCAAAGTGGAACCTAGTCAGAAAATAACCAAGTCTGTATTGTTTATCCAGCGGTATTGCTTAGGCAAGTTTAAAATCAAATAACCCTGGACTGCTTACAGTGCGCTGATCTGAATTTCTGGCTCGAATAAGGCTGATGGGATATTTAATTTCAGTGTAAATGCAGAACAAGAATTGCACAACTTGTACATTTCACTCCATCAAAAACAGAGCTATGAGAGCACATAACGTTTCATATTTATGTTACAGAGTGGAGGATAAAAGTGATAGAGTGTGAGAGGGGAAGAATGGAGGATAGAAAAGAGAGGAAAGGCATAATGCAGTATTTTTTTCAAGAGAAGAGTCAACAAAAAATAACAGAAATTTTACCTAACTGTTTTGTTTAAAAAGGGATATAATCTGTGAAAAATAAAGCAACAACAGTCAGATCTGCACTCAGATAGCAACAGCAAAGGTTACTCCTGGTCAAGCTCAATAATGCAGGACTCCAGGCCAAGCTTCCTCAGTGAGGAAGACAGAGACTGGGGACGCAAACACAAAAAACATCGAACAATGAAGGAGGGGGCCGCAGTCCAATCCTGACATGGTGAGTTTTTTGTTGGGGAAGAGCAGCCCAAGCTCAGGGCACGTGGAGTTGTTACATAACACGGTCAGCAGATTGTCTACGCAAGCACAGATCTGTGTGTATGTGTGCAAATGTGTATGTGTGTGTTTGACTAAATGTAGTATCACAAGGACCTTAATTCATCCAGCCATGCGAGGAAATGCTTGAACATGTACGGTGTTTCAGCCTTGCCTTCTGTAAACATAAGTGCACATGTGGAGGAATTGTACATATAAACAAAGTGCTCTGCCTATTGTGACTAAACACCATGCAGGCAGAATGGTGTATATTTTTAGAGCTTTACATGCATGTGAACAATACGCATTTGCATGCAGTATGCATTTTCTGATGTGTAACACACGCCTTTCTCTGTGTTTTGTTGCTGTTGGCATTTAGCTTTGAATACTGTGCCTTCATGTTCAAAAGCATGCACAGTAATGTCATGTATGTTCATATCTGGGGGAGGTGCACTAAGCAGTCAACAGTAATCTGTTTTCCCTCTTTAGCATTAAACCAACAAAATAGGATAGGATGCCAGCAGGTTACCCTAGAATCCCAAGGGTCCTAATTTCCCTCAGTTTCTTCGTTCACTAATATTATAAGATTTAGGAACATGCTCTCTTTACAGCTAAATTTGCAAAGAGAAAAAGGAAGAAGGTTACAAGCTGCAAATGAAAAAAATCATAATCTTTACAACGAAAAAAAAAAAAAAAAAAAAAACATTATTTGCCAATAATAGAAAACATCACTAAGATATAATCCCAAAGGTCGTAGTATGTCAAATTAGGATTTTAAACAGGGTTAAATGGACCCCTGGATATATTTCTGCAACTTAGGTAGGGGCTATTTCGGCCTGACTTGAGACCTAGCAAAGCTTTGAGCTAAACACAAATTCAAGTGTGCAAACATAACAAATACAAAAATAAAAATTTGTTGACAGGTAATGCTGAAAGCTGGAAATCTAAAATAATATAAGCGTGAGGAAACACTGTGAAAAGCTCAAAAAACTATGAAAGGACTTCTTAATGTGTCATCTCAAAAGAAGTTTGAGTTGGGGTATACTGAACCCACACAGCTAAAGCAGCTCTGGCAGATGGACACAGCTATGAGCTGAATTGAAGGAACCTTTGATCATATATTAGACAACATTATTTGTGCATGTATTTCTCAGCCATGGGGGTATTTGATAGAAATGGCTCTGACAGCGGCCATGATGAAACTGTGCAGAGGAATGTGATGCATATGAGATTAGGTCTGAGCACAGCATTAGAGGGATAAAGAATTAAAGATTCATGAAATCAACTTTCACATGGTCAGCCTGTCTACATGCACAACTGCTCTCCGGATAATTAAAGGTCTCTGGGTTGAATCACAGTAATACAGAGGTGAGTATGGAAATAGAGATTGGATAAGCAATGCATGGAGCTGATGACTGCAAATCACTCTGTGTTAATTCTTAGAGGTTATCACCCGATAAGCACGTCCTCCCTTTGCACCTCAGCCCATGTTACACTATCATCGGGAATAAATTGCAATGAAATTGAGATGAGGACAGGAATCCTTTTGACCTGCAGCCTTCGGTACAATCAGTAACAAGATTCACCACAACCTGGTAAGTTCATGCAGAACTGGAGCAGGTCTGCTGCAGTTATTGCCTTTTGAAGTGTAAAATTTTGACCTTTCTGTTCCTACGCTACAATAGATCCTCCTCAGTAGCGTAAAAATCAATGCTGCTTTGAAATGTCACCACCCTGCTCTTACAATATAGCTGTACTGTGACAAAAACCTCAGCGAGGTTAGTCCCAGTTTTGATGATGTGAAGCTGCTCATCGCATCTAACCTTTCTTTAGACAAGCAGTGATGACAGTTAGGACAAAGATCTTACATTAAAGACCGCTGAGATAGTGCTGTCACCATGGAGCTCTGTGGTGCCGTCACTGAAGGGGTGCAGCAGACCCTGGACCAACATTCGGTGACACATTTCCTTTGCTTCCTCTTCTGCAGAGCCATCTCCATGATGTGCACACAGCCGGTCTAACAGAGTGTGACCTGGGAATAAAAGAGAAGTGGAGTGGAAGAATGCGAGAACACAGAGCACCATTTCTGATGCTGGAGAGGGATGTCTGGAGAAGTAAATGCTTGTTTTTGTGCTTATTTTTGGGGAACATAAGCTCAAGTGATGAAGTAGATACCTTGTGTTATCAGCACCAAACACTTCTAGAAGTCTCAGTTTCAGATGTGATAATGAAACACCTCCACATGCAAGCTATCTTTACACCGTTTACTTGATGCGGGGGGAAAAGTGATGGTGTTAATTTTGCAGTGCAAAGAATGATCAAAAACTTAATGGCTAAATTTAACATACAATGGACAAGAACATTGAACTACTGTTTTAAAGTTATTTTTTGCTGGTTGCATCTTAATAAAATATACCGAAAACCCTGAAAATTTTGTAAAAAGCACCTTTTTTTAATCGAACAGGAGTAGAAAAGTCATTTTTATTAGACAGACTGATCATAATCTCAAAACCCCTGAGCCAATCTGGATCAAAGATTTGGAAGAGCCTCATTTCTTCCCTGCTGGCAGGAGCAGAGAAATCATTAGAGGCTGGAAAAAATATTGACTATGTGACATCACAGGATGTTGGTCTTCTGTGAAAACACAGCTCTGATACTGAGAAAGTCAAACCACTACACATCCATTCAGACTGGGCTGTTGTTTTTGGAAAAAAAAAAACATGTGACTTTGGAGTAAACAGTGAATGAATGAGCTAAGTCCTATGACTCATGGTCCTGTGGACGATGATTAGAGTACTGGGGGAAGAAAAATGATTGTGATTAGCAAATTGTGTGATGTAATACACTGAAACAAGTCCAGTCTTTAAGAGTTAGATTACTCTGAATTGCTCTTAAATCCAGAAATTCATATAATTTACGTAACCAAAGTCAGTGACTGTGGTATTACCAGTTTAATGTGATTTTGTATCTCTGCCTTTTTTTATGCATCTTACAACTTTCTCCTCTGTCTCCCACATCCTCAGGTATAACCTTTAAAACACATGAGCTGATCAGTGAAGACTGTGCCTCCCAGTTTGAAATGTCACACAGGTCAGATGTTGTTGGATCAGGGAATTTAAGGTTCATTTTACCTCTATTTTTCGGCTCCAGTAAATTTACCTGACGAAATATGAATGGATTTTATATCATGACTTATTTCTGTCATGAGGATTAAGTGTCATTTTGGTTCAGCATCAAAAAATGTGCACTGTGTGTGTGAATGTGTGTGCACGTGCTTTTTAGTGTCTAAGACGGTGGAATCGGAGGATGGCATCGCCTTGGGTGGGTGGCAGTGTTGTCATTCGCCCTCTGATTTATGGGCACGGGCTCAGACAGTACAGAGCAGCTGAGCTCTTGAAAGGCACCACAACAGACAGGAGAACAAAGTGTCATTGTATTTTAGAAAGACCCTTTTGTTTTGGAAACACTCATCGATAAAGAACCCCCACTGTTTCATCATAGTTTTCATGAGCTTTGAATCATGACTTTCGTATTCAAGCTGTTGCGATTTGTATAATGTCATAATTTGTAAGTCATTAGAAATTAAATTGCTTAGCAATTACCATAATGATTTCACACCATTATTGCATAACAATTTAATCTCAAATGAGGACTGGCTAAGAGCCAAGCTAATAGGGGTAAAACCCAGCCCATTGGGGATTTCTCACTGCAAGAGTAGTAAATGGTGAAAACAATTAAGTGGTTAAAAGAAGTACGCTTTGTTGCCTGAAAAAGAGATGGTGGCTTTTTGAGAGCAGAGTTGATTAAATGAAAGATAATTTCTGGTATATGATGAGTAATTCTTGAAAAATTAATAACAAGTCTGTCTTGAACCCACCAAGGCATGCCCTGGAGTTCCAAAGTTCTCAAAAGTTTATGAATCTTCTTAACTCGGGAGATTATGAATATTTTACACATTTTACCACACAAGTGGTGGCTAAAAATAGGCCTTCACCAGTGCACTTACCAGAAAATGATGCAGTGTTTGCTTTTGAGAATAACTCTGGTGTTTAATGATTTAACTACCAAGTATTTGGAACTTTTTCCAACTCTTTGGTGGGTCCTAATTAGCTTATAGCTGACATTCACAGAGACTCAGGGTGTCGGGAAAGAGGAGAGATTTGGTTGTTTTGTTCCTTTAGATTTCTTGCCTTGGAAAATGTTGCATCACAAAGTCTTGCATCTATATCTGAACCATACGCTGCACACTCATGAACAAATGTAAATAATTTGGGCTTTATTGTGGGGCTGTGAGCTTTTCTTACCCTCAAATAAATGAGTTTATGCAGTTACAATGATCGACTTGTACTGGCTACACAATGCCATTCAGGACTAATGCTATGTTAGCCTATAATACTAGGAAACAATAAATAACTCATTATCTCGGGCGGATTCATCTTAACGTTCACAAACAGGTGCATATGTGACATGTGACTCACCAGAGAAGACATCTAGATAGGGTATTGTGGATGAGGAGCTCTTACGTCCATGTTTTCCTCTCCTGGAGCCCAGTGTCCAGTAAGTCCCACTTTGGTAACTTTTCTCTTGACTCTCTGGCTCTGAGTATCTAGCCCCACTGGCCTGTCTTGCTCTAAGCTCATTCAACTCCGTCAACCAGTCTGTAGACACACCAAGAGGCCCACCGATCGAGCAAGACCTCTGCTTGTGCCTCCTAAACTGCAGGGCCCTGCTGGACTCCACTGAACCACTGGCAGCATCTGTTTTCCTGGGCACATTTGGGCTGGTAATTGGAGAACCAATTGGGGAGGTGAGCTGCCTGGTGGTGGTCTTGACATAAGAGGGGTGGACAGGAGGGTAGAGTTTTACGGTGGATGGAGAGGTGGAGGATGTCCGTCTTGACTGAGAACCAGGGAGGATGTCAGGTGTCAGCTGGCTAAAGGACATACTACTCTTCCTCCTTTTGAGGGACAGGAAGTCGTGTCTTTGAATTTCCTCCTCCTCCTCTCCTCCCCTCTCCATGGACAAGTCCATACTGCTCACACTCTTATGACACACAGTTGGCCCTCCTCCTACCACCACTGGATCCAGGCGGACACATGGTACACATGAAAATCCTCGACTCCTAACCGGGCTCTCCAGGTCATCCTGGGGCTCCTCTGCACTCTCATACGACGTGTTGGTGGTGGTGGTGGTTAAAGTTTCAGGGAAGCTATAGGTGCTGTTGGTTTTGGGGAATACACTACCACTGCTTCTTTCTGTGTCTGCTGCTGATGATGATGGACCACTCTCACTCAAAGAACCTGGACCAGAGGATTTCCTTGATATGGGTATGTCACAACTTTCATGCTCTAATTTCTTATTCTCTTGAGGCACACACTCGCTGGAAAGAGTTGCAGGGATTAGGTCTGTTTCCAGATTGAAACCCTGCTTAGGCTTTACCTTCTCAGGAGACTTGTCTGCTCCACAGGTTGACCTTTCAGCCATCATTTCCAGTACCTTTCCACCGGACTCACATTGGTCTCGAATGGCCTGCTGAATGTCAGAGAGCAGGTCTTCATTTTCAGCAGCTGCTGAGTGAAAGCTGTAGAGGTCAGCATCTGAGCCTGAACTTGTCTTACGTCCAGTTTCTTCCACCATGGATTGGTGACTGTCTGCGGGCAAGCAGCTTAGATCTCCCTCGACATCTGATAGCATGCCCATCTCATCAGCTGACAGACTTGCCTCTGCACCAGGCTTGAGCCCTGGTTTGCCCGAGTTTCCTGACCTGCCATCTTCGAGTATTTCATCTTTGGACAACCCTTTGGCCTTCGATAAACTCTTCCTGATCTTCATGCCAGAAAATACAGAACCTTTGGACTTCTTGCTGCTGTTTTCTCCTCCTCCTTTGCTCGTCTTACTGTGAGACTTTTTGGATTTCTTATCCACTTCCCTCTCATCAGCATCACCGTCACAGGCCGCATCTCCTCCCGCTCCACCGTTGCCTCCTCCTTTCTTCTGCTTTGCCTCCTGGTTCCCCATGTTCCTGAACAGGCGAACACCCTTGGCTAACAGGCCATACTGCTGGGGTCGAGACTGCTGGGCATGCTGGGCTTCCTCCGGGGCTGCGACTGATGATGGTCCTCTGTCGGTCAGAGCCCTTTCAGAGCCGTCTAATCCCTGCTGTCTGCTCACCACAGTTAGAGGCAGCTGTGAGAATGATGCTGCCTCCCCCAGTGCCACTGATGCTGATGATGAAAGTAGGAGGAGACTGGCACTGACAGCTCCGGGCTCACTACTACTCACCCCCCTCCTCCCCTGCTCTGACTCGCTCACTCTCTGATCCTTCCTCTCTTTTTGCCCCTCCTTTCTATCCCCATCTGCTCCTGCACGCTCGGCTGTCTTGCATAACGGGCTGCTGTTAGAGCGAGTAAGGCGCTGATGCTCTAAAGTGCTCTGTCCTTGTCCATTTTTAACCGCAGGGGAAGGAAACTGTTGGGGATGCTGCTGCTGCTGTTGATGCTCTAAAATGCACGGTTGTAGCTGTTGCTGATTGTGGAGTGTGTGCTGCTGTTTGCGGAGGATGTTGGTGACGCTGCTCTTCCTCCTGCCTTTGAAAGTGGTGGTAAAGAAACTCTCTTTTAGGAAGGGCACCTGGGTCTCTACTGTCTTAATGGTCTGCATCCTGAACACTGGGCCTTTGTCCAACGTGGAGGTGACTGAGACAGCCTGGAGTTAAGGGAAGAAAACAAGTTGAAATAGCATTAATTGGATGTTTAAGCTGAGCTTCACATTAGCAGAGAAGAGATGATCTGTTCTCAGGATAGTCATGAGGCAGGAGTTCAACGTAAGGGCCAGCTGATGTTAAAACTTATTGTCTCTTGTTGCTGTGTTATGTTTCCACTAAGTAAACATATAGACTGTTTGCGTTTACATCTATATTATTCCTACAATTCCTTAAAAAAGTCACATCTACTTTTGAGTCAGACGTGTGTGTCTATTGCCAGTCACAAATGTGTGGATTTACCATGAAAAAAACTGATAAATATGTCACACTGTTAACCACAAGAGACAGAATAAACTATTCCTATCTTTACTGTTTATCAAAATTCAGCTATTATGGTTATTTTCAACCAGGTAATCTGTGAAAATCCAACAGCAATCTACATAAAAATTATTAGTAACTGTTTAATAAACAACTTTCTTCATCTGATTTCTCTACAGCTCACATTTAAATCAGACATTTGAGGTTTTAGAAATTCTCAGAGAGCATTAAGAGCATCGTGGTCTCTTCCTGGATACGTGGAAACATATGTGATGACTTCACCACATGAGCCAAACGGGAGCAAGAGCAGACAAACTTGATTGCAAAACTTTGCTTACGAACAGCAGATAAAGCATTCGTTAAAAAGATATTTAAAGTTTTATTATAAATAAAACTGTACTTGCCTGACTCGTGGATTCTCCTCACTGGTTCAGCACTGACTGAAGAAAACAACACAAATGAGTGTTTGTCTTCTCCTATGAGCCACTCCTTATCCATGGGTCACATGAAGTTGGTATTTTTCTCATCACATGTCTGGTTTTCTTGGCCATCTCCCATTAGAGCTGTCTGAGACTCCCCTCACTAACTTCATTAGGCTTCATCATGCATAAGAAACTGTGCAACAGTCAAGAAGCACATTTCCCTTCTTTCTGGTTACAGCGAGGTTCTTGGTGCTAAAGTGTTGGTAGTGTCAGAATTTTCAACTATACCAATAAGTCTAGAAAAAAGAAGTGAAGTTACAAAATGGAGGAAAAACAATTTGACTAGATAAGAGAGGCTTTTTGGAAAATGTCAGTCTTATCAGGTGTTACTAGAAGAGAACAGATAGACAGTCCTAAAGCTGTATTAAGACCCAAAATCCTGCAGAAAAATATTATTAACAAAGGGGGTAATGGTCTCAAAATAAGGAAACATCCTGAAGAATGTTTATAACAGAAGTAACCCTTAAAAAAAGGAATTAAACTAACTAACAAAACTAACCAACTAAAAAAAAGGAATTTTATGCTGTTTTTTTTAACAGACAAGAAAAAAATTTGCAGCAAATTTTGCCGAATTAAATGTATTTAAAACATTGTGGACATTATTATAACAACCTCTCATCAAGCCAGCATAATTACATCCTTGATACTGTACAGATGAGCGGTTTATGGGATTGTTTGTAGACCTGAGGGAAAAAACCTGCTAATTTGCATTTGTTGAGTTGGTGATACCGAATAGGGAGATGCTGTGTGCAGTAGTTGCAATCATGCACTATGCATGACCGAATAAAAAGCCTTAATGTGAGACAACATAGAAACAACATAAGCGATTGCCCTATATATCTGAGAAGTTTTGCCTCAAGCAGTCAACCCAAGTCTGATCCCGGCTTGTGACATTCTTCCTGCATGCCACTCCCCACTCTCTCCCCATTTCCGGCTCTGTGCTCTGTGTATGGTTGTTACACCAATGAAAACACTCTTTGGGATGTTGTTATACCACAGTTTTTCCATTACTGTAAATGTGTTATGGACATTTAAGATTTGTGTGCTGCAGTGAGCCGTCCCTCTGACCAAAGGAAGAACACATAATGCATTACAAGTAACATTTAGAGTAAATTCTTGCTTTCCTTTCAGTTGTATGTGTTATTCATTTGCGATTTGTTTGGGAAATAGAAACAGGACTGGAAAAAAAATATGACCACAAAATGTTAAAATATGTACCTTTAATTACTTTTTTGTCTTCATGTTGGTAAAATCAGTGATACTGCACTGTTGAAGTTGGACTCACACCGTTACAGCCTGGACAACAAATCCTGCTCAAGCCACTAGAGGCTGCCATTGCTCTACCAAAGACAAGCAGCCTTTTACAAAGAGTTCCTCAGATGTGTCATCTTGTAGAAATTCAAAAGGTATTTTAAAACACACATCTTTATAAATGGACATATTTTTTGTGTGCAATCAATCATTGTGTATCAAGTCAGAAATACCCAAATGTACACAAACAGAACATCATCATTGTATAACCATTACTCGTGACAGAGAACTGCAAGTACATTAAAAAAAAACACAACCAATGTACTCATTGTCTCCACCATAAAAACCACAACAACCACATTGAACACAACAGCAGTTCACTGACTGTGGTGCCACAGAAATATTCACAACTTAGCTCATCAGATGAATCATTTTCAGACTGGCTCAAAATCTCAGGAATATCTACAACCAAAGATGAAAATCACAGAAAAACTCTCTGTCGACTGAAATTAAGGACACAATTTAAAACTGTTTTTATATTCCATCAGACACAAGAAAGCTATATCCATGTAGAAAGGCAATTTACAGAAATTGTGATAAAAACACATGCCACTCAAGAGAATGGCATATCAAATGAGTTCAATGAAGAAGCCCATGAGCAGAAAAAAAGCTCTTTCTTGGCTTTCGGGGATATTTTACTGATACATAGCTCTGTTTGAAATGCAAAACCACTTTGCACATTACAGATCTAGCTACCCACTGAGAGACATGATAAGAAATGTGAATCCCACGTCCCCTGACAAAGATATCCCTTACCATTCTGTCAACTGCACTTCAATAATTCTCCTGCAAAGCATCTGAAAAGCCCTTTTCTATCATTTCACACTCTGCTTATCTTCTTTCAACTGTACTTGCATGAAATGGTTAGGAGTTCGCCAAGTACAGAAGGATAGCATTCATCTCTACGTTTTACCTCATACAACCTTTTTGACGCATTAACAAGGCATTGCTAAATGGATGCACAAAGACATGCCTTGAGACCACCACATAGGATTGCTGTGCTTGACATACAGGCGTAGAAACACATCAAGGATTTCTATGCAAAGAAACTTCACACAAACATCAATAAGGTTGTCCTTCCTTGTCCGTATCCTATGTTTAATTTTTTAGACTCCTTGTCTTCAACAATTCAAAGGTGAAGTCCTTTACGTGGACTCCCTGGGTATCCTCTTATGGAAGACCACCGACTGCCTCTGCTGGAATTGCTGCTTCCTCCTTTTTTTCTGATCCCAGCGACACATCAGTATCATCTTAAAAGTTGTACGAAAAGTCTTGTTGCACAGGGCGTAGCACATTGGGTTGACTGTGCTGTTGACGTAGCACAACCAGTACCCTACTGCCCACAGGGTCTCCGGTATGCACCCTTTACAGAAGGCATTTACCAACACCATAATGTTGTAAGGTGTCCATGTGATGATAAATGCAAAGAGGATAGCACTGAGAGTTTGAGCTGCCTTCTTCTCCTTCACTAAGGACATACGCTTCCTCTTGGTGATCTGTGTTCGAGCTCGGGTGGCAAAACGCTTCGCCATAGCGGCCTCTTTGAAAGACAATGGAAGAGAGGGGGACTTTGTAGCAGTGCTGGTGGTAGTGGTGGTGGTGGTGGTGGCATTGGCGGTAGTTTTTTGTGAATCATCCAGAGAGCCTTGGTTAGAGTTAGACTGGATGGTAGGCATTGACTGAATCTTCCGTGGACAGAAGCGTTGATGGTAGTTATTGTCTGAACTGTTTGCTCCATCAGTGTCAGGGGTATCAGCAGTGGTGTTGGTGGTGAGAGTTGAGAGGCTGTCTCGATTATACTCCGCTCCTCTGAGAGGATCCTCCTCTGAGGCTGCATCCAGATCCTCACATGATGTAAGTTGGGAGTTTACTGCAGCTTTGATACCAGGCAGACTAAGAACGATGGAGAAAATAGCATGACTCTGAGAAATCATCTCTCTGCCCCCACAGTCCTCATCATCTGAAGACCCAGATTGGTCCAGTGATACCTGTGCGTCATTGTTGTTCCAACTGTCACTGCTGCTCTGGTCTGGATCGCGGTCCCCATGACGGATACTGCCAGGTCGCCAAGAGCGTACACCAGGCCAACAGTGGAAGCGACCAACCAGTTCCCGACATGTGCTCCTTCTCCTTGACAACCTGGTTAGTTCGTAACTACTGCAACTTCTAGAACTTCCTGTCTGATGGACAAAACGGGCTCGGTCTCCTGCACCATTCCCACCTCTGCCTCCTATCCCACCACGGCCCCCTGAGCCCTGCAAACCAGCCAACTCTTTGGAGCGGTTTTGAGTCTCCTTGTAAATGCGCCAGTAGAGAACACTCATTATCGTCACCGGCAAGTAGAAAGCCGCCATGGCTGTGCAGAAGGTTATGGTGGGCTCTGAGAGGAATTGAATGTAACATTGACCTGAGGGTACTGTCCTTTCACCCTCAAGATACTGCCAGAGTAGGATAGCCGGGGCCCACAGAACAAGAGAAACAAACCAAGCTAGGCCTATCATGATCCCAGCTCGCTTCGTGGTTCGCTTGGCTCGGTAGGTCAAAGGCCTTGTGATTGAAAAATAGCGGTCAAAGCTGATGACCAGTAGGTTCATAACTGATGCATTACTGGCCACATAGTCTATCGCCAGCCAAAGGTCACAGGCCCAGTTGCCCATGGCCCAGTATCCCATCACAAGATAGGTTGTGTAAAGGTTCATGGAAATGACCCCGATGATGAGGTCAGCCACAGCCAAGCTCAGTAAAAAGTAGTTATTAACAGTCTTGAGCTGTCGATTAACCTTAAAGGAAACCACAACCAGAATGTTGCCGATGATGGTCACCAGAGACAGCAGGCAAGTCAGGAAAACAATAAGAACAACCTGCCAAATTTGGTGGCCGCCCAATGGATCCAAGACTGAAGGTCCACTCCCATTTTGTGACTCATTTAAGAGTTTGCTGGTGGAAGAGAAGTTCACATGGAAAACCATCCTGGGACCCCCTCCAGTTTCTCCTTGGTGGAGAGCATTGGGTTGTGGGTAGGCTCCGGCTGCTGGGGTTGAGGTGTTTGCAGTCAGGAAGAGACCAGGGTCTGAACTGTTTGAGCTCATTGTTATGTCCTGGCATATTCTACAGTGAGGACAGAAAGGCAGAAAAGGAAAGAACAGCGAGGAGGAGGGAGAGGAGACTTGGCACAAAGGGGGAAAAAGAGGGGAAGGGAAAGAGAGATGGAGAAAGAGAAACAGAGAAAATACACATGAGTAACAATCTTGACATTCCTTTCCTTATCCAGTAGGTGAGGCTAGAAGCCTTTTTTTTCCTACAAAGCACGGTATCTGAGGAGGCAAAGATGACTGTCATTTTTCTATTCTGTTAAACAATCTCTCATAACTCAATCTGTAGACCATCTGTACACTCATGGCGAATGCATTGCTAGTCAAAAAAAAAAAATCACAACTTGACGTTTGAATCAGCAAGGCTAGACAGCTGACACCTTCAGTGAGAGCCGATGACAGCAGACACTTGTTCCTACGACACCAAACAAATTGCAAGCCATGTCATTTACATATTACAAGTGTAGGGGCTGCACCTTGAATAACATCAAGCCTTGGACATGAGTGAATTTCACCTGTCAGATTTGCAGTGGGGGCTGGGGGTGGGGGCTTGATGGTTTGTTTAAAATTATGCTCTGTTGAAGGTGTCACCTCTGGCTTTAGTCTTTCTGTCAGTTTGATATTTTTCTTGTGACATGTTTTGAAGTTACACTGCTTAAACTTTGTTGATTGATTTTCTAAGAAATGACCATGAAAAGGAAAAAAAAACAGGTTTATGCACTGAAAAAAATCATTAGAAAGTTACTGAGGGAGAATAGATTTGATCATCTCATTTTTGTCCTCTATTCTTGGAGGACAAAAAAAATTCGAGATAATCGAATTGAAAAAGCTTTCTCAGACCTTTGAGTCTTCCTATCCTCCTCTTGTCTGAATATTGGCATCAATATTGGCATCATTTTGTAAACATGTAATCAGACTGGATCTCTGATTGAAGAATTCACCAAAGAAAATGTAAAACTGATGCCAGGTTCTGGGCACAGAAGGCTGAAAATGCAAAACCTGATGGTGAAACAGAGAAAATCCCACTCGGAGAGCTAATTTAAGCATGATCCCATAGTATGAGGCGCTGTTTGCTATTTGATTGGAGATCACTTCATGACAAACAACAAACACAACATCCTGCTGTTTTTGTCAAAGCGGCTTCTGATAATTGGATGATAGCATTAGGCACTGCCATTTTGTAAAGCAGCATGTGCTATTCAATCCAAGTTATGCTGTGCAATCATTACTAATTACTGAAGGGGGTTCATTTGCATGTAAACTTGGTATCTGTGTCTGTATTGACATAGAAGACGGCTAACAACAAATAAAGTCAAGTGAGAAACAAAGATAAAAACACACGTTTCAAGTTAATGTCATACTTAAGGAAATTATGAAGAACATGTAATCATGCTGACATGGATGGAGCCCAGTGTATATTTACATATTTACACACAAAAATGTAAAACGTTCGCATGTGTGCTCTACTTCCTTTACTCAGATTGATGTTAATATGTATTGCTAAAGATGTGTCTCTCTGTTAAGTAACTGTGTAGTTTCAAACATGACATTAAACTGATTGATTTATCCTTATCAACTGTGCCTGAAAGTACTCAGTGCAGCATAAGACCTAGGCTTCCCTTTTATAATAAAATTCACGGATACAGAGCTCTACCCTGAGGGTTAATGACAACAATCTGTTTTAACTTGTCACTAACCAGAGTCGGTTCATGTGAAAGGAACAAACAATGACCTGTTACCATGGATGAAAATCACAAAAATCTTAATATCATTTCCACAAACATATTCACCACGACTTTGGCTGACAAACACAAGCGAGCATGACAAGAGCAGCCCCAGAGAAACAGCAGTTTCACACAACATTATTCCACCCCACAGGCAAAGGTGTTTCAGTGCACCTGTGTTCTTAGAGGATCTCAGACCTCCCACAGAGCTTGTAAAGAACCCCAGCTCGAAGCAACTCAGCAGTTTGTGACACCGAGTGTGCCGCACACTGCTTCTACTTATATCAGGAGGCTCCCTGCTGTCTTTACTTTAGGCACATATCCCTGCATTCATACATATACTATATGCACGCTTAGGTTTCATGATCATGCACTTCTATCTTTACCTACAGTACAGCTATGCAAAAATAACCGAGACACCAGATGTGAATTTGTAACAACAGTGTCTGCACAACCCAAACCCAAAAGTCTCCCACTAAAGAAAGCTTACTTCTGTTTTTTTAAAGAGCACATTTTACCTTGCACGTGAGAGAAAAACGTGTCGCTAGGAAGTGCTAAACATGTTTTCATCTGCCTATAAGAGCCAAATGTTCTTGCGATAAGAGCTTTCACAGAAAGGGAATCAGACTTTAATCTGCTACCTTGACTGGTTATAAACACTGGGTGAGTGGAGAGAAAGTGAAATTAAAAGAATCAAATAATGAAATTCAAATCAGACAAACAAGAGTACTGTTTGGATTTCCTGTCTGGGGAACATATCTCGACTTGATCCACATCAAATACAAGTTTCACTGTCCCTTTGAGAATCTAGAACTCAATGTGGGAGAAGATGAATCGAAAAGTCCTCCAGCTGGAATCTGTAGTTCAAAGACAGCTGACAACAAAATGTCAGAATAATGTCAACAACACAGATTGAAGAAAATGATGGTTGTCTTGTTGTGTGTGCTATCACACATACTGTATATGTATATGGTATATATGTCATTATATGCGTGCTGTTTATTCATGACTCAATTTTCCGGCACAGGATTGACTTACAGCACAGAAAAAATATTTACAGCACACAGGAAACAGCTAAGCCTTGTTGCAGCATTAGACTTCATCTCTTAATGACCATAAATCTACATGTGAAGTCCCCTGAGAGCAGAAACTGGCTGCACGACAGGGACAGGGTTTTTTTTTTTGTTTGTTTGTTTGTTTGCTTAGTTTTGTTTGTTTTCCCCCATAATTGAAACGATTAAGCCTTTTTTCGAATAAAAGCTGTATGACAACATCCTTTCCCTACATGGGTGGCCTAGTTCGATCTCTAACAACCAGCTGCTTTTCATTGCAGTGTCCATCTCCACATCCTCTATAGACCATTTTGATCTCTATATCTTAAGCCTGACTCCCAGGCACGTAGGTGTGATGGTTTCAGATACAAAGAGGGATCAATACTCGTTTACTGTGTTGCAACACAACATGTTCACTGACATTTGGAGGCATTTGTGCCAGCAGGGTTGGACAGCACAATCCAAGTTAAGCCAAAGCTGCCATTTTAATGATTCGGGGCCTAATGCATAACAATTTCTGTTCTATTTCCAGTAACTGATCTAGCAGAGCTGAGAGACGATGTCCAGCAAGAAGCCCAAAATTCTGCAGTACGGTTACTTTCCCTTTTGTGTGTCACATCATACCTTCAGTGAAAATATACTACACTACAAGTATTATATATAGGGTTTACGATATGAAGTTTTCTGTGTTGTAAAAGAAAATAGAAAAGTAGAAATGATCTGGTTTTCCACTGCTCATAGGGTGCCTTATGTAAAGTGCACTTTCTACCAGAGCCAAATGCAAAACACATCTTGAGGCAGACAGGTATTAAAGCAGTTTACCACAATAAGGCATTATCGAAAAAAATGACTCTGGCATAAACAGCAAAAGACCACAATATCACACAGCCACAAACACAAACTAATAAGCAGTCTCGTAAGGCTGCAAAAGAGGCTGTGAGAATGTGATTAACAATTGAAGCGTCTGTAGATTTGGCAGATGAAACCGTTTTCAGACTCCAAAAGAGCAATGCAGACACGGATGCACATATTTAGACAAACCAACAGCTGAAGGAATGGCTTTGTGATTGCAATCATCATCTGTTCAAGGTTTCATTGTCTGACAGTGTGCAGATTGCTGCAAGTACGGCAGGAGGACAGTATGTGCAGGGGAGAGGAACAGCTGATAACTGACCATGTGTGAAAACAAACCTTTGTTTTAATCTAATTAAGACAGTTAATTTAGTGAAACCAGATCATCCCAGTAAAAGCTTAGAGCTGACTGATGTGGCATTCAGTGCTATAGGATCACACCCAAAGACAAAGCACGTCTAATTAGGGTCATATCTAAATAACCTCTAGATAAAGGTGTTGAGGGTGCGTGTTTCAGGGTGAAATGTTATCAGCCAACAGTACCACAACACACTGTGCTGAACAGTCCTTGGTTTCTCTCTACTGAGCTATGCAGCTTTACTGCCAAAAAAATTAAAGTAGATGGAAAAGCCTTGAAGGAAACCACTTAATCCATCTGAAACTGCTTATTTTCTTTTTAACAACAAGAACCTTCCACTTCTATAGTCTATGGATGAACAAAGGGATTTTTTAACCAATGCCTATTATTTTGACAACACAATTTCATCCAATAAAAACAGTGATAAAAAGATTTTTCACATATCTGAGAGCCCACACAGTTAAGCACAGTCAGTGGGGGTATGTTTTTCACTTTTTTAAAGAAGGACAGCATGACAGCAACAAAAGCACAAAAGATGTGCTTCAGCAAATATCATACGTCACCTAAATAATCATCATCCTACCAAGGATGTATTGAAGAAATATGAGATATGTAGAGCTGTTGTTAACGGGCATTTGAAAGTAGACATTTTCAAAGGGACAACCCAAAGCTAAAGCAATAAGTGACAAAATCACTGACAGCATTTGATGCCAGGAGAAGAGTTGACATTTTTCTGTGGTAGAAGACCAAAGATTTCAGCCGCCAGTAGAAACAGTAACCTCAGTAGATACAATGCAACGCCAGGCATGGTAGCAAATTCTGATACCTGGCAGAGGTTATATCTATGCCTGTAAAGCAGAAAATGTAAGTTGTGTTGACAATCATACCTTTGAACTTTATAAACAATGTGGAGGAAACCATTTCTTATAGGTAAACAGGTGCCTCCTTAAACTTCTCAATAGCACATGCAGCATGTGTCACACATCGCCCTAAAATGGTCTGACTGTTAGCAAAGCAAAAACCTAAGTTTGGGTTTTGTTCTCTTTCGCAGGGGTTTTGTTGCTCTGCAGCGAAGTGAAGACTGAGTTCTTCATGATGCTTATACTTTGTCTTAGCCTAAGTCTTGTGAAATCCTGCTGTCTGAGAACTTTTTTGTTTTTTCATACATTATACATTCTCCAGCTGTGCACAGTGCACAGGAAGGTAGATGAGATTCTTCCAGCCGTTTAGTATTTTCCCACCACCACCAGCTCTGACATGTTGTACAGTGAAACATCAGAGCCACTCTCACAGTTCATTTTGTTGAGTCATAAATGTCTTTTAAGCATTTTTTTTTTCAGGACCAGATGGCGGAAATGTTTCCTCCGAACATGAAGCATACATTTAATGAGCTATGCACATCTTTGTTATTCTAATTTAAAACAATGATCCTGAAAGCTCTTCACTACAACATTGTCTCACGACTAGTGTCAAGCAGAGGCCTGATTTCATAACCTTAATTGAATTAAAGCAGCATCACCAGATGCTGATGATCCTGCAGTAAGACAATGGATAATTCAGCTTCTAATGTCAACAGATTGCCTTCTTTTTATGTTTGTATGGTCTTTTAAACCTAGATGAAAGCAGATTTAGATACATAGAGAATACACAAAGTAGATATGTTGATCATAAATATAATCCTAAATAATTGCTTTGAATTTATTTTTCTTTAAGAGGGAAAGTTAGAAAGATACTTTCTAAGAGCTTGCCTTGACTCAAAAAAAGGGAAAGGGGACTGTGGTTGCACAGGATAAACTAAATCTATCACAAGCTGCTGATGATGGGGTTTGCTGCCAGAAGATGGTGACAAGGGCTGTGAAACAGCACAAGGCCATCTGTCAGGTACTTACTGCTGACAGGAACAAACATTTAGTGCCTACTTGGCAGGACACAACCCTGCTGGAGTCCACGAGCGGTGCTCTAAGTCGACTCTTAAAGTTCACAGATTTCCAGGCTGATCTTAAGCCTCTGTGTTATTGTGTGAAGCTTTAACAGCACCTCCTCCAAACAAAGGCTGTGAGACCTGCAGACAGACACTATCAGAGTCTGTGTCAGTGAGAAACATGACAAAAGCAAAGATGACTTGTTGGCCAAGATGTCAAAATAAGAGCTGTGTCTGATGATGGAGGAAGATGATGGTCCTCAAACTTTAAAAGCAGTTTGAAGAGAAGCTAGAGGAGGCAGAGCCAGCTGCTGCAGCCCGGCCTGCCAAGAGGTTCTCATAGTTGGAGATTATTTAGCTTACTTTGGTTTGAGTGTTTACAACCTGAGCATCTTCACCATTAGGTTTACATCTGACCGCAATTCAAGGCTGAGAAGAGTTGTGACCTGGAACTGGCACTACAGCAGCTTCATAGGAAACTATCCTGTTTCAAAGTTTGTGTCGGTAAAAAATGTAAACTGTATGCCAAACCAGATTTTTTTATTTTAGATAAAAGTAAATCTTGACTTACTAGATGACACTCAATCTTATCTGAACTTGAAGTTGGGTCTTTGTTTGAAAGTAAAACAAAGAATACAGGCTATCTAGATCTACTCTTTTTGTAAAGCAATTTGAGATAACGCTTGTTGTGAGCTGTTGCTACATAATTCAAGATTGATTGACTGAAATTTGTATATTCAATAACCTGATTTTACACCAAAGATTTCATTGATGTTGTTTTCTAATTGTGGGAAATCTATCCTTCTTGGTCTAGATTGAAATAGACTTCTGTTGAAGAAATTTGTTTAAGAGAATGGTTTACTTATAGGATTCTTAATAAAATGTTTTAAGACTTCAGGTACAATGAACAGGCTTGCATATTGGGACCGCAGTGCTCTGGTGGGGTTACTCTTTACCCTTTGAGATGATGCCTGGCTATGAGGAGCTTTGTAGGTCAGAAGAAGTATTTAATGTGAGGCCAGAGAAGAGGAGCTAATACAGGGGAGATGTGCTCTCTTCTGGTTCTGGTCAGTTCTTCAGCTGCAGCTTTATGGACCGGCTTAAGAGTCTTTAAAGACTTGTGAGGGCAGCCTGATGAAAGGGAGTTACAGAAATCCAATCTAGAGGTGAAAAATGCATGCATTCGTTTTCCTATGTCACTCAGAGACAGAATGTGTCCACTTTTTGCTATGTTACATAGCTGGAAAAAAGCGGCTCGAGAGATCTGTTGAATATGGGAGTCAAAGCTTAGAAACAAGTCATAAAGAACTCCCACATTCCTAACAGTGGTGCTGAATGCCAGACTGATGCCGTCTACTGTATTTATATCATTATAAAATGCCAGAACAATAGCAGTTTTGTCAGAATTGAGAAGCAGAAAGTTTCAATGTCTTTAAGGCATCATTCAAGTGAAGTTAATCTATCGGTTTCTCCATGCTTCTGTGATATGTATAATATAGTGTCATCTGCATAGTAATGAAAATTCATAGCCTGATTTCTAAGGATGAAAAGGATTGGTCCTAGCATTGAACCCTGTGGAACCCCATAGCTGACCTTGGTTTTCATTGAAGAATTTACCATGTACAAACTAATAATGATCCGACAAATATGATTCAAACCAAACTAAGGTGGTTCTTATGATACATATTTGTTGTTCAAGCCCCTATTTCATGCAAAGAGCCTCTGAGCCATCACCCATGTCTCCTTGATTGCAGGCATCATATGTCTAGTAATACCAGTGAGTAAGCGAAGAACATTTGCCTGAACATATTCAATTTGTTCCCAAGTCTAACGTGGCATTTAAGTGGGGAACATCTCCATCTGCTATCATCGTGCCTGATTTTCAGAGTTGTTGATCCCTACAGCTGCCTCCCAATTTAAATGTTTGTTGTAGTGTAAACACAGTCCATGGGGTAGAAATATTAAAAATTTGCATAATTTCCCATGGACATGTCAGACATGTCACAATTACTTTGTGCAGGGGTCAAGAACCAGGTATGACCACATTAAGGTTCACATAGGTCCTTGGTACTATTGAAGGACGTGTTACTATCCACGTTGAAGTACATGAAATGCAGATAACAATAAGCAATCAGTCAGTTATCACAATTAGCACATGAGATTATAAAGAAAGAAGTGAAAAATTGGAGGATTAATTGAAGAGATTAGCTAAACTGATAAGAAAACATTTTAGAATTTATTGCACTGCACTACTACATCATGTCTTGGTGAATTATATCAACTCATTACATTTGTAAATGAAAAAGGAAATAATGACAGTCCACTGACTGATAGAAGCAGACTAATGAGTACAAAAAGTGACAATGCAGCTACAAAAACCAAAGACAAAACATGTCTACTCCTCTGTTCGCCATTGTCACATTAAATGATTCCATTTGCATTAAATTGAACACAATTTTCGCCGTCAGAAAGGGGATTTTGGACCAGCCATCACTAAATAAATGACAGCTAATTTGTTTGTTTTTGCTGCTGATGTGAGCAAATGGTGTGACCAATTTTAGATTTATTTTGCTTCAGCAACTTAGACAAAAACAACATGATTTATGCTCTGAGTCAGCCTCAAATGACTTAAATGTTACTGAAGGTCAAATAAAGGTCTTTAGTTCAGTTTACATATACAGAATCTATAACATGAAATTACCATCTCCAGTACAACAACAGCAGTGTTTAATGGTTAAGACATGTACTACTTGGGCATGATAAAATAAAGCACTTACTTACTCACGCTTTCATCCCAAGAGAAAAACATGAGTGAAAACAGATGAATTGCACTGTATCAGAAGAATATACATGATCACAGAAAAGTGGGGGCTAAGTTAATGTTAAAATTCACCTTCTCTTTTCTTCACTTTCAAGTATTTTAGTGGTGTAACATTTCACTTTCAGCCAATACAGGGATTATTATAGCTACAAGTGATAGATGGCACAAATGAGCAGAAGCTTGTTTGGAGCAGGAAAAGCTCTCAGCTCTAGTGGATTGTATTGGCAAGCTGACACACATCACAGCTGTATCTATGGACAATATTGCAAAGAGCAAAACAATGGTGAGCAGCCTGCCAATACAGAAGCATCTAGAAGTGTTGCTCGTGTCCTTCTATCAGTAAAAACGAAAGTGGCTGAAAAAGCGTAATCCATCTGCAAACAGGGAAAAGTCAGTAAGACCAAGAGCTCTCTACCGCAAGTTAAGCTTCATTTAACTCAACAAAAAACGGAATCTACTCTTAGCATGGCTTTAACGGCAAGAGGTGTATAATGTTAAAGTAACTGCAGAACTAGTTTAGCTCTGTAGCTAACACATACATTTTGGATTTATAGCTGAATGTCAACTAGCTGTGCCTCTGACTGAGAGGTACCGGTACCTGAAGCCACATTTAGATGTGTATTCTTTAGCATAGTTAGCATCCATCAAATAAAATTTCTCAATAAAGGTCATGTGGGTTTTTAAATATGTTATACAATTATGTTTGTAGCTTTGGTACACAAACATTTTGTAATATTCAGTTACTCAGTAATATTGAGGATATGAAGTCAAACAAAGCTAGTTACATTGTATGACGACGCCAGGTGAGCGCCGGTTAGCTCCTAGCTAAATTAGCCCATTAACATTAATATCTGTACCAACTCCTTTGTTAAATATTTAATGTAATTATTTCACAGAAAAACAATGACTTCATGCCTATGCTCAAGAAAAGCTTAACTTGATCATTAAAATCATTAATAAACAACATCTGGAGACCTTGAATGTATATACTATTGTTGCAGTTAAATGCTGATAAGTGAAACCTCTGACCTGATATAGACACAAGATGAAAAATCAGGAAAACAAATATCTTCCACTTCCCTTTATGACAATCCAGGAAAAAAAAATCGCTTTACTACATTTTACTGAATATTGTTTGTTTTTGAAGTAGCCTACTCAGTCTGGGTCTAAAGCAGTGGACTAACAGACTATCAAACAGAGCCACAGTGCACACTGCTAAGAAGTCCATGAAAATACACATTTCAGGCCAGGTGTGGAAGTAGGTCAAATTGCAGTCCTGATAAAGTGCTGTGAATTTCTTTGTTTACTTGTTATATATGTTCACACTTCTCTGGAAGCCAGCCCAGATAACACTGTTTACATAAATGTTATATAATAAATAATTATTCAATTTACCACTCTTTTGGACTGTTGTCAAGATAAACGTGGTTTTATCTACTGTAAAAAAGAACAAATCTTCTAGCATGTATGTAGTTACTGGCTTTCTCTGTGTTTATTTGAGGCTTCTGTACAGAAATCTCAAAGCTATCAAGTGTTGAATCTTGCTCTGCAGGTGGAAAATGTAAATACAAAGTGTGTAAACTCTTCTGTCTGGAGGGAAAAACAGGTCTTGTGTCTGTGTAATGCAAGAACTCCTGTAAGTACCTTAATACCAGGAAGCAGCTCAGCATAATTATTCTGCCTAACCTTGTTTATTCTCCTTTATGACCGTGGGCAGTCAGGAGATCTGCTTTTATTGAGGTGTCTCTTTAGCTGCAATCCAGATTACTACAGCAGAGTGTCTGAGTCCTGCTGCACTGGCACCAGCAGCCATAAACAGAGGGCAGTTTGACGGGAGCATGGCCTGATGAAATAACTATGTGAGAGAGATGAATAATAATCAGTGTGAGAGGTTATGCAGAGTGCCAAGGATGGGATCAAGCAAATCCTGGCAGTTATGTAGATCTTGGTTATATCAATGAGGAGTTGAAATTACAGTAAATGCAAATTGTTAACTACAATGTGCTGACCTTTTATCTTAAAAAAAAAGAGTTACAATTATACCTATAAAATTGAATATTATCTGCATATACAATAATTCTGTCTCAATCTGCATACTAAGCAAAAAAGCACTCATCTCTTGCAATGAATTTCCGCAGGTATTCAGCAGTAATGTGGGACTACATACCAGGGCCCATGTCCCGTGTAATGCTTAGGTCTGCTTCAATATTTAACCAAGACAATGATCCCTCCCAGATCTTCCCTGAGTCATATTTCATTGTCATAAAAAGCTGAATCAGGAACATATTTTTAGATATAGGCAGTATAAAAATATCTTCAAAAAAGACTGTTCTCACATGAAAATGGAGGCCTCTTTCTTTTTAAAAAAAATGACCAAATTAATCTCAAAGTAAAGTTGCAAAAACCTTTTAGCAGGATTGGAAATTATCTGTCTTTGCAAAGGAAGCAAAGAATAAGCAAAGCACAAAATATACAGATAGGGAAGTTGGTCTGGTGAGTCAGGCAGTTTGTAGTAGGAAGTGAAGAGTGAGTTTCTAGAAGTTAAAGCTACTGTGAAGTTGTACTTCTTATATCTTTGCAAATCAAGTCCTCTACATTTGCATATAGAGTTTTTTTTTTCTTAGCAAACAGCTTTACCTGGGATTTTCCCTGCCAGTCTCCAGCTTGTTTGTGGTGATGCTTATAAGCTAACACATGTTGTTCTGGTTTTGGTGTTACATAATACTTTCACATTTTTGATGTACTGATAAACAACGTATCTTGGCATTCTTACCAGTTTGTGTAGAGCCATTTCTGAAAAGTTGTATCAACACACTTTTATAGACTTCAGCTGGTGTATTATAGTAACAAGGTGTGAGGAGAAAAACCTCCACGTGGAAAAAGAAGTAGGATGTTGTTTTGCTTTGAGACCAGTGCAAGAGGCTCAAGGGATTTCACACACACATCCCCACCTCTGCGGTGGGTCTCTGTGCTTTTGACAGCCTCAGTAACAAGATGCTGGAACTCTTTAGACATGGCACTCTCAGACACTTAGACATGCCTGTGTAGTATGTGTGTATGTGGAGGCAAGAGATGGGGGATAAAAACAGAGAGGCAGGAAGAGAAAGAAGCAGTGGAAGAATGGCTCAGGAATATGTCAGAGCAAAAAGCTGCAGCCTCTTGAGGATGACTGCACGGAAAATGCTGAAAGTTATCCTGTCTCTCATTCTCACAGTAAATTTAAACCTGGATGAGCTCCAATACATACCTGCGTTTTAAAACAAACGCTAAGTTGCTGTCATTGAAATGAAGTTGAGTTGAGCAGAGGGTGTCAGAGTAGAACAGGGAGCAAAACAAACCACTGGCCTGTGCATTTAACTTATTACCGTGACAGCTTGATCCTAACAATTCCCGCAATCCAAACTATGAAACACCACGCTAAGAGAAACAATGTCGTTTCGTGTGAGGCTAATTCCAGGCCTGACCCTCTGCCTCCTCCCCTCCTGCCTGCGCTACAAAACAATCCTACACAGATTCTATACACATGTACAGTATGTGATAGGCTATCACAATCAATCCTTAAAAGGAAGTGCAACCATCTGTCCATCGAACAGGCTCTGGAAAGAGAAGGAGAGGGAGAAAAAGCACACACTCTGTCCTGTGTAAACATGCTTCAGAGGGAGAAGAGGTTTCTTTAAAAGTGGATGCAGAGATGAGGGGTTGTTCGGGGAAGGATATTGTGGAGGGAGGGGTGCTAGGAATGTGTAAGTAGTCACACCTCTTGCTTGGGGAGTAGAGCGGTGGGATATAATGTGTTTATGGGAGAGAGGAGGAAGATTTCAGCTCTGCGTAGAAGGCTGTCAGGTGATAGAATCCATGCCCTTAGTCCTTTTAAAATAAATAACATACATGCATGTGCAGACTTCTTTTCAGCTCAGCTTATGTAACAAATATAAGACTGCTCCAAGCACAAGTATCACAGATGTGGGTAAAGCATAATAGAGTATCTCCGTTAGATTCTTCTTCAGCAGTCACTGTTTTTAAGAAGTTTGAAACGTTGACTTTGTTTTCCTTTCATACACAAATACTAATATGCCCAACCAGTGTTGAGTCGTAACGCGTTATTAGTCACACTATTACGTAACGCCGTTACTTTATTCTGTAACTAATAATGTAACACATTGTTTTTTTTTAATTCAGTAACTCTGTTTCCGTTACCAAATGCTGTGTTACTCTGTCCGATTTGGTGAGGTATTACAACGGCACACAGTTTCCATAACATTGTAGCGATCAATAAAGTTGAGTTGAATTGGAAAAACAAAATCACTTTTCACCCTCTGGCGTCACACTTGTAATCAAACATGCGCCATGAAGAGGACTGGACAGATCAGGGAACAGCATGATGGCGAGCGAGAAGGGTAAGATAAGTTTCTCCTCATGGAGATACTCACATTATTTTCAACTCGAGAGCAAAGGGAAAAACAACATTTCCGTAACATGTAAACTGTGTCCCACGCCAAAAATTCAGCAAACAACAGCAACAGCAATCTACCTAAGCACCTAAATAAGCGGCATGCTTTGACAAAGTTAGCAGATAAGGTAGTTAACACAGCATCCGTGACTGAGAGTCACAGCAGCGAGCACACACCCACTCCACCCAAGCACCAGCAGTTGGAGTTTGAAAGACAGACCCGTAGCCAGGCACAACTTGATAAAACAATAGCACGGTATGTTTAATTGTCTATTTGGATCTTTTTTTAGCGATATAAGGCTATTATTCCAAGAGTTCAATGGTAAAATTTTGGTGTTCGTGTCAAAGTTTGTGTTGGTGCACAACGGATCATATTCAGATTCGATTCAGTGATGTGGATGCAAATGAATTGAAGCTTTTTTTTTATTCAGCATCAGTACAGAACTAAAATGACGGCTAGAGGGGAACTCAGTCAATCCATCTTGTATTGGAAGCATTGAAAGAACGTTTCACAGTAACTAATTAGTTACTTTCTCAGTAACTTATCACTTTTTGGTTTCAGTAACTGAGTTACTATCTGAGTTACTTTTTTTACAAAGTAACTAGTAACTGTAACTAGTTACTATTTTTCAGTAACTAGCACAACACTGCGCCCAACACACATGGACTGACAAGGAACAACAAATTCATACAGAGCTGTGTCAGAGGTCTGAAACATGTCTATTCAGTGACGTCAAGCTGACCTGCAGGGGCAAATTTATTGCATTGGCTCAAATAATAACAAACAGGCTGCAGATTTGGAAACATTAGAAATCTGAAAACACTTAGTGCAACAGAGAGGAAGAATGAAGAATACAAAGGGCAAAGGAAAAAGCTTACCGGAAAAAAGGCCAAAATCGATATATCAAGATGAATAATGCTGAAGTAAAAACCCACAAACCCAGAAAACAAAAGACCAAGGGAAAAGCAGTCATCATCGTGGTACTCTAGGACTGTCAGTGTGCTCAGTGGACCAACTTACTTAATGAGAAAAAGACAAAAGTAAAGACGGCAAGGCCTTTCTTCAACCACTCCACCCTACACACTTTCACTCTGCTTGTGTACTTGCGTGGGGTGTCTGCCACACTGAGTGCCATCCTTATCGTCTGAGATCCTGAGAGTGGGTTGTTGAACCTTTTAACAGTGAGTCTGCATGAGTCTGATGCTGGCTTGCTGACCATGTGTAATGCTGTTGATTGTTTGTCATGGAAGATGCTCTGTAAATGAAAGCTGCACAATGTTACCCAGATGGACATGAATTTGCTCAGTAAGATCATGGAAAATCGTGCCGTGAAGATTAAGCGATTCGGGGTGAAGGGAGTGAATCCCGAAGCTTGAACCCGCACTTACTTGTTACAACTTAATAAAGGATTCTTCGTTTAGCTGTAGGCTTGACTTAAAACAGAGCTGATTCATGGCAGTGATTAAAAAGGGCCCTGAGAGATCGGCACTGAGATTGATGTCAAAGCTTTTGAGAGCCATGCATCACTTATGACACTGCGGTACAACTCTTGAAAATGTGCAAAAAAAAACCCACATTCGCAGGTTGTTTCTGTTCCTGCAGTTGCTGGGGTCCTTTCGATGTGTTTCTTATTTTGCATTGTCTAATTTGCAGCTATTTTCTCCTGATGGAAATTTTGTTTTTGTTGGCAACCATAATTTTCTGCTGCAGAAAACAATGAGTTATTATAATAATTTGAATTCTGAGTTTTTTTTCTGCACCATTGCCCCTAAACACGGAAAATAAAAAAAAAATAGACAGAAAAATGGATGTCTCACAAAATGTCTCAGAGAAAAGACTCACAATGTGAGATCTTATGATGATGTCATTCTAGAGGACTGAACATGGTGCCCAGCAAGTTTGTGAAAAAGTGTGCGAAAAGTGGGTCAAAATAATGTAAAACAGCTCAGTCATGTAATTTTATCAGCAGTAAACATAAGATACCAATCACAGTAACTCATAATGTTGGATTTCAGGAACACACTAATGATTTTTTTTCTAAATCTAAAACCCAAAATGTTTTGACTTGGTGGAGCACAAAACAGCTACTACTTTACAAGGCAAGGAACAATATGAGGTACATGGATGAATAATCTCAACAAGATGCTTGTTGATTATTTGGAGGAAAGACTGTGCAGGGTATGATAAATACATTTGTAAAGATTGATATGATAAAACTGGTATGATTGGGTTTCTTTTTGGTTAATTTAAGACAGTGCTATGATTTGAGTTAGGAGGTAAAGAAAAATGTGAGGGGGTAGGATTAGACAAGTTTATACTTCTTCCTACTCTTTTTCGCTCATGTAAGCTGAGGGGCTTAAAAAATTAGAGGATTGCAGTTTCAGCTACTGTCTTGTTTTGTTTTTTTCTGACTGAAAGAAATTTGTGATGAGGGGACACAGAGAGCCTGTTGACACTGTGATCCCTTTCTCACTAGACTGGAACAACTCAACTCAACTGCTGAGGTGAACTTAGCTCCATTATGCTACAGACTTATATTATGTTGATGTACAACTCACCCACTGGTGGACTGGAAACAATTAAAAACCAGTCAAAGTTTATATGGGTAGGCTACAAAAATGCCCTTTAAAAGGTAAATAAAGATTTTTGAATGTAATTGAACTGAATTGGATTGGAAACTCTTATAGCCAAAATAGTGACAATCACCTGATATCAGATAAACACTAAAAAGAGACAATTTTGGACTCATACACTCACTCTGTGCACGATAATGTCATCTTTTTCAGCATCCTCACGACCTCCAATCACCTCATCATCCTGAAATAATTTCTTGCTAGTTTCTCTTTGAAAGTGTAAACAAACGACATTAACAAATAAACACTATCTTGGCAGTGCCAAAAAAAAGATCACTAAAAGCCATGTCCAATATTTCCATAATTTGAATGCTATAAACACAAAGAAGCAATACAGAGACAAGGACAGGAAACCAACTTTAAAATGATCGATGTCAATATCAATATCAGTAAAGATAAATTAAATTAAATACTCAACAGAGCAATTCATTGATAGAAAAAGGCAAAAAAAAAAAAAAAAAAACATATTAAAGATGGGGACTAATTGCATTCATAACCCTTCCACATTTACATTTAGTGTGACCCAAGCACACACACTCTATCACAAACTGTGTCTCTTGTGCAACACACACATTGTCCATTTCCAAGACTCAAACACTTGAGAGGGCTCTGAGTCAACAAGGTGAATACAAGAAAGTCTTGAAACTAATCCAAGTGCCGTCTCGCCACAAAGAGAGGACACACTGACTGAACTGGTTATAATGCAGTCCAAACACTTCTCCTGGCGGATGTGGACAGGCTTACACAGACAGTTAACAAAGCGTTAACTATATTACAAACATGAGCACTCCTGGGGACGTGCACATACACACACAGTCTCGCATCTCTGGCTGCCTCTTCTGTCTCACTCACTCATACAGTACATTGCTGGCCCCTGGTTGCCCAACCTATTCCCGCTCTCCTTGGCTGATTTTTTTTCCCCCAACACACTGTAATGCACTGAAACGAACACACAGTGACCTGGCAGACGTTGTATTATATTTCATCCAATAATATCAACCCAGGTGACACGAGTGTACCTGGCACTGGAGCTTAAAATAGCTTCTAAATTTGATTCTCTAAAGTCTCAGGGGGAGTCTTAGTGGTCTCATCTGCCTGTCTCGGTATCAATAGCTCCTCTTGTAGTGAGCAGCATTGATCTGGAAAGGTCAAATCAAAGAAACAGACATAAGTTGGTCATGGTTGTTTTCAAACACAATGAGATAAAATGAGGAAAAACATGCAGACAAACTGAAATATTCCATCTAGTAAAATTGATTTATTGTAGCACTGACCTGTCATTCCTCTTGGCTTTATTTTCTATCATCCTTTGTATCAGACTGGATGACTACTCTATAAATCTTGTTATTTAGTGTTCAGCATATCATGTTTATTATTGTGATATTCTGTAGTCTTTCGATAGTTGGACCATAACCAACAAGATCTGTGCATCTCATAATGTCAGCTGTGGTTTAGCGATATGTGTTGACGCCAGATGTTGATATTTAGGGCTATTGCACAGCTGAGTTAAATACTTGGTTCTCATTGGCCAGTATTCATTATTGATAACATAGCACTGCGAGACACAACACACTGTAAGGGTAAGACAAGAAGACCTCTCACCCTGAGGTTCTGCTCATGCTGTCAGGACTCTACTCTGCTTACTATACATTATGCATTACTTAACAGGTGGAAAATCACTTGTCTTTCCCTGAGAAAGTACCAATAGATTGTCATAATTACAGTGAAACTGTTTTGTCGATTTTACCACAAATATGGATGACAAAATTAGCTGCTGACAAGTTTAAGTGCAGATAATCGGTGTATTTTTTTTCACACTCTGGGAGAGGATAACATTGTTATCTGGAGCTGAGTTGCTGAGGGGTCAGCCATCTTGCATCTGCTCTGCTGAGAGTTGCTCATATAAAGCAATCAGGGAGTGACAGGAATACAAAGCAGTAAAATTAGTGGGGTGGCAGTTTCTCACTCTGTAAGGATTTGGCTCGGGCATCAGAGGGTTTCAGGATGAAGTCCAAAAGTACAAATGGTTTTTGAATGGCACTCTGTAGCACTTTCTGTACTCTTCCGACCATTTAGAGTGGTTTCATTTGACATGTCACATTCACACCAGATTCTTAAACTTACAGCAGAGGTTGCTTTGTACAGAGCCCAACAGTTTTGACTGAAACCATGTAAACACCATTGGTATCACTGAGGTTATGTGTTAAGGTTCAAGGTCACCTCTGCATGTAAACAGGGAGGCTTGGACTTGAACTTCAAACCTCCTGATTGAGATACAACAGGCTCTACTACTGACAGTTAAGAGTTTCCCCTCAAGGTTAAAAGTATGTCTCCTTCTCCTTAATGCGACACCACAACACCCTTTAACTTCTGACATCTAGGAGAAATTAGACCTAAACTATGGAGTGAATTTGTAAAGAAGACCTTGTCAAACCAATGTTTGAAGAGCTATATAGTATGCAGCTGTATTAGACCAACCGCAGAAAAATACCGCAGACTTGATGAGAGAGAGATATGTTGTTTACCTCCAGATATAGATTGAATTTATCTGATCTGATTGCATTTCACCTCCTTTGATCAATAGTTAATGCCCCTGTCGGCTCAGCACCTCATAGAAAATATCTGGATTACCTTTCTTGTGTTTACTTATGTTATATTATTTATCCCCTCTCTTCTGACCTTGGAGTATATATGTATTAAATTTAATCAACTGGGATTCAAAACTTATTAGGATCAAGAAGTGCAAACAGAAGTCAGCTCCGAGATAGTTTTTTTTACAGTTCTTCTAAGTGTGAAATAAAAGAAGAAGAAGTCAAGCCTTAGATGTGATAGATGCAAATTTAATGTAGGTGTCTGAGACTGAGATAAAGGTATGTACATGAGCTGAAAATGTGTTAAAATTGCGAAAGATCTTGCAATGTATTCATGGGTTCAGTGCAACAAATCATGAATATGCAGAAAAAAAAGTTCTTGGTAACTACTGACAGCAGTCTGTTTTTGCATGGGTACATTATAAAGTATGGAAGATGGCAAGGCAAATAAACAAAGGCTGCAAAAGTAGGTCACCTGGGCAAACATGTTCTGCCTGAACGAGCAAAGAGCAAAGTCAGTAATGTGATAATCAAGAGCAAATGGACTTTAATGAAAATACCTATCAGCAACAGTGTTCATTAATTACAGCTCCTGTGAGGAGTGTACAGCTTCTTAAAGTACAGACTAAAATGAACGACCTGCAAAAGCAAACGAGACCATTGGTAACAAGATTGTTTCGCTCTGTTAAGCTACATCCAGAGCCTCTAATAGCTGCCACTGGGTATGAGTCAGTTCAGGAAGAGTTTACAATTGCCATGGTCCAAGATTCACAATGAGTGATACATTTGATTCCTTCGAAGTAGAAGAGAAATTTTTGTCTTCAAAAACACACTTTTACTCAACAGCATCAATAAAGAGATAAGACACTGGCTTTTGTCCTTGGAAGGTATAAGGATGAACACTAAAAAGTTCCTTACAAGAGCTTAAACAAAACTGTGAGTAAATGTGCCAGGTAGAGACAAAAGACTGAGTCTCACAGTAGAAAGTTGTTTTAAGACTATTTTTGAGCTTTTATGCCTTTATAGAGAGATGACAAGGATAGAGTAGGACACTGGGAAAAGAGTCATACTTTGCGACACATGGCTGCTTGCTCCAAGGATTGTAGCCTTTGCAAATGGGGCGTGTAAACCAATGGGCAAAACCAGTACGCCATCTGATCAGAATGTCATCAAACATAGAATAAATCAAGACAAAACTGCATAAAAAGAAAGGTTTTACAAGTCCTTGTTGAAATAGAGCACCCCTATAGGAGCAAAAATATTATAAACAAGTGAAATAAAAACCTGCAGCTCTCATATTGAAGGTAAAAACATCTTGAGATCGTCTTCGTAAGCCTGTTTCGGCTGCTGGATAAGTGCCAAGTCGAAATTTAATAGCCCACAATTATATTTTTATTGGGTGCTTGCTGGCTGATGAAGCTTAAATGCTAATGGCGACAGGCGAGTGATGGATCAGCTGCACTGACAATTGGTCCTGCCGCAGAAGCTTGTTGTTATTAGTCTGTCAGAAAACAGCCGAAACAGGAGGAAGACATAAAGTAGACTCCCCTCAAAGCCAAGGACTTTATTTTGGCAGGATTACAATGGAGCTGGTTTAGGGGGAAGAAAGACACATTGTGGAACACAAACTGAATAGTGTAATCCCTTTGACTGCTGCAATCCATCCATCCAACAACAAAGCACATACAGAGATTAGCATAACGAGGCAGACTGCTGAGCTAACACACAACCCGACTAATATCTTGCATAATAAAACTGCCAGCATTTATGGAGGGGTGGGGGATGGGGGGCTGCATCAAATGAATGATGATCTGTGGCATGTAATAGTTCTCATCCGGCTCTCTGACAGGAACATTATGAGGATGGAGAGTGATGAGGTCTTCATGAGCCTCTGACTCTCTGTATGGAGCCATGCTGAGTGGAAAAAGCCTCTCTTTAACTCCTCTTGCACTTACAACATGGCTAATGTGAGTGGGAGAGACAACACAGACCAGAGCAGGCTCCCAGAATATTACGTGGGTGGTTGGGGCCATAAAAATCATTCTCAGGCTATAAAGGAATCACACAACCAAATTACATTTTGGCTGTAATGACTGTAGGAATATGCAACTGCGATCGATTTTCTTCTTCTGTTTCAAATTTCTTACCAGGGCTTAGTGAAAGCAAAATGTTTCATATCACTCACTCTTTAAAGGTTAACACAGGCAGAGTGTGTAATTACATTACAGATCAGTCTTCCACTAATCAGTACTCCTGTGCTATTTGCCTCAAATTAACCACAATCTGAGAACTTTCATTTGTCATAATCACATTACACCTGCAAATCTAAATGCTTGGAGCCAGAAAACTAGCAGCACAAATCACAGTGTTTATTGATATTACACTGCTGGACTACCATCATAATGTGATAAAAGCAGCCACATGTCTGTAATTACCTGTCTTTACCTGGCAAAGAAGCAGTACAGAGCAGTGACAGTGTTGAATTTCCTTTTAATTAGTCGATTACTCCTCCAGAAAAAAAAGTTCTTTTTGCTTCTGGCAGTGCCAAGGATGATTTTCCCTCACTCTTTTTTAGTTGCATTGAACCACATCTGACACTTCAGCATTGAACCTCTTAGAGTAACAAGGCTTTTTATGGCATACCAGGACTTCTTACCTGCTGCCAGTACCCTTTTCTGTCCTTTCAAACCACCGTTTCTCTTGGTTTTTCGTGATAGCACTTCAAATAGATTACCTATGGCACATTATGTGCTGCTCTCACCCGTTTGATTCTCACTTGTCTATTTTTGCCGTGGAGGACTGCCAAATGATGTGAACTCAGAAGTCTCTACAGTGTTAAATAAATGAGGGAAATCTTAAGAGTGAAGAAAATGGCAGCAATGATGTCCTGGATCCACAAGGGCACAAAGAGGACTGAGTTAAATCTGTCATTTCAGACTTTCTGTTACTCTCTGCACGACACGCACACCAACAATTGAACAAGGGGAGTACAGGCACTTATTTTTTTCCACTTGAAGCACAGCTTTGAACTTCCTTACGTTTAATCAAACTGCATTGCTTTTCTCTCCCCAAAGGTTCTAGTGTTTCTCTTTGGAGATGACAACACCAAAAGAGGAGGTTCTGAGGCCCTTAAACTCCTGTAAACAGTGTTGAGAGGGAGTAAGACAGAGGACAGAGATAAACACCATAACCACTCAAGTGTCTCAGTCATTCCTGAGGAGAATGATGTCGAGTAGAGCCAGATTGGTGCATTAAAACTGATATATAATATGATGATTATGTTACAGAAAAAAGCATGTCAGAATAAAGTTCCCCTCATTATCGCCTCTCCCGTGAAGAACCTCTGGGCTTCAAAGTAGTTAAAGGGAGTGAAAAAAGCAGGAGGGATGACAGGAAAGCAGGAGTTAAAAAGATTTAGCAGGAAGGAACATTCCCCCTGAGGCCTGGATTGGACTGATATTATTCCATTATCTCTTCTTCTGTTTTTTCCCACAGTGACCTGAACCTATAGAGTGTGGGAATTAATGTTGCTCCGGGTTGTCATCTCAGAAAACTCTTAAATACAGTCGCACTTCCTGCCTTTTCTGAGTCTGTCTGAAGCTTGTCTCTTACATGTAGAAATACGGAGTACCGTGAATCATGAACAAATATTTTTCTGGTTGATTGTCGCTCCTGTAAGTGTATCAGTATAAAGACATAAAAAGAGAATACTCTTAAATAAGAGTGTTCTCTAATGCTGCGTTTGAGTTGCCTCGGAAGTAAGATGTCTGAGCCAGGAATGACGTCACACCCGAGTTACCAGCATTTCAGTTACCAAGTCGGAAAGTTATTGTAGCGCTTGCCTTGTCCTTGCTTATATTCGGACAAAACAAGCGCTAAAATAACTTTCGTAGATGTAGCCATCTTGTTTCTGCCACCGATTTGCTTTCTTCCGACTTATGCTGGTAAGTCGGCTCGCACATCTGACTTCTGAGGTAACTCGAACACAGCATAAATCACACAAGTTTTAAGAAACAGAGACACATCTTAACTGAAGGGATGAAAATTTGTCATATTTCCAATAATCTATATGACAGATCAACTTTTGATGTATAGAGAGTTCACCACATGACATGCTGTCATAGACAATAAACACCAAAATTAATGCCAATGAAACCTGGTCATGCTGTATCACAACAATCCACATGTATTTCACTATTGCCTGCTTCCACTGGAAAAAACACGATTATTTGTTAGCATCCTGATTTAGTGAAAAAAGCTGCAAAAAAGTAATTTCCTGTTGAGAGGTTAATGTGACCTGCAGGAGGACTCATTTTCCAAACTTCAGTATGAATGACGTTCACATTTGGAGTATATTTGAGCTACCGCTTTTGCTGTTTATATTGAAGTGTCAGTATGAATGTGGATTTTCTTATTCTTATTTCTTCATCTATTTTTAAGATTGTCCATTTTGTGCTTTTGTGTTTCTTCTAGGGGTCAATACAGCACTCTATCAATGTTTTCTGTTAAATTTATCTTGTGTAATTGTTTAACCTAAATTTTGTTGCCGTGTTTATTTATTTGTGTCATCTAGCCAATCACTGTACTGTATTATCCACTGTAGTTGTATTATTCCATTTATAGTATTCAGTTTATTTTATCCTACACTAAAGCCTGACCAGGGACAAAGCCTGTAAACAAGCTGAAGCTAGACATCTTGTATGCATCACATTTTCCATTTCTTGTGCCAATGTTATATGGTCCCTGTTCAATAAACATTAAAATAAACAGATGAGGAGATCAAGAAAAAAAGGAAAAATAAATGAACACAATATTTCCTATAAATCCTTCCATCCATTGAGTGAAACTGCCTCTCTTCTATGCATTCAAGCGTCATTATCAGCTGTTAACTCATCATTAGGTAGCATGTGTTTTCTTTTCACTGACAGATGAGGCATGAATGGGAGGCTGGCAGCCTGAGTGTGAGTTTAAATCACTGAATGTGATTGATGTTTGTTGGATCAGCTGACGATCAGCTGCTCGCTGCACATGACTTACAGTATATATCCTGCCTGAGCTATCACAACGCTTCATTAACTTATCTATTCTTCTTCCAAGTCCCAAAATGGTTAAGAATCACTCACTTTACAGCTCCGAAGCATCATTTATGTAATGTACTCCCCTCATGTGCACTCAGGAGTAAACAGGAATCTCACATACTTTCATCTGTTTTACACTACATATTTTAGGGGGCAAAGGACCAAGTTTGGAGAGTTGGTTATCCAAATAGAGCAGAAAAATCGGGTCGTCGGAGATAAAAGGGTTTTCTGAGGAAACAGACTTCTTGTTTTTGCAAGCAACTGGAAAACACTGAACCTCAGCTGCCACAAAGCCTCCAATAATTTATTGTTTCACTCTGGTGCTTTGCGACAAAAGCACTCAAAACCCAGATCAATAAAAGAGTTAACTTTGAGTGTTTGGTGGTCAGGGCACGCAAACAACTGCGGAACGGGAATTTCTGGGCATACCCACATCCGGGATCTGCTGCATTAACGAATGCATGTCAGACTGCAGACTTGTTTGTTTAAGTGACACATGCATCACACACCAACAGCAAACTCTCTCTGTAAACATCGGGGAAAATCATGGTATGAAAGCTGTCCATGTTTTCTAATCACTTTGAACACTTGCATTATGCACCCTCCTTTTTTTATCACTTCGGTTTAAAACTTCTGCAACTTTCCTCCTCCTGATGATGAAAGAAAGTAATCTGTGGCTGTGTTTCATCACGCTCGGATTACCTCAGCTCTCCATTCTCCTGTGAGAGCTTGAGCTCCGTCAGCCCTGCAGGCAACACCGCAGAGAATAAAAACACGAACTTCCCTGGATCAGATTTTCAAATTGATTTAAAGATTGTACAGTTTTGTAAAGCTCAGCGCCCAACACCGTCAAGTTAAATCATTCTGACCTCATGACGTCTAACATAACTTGGCAGTAAATCTGTTCCCAAATCCATTATGTTCCCTTCAATGTGACATTTTCACTGTTTCTCTGTCAAACCCTTTTAGAGGCCTTAAAAAAGTAAGGTCCGGGTTACATTTTGAATCACTGCTTGTGTTTAAAAGAGGAGAAGTTTTTCACCCACTCCTTTACTTTATTCTGTTGTTTTGTTTCTGCTTTTATTTTCACTTTTTACAGACCTTTGAAACCCCTGTATCTCCTGTGGTAAAAAGAATTCAAATAAAAAGCTTATGCTGTTTTCTGCTCAAAACAGCAGTCTGCTAAACATATTCATGGAGCGGCAAATCTTCTTTTATGCCTTGTTTTGATGACAATAAAAGAAGAATACACAGACATGACTGTCAACCCATGGCTATACGTTTTGCCCTTAAATACAAAAAGACAGAAGCCACTGTGGTTATACTTAATGAGCAGCAGAAAGCAAACCCAGCCCACTCAGGAGCAGGTGGTGTTCAAAGATTGGGCTTTTATCCAGCTGAGCGATGTGCTAATTTTTTTTTTTCCCTAGTAATTATCTCTTGACAATGTTGTTTGTGTGCAGCAAAGCTCTTATTTAAAATGTCCAAAGACATGCCTGGAACTGTAAATTAATGTTTAAAATTCAGTACATTATCCATACAACAAAACAACACTGAGAGCAAGCATCTACGTATGGACCTCCTGCTGCAAAGCCTTTTAACATCGCTGGCTTTGCGGCAGAGGTCCTACATGCCCGTGTGCAACAAAACAGAAAACAGACTGAGGACTGGATGATGTCCTGAGACTGTCGGACAACAGGGGGCATGGTCATCCTGCCGCCTCAGGTAGGGCAACCAAACCTCTATAAATCAGCTGACAGACAACATCTCAACATCTTCTCTGAGGAAGCTCTTTGAGTTAGTTTCTGTTTGTGTTGATTTTGTAATCCTTGTAGTCAAAGTGAAACCCCTGATTTATTTGGGATCTTGTATAGGAGTAAGTTGGATTGTTGGACAAGAAAATCCTCATCCAATATCAGTTCATGTATGTTAGGAAACATGATTTCTGATCACATTTGAATGTCCATGGACTGATGTGTTTTTTTTGAAAATTGAGAGGACTTCTGTACAGTCCAGCTGCTAAATTTAAGCAGGGATTTTTCTGATTTACTACTGTGTTTGTCATCTCTCCACCCGAAAATCGCTGGGTTGCTGTCCTTTCTTGCCAGTCAACATAATTGACTGTGTGTGTCCTGGTGGAAATGTGATGCCTGTCCCGTACATCAAAACTATGTTTCATTGCCTGAGCTGAGCTCAGCGTGAGGACAAAATTCAGAAATACAATCAAAGTTAAAACCACACACACAAGTACAGACCTGTACACTGTTTCAAATGAAATTACTGTCATTTTAAGCTTTGTTTGATGTTTTGTTGACCAGGATTACTTACTCATTTTCTATTAGTGGTCTTTGTGTATTTTTCTCATGTTACTTTTTTGTTGTTTTATTATTGGTATGATTGTCAAAATTCTTCTCTCTTTGTTTTGAAACCTAAATAACTTCATCATGTGGATTTTGCAGAAATCTTTTGCATTTGTGTAATTTGTTTTATAGGATAATGACTTAAGTAACGGTAAAGTACAGTACTTTACATGGTGAGGGCTTCACTGTTTATAAGTTTGCTACGGATTTCAACTTTTAATTTGAATCAACCTGATGATCCAGCAGTGGAGTTATCTGACAGTATGCCTCATATTCAGTCAAATGATCGTTTTCCACTGTCATAGTAGCACTAAATTTAGAGTCAGCTAATGTACACTTACCAAAAATATCACATTACATTCTGTCAGTGCTGAAGACATTTAATGAATGGTTTTAAAGACACTCTCTCTCTGGGGGCGGACAGGATCGGGTGATTTTGGAAAGAAACCTGTTTTCATTGCTGGCGCGCAACCGATCCAAATTCAAATTAACGCTCAGGTTTGCCACCTGTATGTATTCAAATATCACCATCTTGAGAAAAGGGCGGCTTGAGTTACAGCCAAAACTTGAGATAAATTTGCACTTTTAGATTCTGTTCAAACTGTTAATACCATGATGGATTTACAGACATTCACAAAAATATCAAGGATAAGATTCAAATAATGATATGATAATTAACAGCCTACTCTGATAGTAAATAGTACCTTTTCAGTGGCTTTTTAAACACTGATTTATGAATATATCTAAATAAAATCTGCTGATTTCACCCCCTTTTTAAACTATTTTATAGATGGTAGTGTGAATTCATTTAAAACAGTAGTTAATTTATCTTTTAGTTTCATTTAAGCCCAAAAAAGGTGTTCCAATCAGAACTTTCCAGTGAGAATAACATCATGCAAATGACATTTGAACTGTAAAAATGCCTCAAGCACGTTACTTATTTAACTGCATCCCTGCCCATGCAAGTGTAATGTTTTTAAGGTTGGGGTGGTTTCTAATTGAAATGGTAAGGCCCAATGGGGTATTTTTTTAAGGGCTCTAAATCTCTGGTGTTGCCCTTACCTTCATCAGCTCAAACGTTGAGTCTTGTCTTATTAGGAGTCACCAAACAGGACAGATTTTACACAGGGTATTTGAGACACAAGATCTTTTCTTGACAGCGTGATATCGTATTGCTATCAAGCTTTACAATCTTGCTTTAACACTGATTTCATTCATTCTTTGATCCTTTTGGTTTGAAGTATTTCCTGAAAAAATCTTTTTTAAAATTTGGCCTTGATATTTGGTACGTCTGCTGTCCAAGTTTAATTGTCTGACATTTGGGCATCTGAGCAGGTTGTGTTGATTGCGTGGAACAAAGAGAGGGACAGTGACAGGCTGCCTTTGTGGACAACAAGAGAGACGTAGGCTGGTGTGAAGTGACAGTAATGCTGTTATTTACACTTTCTCACTTCTCACCTTCACTTGAACATGCATAATCTTATTATTAGATGAAATCTTAGTGCCCATCTCCTTCTGTTTGTCAGAAGTTTTGATATCAAGCATCTGAAAGATGGAATTTTTTACCAAACGTTTCTGTAAAAACTAACAGCTCTTAGTTTGGGCTTCATGCAGATGGTGCTTAGCATGTTTACGTAGCAGCAACTTAGAGGGGAAAAAGCACAAATAAAAGCTTTCTCTGACAGAAGTCCTTTATTTCCCAAAGGCTTTAAAATAAAGACACAATAATAAATACTGAAAACCGCCATCGGAGAAGCAAGCACCGCTCCAATGAAAGAAAACCAGACATAATACGGTACTTTGATGGTGTTTCTCTGTTTTATGTGGGAAGCTGTCACCTCTGCAAACAGCCTCCACTGATTGTCAAGGAGAGGACTCACACATTTTCACCATTAACAGTTGACTCTCCCTGAAACGACGGAAATAATTTGCTCCTAGACTGAAAAAAAAAACAATTTGAAAATGTCTCTTCATGATACTGACTGCTGTTTATGCTCAGCTTATAATTATGTTTACTCTGCGAACTGCGACTTAAGAATTTACAAAGGTTATCAGGTCTACGCTCAGATGATTTGATCTGAATCATGAATCGCACCATATTAACAGAATTTATAACCTTCAATCCTGTGAAAATTTAAAGTTAAATGAAACAAACTTGAAAGATGTGATGATGCCAGAGTGCCAGAGCTTGATATAAGCTTATGTTTTTCTCCTCAGGGAAGATGAACTGCAGCCTGTTTGATGCATCGAGTTTAATCTTTTAACCTTACTCTTTCAAAACTAAAAACAGATCAATTTATGTTTCTGCCTTTTAATTTATAGATAGCACTTAGGTGCAAGTGTAGCAATCTTCTCTAATGTAAAGCAGAGATGAGTCTCAGTTCGTGATCCACTGTGAAAGACCAAGCGAGTCTTTGGAGGATGGAGACTCGTCCATCAAACAGACATCAGATCAGCCCTTGGGCAAAGGAGATTTTAGCCAATGTATGTGTGAAGTTACTGCTGGAATATGAGTCCACCGAGGGGGGGCTGAAGGAGCACATTAGACTCACAGGATGTGATGTAATTACAGGTCAACACCCAACTCAAGTTGCTTTTAGGTGAATTCCTGCCATGTCAGACGTTCATGCTTTTATGTTCCTCAAATTCACTGGAGAGTTAAAGCTCATGAAATTCATGAGGGAATTTATCTCTTGTTTTTCAGAGCGTGACTTCACTTGATGCCAGTTCACTTCAGACAGGATTGGCTGTTTATGTGTTCATTTTGAGTTCTTGTTTGTCCTTGCCAGTGGAATTACATGATTGGTTGTTTCTCTCTTTAGGGAAAGCAATTTATGAACAATCATTTGAGATAAAAATTTGTTAAATATTTCTTCTTCATGTTTAAAGCTTATTTTTTACACTTCACAGATCCAACATTTTCAGCCTTTTGCGCTTATTCATATGTATAGTGTTTAGCATGTTTACTTGAGTATGAATTCAGTAATTGGTGCTCCAAATTAAAAGATATGCAACAAAATTAACAGTTAATTACCTTACATTAGACATTTCTGCTGTTTCATTGTCATGACCTCATAAAAACATGATGACTTGCATTAGCAGCTCCGTCACAAAATCGGAGACAATCATTAAAGAGGAAACACTGTTGTGTAAACACACAGATAATGCTGTGTTAATATTTAATATATCTAATGTACTATTTGCTGAGCTTTAAGGGGTAATATTAACGTGAACAAAATCAGTTCTCTCTCATTAGTGTGCAAATCAAAGTGGCAATGTTTTGAAAATGTAATGACAGTCTCTTTTATTCCAGAGGGCTCTGTAAGATGTCTTCATATAAGAGAGTAAGAGAGGAAACGGCTCTTATATTCACTCCATGAGATTAGAAAAATGAGGCTGTCATGACAGCTTCACACAGACCCCACAGTGGTTGGTCTCTCAGGGTTTCTGTAGCACTTGAAGGCTCTATTGCTGACACCATGCAGTATGGACATTTGGACTCTGGGGAGGGGGTCTGCTGGGCGGGAGGGGAAACCTTTAAGGCATCTCTAAGCTGGGACTCATCATCTTATAATCAGTGCCAGGGGAGTCTAGCAGGGGGAAGGAAACCCTGTTTCATGTCATCCTGTTAGATAAGAGAATTTTAGCTGTTATGGAACATATGTTAAGCAGACTGATGTTATTTCTGATAACTACACAACCTGACAAAGCAAACTAGTGAGAGGACTTCATCCAACACCTACCTTGGTGCAAAAAAAAAGACAATATAAAAATAATTAATTTTGTCAGTGACAGTCTCAGAAGCTTTAGATTGTTAAGAGGCATCAGCTTTGGCCTGTTTCATAACACGAGGCAATCTCAGCATGGGATCAGATCATTGTGAGTTTTCTGTAAAGTTCTTTGTTTTCTACTCTTTGAATAAACAGGTCAAGATCACAATAATGCTAAGACTGTCCACAGGGGTCACCACAATCAACACAAACCAACAGTTCTCTGCAGTAGCAAGGACTGGGTGATTTGGTAAAAAAAAAAAACACGAAAAACTGCTGACATACTTTGAACATCGGCTTAATTGCATGGCATCACATGGAGATACCCGAACCACTACCACACAACCGACATTGAATAACTTCTCTTCTCAACAATGGCACCTTCGGAGGATGACTCAAAGTCATGGCTGACAACTATTTTGCTGCCCTCAGCTCCGCGTTTAGCTCCACATTCGATCATTCTGTTTACTTCTCCTGTCTACTTCTCCGGCAACTTACAGAAGTGGGCAGAAAAAGCTCGACTCTGATTGGCTGTTGTGATAAAAATTTCTGCTAAGTTTGATCGAGTAAATATGCTCACAGCTGATCATTATGATCGAAATGAAATTCATCATGATCATTAATCACGATCATAATCAATCAAACCTTGAGACTCTTGGTAAAGTCTTGAGTCCTCATGGCCTACTCTGAGTCAGGCCCCCCTTGTCTGAGGTTTTATGAGGACTCATTGACTCACTCTTAACCACATGAATCTCAACAAACTGAACGGGTCTTTTTGAAAATACATTCAACATATAAACATCAGAATCTGAATGCTCCTGTCGGCATGTCTAAAGATTTAAATGATCAATTAAGTTTCAGCACTGTGTGCCGCACTGAAAAGCTCACGATAGCTCTTTTAATGTGAACTCCCTTATTTTGCTGTGGTGGGATCGCTGCAGGTTTCCAATAGAGTTGAAAACATCTCCGCCCCACCTGCTCTAAATCAGACTTTGAACTAATCAAACACTTGAGACCAAAGGTTGAGCCGCTTTGGAGGCTAATCTTAGTTAGCGGCTCGCTGATGGAAATGTTTCCAACAAGCCAAGTATCCTAATCGTGTCTCACTTATCCTTCTGGGTTGGTGTTCGTTTAGCTTTGACTTTGTCCCTGTCTCATCTCTAATAGATCTTCTAGACACTGAATATGTTACACAGCTCTTTCCTATGCGTGCTGTAAACGCAAAACTAATGATCTGATGCTCCTCATCAGGTATCCAGGCAGGAGCTGTAGATAACAAAACAGCAAATGAGCAAGGATGTCAGTGGACACACATGCTAGCCCTCAGTCAAAGCTGAATAACTTATTAGGGAATTATCCAAAACAATAACACAGTCCTTCTCTTTGTCCTCCAGGTTCAAATACAGCCAATGCTCCAGACCCGACTATTCTTGAAGATAAATCCCTCTTTAATTGCCTTTAATAATCAGCTTAAAGAAACCTGACTCCTCTTCCACACTGTGATAAAAACATCACACACCAGTACGCTCTCATTATAAAACAAGTTTGTTTATTGTACTCTCTTATTTCCTCTTCCCTCTGTTTCTGCCGACACACACCATCTCCTTATTCAAACACCCTAACTACAACATTAGTATTTACTGAGTGCATCAGGGCAGGAGAGAACAAAGAAACTGTATGTCTAGTGTTGCAGTTCTGATATTAATGTTTTCAGAGCAGAAATAACCAGATATATTAAAATATTAATCACAGCACTCAATACAAAACTTGAAATTGGATTTTTTTGATTCCAAAGCACATTTCATTTGTAGTTTTCTGTTCAGTATTTCACAACAAAGTGAATAATAATCACAAGATATATTAAAGCTTTCAATTTCATGGCTGTCATTAATTTGCTCTATGCTTCGTGCCGAGGATTATACATTTAAAATCCTCACAAACCAAAGAGACGAAATTGGATCAAAAAGGCAGAAACCTATTTTCTGAGCCCCAACCCTGGACCTTCATTTAAGAAAACTGTCAGAATTATGTCTCAAAAAATGAAATGTCTTTTATTATTTTTTGCCACTTTTCATTATCTCTTACTGCTCTTAGCTTTAACTCAGCCTCTCAGCTCTGTCTCAAATTCTGCATCTGAGGAAGAGTCTGGTGGAGGAAGTAATTACAGACAGGAAAATCACAGTTTGATACAGAAAAAAGACAGGCTCCTCTCAAGCAGGCATTGTAAAATGTCTCCTTAATCCCTTTGTATCCTTTCTTCTCCTGTCTCTCCATCACTCTCCTCCTTCCTCTCTGTGCTCCTCTGACTGATACTCTGCTGCCTTCACTTGAGGGATTTGTGCAGTGATCTCGTTGTTCTTACAGACGGGTTAGATGGAGGGGGGACATGGCTGGACGAGATTTCATTGATCAGATGCGACTGTCTGAAGTGGATTTGCTTTTGTTGGGTCTGGGGTTCAGCTCTGGCCATCAGAAGCTTTGGTGGTCTGTTTTGAGCATGTTACATTTAGAGTTACATTTTTTCCCTACAGCTCTCCCACGCCACCTCCACTATCACAGGCCGCCTGCAGAGTGTTTGTTTTGAGTCACAAGTTAGGACATGGAGAGATATTAAATGCTGTTTGTGCACACAGTAAATATTGCTCAACATTACCAGGATTGACAGGATTGATTGCTTTTGGTTGTTTTTTCAGTCCAAAAAAACAACACTGGTGTTCTACAGTCAATCAGTCGGCTTGGCTGGTTTATTACTAAAACCATCCAAGCAGATTGACTGTTCCCACTTTCAGGGATAAATAGAGGCAATAGAAATTATTTTGAGCCTCAGAGCATGTTCATCTGCAGTGATCTAGGGTATATTCCTCTGCAGCAGACTGCTGCTTAGAGGAATTTACCATTGTTTTGATCATGGACTAAATGCACAGACAAAATCTTGTGAACCTGAGTTAGGTTGATTTAAAAGAGTAAAGAGAAGACAAGAAAAAGAAAACAAAACATTAAAGACAAAAAAGAGAAGATTTCAGGGGAGGCATGGGTCTCAGAAAACTGATCTTATGCCACCCTAAAATTAATATCTACATGGGGCAAGACTTATGTGAAAATCAACCATGGACCCCCGGAAGCAGCTCATTTTCTCTTCATTCATACAGACATTTAAATTCAAATTTGGATGCAGGCCGATATAATCTGATATTGTTTTTTTTTTTTGTTTTTTTTCGGTCCAATATCTGAGTATCAGTATCGTATCAGGACACCCCTATCTCTGCCTGTTACAAGAAAGTTTTTTCTTGCCACTTTAACCTGCTAAAAGATGCAAAGTACAGAACAAGTTGTCAACGTGGAATAAAACCCCAAAAGGAGGTCACATGGACCTTTCTCTTTTTTACTGATGTCACTTCGGTATGCATGGCGGTGCAGTTGAGATTACAGACAGTGGCAGCTTTTTCAAGTTTAAAAGCACAAGCCGCACTGGCTGTCTGTGTGGCACAGATAAAATCATGTGAAAGGAAATAATTAACTTCTACTGACCCCAGAAAATTAAATGAGGTAGACAAAGTCAGACAAATGCTCAGCTGTGCACAGTTCTTATGTCTGTTTATCATCTTTAACTCATCCGGACAATCAATCCACATCACTGTTCTCTTTCTTTTCCAGCTTTTTGTTGGGGATGACTCAGTCCTTTCTGGGGGGTCCTTTGCATGACTCGCATAGGAATACCAACTTTGCATTGGTTCATGTATGGCACAGCAGAATTTCAAAGGATCTTCAGCTATTTTTTGTTCTTTCGATGCAGAGGTATGGGGTACTTTAAAAACTTGAAATATGACATATTTCCAAAATGTTCAAAGCCACTTGAGAAACTCAACAACATCAGCTAAGATTTGTCAAAAACCCGCCCCTGGTTCACCTCTCTGCATTTTATCCATTCCAGCGCACACAAACACGCAGAGACACAGACACACACAGACATGTCCCCACTCACCCGAAACCTATTCGAGCAAAACATCAAACATTAGATGCCAGATTCAATAAAAGTCAGATGTAGTTTAGAAACTAGAAATGATCAAATCAATTAACTGATAAGTATTGCTCCGGTATGTGTCCTGATGTATTAGAGTGAACCTAATGCACCTGTGTATTACCTTTGATATTCCTGATGCACTCAAAATTAACCCTTTTGTGACAGTATAACCCTTTACAAAGTCACTGATGACACAAGACTTGTAAAGGGATACTTTGGGCGATATGAGGTACTTATAAAGTGTTAAGACATTTTCAGACAGGCTTACACATACATCGAGAATAGTGGTTTAGTTGGAGTTTGCTAAAATTTGCTAGAAGACATGGTAGAACTGGTCCTGTCTATCACATTTGACAGCCGAGATTCTGTTCTGCTTTTTAAGTCACTTTCTCAACAAAGGGGTCTAAATGATCGAGATCCCCTGTTACTACTACACTCAGAACCCCACTTTTAAAAAATCAATAGCTTTAAAGCTTTATAATCAGAGCTTTTATACAAGTAAAACTAAATACCAATTTAGGTTGGCAAAGGAGTAGTATTGAACATTATTATCTTAGTCCGTCAGTGCCTATTAGCAACAAAGACAAGACAGTCAATTAAAATGTCAGAGTAGTTGTTTGGAAACCGGTACTGCTTGGATAAACAGGATGGGAAGAAAATTAAAAATCGATCTTTTTAAAACTATGATTTCTAACCCAATGGTGGCACCAGAGGATATCTCATAGATCATTTTGTTCTAGCAATTGCTTCTGTAGTCGCATTTACATTGCAATAACTTGGACTCATTGTAGCTCCTAAAGTGTATGTGGTGGGTTGGGGGACTTTTTCAGGTTCTAAGCATGTTCTAGCCACTCATCTAACAAGAGAGGATCCTGCACATCATGTACACAGATTTATCAAACACTTGAGCACCAGCAACAAAATAAATTGTGTAAAGCCAAGTAGCTTGAAAAAGCTGCCCAGCTGTTGTACAAACTGACCAACAGTGAATCACTTATCTGCATAAAACCAATTACACTTGGCAAACTTGTAACTCCAACTATGGCTTCTTTGTGTTCTTGTTGCACAAATTATAGCTTTACTATCTGCTGGTGATATTTGTCACTTTGACATTGCCATCGACAGAGCAAAAAGCAAACATGTAAACGGCCTCAAAGGTATTTTATTCTCACTTGGTTCCTCTAAAAACCTTGTTATTATTATAGAACTGAATGTAATTGCAATCCACTGGACAACTCATGTGTTAATTTTAGGGATGCACAATATATATTTATAAAACGTGTCATTATTTATTCTTTCAATAATACAATTTCATCTGTTTAGAACAACTGTATCCCTAGTCTCGTTTCAAGCCACCTGAAAAGCTGCCATCACAACAAAAAGGAGAAGAAAGCGGCAGTATTGTCATCAGCATAATACTGCCACAAAACTACAGTAACTTTACACCTTATCAAAATAAGAGAGGACTCTGCTGTTCCAGTCCGAGTCATCAGAGTATTTGCTGCTAGTGAGGACACTGTTGTCATGTTCTCTGTGTTTTTCAGAGAAAACCAGAAACTGAACTCTGGGTTACGTCCAATACAAAGCGTCACAGAGGTTGTGGACAGGGGAAGGTGAACAGATTTTAATGTTGATCTAAGGTGACACGTGTGACACATTAACAGTATGGTCGTATAGGTTTGTCATTAGATGTATGCATCTATCATTAGCCGCGGCTCGATGGTGAGAAGTCCATCAATACTCAGTGAAGGGCATTAAAGTCATGTCTATATTGACTCTTTTCCTTCCTTGTAAACACAATAATGTGATGGCTGCATGGTGCCTGTAGGAACGTACTATCTTTTGCTGGGAAGAGATATGAAACTTTTGTTTCTACTCCCCCTTTTATCGTGCTTTTAGTCCTCCTGTTTGTGCATGATTAGCACTGAGCTCCAAAGCATCATATAGCATCTCAAACTCCTTAGGAGCTGAGATATCCTTAGCTGAGGTGGATGCATGCAGTAAGAAAGAAAAGAGGCAGCAAGGCTTGTCCTTTTTTCGTATTTATCCACAAGAAAGTTCATTATAATAATGACTGTGGAAATGTGGGAGTAAAAGATACTTTGGTAAAACTTAATTCGATGGTACCTTCAAGATGATGCAATTTGGATGCAATTCATTGTAGGGTTTTAGCAAACTACACTGAGAGTCAGATTAAGATGGAGGATAAAGTTGCCAAATCCTCTTTGGTTGAGAGACCCTGCCATAGATCCAAAAAATCGAACCAAGTTAAGTAGGACTTATTAAATAACTGCTGTGATGTGTGCAGACAATCAGGGAGTAAAAACACTGCTCAGTCTCTATTTCTCTTTCAAGCACTTCAGAGTCAGGGTGTTTGTCTTTTTAACCAAACGACAGCATCAGCACAGTAATTTCCAGTGGGATAATAAATCACCTCTACCCTGGAGACAGACAAACATGGCATATGTGATGGATAGCCAAGCTGTTAAAATGTGAAAATGTGCAGTTTGGAAGCAGACAATAGAGCACCGCAATTTATGCCAAAAGGCATTTTGCCAATAAAAAAAAACTACCCATTATGATGAGGAATAATCTCAGGGGGAGAGGGTGATTTAAAACTATATTGCTGAGGGTGATGACAGGGTGATAGTTTTGTCAGTGAAAGTATCACGGAAAACATGTTGGAGTATGTTGTTTGTGTCATAAACACATTAAAGACCAACCATAGGAAGCCACAGATGATTCCACCGAACGCCGAGAGGGAAGGAAGAAATAAATGAAAAAGCACAAAAAAGCAGGAAAAGCGCCAACAGGTTGTTGCAGCTACTAACAGGAATATTATGAAAGACGGTTCAGGTGAAAACAAAGTTAACGAGACATGACATTAGAACACAAGAGACGAGGAAGGGTCGGTCAAGGTAAGAGGCGAAATAAAAGCATATAAAAACTAGCTGTGAGGTGATTATATGGTTGTAACATTGAAGTGGGCGAGTGGAGTTGAGATATTGCAGTGGAGGACGGGGGTGTTGCGGAAAAGGCGGGTATATGTATCTTCTCTTCCCGGGTAAATTGTGTGTGACTGCTTTGTGTGTCCATCATTTCTCTCTCTGGTCTAATTACAGCTGGTTCCACCTGGATGCTCTGCTCCGTCCTTCTCTGTGCACAATGATGCTAACGGACGACTGCACTGAGATATACGGGGAAGAGGAATTTGAACCGGGAAAATGTCTCTGACAGCATTTAGTTTTTTTTTCTTTTTTACACCCTGGACTCAGACTTACCTGCACCTAACTAAATATCCAGGTTGAATCGGCAGCTTTGTGTTGAAAATATCACCTAAACACTTTTTTTATTGAGGCATAACTCTCAAGTTGAACCGCAAGGACAGGGATGAGTCAGCTGTAGATGGTGCATTGAAGAACAGTGTTTGCTCGATGGAGCTTGTACCAATTCATCCATCTGCGTTGTGACGCACTTGCATTTGTTGCATCAAACAAAGACTTGAGAAACTTTTGATGAAGAAATTCTCTCAACCCAGAGAAGTATACTTACATCAACTTGGATTACAAGAGCTTTCTGTTCATTGATTTAGTCATTGCTTTAGCCCAAACCACATCTTTTTGTAGACCCTTGAGGCAGTGTTGGTGCTTTCACCCAATCAAATTGTGTCCATTTCACAGACTTTATAAAACAACGGGCAGAACCAGGACTTTTAGTACTACCTTTGGTGACTGGAAACAGTCCTGGTCTTACATAGGTCAGACGCATGTCAAAAAGGTTTTTCTCAAAAACTGCTGCTGGCTCTTATTATTCTGGTAACACTTTACAATAACCATAATTTATAAATGGTAAATAGATAGTTTATTTATGTTTAATCATCATTTAAAAACGGCATATAGACCAATTATAAATGGCAAATTGATAGTTTATTTACTACTACATTTATTAATTATCAATGGACTATTAATTAAAGGTTTATATAGGGTTTAAATATTGGTTGTAAAACATCTAGATTCAGATGTGTTTCAGTAGCACTTTGTAAATGGTTAATATTTGTTTTTTAAACCACCTATAAACATTACTTAGATGGTTATTGTAAAGTTGCAACTGATGTTTATAATACTTTGTGAATGATAAGTGGTTTATAAACCACCTTTGAACATTACTTAGATGGTTATTTAAAGTTCGGGTTAGGGTTAAGTTTTTAAAATTGTAAAAATTTACAATTTATGAATAGTCTACATACTATTTATTAAAGATGATTAAACATTAATAAACTATCTGCTCACCATTAATAAGTTATGGTTATTGTAAAGTGTTACCATTATTCTGATTATCTGCAAGTGGTTTATAAGAACTTAAGCTTTAATGATCAATTATTTGACGTTAAAAAGAGGATTAATTGACAGCTTTTTTGACAAATGCAGTCATCTGCTATGTTCGACACTGGATAACCAGAGTAGAGGGGAACAGCAAAAGAAAAACTAACCAAGAACCATTGGACTATTCACAGCTACCAGTGCGCATTTTAAATCAACTCAATACAAGAATCTGTTGACCTGCTGTAGACCGCACCAACCTGAGGGATCTTAAATGTTTTATCAGTGAGTTCAATGTGTGTTTTGGGTTAGTGGAAGGGGTCAGTCCTGCGGCTCTACACACAAGATCACTCCTTCGCTCTGGCTCTTCCATCACAAATGCTCAGCACCCATCCAGTAAGAAAAAGACATATAGGGAGGCTGTCTATATTAGTGTACAACAAACAGTCCATTTTCACAAACTCACTGCTGATACTGTTTACTTTAGCAGTCCAATTATTGAATCTACTCACTCTTCACCATTTATGAAAAGGAAGCAGTTGCCAATCATGGCACAGGATTAAACACTGAGAATCAAGTCATTGATCTGATGTTGGGGACTATAGCTTGTTTCCAAAAGCTGGTGAGAGGAGTTTCAGTGATCAGTTTGTTCCAATTATTGTTCCAGGCAGCATACAGCAGGTACGTGTTGGGATAGAAAGGCTGGCAGCTGCAGCAGCTTGGCCGAACTGTCGCATCTCTGAACGTCTTCCAGCGGCTGCTTAGCTGGTCATTTTCTTTTGTTGAGTGTCATTATCTCAGAGCTTGAATGCAGCACAGCGTAGCATGAAGACTCAGATTTTCAAACATCGGCTGCAACCCATGAAACTTCTAAGGAACTGGCACAACTGATCCCAAGATCAGCGCAATGAAAGTCCCTGTCTTCGCCATCTAATGAGAGGACTACTTTCTTCTTATCCTTTTAAAATAATGACGGAGAACGAAGCTGAATAAAGCTGCAAGATTCACTCCATCAAGCAACAGATCCTTGCTTTTAACTCTGGCTTTCTGTTGTCATTATCCCCTGAAACTTATTTCAAACCTGTCAGTCAAAACGACTTTTGAAAAAAGAATTCATCATTAAAGAGGGGAGAAGTTGTCTGGGGAAATTAAGGAGGTGATGTCCTTTGGGAGACAGGACAGAAAAGCAAGAAAACAAAAAGATAAAGGTAAATAAAAAGGTCAGAATAAAAAACAACATTTTTTATGTTCAGATTTGAATGCACAGACACAGCCGGGGATGCTTGGCCGAGTCCTGCAGAGCCATTCAGACAGCAAGTGAGAAATGCCCGGATACATTTACACATACAGCCATTGTGGAAAAATAAGTCATTACAATAGCTTATTATTTTCAGACTTGCAGTTTAATTGCGCAACAGGGGATGATACTCTGTATTACCTCGCCTTTTGTGGGCTCATTAGGAGGAAAAGGATTCATTTCGGTTTTCTACAAAACCCCCTCCAACAGAGTTCAGTAGCAAGCGCTCCACATCAGGATGCACAGTGAGTATTTACTTGAAAATACAAAGGCTTTTGAAATCATCCTTCCCAATACTAATCAACTCATTAAAAATCTTAACAGTCACAAATGACTGTACTGATTAAAACAGAGAAAGCTGGCAACCCTTTTAAATTGAGCAACATCACTAATTTATTAAGACAAGTGTGACATGTGCATGGTATACTTAATACCTCGAAACACTCAGTCGGTTAACATCTGTTGCACAAAAGAGAGACATAAAGCGGACTGTAGTGCATCAAGTAGAGGATAGAAATGAAGAATGACAAGCATTTAGTCCTCTAAGTGCACAGTAACAACATAAGCTATCTATCAAAGGACGAAAATGCCAATAGATTTGAAAGGATCCTCTTATGTCCCAGGCAGCAGCTCAATGTGGAGACAGAGATTACAAGCAGCCAAGACGTACACCCATGTACCTCCAGACACTGTCGTGACAGGAAACTTTTCAGCTGTCTTCAAAGGTTGAGCTCAGTGTTGAACAAAATGACACACTGAGAAGCATTTCAGCAATCACAGTCGTAGCCGCTCAGACAGAACAAGAGAGGACTTCCCTGAAAGTGAGGAAGTCTTCACAACATGGTGTCACTTCATATTCAGGCTGAGAGTGTTTTAAGGCACTGGATTGAGAGCTCCTTTAATAAAAGTGAAAATCCTAAAAGGAAGGGGAGGCTTTTGCTTGGAAGAGAGTTGCAGTGAATCAGGAGACTGAGACTCGTAATGAAATGAAATGTCTCTTAATACTGTTATATATTTTATATCATGTCTTTATTGCTTGCCCACAGCCGCTCTCTGAACAGGAGGATGCCGTTCAGCGCTTTTTCCTGCTGACTCATTTTAAAATCTGAACGTGTGTCAAAGATGTTGAGGACAGCAGGAGATAAGGTTCATTATGAGGGATGAACTAGCTCTCTAACTGTGGGATGTGAGACAACAGAATTAAGTATGCATTTTAAAACCTAAGTGACTGGCCCAATGAAATATTACCACGAGAGACATTTACTGCTGGAAAACTTACATTATACATGGAGCCATTTGGATGTCAGATTTCTGGCCTATGTGAGTGAGGACATCTTTTACAGCCTGCTCTTCCACTTTCCCACTTGGGAATTGAGTTGTGTGTTACAACACGGCACATGTGGCCTGTATTAAGTTTGAGAACAAACAAATGACAGGCTATTTTTGGCTTCTGGGTAGGTCAGGTGTCGGTCACTGTCCTGGTGCTGTGATTGTGTTAGCACACAGAGTGACTTTACTGTGCGTCTGACTCTGCAGAGCAACTGAATCAAAGGACCTAACCCCAGAGAGTTATGAAACAGCTTTTTGATTAGCTTTGCCAAATGTTAGCCTCCAAATCACAGGGCAAGATCGTGGCTTGTGTTTGAACCATAAGAGATAAAAAACAAAACACAGACTGAATTACACTGATAAACACAGTGAAAGACATTTGGATGCTATGATATGCAAACATACAGACTGCTACAACTTCGCTAGTAAGCAGATAAGTCCAGTTTCTCATCTCATTTCAGTGCCATCAGCAATATGTAATACGCCACTCCGTGACTCAGGTCACGAACAGTCTACTAGATTACGTGATGTCCGAGACGTGACCTCCATGTCGACAAACAAACCGTAGTATTTAACCATGTCAGTGAGGACCTGTCAGGCAACGCATGCCGCAGTAATTTTGAGCTGAAGCTAACGTGACTTTTCAATCCTCTATCCTGTCAAGTCCTGTTAATTTCAGTGAATGTGCAGGCCCTCAATAATGTGATTCCATATTCTGTGTCATTTTTCTGTCTCTGTGCCCATCATGACGGGGCTTTTGACACAAAGACTGTAACTGCAAAACAGATGGGTATAGATTTTATTAGCTATGCATCCCATCTGACAGCCATGCTAGCTCGCTGTGCTCTTCTCCTTTATCTGATAAACCCAAACAGTCTGACAGTCAATCTTTCTCTTTACCCGAAGATTTTGCCATCATCACATTTTATCTATTAACTTCTCTTTTCCACCCAAAAACTTGCAAGATCCCACAGTTATGACCCACTATTTCTGCTCCCCTTCATAGACGCCTGCAAAAGTTTTGGTGCAAATCTGTCACGCTCAGCCTCAGACATACAAATTAGGGGGAGTTGATTGCTGAAAAATGCTGAAATTCTGAATCAAAATCACACACAAGCCGCATCTCAAAATAAGTGTCTCTCATCTCTCTGACTTCATATCGTGGGTTTGATTAGAGCAGCTGTATAATCAGGGGCTGAGGGTTAAATACTGAAAATTGTCTCTCATTCACACTCCTCTCTGCTATGTCTGCACAAAGACAAAGTTCATAAACATGATCCAAGCGTTGCCCTGTGGCATCGGATTTTACATTACGTTGTTCAGGTGAAGTTATTTACACCGTGACATGGGGTCATTTCTCTTTCAGCAGCTACGTGCAGAGGTGGAAATCAGGATTCACCTCAGATCAGAGCTCATCGTCTCTTCGTTTGTCTCCATCAGTGGCGAGTGAAGCAGCAGAATCATCTGGACACGATTTATCGATGGTGGTCTCGCTGAAAAAGAGATTTCCAATCTTGTTGTGTCCACTTGTGCAGAGAGACACATTGCAGTGAGGGTGAAATAAATGCACAGACAAACCGATACGACCTGGAAACCAGACAAGACAGTAAATCAAGACAGGAATCCATTAGCCAGTAAAGACGTACGGGGTTGTATTATTGATACTAAGTTGGATTGATTGCTTGATCCAGGCGAATGTGTTTTACTGGTGTGTGCTTTCTAAAGGTGAACCTACTTTTGTAAAGCAAACTCTACCTTTGTCTCAGCTATGACCACTCGTTTTCTATGTGAATTTCACATTTCACTTCAATTGACACCTTGAATAGACCAATCCACTTATAAAACACACAAGAGGTCAGAAATAGATCCTAGAGAAATTCAGGAAAACTCTGACCTCATATTCACACGGAGAGCCATGTGATGAATAAAGAAGTGGTTTCCTAATGAGCTGACAGACCTGGAAAACTCTACAGACGAGTGGAAGAGAGTTTGTAAAGTGGGAAAAGTGAGTCATAGACCATCAGCCAGCAGAAATCAGATAATCATCATAAGATGTTATATAATCTTTTATTGACTGATTCTACAAAAACATGCAGAATCTACAGAAATGGGACATGGTCTAGCTATGGTATCTTTGATCTAGTTCAGGTTTGTTGTCTCAGTGTGGTTACAATGCTACTAAACAATACAAAACCTGTTTGAGGCTAATAATCCTGTCTTAGAGGTCATGTCCCAACTCTAACGACATTTTGTTCTCATGCTGCTGGTCGGACTGTAAAAAATGAGCTGCATACAAACTCTGGTCACTCTGGAAACCCTGAACAATTTGCTGTTGCTCTCAAAAACTGACTAACCAGTCACAACAATGGAGAAAAAACAAGAACACTTGCTCTCACAGATTGGGTGACACTCATTCAGCCAATAAGCAAGGTATGGCGAATGCATTGTACCTGCCACCTGGTGCATAGCCAGTCCAATGATACCAGAATTTATTTGCCAACTGGCTTGGGCGAAGAGATGTTAATGGTCATTTAGTGCCAGAATTACGCAGTAAGCCAACTTATTTGTCTGATACCCCATCAGAAATACCTGCCTGCAATACAAATGTGACTGAGAGGCTGAAAGGAATTGGCTGTATTAGTGAGCTGTAATAGAGTTGGTAAAAACTTCTACTCCTGTACAGCTTTTTAAAACAGAAAAATGATGAGCCATATAGAGACCAAGATTGTCTGTATTGCTAGAGTTTAGTCCATGACAATGGTTTACCCTACCACCTCGTAGAAATAAGCTAACTTAGATGTTGTGACTTACATTAACTGAACAACTCCTTTGTACTTTGTACGTACAGACTCCACCCCAAAGTGTATGATTACATTTCCCATTATGCTGTTTCTGAAGCACGAGAGGCACATTTACACATAGAGGAACACCATATAAATACACTCAGACACGCTCATACACACTGCACTATTATGCACTGCCGTCAGTACCACTCATTGCCACCCTCTGTCCGCCATTTCACCACCGTTACTACCTCCAAATCGAAATGACCGCTCACCACCATAATATTTCCAAGCATTACACAATGGAAAAAAAAATGCGCGCACACACACACACACACACACACACACACACACACACACACACACACACACACAAACACATATTGCAGACAAGGCATTATAAGGGTGTAAATATCCTGCCTTGAAATGGCAGTAGGCAGTTTTCATCCCCCCTTTTTTGTAGCTCGTTCTGCATAGCAACAGTCTGTTCTTCATGGCAACAGTATGTTATTCATGGCAACAGTCTGTTCTTCATGGTAACAGTCTGTTCCTTATTGCAACAGCCTGTTTTAGATAGCATCAGTTGTGTAATTGACCAACAAGAACACAGCTGTTAAATATAGCATCATATCTACTATGGTTTAATAATATTAACGACAACAATGCTACTTCCTACTGTTTGGAGTTTACTTTATCTAATCATCTTTGTAAGTCTTAAAAGAGTATTTCCTCTGTAAAATAACAAAAGTAAAAAAAGGACCTATTCAGAATTTTTAAAGAAAACCAGAGGGTTAAAAACATCTTTTATATATGTGCAGTTTTTTTTTTTAGTCATATTGTCTTGCTACATGAGGACTCTGCTGTAAGAGCCTGTGACAGTATGTATGAATCAATCCATCAACAGGGTCATGGCAGTGAATAAAATGTATCTGGGGTTCATTCAGGGTAAATGCTCTATGCTCTATAAGTTCTGAAGGATGGCAGTTTTATAGCTGAACTGCCTGCTGCTCCAAACTTCTCCCAAACTCTGTCCTTTATCATTTTCAATCCATACCTGAGCCCTTACTTTTCTCTGAAAAGCCTTTGCCTCTGGCTTGTGCTGCGACTTTCTGTGCCCCCCAGTTTTGGATTCAGACCACAACACTGTCCCTTCACTTATACTGCTGATGGAAGGTTTTCTGTGTCATCTGCCAACCAGTGCATGTGTGAGAGTTTTTCTGATTCAATAAGGTGTAGAGCGTGCAAAGGCATGAGACAGGAGACAGAGGAGGAATGGTAACAGGCAGGAAAATGTACCACAAAAGAGAGAGCGGAAACTGGAGAAGGATAATGATCATTTCTTCTTAACCCTGCTGCCATCTCTTAAGGTAACAATGGAGAGAATTATCATGGGGTGTCATAGGCTGGCTTCAGCCTTCTGGCTGAAATCCTCTGGGATAGGAAATAATCCCGGCTGCTATTTAAATCCTGGATTTCAAATCAAATTGTATGAATACTCCTAAATGAGCTGGTAAAAATGAATTTTTATCCAACCCTGACAGTACTTTGAACTGATCATGAATATTCAGATGTCAGCCAGCTTGAACTGACCTCCGTCTCACTGGGTGAAATGAAATGTTGAAAAGCAGACATGTTTGACTGGGCATAAAAATCCACTTTAACACAACGGTAGCTTTGGCAAATAATTCACATGGTACTCCCCTGCACAGGAAATGGTGAGCACAATCGTGATTAAAGTTGTGTTCATGAGGTTCATATTTTGGAGAAGCTTTGCTGGGTTTCTCCCAGGGGAAAATTTAAACTAAGTGCATTAAGCAATAAAATAAATCTGTGATGCACTTGTGAATCCCGTGGGAGGAAAAACCCTCTGGGAGTTTTTTTTCTTTTTCCTAGCCAAAGAGGGATGGATTGAATCAATGGAGTGTCATTAATTGCAGGTCAGGGTGGTATTCTTGGCGCCAATAATTCACAAAGGAAATGGCTGTGAGTATTATTGCACTGCACAAATCACACTGGCAGTTAGTTAAGCTGATGGGCAAGAGAGAGCCTGACTCACAGGTGCCTAAGAATTCAACAAGACATTGTGTATTAGAAATGACTGTTAAAGTCACGATGTTTGATTCTGGCCAAAAATCTGAACGGACCTTCTGCACATTAATCTATCAGTCATTCTCATTGGTCCAAACAACAAAGAACAAATAAGGAAAAGCAGAGTGGAGAGGAGAGACCGTTGTGTAACCATACAGAAGACAGGCATGGAGATACTAAATCACATTATTACCTGGCTTTCCACCTTTTATTAGGCTTCTTTAAATACTTGATTCTGATTGGTCAAAACCACAGAACAATGGGGATCGATTTTCTGATTTCACACCTCATCTCACATCAAGCTGAGGACTTCAAACAGGCTTAGCTTCTGCCTGTTGACTTAGTGTAAAAAAAAATTTAAAATTATAAATTATCTACTTTACAGAAAGAGCTGGGCCAAACTCTTTGTTGCATTTCCTTAAGAGTAAAAACACAACCCTACCCTGAGCACGCACATGGCAACATTTGGCATGCAGACAGGAAGAAAGTTTCTTCCAAATGCAGAAAACTTGAGCAGAACCAGATTTGTAGTAAACAACTGTTTTCCTTGACTGGATGAGCTGTGAAATGATAATTTGTTTACTGTCACAAGTGGAAAAGAAAAGCAGAACATTCTCACATTTGTTGCTTGATTGGTTACTATAATAGATTTTTAATTAGTTGTCAAAAGTCTTCAAACTTATTTTCCAAAAGATTTAATGCCCAACAAAAAAGGGGGCATAGTTTGATTTCAACATTGTAGTCAATGGCCCACACTACAGACAGTACTGTGATAGAAAAGATGCCTCTATTAAAATGAAAAAATACTGCACCATACAGAACCCCAACTCTCACAACAATGCAACAGATGGTGAATAACAAGTGTCAGATTTTGAATCGGCACATCAGATTCTTTGTAAATTACAACATCAAAACATCAACTTGAAAAAACAGCATCAGGTTGAAATATGTCACAATCTGATGCCCCATTTTCAATGACTCAAGCTTATTTCCTATGAATGCATTCATAAATTAATATGAATCCTATTACCTTTTCTTCTTTTTGATTTACTGCAAATGAAAAGTGAAAATTCAACCCCAGTTACGGTTTGTTTATCTTCTGCTGCAGGCTGCGATGCAAATGGGGAAATTCTCACTCTGAGCATTTTATCAATGTTTGGAGACACAGAAGAAAGATACCCAGCATGTGTGATCACTCATGCACACACACACACACACCGCGGATACCTCATAAAGTACAGCAGCTTAACAGCCTATAGCTGCTCAGGCATAACACTTCCCATGCATACAGTTTGGAGAGGTAATGAGTCGAATTACTTTCTAAATGAAGGGGCCTGGTGCTCTGGAGTGTAACACTGAGCAGAGGTGACCTCAGGAGGCCCTGCACTTTTACTCAGCTCTCGTACTCTCTGCTGATCGGCACCATTCAGATGGGATGTTATCAGCAAGGTTAAACAGGGTCTATCCCCGAGTGGAGGATTACAGGTAACAGGGTGAGCGGGGAAAGCAGAAGCCTGAAATGTCACTACAGTCATGCATTTACAAACTATTTAAATATTACCATAAAATGTCTATAAATACACAGCTTGGGTCATAAATTTCATTATGCAAGAAAAAAATCATTTAGTCTGTATGGGGATGTGTGTGTGTGTGTGTGTGTGTGTGGGCAGCAGGGGAAAAGTTATACCAATCATTGAAGTTTTCCCGGAGTTACATTAACATAATCAGGCGGAAAATTCTAAATATCATTTCCATTGATGAGCTGATTAAGGAGAAAATATAGAGATGGGTTAAAGCCAGACTGGGGAGTAGATAATTGAGAGCATTAACTTTATTGGACCTAAGTTGATGTAAAGAGAGGGAGGGTAATGTAATCATTGGCTTTCTGTAAAGTCCAGTGCTCTGTGGGTCTGATTTAAACAGCCACATTAAGGGTTTAGAAACCGTGGCACAAGATGGATGAAATCTTAAACATACAACTTAGCTGCTATTATCCATAAAGACAGATGATTCATCAACGTAGATGTAGAATTCATGACACAATGAGCAGCGGACTAATACACAGAGTTCCTAAATCAATCAGACTAAATCTAGACTGTACAGCAAATTGTTAGTGAGAGAAGAGAGGCTGATGGACTTAATTACGCCCTTTGCTTGAGCCAAATAATGATCAATGGCAAATTAGCTTAAACATTAAACTTAAAGGGTGGCATAAGAAAGAAAAAACTCTGCGGGTGATTATGCTAATGAGATCGCATTTGTGCTCACAGCTGCTTCAAAGTGGATATACCAGATCAGCCCCAGACGAGGTAGGAGATGGCTGGAGGGTTAGCATGAGGCCATTTGTACTCAATGTATGTGCTCATAAATGTGTGTGTGTGTGCATCCATCCGTCTCTGTGTTTATGTGTGTCTCCAGTTTTTTTTTTTTTATATCAGGGTTTGATCCAAGTGCCTCCAGATGCTGGTGCCATTTGCTCCCCTGCCAATCAAAGGCCACAGCAGAATGCCAGTCCCTCTGAGCACTGCTTTACAGGCAGCTTACCTGTATGTCACTATTACTGGATGCACACTGCGCAACAGCCTGCAGCAGCAAAAACACGCAATGGAGAGATTTTCCTACAGATTCAGCACTGCTTGTGGTTGTGAAAGAGTTATGTGTTTCTTGCTTAAATGAACTGTGTTCAATAATAAATACAGAAAATCGACAAAAGCAGGTAAATTAAGCTGCAAGGATTGATCAGTATTGCCAAATGTGCAAAAGTATTATTTTTAAACGGCACTGTAAGCTTTGCCTGAACAGTGTATCATTTGACCATTGCAATTGAGGTGCCCAATAATACAGAACTGACCACTGTGCATGTACAGTCCATAGCTGTAGGCAACATGACTATAAAAAGTAACCATAGCCACAGGAGAAGACTGTATGTTTTCCTTTAGTTGGACCACCTAAATGGATATTCTGGCGTAAAATTAATTTAGGGTGAAACACACATTACGGACTGCTGTGGGGTGACGCAGCCCAAGGAAGAACATTTACAGTCATTTCTTTATCATGTCCTTGAAATAATAATCACCCTATTAATCATTTTGCACTGCAGACGGGGTAGTTCTTCTGCCTTAGCGTCTTGGTCTGATTGTATTTCCATGAAGAAATGATCATAAATGTTATTCCTTGAGCTGCGTCACCCTGCTGTAGTCCGTAATGGATTGGCCCGAGGTCTCACTACAAACAAGTGGCTGCTAGAAGAAAGTAGGTGAGTTGTGTTCAGTATCTTTGCTGAAGAAATTAGGCAAATTTAAAAAGATGTTTGGTGGCTAGTGCTGTAGCTAGGACCCTATATGTACTGTTGATGAAGTTTGGTGCTGTTCTGAGCATTATTTGTGACTATAGAGTGGCTTCTTAGTTGAGGTTTGTGTATGGCTCCTCAGACCACTGTGTATTGCTATCGTGCGGTCGTTACTAAAGTTGGTATAACTAAAGAAACAAGTGGTCGGCTATATTTATCTCTCTGGGGTGTCTAACTCGGTGTTACAGTGTGTTTGTCCCTAAATTAATTTTATGCCAGAATATCCCTTTCAGGTTAAAAACAGGAGGGGATTTGATTTGATAGCAGAAGTTAAAATATAAATCTCTTTAGTCATCTTCAGTCGTCAAATATAAAGATAACAAAAGATTTCTGTGAAACATTGTGCATGCATCTTGTATCTAAATTTTTTTTTAAAAAAGGCGAACTCTGCCACTTGCAGTGCAAACTCCTAAATGTAAAACCACAAAGTGAAAACATAAATTCAAGAACAAAAGTTGAAAAACTGTGATGTGGGATTTTCACAAACTGCCCCATGTACCTTTTTAAGAAATAACAGAAGAAAACAATTTCATGAAGCCGTATTTATCTTTTCCTATGAAGTTTTTTTTTATGTGCGTACAGAAGAAGACACAGAATCATACATTCATCATTGTTGGGGTCAAACCAGCTTCTGCAGAGATAATGGCTTTTTTAAAGGCCTGGCATACTATTAAAAGAAGTGTTGACAGGTTAGGCGCCTCTAGCATGGCAGGTTAATAGAAAAAAACAGCAACAGAACATGGCAGCAGCATCTAGAGCTGTGTGTTCTGTACTTTTTCACACCTGTAATCTTCCTCACCCCATATCAAAAGGTGGAATGAGAAAAAAAGGGAGGAAAAAATTGACATCATATTCTACATTTACACTCATCAAGCCTTATCACGTGTCAGAAAAGGCCACTTGATTGCGGCGCCTAAGACATATAGGGCTTCCCTTCAGCGTCATTTTTCATCCTAGTGATTACAAATTATTTACTGTCTGCAGACCTCCACCCTAGCAGACGCCCTCTATCAGCTTTCATTCTGTTTGATAAACTAGTTCTTCCAGCGTAATATCTCAAAGCATTGTTTCCAAACCTGTCATACATCAATAGAGAAATTCATGGACTGACAGCAGTACAATATACAGCCGTTTTTGTACGTCATGGAGAAATGCTTCCGTCCATATTGCATTGCTGATTCTGGCACAGATTAGCATAGCCTGTAAAGAATTGCTGACATCACTAAAACAGGCTATACTAATTAAAGCCAGAATCATCAATCCAGATCTTCAATCACCTTGACCCCTTAAGACGAGAGGGAGGTTTGGTTCCAAGAGGAGCTAAAGTTGGAAACGAATCAAACGTTAGCGTGAGGAGGTGAGTATGGATGGAAGATAAAAGGGAAGCGATGAGAAAAATGAACGCTCTCCTGGGATGGAAACAGAAAAACTAAAATGTTGCTTTAAATGTGAAAAATGTGCCGTCTGCAAAGTGTTAAAGCATTGTTATTTTCCCTCCTGTTGAGGGAATGTGGGAATTAAACCTGTTTTGTTTCCCCTCTGTGAGTACTCGACACATGGTTCATTTCAGTTAAGAGCAGCGCAGGTCCACCGCACAGATGTCCCCTTGTTTTATAAGTGGTCTTTATCACACAGAAGCCAAATCTGTGAATTATACCACAATGCATCACACCAGGAGCGGCTTCTCTTTCGCCATGACACCCTATAATAAATGGCCGGCAGTGAAAGAGAAATAAAGGGAGCATGAAGAGGAAAGAGAGAAGCGTGTGGAGGCTGCAGGTGTGAGACTGAGAGGGAACAACCAAGGAGAGTTAGGAAGGTACAGTTTGGCAGAAAACAAAAGAAAAGAGAGAGCTGTGTTCTCAGATAAGGAAGACACACATTTTGCTTCAGGTGCCGGCTTACCCCAGTAAGAATTGCCTGGTGACGACTCTGGGAAAGAATTTGAGGAAAAATGACAGCAAAAATGAGTGAAAAGCTTCAACGTGCCAGGTATTTTACCAGCTTTGAGACGTGATGTTCCCTATATTTCATGAGTTTGTTCTTTGCAACCTCTGAGAATAATACACCTGAGAGTACATCTCTTTGTCACAGTTGTCCAATGGAAAAATTCACCACTCAAAATGCTCCTCTCTACAATTTAGAGGATGTGGAAACTGTCAAAACCTGTCCTCATAAAAATAGACTGAACCTGCAACTGATAGAGTTTGAAGATTCATCACCATGACATTATGACGCCTGCCCAGATTTTTATCATCAGCATTGAAAAGAAAAAAATTCCTCAGCGGTTGTGTAAACCAAATAACTAAACTGGTGTGACAGTAGGTCAGAGACTCATGCAAGAAAGCGTGCTGCCCTTCTTTGATCTTATGTCTGATGTGCTACCCATTCATTCGTTACTTGAAAGACGTTGGAAGAAATTTGTAAAGTGGAGATACATGCTTGGCAGAAACCTGCTGACTCCCCTTTGAGGTTCTTCTTTGGTCTTTTGCCAGAAAACTGATGAAGATGTATGCGACTTAAACTTAAATACATCATATCACACCTGTGGAGCCTACTGGTCTTTATTTGTGAAAATGTGGTCTACTGCACACGGTTTGGTTTTGTGGCGGACGATTAGATTAGAGCTCCTGAGTCTAGTATATGCCTCTGGATGGTGCTGAACATTTCTATCGATAAGTCTACAATGCTACAGCCTTTAAGCAGCTCTATTAAACCAAGTGGGATCCTTCTGGGAAAACTAAAGCAGACATTAAAGTGTGAAAACTGCAGTTTCTTTAAAGGCAGAGTTTCCCTTCTATAGCTTATCCCCCTAACCGTTCAGAAGCAAGAAAATCTGAGTCAATAAGCTTGTTGCCTCGGGTGTCTTTGGGTTTTGCACTGTCTGCGTGTATAAGTGTCAGCTCTTACTACAGCTTGTTAGCTTTGCTAGATTAACCTCGGTAACTATCTTATTAGCCAGCCAATTAGTCTGTAGCATGTGCTGTACAACCTAAAAATTGAAAGTCCTAGTGAGGAGTTTTCAACTGGTTATGAAACAGACTAAAATTAACACTGCTGCTTCCACATGACTGACAAAAAACAGACAAGGCTATCAGAGTCCAGACTCATATTGATTGGGGCAGTGTTTTTATGTTTTAAGCCAATGGTATAAGAAAAAAGTACTTATACATGTACTGGAAAAGATCAGCAAAAAGATACATGTTCCCTGTTTGAACTCAAAACTTAGGTTAACTAACTGGTGCCTAAAATAAAAGATTGGAAACGCTTTACTCCTCTCAATCACCAATCCCCTCACCAAATATGGTCACATCTGGGTTAAAAATACAACACTCAAACGCTACACTTTGGATTCTTGGATTTAAAAGTCCAAACATAATTGTCTGACATCATTGAATCCATCTTTACATGTTTTAAAAACACTCTCTATGTGAGACTATTAAGGCAGCAAGTGCCAATGTCAACATGCACACATACTCCAAATGTCCATTTGCATAATGCTAATGCCCATCCTCTTTGATAGCATGCCAACATTTTTCATTAGCTTAAAGAGCTAACCTATAGATAATGTAATTAGCTTTACCAGTATTTGAGCCATAAACCACAAAGGGAATCATAAATGTCTTTGTATAGTTTTAGGACTTTCAACAGTATTTCCAGTCCTTTGCTGCCAATTTCCAGCACTGTTTCAAACATACTGTCACCTTAATGTTATTTCAGAGAAATATTGATCACACTCCCACAACACGCTGAAAAAGGAGTGAGATTGGATTACACAGAGCCTTGGAAATTTCTGGAAAACCTGAACTAAAGCTGGATGGTAATCAAATCTCAGGTACATTTTTCGTCTCAAAGCTGCTGCCTCGTAGTGTGTCCTTAACCAACAAGTACTACTTTGTTACGGTCAATAACTTTTAATGTAAGAACACATTTAGAGAGATGAAGTTGTTTTGAGCAGATTAAATGTAATTGGCTGTCCTTACCTCACATTGTTCCTGTCTTCAAATGGACTGTTTTAGAGCATGTTCTCTCTCAAGCATGTGGATATAAATAAAAGCTCTGTCGTCTTTCTTGCTCTTTCTTTAAAGTCGGTGTGTGTGGTCCACAGGGATCATAAAGCTCAGACACTGGGTTGTTTACACTCTATTTTAAAGAAGTTTTGACATTAAAAAAAACTAAAATATGAAGCTAGTTTTGCTCAAATCTTGAGTGCAGAAACACTCCAAGTTTTGCCGCAATCAGTAAATATTTTATATTGTAAGGGTGTAAATCTGTTTTAACACTTTTCATGTTGCAGATGTAATACATGAAAGAAGCCACTGTATAACAGATAACCATTAAAATTCTTCGAGTGACTTCAGAGAGGGGATGTGTATTAAATATTTCAAAAGAGTACAGAGGTTATACTCATGGGGTGTTTCTACCAACGCACTCCACATACCTGCAGTCTAACATGTCTGCAGATTTGACGGAGGAGCTGTGTGGAATCACGAAGCCACCACATAAAAATATATTTATGCCACAGGAGAAGAGTCGGGAAGATACATCTGGACACTGTCTCCTGCAGGTGTGGGACTGTGTGTTCTGGCAGCTGGGGTAGGAAGGATAATAAAACACGAGAGTTTTGTGGAAGGAGGGAAAGGGTAAAAAAAAAAACAGGAATCGAGGAAAAAAGTTTTTCACACATATGTAGGTGTGTGACATGTGTTCTCTGGAAAAGTAAGAGGCATAACTTTTCCTCAGGGTTTTACCACAGAGTTTTAAAAAAAGGAAACTGAACAAATACCACAACATAACCCCTAAGTTCATTAACCTGATATATTTTTTAAAGGATTTCTTTTTGGGCTTTTTGTCTGTAATTTAAAAGGACAGCTTGAGAAAGAGACAAGAATTATGAGGAGAAAAGAGGGGAGGATGACACACACCAAATCATGTTAGTCAGGACCTGAAGCTGACCCCAGGACAAGTGCAACGAGGATATATGAGGTGCCTGCTCTGTCAAATGAGCTAAGCAGGTGCTCAATCCAGTACAGCACAGACGAATAAAAATGATAAAATGAAATGATACTGACAGAGCACTTCACAGACAACAGTCACAAAGTGCTTCACATCAATAAAAAAGGTAATGACATGCTAAAAATGTTTACACTGTATATATAAAAACAGAGAAGGGCAAAGTGCCGCGAGATAAAAACCATGCAAACCACCACTGAAATAACCAGATATAGTACAAAGACACAGTAAACATACGGAGCAATTATAGAAAAGATGGATTAGAATGGTTACTCATAAGCCTTTCTGAAAAGATATGATCTTCATTTTCTTTTAAAGCCCCAACAGAGTTAGCAGATGACAAAGAGAAAGAAAGAAAGTCCCAGAGGTTTGGAGTTATGGCCTCAAAAGACTTATCACCACAAGTCTGTCTTTGGGATGAACAGCAGGTGTAGCGAGCTTGACCTTAGTGATTAGTCTGATGAGTTCGGTGAGGTAGTCTGGGGGCCTGGTTGAGAATTTTTAACTTGATCCTGTAGGCAGTGAGGGACGTTTAAAGAGATATCAGTATGAAAGTGATGTGGGACTATTGGTTTGACCTATTAAATAATCTTGCAGCAGCATTCTGTACTTACTGTGGGTGATTTAGAGCTGACATGCTAAAAGAGGTGAAGACAGAGCTGCTATTTGGAATGACTCATATCTGTAAATTTGGATTTCATGTGGTTTAAAACATGACCTGGAGAATGAACTCTTACATCATTACGTTTTAAACTTTTGGTGGATATCTTGCTTCCACTAAGTAAGATGAGGCAGAGAGGAAATGCAGGGAGAACAGAGTTGGGCTGACATGTAGTGTAACTGAACTGGCAGCTGCACGATACGCGCCTCAGTCCCTGCACCTGGGGCCCATGCCCCTAACATTGATCTAAACTGGCGCTCTAGATCTTAGATCATGGGAGCTTAGTTAATCTCTATTCACTGATGATATGTTTTGGGTATCTTATGCATCCTGATCACTCTTAATAAGAGTTGCCCATACTTTGAACTTGAATATCAGTAAAAATAAAATAATATCGATACCTGCTTAGATAACAGAGCAGTAAAAATGAACTCCTGGACACCTATAATGGCTATTTTTCTTGCTAACACAGTCATTTTATAACAGTATTACAGTCTTCATGCAAAGGTGTGAGGCTCTGTCTTAAGAATCCACCGGTAAGGGCTAATAGAAAACATTCAGTGACCAGGTGACAAACTTATGAATGTAAAAAAGTGAAAATAAGGTGATTCTACTGTGGCTTTTCCTTAAAATTTGTCACTCTTCCAGAGCAAACAGAGTCACAGGAAGCTGGAAATCAGTGTATTAAAGATGTTGACGGTTTGGTGTACGAGTTTCATTAAATATTAGCTTTATTTCTTTAGATTGTTGTGTTGCACGTTGCAAGTTTCCATATTAAAAAACAGTATCAAGCACCTGGAAGGCACATGAACATTATCAGACTAGAGCAGCCAAGGCACAGGAGATTAGCGCTAAGCACAGTACAAGCATTTTGTAGAAGGATATATTCAATCTCAGGATCAGAAGATTGCTGTGGAGCAAACATATTGATGGAAAGAAGCAGCAAATTGAGCCAAAGCTGCCTCTGGACAAAGCAGTCTGTGGATGAGTTGGTAAAGTGCAGGACAGAGACTTGGCTAAAGGGTTGTGCAGTATGGCAGGAAACCAAATTAGACTCATTACAGGCAACATAATATGTGCAATCACCGACCCTGAAGCTCAGTGGGTGAGTGAGAGAGAGTGAGAAAAGCCTGGAGAGCGAAAAAGAGAGCAGCAAGTTAGTAACTGAAATCGAGCAAAAAATTATGCTTTACTCCCATTAATCATGATTACAAACTTTCTCTGCATCTTTCTTTTGCAAATCCTAATCAAATTTTACTTTTAAGAAAGAGTATCCATTGAAAAATTTAACAGCACGTCTGTGTCCTGCAGAGCCGCTATTCTCAGAGTAAAAGGAAGTCATCAGAAACATCGTCAAGGCTGTGAGTCTACAGCCCTGCAGCTGTGGTTTCTCTCCTTTAACACTCATGACTTCCTCAGTCTGTCCCCAGAGGCTTCACCTCATACCCGAGGGGAGCTCCATCTCAACACCCTCCTGTTTCTGAAGTTCACCACTGTCCCTCAAAGCCACTAATACATACGTCCATACATACATAAACAGCTCTACTCAACAGAGAAAAGACTTGAAAAATATGGGATGTATGTTTGTGGTCTTCATTGAAACAGTTTTGTGTTATGGAAAATTACTCATCAGTATTCTTATTAAGCATGAAACAAAATGAAGGTTTCCATGACTTGGCAGTTCTTCTATAAGATGAGATTGTTATCACTGTTGGAATAATCCTCGCAACATATTTAAATAATTCCACAAACGCTGCTGCAGATCCAAGTGATCACCAGCCTGTTATTAAACACAGCGTCTACTTTACAATTAGCATGAATTAGTCATTTGAAGCTCACTCAGTAGGATCATCAAGATGTCCAAAAGAGTTTTTTTTTCTTAATAATCACTACAATTTACATGGAGGGTGATCTTAATTCCACCAGTTGCTCATTAAAACCCATTTGGACTACTCAAAAGTACGGTTTAAATGAAGTGGACAAGAAGAAAGAAACAAGAAAAAGGTGAAAAAGTCACTGCAATCGTTTCAGCAAAACTTTTGCAGTACTTTGCTTCTGAAGTGCTGCATCTGTTTAAAAACTAGATGTAATATTCAGTTCTGGGGGCACTCCCGTCCCAACGGACACTCCATTTTAAATATATCTTGCAATGCAAAGCAACATCGGACCTTGAGGCAATCTGCGAGCTATCTTTTAGAGTATCATTATTAAAGAGTTTCGCACAATGAACAAGTAGGTGGGAAAAGATCTGGGAATAGAGAGATGTTGAAATTAAGAGCAGAATCTCACCACAGTTATAATTATTTTGGGGTGCACGGTTTAGGACAGGAGGATTGGCTTTTTGATAGAAATACTAAGAATAAATAATAAGAATACAACAGAAAAGTGCTTCTTATGAGCCACTTATTCCTGCTGTAGATTGTGTAAGTGAATCTTGTGTGTGTGCATTCATGTGTATTTAAATGCACTCAAAGATTTTTCTGTGATTGAAAGCCCGAGTACTAAGAGCTGCAGCTGGATGCCAAAAACTAGATTTTCTATTTCCTTTCTATTTGAACTACAAAATGCAAAACACGACAGCCTGCTGAACAGGGTTCCCTCCAAATCACTGATCTTTTGTTCTGCTAAACACCTCATCCATTGTGTTTTGACAGACATGATTGGGATATTTGCAGGAAAGCAGAGAATCGGCAGACACTAGGCGTGTATTGTCGTGCAATGATTGCTAAGGCAGGGTGCTCACAGGTAGGCCTCCTAATGCTCTGAGAGAACAGAATGAAACGATGGGACTCATTTAAGGTCCCAAACTACCCCAGAAAATAAATTCATTTTTCTGTCTTAAGCCAAAACATTTTGCCAAAAGAAGTTGTTTCTTTGCCAAGATAATCACAACAAATACATCTGAACAGCTGATGACACAATTAGGCTACCCTGGCGTCAAGTCAACAATTACACTGGTGAGCATTTAATTAAAGTTTCCTGAAATCAAACATACTCTTCTATTGAAAATTTCTTCTAATAGGAAACTTACAAAAACAACACTTTGGTTCTGGGGTAAGAGCCTTTAAATGTTATACAGTTGCATTATCATTGCTCTTTTACAATCTGCACCAACTCTACTGCTTCTACTGATGTTTTAATCCAACAACTACTTGTCCTATTTATTTATGACTGCATTGCTTTCATTATGTCTTTTTATATCAGACCTTTCTTATCTTATCTTATATCTCTTAAAGTTACACAATGGAGAGCTGCAGACAAAGTTTCGATGTTTTTTGGCTCTAACTCAAATTGTCCCACCCTGCTAAATCACTGGTATTGTTGGCATGTTTTATCCCATTTGTAATAAAGTAATGAAGGTGTTTTTTTAACTCCATGTCTAAAGACTTACCTGCTATCGATTAGGTCATGTTGAAATTGCCTTTCATATGTCATATCATCTTCAGTGTTCAGTCTAGCAATCTAACAATGTTTCTAACAGCTGAAACAGAAAAGATAATACAAATGTGGGATGAGCACATTACTTTCGACAGGTAATCATATGCTAAGAAATGAGGTGACAGGATTCTTTTTTTCTGTGCCTTCCCACACTCACACGCCCAAATGTGCCAGTCCGTATCTCTTGTATAACCACGTCTGTGCCTGCTGCTACCACGAAACCAAATTAAATGCATGCTGACTGAATTCCATCCAATGCTCGAGTGCTTTTAACCATCCCCGCTGTTGTACCGCACTCACAGATACGCTGGGAGACTGTCCACCCACTGAACTCTGAGTGGAAGAACAGCACTTAGACTGTACATTTGCACTATGTCTTATGTGACAAATGAGCCCAACGTCAGACCAGTTAATGGAAAAATATGTTATTGTGGTGTTTGCTTGATTTTAATGTTTATTTGTGTTCACTTACAGAGATTGCATTGATTACTGCCTGAGGTTCTCCTCTCTTAAATGGATGTAAGTCTGTTATTAATCATGTCTTCAGAGCACTTTCAGCAAAAGCTACTGCATTTACTGCAAACTTTTAAGAAAAGTTGGAAGTTATGTTTCTTATGGTAACACAAATCATGCTTTACAGCAACATGAACCATATGAGTACCATCACACACACACACACTCTGCTGGACATCAGTGACAAAAAGACAGCACCCCAGACATGAAGCCAAAACATACTCCTCCAACTGATTGGCTGTGGTATAAGTTGACCTCATCCACATGAACACATAGGACATGGGTTAAACAAGATTAAAACACGTCCAGTTATTGTTTCACAAACATGGTTCCTGTTAGTGTTGGGCGGTATGATGGTATATACTGTGTGACAGTATAAAAGTGGCTACCAGTAGAAATTTTGCTATACCGTTTAAACCGTAGAGAGAGCAGATGTCTGCTGCATCTCTCTGAGTCATTGTGTACTTGTCGGCGCTCGCTAACACGAAAGCCGAAGCGCATCCGTTTGGGTGCATTTCTGCATATTCACCAGCATGTCCAGCAGACTGCTTGGCATAGTTTCGATGAAGAAGAAATAGCTTCATTGGCGGTGGTCTTGGCAGACCCGCAGATTAGTAGCAGTACTGAGCAAACGGAGGCAGCCCGACCAACCTAACACGAGGAAGAGGAGTAGGAACTCATTCTGAAAAAGGGCGCGAGTTGTGACATCGGTTGACAATGATCAAAAAACAATTCTATGCAAAGAGTGTCGTGTGGCTGTCGTTGCTGGAGATGGAAACACCAACAACCTCTTCCACCACCTAAAGATGAAATGCAGCTCCTCTCATACAAAAGAGCTCGGCTGATTCTTTCGCCAAAGGTCCGAGTTTAAAAATAAAAGAAAATGAACGAATGCGACAGAATGGTTATTTTTAAGCCATTAATTGAATTTACACGGGGGAAAAAAACATACTGTGATATATACCGTTACCATGATATGAAATCACTCGTACTGGCTTCCTAGCAACACATCCATGCTGTTCAACCACCAGCCCAGATCCTGGCATGTGAACAAAGGGGCATGCCAGTTTCACCTCATTTAAGCTGTATACATGCAAGAGTAAATGATCTCCATCCACATTATCCAGATATGTTCGTCCAACTATGAGAAGTTTGAATGTAGTCAGACTAATGTGTTTACATGCATATGAAAAGTCCAGTTTCAGTCAGACTGATGCGATAAATCCTTCTTTTTAAGTGCATAAAAATGTCCTGAATGGTCTGTTACCATCTGAATGAACCTTAACCATTTATCCGAGGGGCATTTGTTTTAATTTATAAAAAAAAACAGACGAATCTGAATAGAAAAGCTTTCTATATTAAGTAATAAAAACATTAAGAAAATATAAAACATTCAACCACAGTTACTTTTCATCTTTTTTTCCCCTCTGCTTCAACTCATTGATATCAACCCTTGAAATTGCCACAAGTTTCCCATTTTAGACACAGAAGAGAGTAAATCAAAGAAATACAAGACCTGTCTGCTGCTGGGTCACAAGTGGCAATTCAAAAATCCCTGCCTCTCCACTTCTGATTCTCACTCCCATATCTATTTCAGTTGCTGAGGAGCAGCCTGTTCACCTCCTGTGGTGATAATACTGCTCCAAAGACATATCTGGGGTGCTTATTTGAATTCAATCCACTTCTTTCAATCAGACCACGCAAATGGTGTTCTCATGCAGCACAGCCGACATTACACCCCATGCTCTCTGTATGCCCTCAGCAGCTCACATCAGTACAAGTGGTTGTAGTTGAATCGATGTCTTTGTATCATGGTAGGTGGATTTAATAAGGTTTGTTTATTTTGTTTTAGGCAATCTGATGCATGCTAATGATTAATAACAAGGTACAGATGTTTTGAACCCAAAACTGAGGAGAGCTGCCCTATATGGATCTGTGCGTATGCTGATAACAAGCAGCTTGGAATGTGCATAAAAATCAAACATTTTCATGTGGTTTCACGGGTGACACACAAGGTTTATTTAACTGCTGGCCAGATTAAAAAAATAAACAAATTAAGCAAGTAAGCCGGTGCTTTTCAATATTTTCTTATTGTGAGGAGAGCCTGTGAAAAGAAAAAGGATGCATTGATCCAAAAAACAAATGACATATTTTTTCCTGTGATTTGCAGATTTAAAAATTTGCTCAAAAACCGTAAAAAAACAACAACAAGATGCCATCATGTGACATCGATTCAAATAAGCATTAAGATGGACATCGTTGTTTTGTTTAAACTCGCCTACATAAACCATCCTGCTGCCAAAAAACACAATCCAATTAAAGGCCCAGTTTACCTCTATATTAGGGGCTCACTCAACTACTGCAGTAGCTACAGGGATTTGAGCATGAACTTTCCTCTAGAAATGCAGGAAAGATATTCCTCCCGAACTTTATGCAACTGATTCTTATTGAAAATTGGTTTTATATTAGTCAGCGTGATATAGCAGCCTGCTAGACACTCAAGGGACCCCCTGACAGGCAAAGATGAGCACTTGGACTGGATTTATACTACCTCTTTAAGGATATAAGTCATCATTTGAAATTGGTGTATAACATCTCGCTTTCTGTTTGGCAGGGTGAAACACTCGTATTACTCTGCTCAGTTTAGTGGTCAGGCAGTTTGAGGACTCAAATATGTAAATGAAGAACATATTTGAAAAACGAAATAAGATTCATACTGAGGCGAAGTCACTTCAATCCCGACCAAAGACAGAGAGGATCCACAGAGTCTTTGCATAGAAGCCGAGGCAGACAGGACTTTCAGTCAACATTGCTGCTGGCACTGTAGTCCTGTCTGATGGCTTCATGGTGCACTGCCTGACATCGAGACACTATCCAGCATCAAACATACTGCACTGCTCAGTTTTACTGAACTGACTTTGCCTTTCTTTTCCTTTTTAGTTGAAGGGGAGAGGATAAACACCGCACCATCCACTTGGGTGCTGAGAGTTGCTTTTATAGGTCGCAAAGGAAGATACTTTTCCCTCTTCACAATTCCTATAAACATAGACAAGCCTAACATAAAGAATAAACACCTTAATGTGACCGGAAAAGGGGGGAGTAAACTGAAGTTCCCATAGTAAAGAGTGAAAAGAGGCATGACACAGAAAGGGTGAAGAGTTAAGTAATCTGAAGCTGAAAACAACTGGGTTTTCTACCTGCTACAGTATCTGTACGTTAAGGGCATTATAAAGACTTATAACAGGGTTGTATCGAGTACTTGATTCTGATTTGTCAAATCCCTGCAACCACAGGGATGAATAAAAACAACACTAGGAGCAGGTGGATCTCACATATCACCTCTGCCTGTTGACCCTTAGAGGAAAAAAACATTTCGGTCTCAGTCTGGACTTGAAAGTGTGAAAATAAAGACAGTTACCCGGCACAGATGTGAGAGTAGCCTGAGGATCTCCTGGGCCTTAAATATCTTCGATAGAGAAAGTGGGGCAAGATTCAGTCCTGCTACAGAGCTGGCGAGTGCATCTCTGCCCCAAAGTCAAACATGAACAGCAGTGATGATAACAACAGTGTTAGAAGTTGGTGCAAACATCCCAGAAGGACAGCTGAATGAGGTCGGAATGTTGGTACAAATGTTTACCAGAAGACCTGCTTACTTTATCCAATGTTATTTTCAATGGGAATGTTAACTAACCATGTTTTAAAACAAATAAGTAGGCTATTCTTTGCACTTGGCCATGAGATAAACTTTTCAATTAATGTTTATTGTTACGGATTAGAAGTTAGAAATCTTAGATTTGAGACGAAAAAATGGGTTTAAGGCTGAAAGTTAGAAAGTATTCAGTACTGAGAGGCAGACAAGTTATTTGGTCACATCATCAAGGTGCCAGTTATGAATGTCATTACTAAACCCAAGCATGCATGAAAACAGATTATGACTTTACAAACTAGTGGTTACTTACTGAAATCATCTTTGTTGATTACAAACACGCACAGGCTTTAGAAGGTGAGTTATTGATCAGATTGAAGGTTTTTCAGATTAAATACAATCATATACATGACTCATTAAGAAAAAGCCATATCCTTAATTAAAGCATAAAGATTTCCTTTTGCCTTGATAGGATCTTGCTACGTAGGTCAAAGGGGAAAATGGCGACTTAGAGGTATGGAAGACCCGATCAATGCTTTGGAAAGACAAAAAAATATCCACAGTAAATGTTGATTTTCTCAAAGGTAGGAGTAATAAAAGCCTGAGAAAAACCCACTGGATGATGTCTCCCCAGCTCCTCCAGAATACATGAGATTCTCTGAATCTTAACTCACCACAAGTTTTGGGGAGGTGAAGTGTCTGGAGGTCACCTTTCAGCAGCGTGCCTTTCGGTGTCCATGCTGTCTACTGTGGGTGTGCGATTATCCTCCTCCTGCTGGATCATGGCGTCTTGAAGGGAGAGAGGGATCAAAAGGGCAGAGGGAGAAGGAAGGGACAGGAAAGAATTAGTTAAAGTTAATGTGTCCAAATTAGGAAAAGGAACACTTATAGCTCTCTGGCTTTTTAATATTATAAAATGTTGGGCAAGGTTAAACAGATGAGAGTAAAAATAACACTAAGAATGGTCATGTTCACCCGAAAAAGGTTACTTTCTCCTGATGATATACATTTTGACTTTAGTCATCAGCTAATTAGTATTTATTTTCATAAATGTCACTGCCAAATGGTTCATGTTGCTGATCTAGATTATTCTTAAACCCTTGCTTTGTGCTTTATTTATTCAACATGATTTAATCAAGGATCTACTCGAGTGTTTCAGCCACCATTCCCTACTGGATAATATCTGTCAGAGGGAAGAATGGCATGTCTTCATGTGTAGGGAAGTGTTCATGCCTTATATAGTCTGGGTCTAGTGGAGTTGCCTGCTGCACATTGCTGAACATAGCCAGGGGCTAACAGGGAATGTAGACCTTATGAGAGCTAATTAGAGAGTTATCAAGTTTTAAGAAACAAATAGTGTTGAAAAAAACTGAGCTTGCTGTGGAAATTAATCGAAAGTAATGAAGGTGTTCCTAGACTGACGTAGCCTTTCTCTTGGTGGACAGATTCAAACATGACAGTCACAGTCAGTAAAATGGAAATACCATTTCAATTCATGGAAATCTTGGCTACTCTGGGAGCAAAAATAGCCCCTCTCTCCTCCTTTACATGTTGGCCTTACAAGTTACCAAAGGTCAATGCAGGACACATTTCTTCTCTAATGGGAAGCTGTGTGACATTTCTGGGTGAGGATAATTCTCTTTGCATTGGCATCCTTTTATTTCTAATAGTAATGCTGACATTTTAACTGAAAGCATCATGACCAAACAAAGAAACACAGAAATTTAAATTAAGTCCACAACAGTTTTCTAGCATTTTAAAAAGGGCATGCTAACAAGATGGAGTACTTCATCCTAACAGCAATGACCTTGCTTGGCCTACCCTCTCCACATTTCAGCTGAGTCTACAAGGGCCTTTCTGGAGTGAGCCACTGCTGCAACAATAACTATTTACAGGATTCCGCATAAAACCTCTGACAAGACCAGATCTGAGTCTCATTTGCATTAAATACCAAATGAGAAAGGGGCTTTTCCCACAATCATGTGAAATGGTAATTATCCAGATAGTGGATGAATGTGAATGAACAATAGCTCATCATTAGAGATGTGTCATGCAGCATGTGAGGGCTGTTTCCTCACAGCAACAGATAAAAGGTCAAGTCATTAAATGAGGTTTAGTTTTTGGATAAAGCAAATGAAAATTTTCAAAGCGCTGATTTTAAAAATACAGTTGAGAGGGATAAGGAACAGAGACCAATGAGTCATCAGCAAACATTTTTTACATTAACACACCAACTCACTGTGCTGAAAATCACAGCCCTATTGTGTGGTCAAATGAAGTAAAAGATCTTGTTCTTGATGTTGTAAGAAGATCTTGATATCTTGGTTTAGCTCAGGGGTTAAATCCACACTCAGGCTTTAGTTTAGTCAAGTGCCCCCTCCATCCGTACTATTCTATTGGAAAGAGTTTACTTGACGCCTATCTCTATAACGCATTATAAATATATGTATAATGCATTATAATCACATTATAGCACTTTATAACTATAGTTATAAACACTCATGTTATATGATCATAAATGATCAAAACACATTATAAACCATTTTATCATGACTTTCAAGGTCAGGTATTGTAATGTGTTATGCTTATTGTTATAAAGCATTATGATAATTAATGATTGTATATAATGATAGTTATACAAGTTTATAAGCAAATTATAACATATCATAAATATATGTATGATGCATTATCTATGTGGGCATTGTCAGTGAGTTGTTAACAGTTATAACACATTATAATACCTGACCTTGTAAGTCATGATAAAATGCTTTACAATATGTTATGATAGTTGCTATAAAGCATTATGATCATTTATAAGTGTTTATAACTGTAGTTATACAGTGCTATAACAAGATTATAACATACTATACATACATTTATGATGCGTTACAGAGAGAGGCAGTTACAGTAAATTGTTACCATCTTATTCTCTAATTAAGGCAAATTTTGCATGAACTTTAAAAGGTGGAACAAACCCTTTAGTAATGGATGTCTTGAGCCGAAAATATACATTTTATTTTTTTCTACATATTTAATTAGTACAAGTGGTTTTGCAGCTTGAATCACATGAGAAGTATTGAATTATGTTGACCAAAAAAATACTTTTATAATGAAAATCCTTTATATGTAATAGTTTCTCATTTTAGTGGTAGATAACAAACAAGTAGACATCTGGCCAATACGTGCTCTTTAGTAGATGATTAAGTAACCTGTCAGTCAGTTTTTGTTGTAAGTGCAATAATTTATATCAATTATCGTGTTCCTGCAAAGCAACCCCTTTTAATATATTAATGCTAAAAGTCCCTCCTGTTATGAGAAGGGTTACAAAACCTGCACATATATTATGCAACAGGTAAAACCACCGGGTGACTTCAAGTGTATCAAAGGAGGCACACGGGAGTTTTTCAGCCTCCTCAGGTCAAAAGAGGGGATTGACTGTTGCAGCACACAGCCACACAGCCACAGAGCCAAGAGCACGCACCCATGCACACATACCAAACCACAGTGGCAACAAATATAACATGATGGGTCGGATTAAGCTGATTGAACGAGCCAAACCTCATGACACTTTCACTTAGTGTCTCTTCCTCCCTTGTGATACTGAGCTATGGTCTGAAATATATCTACCTTATATCTCCTAGCGAAGCTCTCCGGAGTTATTGCTAAGAAATACACTGATATCACTTTTCACTGGCTGTTGATGGTGTCCTGTGAGTGCAGCAAAGCTAGAACAGCTACACAGACCCTGAAAACGATAGATGATTAATGCCTTTAGGGATCTACATTACATGAGTCAAATACCAAGTTAAAGGTTGATTTATGAGCTATGTGATCTTTTAGGGTGTTATAAAAATGGAGTTTAAACTTTATTGAATGCCTGGTTTACAGAGCCTACTTCAGATAATAACTATAAAGTAACAATTCAAGCTTGCAGAAAATACTTTATCCGTGAGTGTGGTAAATGCTAGAAATGACTCAGTTCTTAAATGGAAGATTGTACAGGCGTTTCAAACGGTCTTTGTGCCTCTCTGACTCTTATTAATGTCTTTTTTTGAGGAAGTGATAGTGTGGAGGAGTGTATACTGTCTCCAGCTGTAAAACTGTGTACAGGAATGTGTGAGCAAGGCTGTTTTGTGTGTGTGTGTATGAGGCAAACGGACATGCACACACACAAAGGGATAGAGAAGGACATGGAAGTGTGTGTTTCTTAGGGTTGAACCTCGGTTAAGATTCAGCCAAGGTCATCCACTTACTTATGACATACATGGAGCCAAACTGAGCCTCTCACTTGGACGCTCTCCATCTGCTTTTACTGATAAGAGCGGCTACTTCATGTGCAGTAGGCAGACACCGCGGCTCAGCATTGTGTGAGAATATAGTGTGATTAAAAAGCACATTAAGATTCTGCTGGATCACAATTAAGAGGAGGGTTTTCTCACACGTACAGTAAAGGAAAGCTGTGGCAGCTGGTTTAAATGTCATGTTTTACCACATCTAGAGGGGATTCATGTTAGAAATAAAACACCTCCTGATGGAATTTTCTCCATATTTGTACGTGCATTTTTGGTTTAATAAAAATGTATTTTTAGAAGCTTTTTTAAGCAATTTAAATGTCAGTTTTTATTGCACTTGCAAAAGAGTTAAAACTAAGGCTTCTCTGGTGCGTATTTTCTAGTATTTGCAGGGGCACATGTGGTATAAAAACACATTTAGAAAAGCTCCCTTTCTACTCAGTAAAGGTCAAGAACATCTCTGGTCTGTTATGGGTATATGCAGTCAAGAAACTACTGCAGGATTTGACAGTGGCCTGACAAAGTGTCAAAGACCTTCTGCTCGACTGTGGAGACTGCCAGCAGCCCATATGTTTTCCCTCATTGTCTTGAGTGGCCTTTGTAAAACAGGAGAGGTTAATAAGTATAAAAGCACCTCTTCGACCAATGGAACTGCCCTGCTGCTCTTAGATCGACACCGAGTCACCTTCCTGCAAGCTAAAGCTTTAAAAATTTATGAGTGGCAATTGATGTATATTTCTGGCGGACAAGTGAGTGTTTTAATTTGGATTTTTTCTGTGAGCTGAAGTTGAATCCCATAAATTTAAGACTGGGACAGGTGCTCTGACAGAAAAGAGAAATACTGGTGGCGATAAATACTATACGGGTGAGACATTACTTTTTATAGGGATTTAATAGGCAGCATGCTGGTGCCAGTCGTAACAAATTCAGGATGATGGCAACAGATTACAGCGTTGCAATAAAGTAATGAGGAGTCATGTTTGCTGTACAGGGAGGGTGGTTGGTTTCTCGCAAACATTTACACGCGAATCTGCTATTAAAATGAAGAAACGGCACTCTGTATGCGGATAACGGTCAGCTGTTTGTGCGTGGCTTTAAGCTAAGGTATCAAAAAAACACCAGGTTTATACCAATAAACCACCAAAACCGGGAGCCATAATTTCATATAGCACAGCCAGAAAAAAGGAAGCTTTGAGAGAGCAGCTGGGTTTGGAGAGACAACTGACTGATCTTGATAGACAATTAAAGGATAATTATTCTACAGCCCTGTTCAAAAAAGCAGAAGCCACACGATCTGCTCTCAACCAACTTCTTACACAAAAGGCAGAAGCAAGTATCTTTTATGCAAAACATAGATTGTTTGAAATGGGTGACAAACCAGGGCGACTTCTTGCACGCTTGGCAGCTGGTAGGCGAGATGTTAGAGCTATCTCCTCCTTAAAGGACGAAACTGGGAAAAATCATTATGAGACCAAAACAATGGTGGAGATAATGAAGGACTTTTATGAAAAACTCTATACCTCAGAATCCAATACATCACCCAACTGTATACAGAGTTTTCTAGATAAGCTTAGTCTCCCCTCCTTATCAGAAGAAGATAAATCCGCTCTTGGAAAACCAATAACTAAGGAAGAGATTAAAAATGCAATCAATTCCCTGCAGAATGGAAAGGCCCCGGGGCCAGATGGCTATGGTCCAGAGTTTTATAAAAAATTAGTAAACTTAATAGATGGACCTCTGCTAAGGATGTTCCTTCACTCAATAGAGAAGGGCTCCCTACCATGCTCGTTGTATGCTGCCAATATATCTTTAATCCTTAAAAAGGGAAAACCCCCTGACGAGTGCGGCTCATACCGGCCTATTAGCCTGATGAATGTGGACAGTAAAATATTTTCTAAAATATTAGCGAAGAGACTCGAGAACTACTTGCCACTTCTAATTGGATCTGACCAGACGGGCTTTATTAAAGGCAGGAACTCTTATACCAATATGAGAAAATTACTTAACATTATGCAGTATGCAAATACTAATCAGGTACCGGGTCTTGTTATCTCACTTGACGCCGAAAAGGCATTTGATCGCGTGGAATGGCCCTATTTATTCACGATCATGGAAAAATTTGGACTTGGGGAGGGGTTTATTAAACTTACTAAGTTGATATATTTCTCACCCAGAGCGAGTGTTCTTGTAAACGGTATTAAATCATCGGAGTTTGGGTTGGGGAGGTCCACTCGACAGGGGGACCCTCTGTCCCCACTTATTTTTGCATTGGCCATTGAACCAATGGCAGAGGCTATTAGAAGACATAACAGCATAATGGGTTTCAAAATTAATTCCTCAACACATAAGATTGCATTATATGCGGATGATGTTCTTCTTTTTCTCACTAACCCCGAGGTGTCTATACCAGCTTTAATGTCAGTCATCCAGACCTTTGGATCCTTCTCTGGATACAAGATTAATTTTAATAAATCAATGGCCATGCCAATTGGATATGGTAATAATATACCAAACATACCAAACTTTCCATTCTCTTGGTCTACTTCAGGGTTCTCATACTTGGGTATTTTTGTGTCTCAGAGTATTAAGAATTTATTTAGGAAAAATTTTGACACTGTACATAAAGATATCAAGAGTGATCTTAATAGGTGGATGGATCTGCCAATCTCTTGGATGGGCAGAATTAATTTGTTAAAAATGAATGCTTTGCCTCGGCTGCTCTATCCCATGCAGATGTTGCCTTTGTTTATTTCTAAAAAGTTAGCAAGAGAGGTTGAAAAGGATTTCTCAAAGTTCATTTGGCAAAATAAAAAACCCAGGTTAAGTATGAGGACCCTACAGCTCCCGAGAGGCAGTGGAGGTCTAGCATTCCCTAACATCAGACTTTATAATTGGGCTTGTCATAGTAGATTCATATGTGAATGGGTTCACTGCTACTTAAAGGGGACAGAGGACCCACTTGAATCCTGGGCATGTGTCCCATTTAGACTATTAGGGGAACTCACTTGCAAAAAATCTGCTCTTCCCCAAGTAAGGAACAACCCATTACTTCATAGCTCTATTAAAATATGGCATGACATGCAAAGGTTTGTGGGTAGGAGGGGTGCCTTTTCCTACTTGACCCCACTCATGGGCAACAGGGACTTCCTACCTGGTGTTGAAAATGCTGTGTTCGGCTCTTGGCGGGAAAAGGGCGTGAGAGTGGTTGGAGATTTGTTTGATGATAACAATGTCCTCATGTCCTTTTCACAAGCACAAAATAGATTTGGTCTTCCACAAAAAGATTTTTTTGCATATCTTCAAGCCCGTCACTTCATCAATACGAATCTTAAAGTATCTCAAACAGAAACACTGAAGGGACCAATTGACAAGTTCATAATTAATTTTACAGTGAAGAAAGGTCTTATCACATACTTTTATAATAGCCTTCAGAGTTGTAACCAACATAGTGTTGAGGGGCTGGTTAAGCGATGGGAGGAGGACCTTCAAAGGGTATATGATGAAGATGCGTGGGAGGGATGTATTCGGACCACTCACTCGTTGTTCCTCAACAGTAAATTTAAAGAAATGCAATATAGGATACTCCACAGACAACACAGAACACCTCATGTTATGAACAAAATTGACCCCAATAGATCACCATTGTGCCTGAAATGTAAAACGTCAAGTGGGACTTATATGCACTGCTTTTGGAACTGTTCGAAAATCTCGATTTTCTGGTCTTGTGTATCTAAGGAAGTGTCAGCAATATTCAAACACAGGATATGTAAAGATCCAGGCCAGTTTCTATTAGGTCTGCCTTCAGTGAATAGAGTTATGGATGCAAAAAGATCGAAATTACTCAATAAACTTTTACTTCTGGCCAGAAAATGCATATTATTTAATTGGATAAGTGAGAAACCCCCCACTGTAACCCAGTGGTACAAAGAAATTTTCAGAGTCCTTCCTATGGAAAGACTAAGTGCCAAATTGAAAGGAAATAATGACATTTTTATGGACATATGGCGGCCTCTAATGGATTATCTGCCTAAGGATCTAAGTGAAATTATCGAGAGGGGAAACACTGGCCTAGAAGGTTACAGAATGAGGTGAATGGTGGTAAGAAATCTTTCATATCAGGTGCAGGGACATGTATGTGTATATATGTATTTATCTATTTATTTTCCCTTTTCTTTCTTTCTTTTTTTTTTTTTTTTTTTTTTTTTTTTTTTTTTTTTTTTTACTGAGTTCTTCTTATTCATCTGTTTCCACTTGCTCAGACCTTACTGATGTATGCAATGCTGTATTGTTGTTATGTTCTAAAAATTGAATAAAATCTGATTATTAAAAAAAAAAAAAAAAACCACCAAAACCTTGACAACCCTGAGCACAGGCGCAGTGTTTCCTCATTAAACTCTCACATTGTCAAAATGAATACATTTGTAAGCCATCTGCTACAACATAGACCATTTCCCAGAGGTCCTGTGAAGGGCTACATCCAAAACATCAATTACATGGAAAAAACCCCAGGAAAGTTTCTATGAACAGGAGTGGATGATCACTTCAACTGCAGCTGATGGGCTCGACATGTATTGCCTTCTTAAATGAGGCGTACAGCCCATGGAGGTGGACCAATTGGCAGGAAATGAGACCAAATTGATTGGGAAACAGATGGAAGAGCAGCAGCCACTGTAAAGCCCACAAGGCTGTAAGTAGAAGACAGAAATGAGAGGTAAGGATGAGCCGATGTGGACAGACCAAAGTAAAGGACACATTAAACTTTGGAAATGACTTTAACAACTAAGACAAACACAAGACTTACTTAAGAATCAAATTAAACACAATGTTCTCAGAATTCTGCCAGAAAATGCCATTTCAAACTGAGGTATTTGGATTATTTAGGTGATATATTTCAAAAACCTCATATGTTTAACTTTTCAGCATTGAAAGTGATCCGTAACACTTATATTTTCTGTGTATTCTTCAGCAATCTTTCCGGGAAACAAGAGAGAAACAGAGTGGCCTTGAAAAT